ATCACCGCGAAAAGCGAGAATTCGAACTAAAGGGCCGTCACTGTTTTTTAAGGAACGCCGATGTTTTTTGCAATTGATTAGAGCCGAGAGGGAGAGTTAAAAAAACGAAGTTGGAGGTTATGTCAAGGCCGAAGGCATGGGTACTAATTCTTTTTGATTTTTTTGAGTGATCGATATCGTGTTGGGTCTTGAAGTTATTTTTCAAAATGAGTCATCGTAGTCACCGTTACCACGGTGGTTTTTATATCGTTAGGTTCATTATTGTTTCATGAAAGTTCTGAAATTTTTGTCTCGATTAAAGTCATTTTTTGCTCTGTAATATCAAATTCTGAGAATTCCAAAAAATTACAGTACTCTTTCTCTCGCCTATAACATCCCGAATGCCCTAACCATCTTCTCTATCAAATTTCCCGTCCATTCAATCACTCTCGCCCAACTTGTAACCCCTTATTTCCCCCCTCGATAACCTCAATATTCTGGGTGTTGTTTTTCCGCTTTTTCAGTTCGAAAACTTGGCGTTCTCGGCAGGAGCTTAACCGTTTCCGTAGCGCCGTTTGATCCGCTAAATATGGGGCTCTTTGAATTCGATCAATCTAATATGCTTCGGACTAACAAGTCGTCTGGTTTGTCTTTGCATAACCTGTGATTTGCGAGCAATTTTCTCGCGAGAATCGAGGTCATTCGCTTCTTTTTTTTTGGGGACCGCGTATGGTAAAGAGAAGCGGGGTTGTATTACAAGGGAATTCTGGATTTGGAAAGGTCCGGCTGGACAAGAAATTAAGTCAAAAAAAAATTATTTTTGATTTTGTAAAATTTTTTTATCTAATAAAATTTCAATATTTATCCGATATCCGCATTAAAAATTGGTATAGTAATTTATTCCTTAGGACATTCACCATCTAAAGAATATGACGAAATAATTTTAGATTCTAAAATACAGGAGTTTTCGCGGTTTTATTCCCCTTTATCCACCTAAATCCTTGTTTTGTCATCACGTTATTTCCCCATCTTTGAAATCTTCTTCTCTCCCCGCTCTTCATTCCCAACATTCTCTACGTTATCCTCGACCAGTCGAAGGTAAATTTGATGCTAAAATTCCTCCCGTCCATCCAGTAGTTCCTTCCTTTACCTCGCACCCACAAAAAGCGGCATCAATTGGTTTTCTTTGACCCGCCGCGCCAAATCAGAGACACAGGAAATCGAACGAGTCTATAGAGGAAGAAGAAGAGAGAGCAGAGGACGTTTATACCATCCGATCTATAAAATAACCCACCTAACATGTAATTATGTGGCCTTCCAACAGGTTCACCGAGTTTTTTTTATTAAACCAGAAGAGTTTTTATTGCCGATTGCGCAGCGAGGAGATTCGGGATGGAAATTTTGGGAGATTTTTTGATTTTTTTGGCAAATAAGGGATGTAAATTGCAACCATAATGTAATTTTCACTATAATTTTAATCTTAAGTACACTTTTTTTCTTTTTTTTAAAGTTTTTACTAAAGTTATCCATCTTTTTTTGTTGTCTCCCCACTAATTATTATTCAGTATGTCGCCCTTTCCCACTCTTGATCGGTCGAGAATCTTGATAAGAGTCAAACAAGGCCAAATCGAGATAATCGGAAATCTGCATAATATATTCATCAAGCACATGTCCACTTGTCATCCGATGATGAATAAGTTTTGTGGTGTTATTTTCGAGAGGTTCAAGTGTCAATAGTTTAATTTTTTCGGTCTCTCTTCGCGCCGTTCCCAACCGTCCCATCGAAACATCATCAAATCCCGAGGACTTGGCCTGCGAAATCCCAAAATTCCTCCCAACTTTTTTGAATGTTGTAAAAAAAGTCCGAGACGAATTTATTTTCAGTTTTTTTTGCCTAAAATTTTTTTGCAGTGCGCATAAATTTGGGGTTGAACAAGGTGTCCGATTGGGGATTTTTTATGGTATAAGGCAATATTTCCGCAAGACGGATACGGCGATTTGTCAGCTTTCGAAATTTGAACTTGCTTTTGGACATTTGAAAGGCTCCTTTGGTCTTTGGAACACTGACAAACAAGTTGCTTATAATTCTTGGGTTACTGTAATTTTTCCGACAAATTTTCTTAAAACCTTCTTTCTTGGTAATTTTGGAAGATTACAAATTAATTTCAAGGACTTTAAATTTCTTAAAATCTGTTGCTCCATCTGCTTTATATTGCCCATGTAAAATCGCGACCATTTTTAGTCCAAATTAGTATAATCCGGATCTGTTCGGATTTTGTAGCCCATCTGTTGAAGCCAGTTCAAAAGTAACTTGAAAGCGGCGCTTCGCACATCTGGAGCTTGTAATTTGACTGTTTTTGACACGGATTTTATTGCGCGTCTGAAATTCGAGAGGGAGCTCGCGGGTTTGTAGGATACAGTGAGTTACTGTAATCCGGCCAGTCAAGGTCGGGATTTCACTGGCAAAAAATTAACTCAGCATAAGCCAAATACGGCTTGCTGATACTAAAATTTAAATTTGAAATCTTTTGGCTTCGAATTTTTGGATTCCTCTCAGTTTCGGCACCTTTTGCCCTCCTTCAGGCGACAGACGTGGATTCGAATTTCCAGCGTCCCCCAATATCCCATATTCAAATATCCTCTGGAATCCGGGGCCGCAATTAAGCCGGAGCCAACATCCGACGCCATGTGCCGACAGATTTGACTTTTGCCGACGCGTTGCGCGTCGATCGTCATTGATCCGTATTGTTGTGGCCGGTCGATTATCTCGGGGTTTGTAAAGTGCTAATCTTTCCGGCCCTTTTATTTATATTGTTGCCAAGGAAGGTCCATAAAGCCATATAAAGGGCGAATTAATCGGGGATTGAAAGGGAATCGCGCCGACAAACTTTTCGGCCAATATTTTATATTGTACTTGGGATCAAGGGTATGGTAAGTTAAATTTGTGGCGTATTGGATTTGCTGGTGGCTTCGAGGGATTGCTGGATTTGTTGTGGAATATTTGGAAGCTCAGTAACTAATTTTATAATAGATCAGGTTCAATACTGTATTTACTATCGCAGAAATTTCATTTCCACCTAAACTACATAAGTTAATCTTTTCTTTGTCATTTCACTGCCACCCCAGGCCTCGAGGAAATATACTTGTTTGCAAATATTCCTCATCCTTCAACGTCTCTTCTAATAGCCTTCGAGCACTTGGAAACGCCTATACAAACGCAACCTTATCATTGAGAACAGAGATTTTGGCAGTTGTTGGGAAAAACAGATCTGGATTGTGTTGAGAACCAGTGGGGAAAGAGCGCTCGGATTTTCAGAAATATGTATTGAGAATATTGGAAGAGTTTGTTGGGAGTTTACATCTAATTAATATTGGCTGATTTTGTTGGGAGTTGAAACAGGTTTCGAGTGTATCTAGAGGTATGATGACTAATAAGACGCCATGAGACCTCAAAAGTTTGCCTTGAGGGAAGTTGCTGATTCTGCTCTCTAAAACTCTCTTCTACAAACTTTTCCCATTGTCCCATAACCCGTTGTCCTAATTATCGTCACATTGCAAGTTCAAGTCTCGGCCATTAAATGGGTGGAGTTAAGCCGAGATTGAACTCGGCCTAATCTCGGCCTTATTAGCGTGTCAAAATTTGCAGAGTGGGCGGGGTCGCGGTTATTGTAGGCGAGAAATAAAATCGAATCGAGCCACATTTCATTAAAGACCGGATTACATTCGCAGATTTGGTGTGGATATGGGATTTAAGGTTACGGTAGGTCTTAAGGTGGCTTATTAAAAAAAATTTATAGCTGAGTGAGAGAATTTAGAAAGTTGTTGTGGTTTCACAAGTAGTAGGAATATTGTGAAGTCGCAATTAAGATTACTGCAACCATGGGGCTTCTTGTTATAGCGATAGATTTTACTCAGTAGGTGGTATACATCCTTATCTCGATGCCTCAATACCATCTCAACTTCGCTTGCCATAGCTCATCCAACTCCCCACCTGTCACTCAATAACCCACTGTTTTATCGTCTTCGAAAACAACCTTGTTTTACTGCGATCATTGCAAAAGGTGTTTTTTATTGCCCTTCCTTTGTGTTGCCGGTGTATTTCGAGCAGATGCGGGTACACACAACTCAAAGACGATTGCAAGTTCAACCCGAAGAGAGTGTGTGTGAAGAAAGGAGAGGGGCAGAGAGCGGGGATTTCCCCGTCTTTCGGGGGTTTGTGACGTAAAATGGGTGGACTCCTTCTGGGGGCCGATTCAAGTGGTTCAAGGGGCGGGAAGAGCGTTTTGTAGGTTTTATTGTCTTTAACGGCACCACCCATAACAATGCTTAAATCAATTAGAGCGAATACTCCAATTAATGGGCGAAGAGATAGGGTTTCAAAGACGAGGTGGTTCTAGCAGTATCTACAAAGCTTTCACTTGAATTTTTATGTTGTTTTAAGTTTCTATCGACTTGATTCAACCCTCAGTCATGCTTATGGCGCTTGTCGTTTCTCAATAAACTCCTTAAATTATATCTTATTCCAAATAGTATCTGCAAATTTCTGTTTAATCATTTTTTCATATTCAAACCCCCTATGATAACATCTCTCCTAAAGCGCTCTCCCCTTGATCCTTGTTCAATGTTGTGCCAACAATGGGATTTCAAACCACCCTGCGCCTTATTACGTCCCATTTTCCGGGGTGTCGCGCGTTTCCTTTTCTTGTAATTGCCGCGGGTTTCGACTGATACGAATCAGTGGGTGGAGGTGCCAAGTCGCGTTCTCCACTGCCGCCTCCTCATTCCCCATTCTCCCTTTCTTTCTCTTCCCCTTTCTCACGGCCACCTTGATGTTCCTTTCTATAGAATCTTGAGTCATCGTGTCGAAACCGATTTTATCTAATACATATTCGCGTTGTTTCAATTTATTTCTCACAACCCATTAAATTTGTCGTAATTTCAGAGAGAGAACAGAGTAGGAAACGGGGCCTTTTGGTGCATGTTTTGTCCACTCTAAATCCCAGTGCAGCTCATTTGTCGAGATGAGTACGTCGGGATACGATTGTGTGTCATCGAGCGAGCCCTCCACTTCCTCCCTCGGTTCCAATTCGAATGATTACGGTGGAAGTACGGACTTTAGTCAGCATCGAGATGATGCAACGGATGTCCTCAACTACGAAAACTACACTTCGTCAACGAAACGACGACGATTGAGGAAGCAAATGCCTACGGTCAAACAGCGAGAGAGGAGGGTTCAGAATCGGAAGAAAAATGGCCAAACGAAATTAAAATTGGCCAAAAATTATGGGAAAATCATATCAAAAGAGATCCCAATCGGGATGGAAATGGAAGTCAAATCGCCGCGGATTCAGATGCATGCAGAAATCAGGTCGAGAATCCGAACCAACGCACAACGTGAGGTCTTTTCGCCCATCCAGAACGTCCTCAACGCCAACATCGAATACGATTGTTCGAGCCCCGAGAGCCCGATCAATGTGGAGAGCTATCGCTACAGCGCCTCTGTGTTCGAATGTCCCATTGGCTATAGTAATCAAATCTATTCGAATACGAACACCCGAGCCCCTTCGCTGACGCCACCAATCAGCGATGAATGCTATGGAACGGGCAGCGATGATCATCAAATCCACGAATTGGAAATCTCGGATGACGATCAGACCGATTTCATTAATGCCACCAACAAAATCTACGAGAATTTGTCGATGGAGCCGGTCACTTTTCCCGTCGCTCAGCCCAAAGTCTCGGATCTGAAATCGTTACCGCCGGTTTTGCCTCCAGAAGTCCATCCGGAAGACGAAGCGTCACTTTATGGTAAGTTTGGCCGAGAATTAGGGGCATTACGTAATTTCGGGATTAGGCAAATTTTAAGGGCACTTGATTTGGCGGCCTTTTTTTGGCAAACAACAGCTTCTGAGGCTAAAATAATATAAGAAAAAATTCTAAAACTGAATGAAACTAGAATTGAAATTAGAGTTTGATGACGGCAGTCTATGAAAAAAATTATTTTCAGGTCGATTGACAGCCTTGCTTTTTGTCGAAGCCCGAAACGAAAAGACCACCCGCCAAAAAATTGTGGAGGTCCAAGAGGAACTGAAGATTTTGTTCAATATCCCGAGCTTATTTGATGTTTGTGTGGACAATGAGCCGTCCTATCGACAAAACTGCGCCTTCCTTGGTAAGTATTACATCCCCATTTTTATGTTCAAACCCTTTTTTGATGGCAAAAAATACCGAAAACATCAAGAACTTATCGAAAAATTAGGGTATCGCGCTGTGATCATGTATGCGCTTTAGGCTAGTCAGCTGCATCCTCCTTTTCTGGCGTCATAAAGCGAGCTGTGGCTAAACTGTTATAAGCATAGGCCTCTTTGTTCACCGGATTTGGCGTCAGAAATCGGCGCTTCGAGGGATTCGCGATCAAAAAAGGGAGTCGCGGGGATTAGGTCGGTTAAGTTTAGACATGTCTTTGTGAGGCTGGGGATCCCTGGTATCAAAATGGACATGATATGGGGGTAAATTGGACTTTGTAGGCTAGGGTACAACTTATCAAAGTAAGTAAAACCAAGTAAATCTTGATTTTTTCTTACTTCTGCTCCTACAATATAAGTTCGTTGGCTCTTGCCTGATCTAGACTACAATTTGCCATTTTGAGGCCCGCAGGAAATGTTGTCGGCTCCCTTATCCACCTAATAACACCATTAAAATCCTGAACCACCTTCCTGACCGCGGGTAAATTACATTAACTCCAATCTCGCCGGTAATCCACAAAGGAATAATCAGCGGGACATTGGGAAAGGAATTACATCTACCGGCTTCCCTTTGCGGGCGATTTACGTCACTTAAAGTCAAATTGAGACCCTGTTTAGATCCTTGAGCCTTATAGAGTAGTATAGGCATCTGCTTAGCTGTTCATTCCTGTCATACTCCGCGCTTTAACGCGCTGATTAACCCCATGCAGATTAATTGAACCGCGAAACAATCGGAAACCCTCAGAACCGACTAACATTGCGTAACCGCGAGATTTGGAGTGTTTGATGATTGTCTTGAGAATGTCGAGACCCAACTTTTTAGTGCCGACCTTGACTTTTGGCTGGGCATTTCCCACCTTTCCGGTCGTAACCACCAGATTGAGGGGTCATGAGGTTGTAAATGAAAGAAGGTCCAAAAACCGGGGGTAAAACTACAAAATTGGCTGAAAACTTGCCAAACTACTGTCAATGTATACAGTAACCAGAAGATTCTGACCTCAGTTGGTCATAAAATCAGCAATTGACGCTTATCTCTGCTGGCATCTGTCCTCAGCCGGGTGCGGGTCGTAAAATACGCGGCAAATTCCATTGAAATTGCGCCGGAATTTACTGCTGGTGTCAGAATGCAGGTGCTAATTTCCCTTCTTTTCACCACGAAATCCCGACCATTTTATGACTCAATTAGCCACTTTTTTCGATTCAGGCCATTGTTGCGCAATGTTTTATGAGCTCCCTTATCTGCAGTCGAATCTGACTATGCAAATGTGAGCAGCTGAGACAGGCAAAGGCATTTGTTTAAACACAACGAATTAGCCAAGGGCCGATCGGGTTTCAGGCAACAAGTGGTTGGATTAATGTTTGGCTAATGCGCATTTAATGGTCATCGAGGGGTCAGCGAATTAAAATACGCGGATTGGGTTACACCGGGGTCAAAACAAATACTTCCACAGCAATTTGAACACTAAAAATAAGGCAACAAATGGAGAACAACTTACTGATTACATTCTTTTAGGTAACCTCGTGGCCTACAGCCTTCGCCAAACCCGTGCCAAGTCTCCAGAAGCCTTCGCGGCGCAAGTGAAGAAGCTCCACAAACTTCTTTATGGTCTCAAAAAGAAAAACGCCTTCCTTTCCGGGGTCGGTCGATTCGTTCAGCGCCTCTTCAGAACCATCTGAACCTCGAACTAGTAGTATAATGTCCATTGACGATCAAGAAAAACCAAAAACTCAAGCAAAACATCCAGTTTTGATTGATTTTGGTGTATCAACTTATGGATTATGTTGTACTAAACGAATTAGGATTTTGAGATTTCTAAACCAAGTTGCCAACCCTCCACCCGTTTGACTAGTCCCTTATCTAACTCTAATGCCCTTTGTTTTGTTATTCCAGACAACTTGTCTCGCCTCACTTACAACCGATTCAGTCGGTTATTATATTGTTCATTAAGCCCGAAATCAGTGCCGGTATTAGGTCTGTCTTCATCTAAGTTACAGTTTTATATTGAAACAAATAAATAATCATTTATACCATTTGGCTGTTTCCGGATCTTGGACTTCTAACATAAACTATCATCGAAAAGAAACGAAGAAAAGAGGTCAAGGTGCACAAATTAAGTTTTGTCTGGTAAACAACGTTTTTCTGGGCATGGATTGCATTTCATTAAATGCTACTCGACGACGTCGCGCAAGAATCCACAGATTCGTAGACTTCTTTCTGCGTAGCCTCGCGCTAAACCCTGTTTCAATCAATATTGGCACTTCGTTCATGACGAAATGTCACAAAAAATGGCTTTAAAAATTTTTTTGTTGGATTTTATTTTATCTCAGCACTTTTGTTCGCGTTATAACGAAGAAGGGTATATTTTGTGGCTTTTTTTCTTTCATAACCACAATCCGTATTTTCAGATGAAATTTGTATTGTAATACCCGCCTTATTTTAGGTGTAGACCAAGAAATGGATTTCCAGAACCGCGCAGGCGGTAAAACTGGTGGTGGAGGTGTAGCCTCCGCATCGGACGCCAATGTCGATCGTCGAGAACGTCTCCGACTTCTGGCGTTGGAAACCATCGACCTTCAGAAGGATCCCTATTTTATGCGAAATCATTTGGGTGGATACGAATGCAAACTCTGTCTGACACTGCACAATAATGAAGGGTCTTACTTGGCGCACACCCAAGGAAAGAAGCATCAAGCAAACTTGGCAAGGAGAGCGGCTAAAGATGCAGCAGATCAACCGTTTGTTCAACTGCCTCAATCAGCGAAAGTGGAGCCTAAAAAGTTTGTAAAGATTGGTCGACCTGGATACAAAGTGACAAAAGAGCGAGATCCTGTTAGTGGACAGCAAGCCTTGCTTTTCCAAATTGGTATGTATTTTCTTTTTTTTTTTTTGAGTTTTAGGCTATTCGTTTTGTTCTGCTGGTTGATATGGGCGCTTACCAAGGTTTTAGTTGATACTGGAAATTTTTTGAGCATCTAACGTTTATTAGCTGAAGCGGCATGGAAATTACTTGTTTATTACTTCAATTAACGGAATTCCTATAAATCAGGGCAAAATATTTGAAGTTATCTTGTTTTAGACTACCCAGAGATCGGCGAAGGGATTACTCCTCGTCATCGATTCATGGCCGCTTATGAACAGAAGCTGGAACCTCCAGACAAAAGATGGCAATATCTCCTGTTTGCTGCCGAACCCTACGAAACAATCGCCTTCAAAATCCCTTCACGAGAGGTTGATAAATCGGAGAAGGTCTTCTGGTCTTTATGGAACAAGGACAGCAAACAATTCTTCTTGCAATTTGCATTCAGAAGTGGTGGAGAAGAACATCCACCTCGGCCACCACCTCCATCATTCATTCCGGCACCTCCTCAGCCCGTATTTGCGGCCCAACGATATTAAGTTTATAAATAAATACAGTCTGCCATTATTCATATCTCACGTGAAAGTATAATACAATTCCAAGATTATTTCCAGTAGGGAAAGTAGTTCGTGTATTTTTGATTGAAGGTGGGCTATTTGGCTGAATGTCCGAACCTTTCCTGCAAACTCTTGAAGATATAAACATTTTGTTTCTTCAAGGCGGTTGCCATAGTAACGATAACTTTGTTCGTATATCTTCGGGAAAGGATTGAATCACCGAGAGAATGGTTTATTTGTAGCTGTGTATTGCCGAAGGTTTCCTGTGTCCATTTAGGTAGTTTTACGGGATATGAATTGTTATGGATTTACCTATTAAATTTGTCGTTCTATGGGCTTGCGTGTCATGTCTAATGGACCTTGAGTTTTGGTGTTACACAAAAAATGCGGATGTGTTTACCTTTTTTGCACTAATCGAGTTGCATTTTTATTCGATTGTAACGTATCCAAATTTTTTTTTGACTTTTGAGTGATCTTTTATGTTATTCTTGTAGGATGCCTCGCCTCGGGTCTTATTCGAGGACTTTGGATGAGATTTTTGCGATGAGCGCGCCGAAACCGAAGCCGAGGCAATCGACGGGGTCTAATAGTGCTGTAACTACTGCTGATTCCAAAGGTAAGGTATTAAAATTCCCTGAACTATGAATAATTTTAATTAAGGTGAGATAAATCGGTCACCACTGGTGGCTTTGGGGGATCGACCAACAACAAGACACGGGAGAAGTTCTGAGTCGTCATCGTCGTCGAATAAGACCGAGAATAAATCGGAAGTCTCAGATGTAAGCCAGTTTTCTATGAATTGCCATGTCTTGCAATTAGCGCGATAATTTATGTTTTGTATAATACTAACCACAATTTATAATACATTCATTTTGTAGTCCACTCGAACACGAGTTGATGTCTGGACTCGCGAAGACAACCCTCAAGATGTCCCTCACGTGGACGCTGTCGAACTGCTGCAAGCCTTAGGCTCCAAACGTCGGAATATCGCGGATTCTCCGATCATGGAGAACGAGCTCAGCGAGATCTCAAGCGCTTCGAGCGAGGCCAGCACGTCATCGGAGAATCAAATTCAACCATTTACACAGACCAGAAGTCTGCGAACGGCCTCTTCTTCGAACCCAACCACCTCTGACTCGATTAAGATCCCCTCGATTCACACAGCACCATCAACTTCATCTTCAAACTCATCGGGGAAGGAATCCAGGAAGTCATCGATAACAGAAACCAGGGAATTACAGAAGGAGAATGATGGAAAGGACCGATTGAATGGCGTCAACTTGGGAAATAATCGACCGACCACTTTTACGAAGGATAAAGAGGATGAGGTAGGGACCTTATGTTATACTAGGCTGGATGATACTTGAATTTTGACAAGGTGAAATTAGTCCTAGAAATTGAGAAATCATTTCAATTAGGACTAATTTTATCCTTCTTTCCTATGGACACCTATTTTTACATAGATCTTTATCATAGTTTATTATATATAGCTACTAGTACAAGTAATTTTCTGATATCTATGATTACACTCCCGGTTTGACCCATCCTCCAAATCTGTCTTCCATTTGTTGCGCAACTGAGCATAGCAGATTCTCTGATCCGATTCCGCCAACCAGTTGGACGGACATTGGATATCCATTCTTGTCTTTGCCGCAGGGCACCGCCAAAACAGGGACTGCAAGGATATTGAACAAACTGGTGTAGAAACAAGGGAGGGCACCGAAAGAATAGTGGTAGTAGTTTGTTTCGGGTAGGCCGGGGAAGACCAGAACCGCACCATCTAAAAAAAATCATTACATTATACATGATGATCGACTTGATCTACGTTTGACTTGTAGGGTAAATTTATGCTAATTGACAAAGGATAAGCTCTAATAGCTCGTAATAAACGGCGTAGGATGGCTTACCCTCCAACTGCTGATGTATTCTACTCCTCAAAATTTGAATTTGCCGCTTCGATTCCTCCAAAGTCCCCTGAGGCGATGGTCTTCCAGCCGCGTAGAAGCTCATCAAAAGTCCAAATGATTGGCAAGACGAGCCTGACATCAGTTTTATAAATTCTGTGGCCACATTCACATTTTCGTTCTGAAATTTGAATACATTTTTGATGACAATAACTCACCGGTGCGAGATGTTGCGCAACATCAAAATTCTCGGTCAAGAGTTCCTTGAAGATTATAAAGTATTCTTGCAGTGTTTTTATGAGATCAAACCGTTCAATGGGCAGAGAATAGGACTTGGAGAGGTAGTTGGCGACGTCGTCTGTGATCACTTTGACTGTCTTGCTAAGAGTAATTAATGGAGCGACTTCTGGCTTGGAGATAAAGAGTCTTGCAGGCCGGGGTTTTGAGATCGGTAGGGGGATTGAGGTTGGAGCTAGGACCTGAAAAAGTAATTTGCGAAATGAATGGGTCAGTAATTGCACGATGATTAAATAATCTTACACTCTGAAGAAGCATAAGGTCCTCGGCGTATCGTACCATGGGCCCAGTCACATACATTCCATGGCTGTCGTCGCCGAGATCAACTTTCGGCAATACTCCATTTAGTGAACAACTTTCTCTTGGTTTCAGGCCGTAGATTCCACATAAAATTGAGGGGAGTCTGATGGATCCTCCCAGATCCGTCCCAACTCCAATTAGAGATCCCTGAGAGCAGATCAGTGAGGCCTCGCCTCCAGAAGATCCCCCACTTATGGTCCTTGAGTCATGCGGACTGGGGGTTCGGCCGAATACAACGTTATCCGTTTCGAAACTCATACAGCCGGGAGAAACGTTCGTATAACAAATAGGAATGGCGCCAGCCTTGAGAACTCTGAAATTTGAGGGTAAAATATGAACAAGCGTCTTGTTTTTCTTTGTGATCGTTGTTCTTGTTCGGTGACGCTGATAAGTTACTTTTACTGTAATTTTTGGACTTACCGATTAACCGCGGTCGCATTAGCTTGGGCCAATGAGGCCTCGCGAAGATGGTGAAGTCCACAGACATTCCGACGCCCTTTTAGATCAAACACATGCTTTATAGAGACGGGGATTCCGAGGAGAGGTTTCTCTTGTCGCATCTGAAAACAAAAGTAATGATGAGTCATCACTTTAAATGTTATCTTTTGCCAATGTAATCTACAGTAATATCCTTACCATTTTGACGTCCTCCTCATCAGAATTCTCAATAAATTCATCGACTTCTTTCGCCATTTGCAAAGCCTCTTCCTCGAATAGTTCGGTAACCGCGTTAATCATTGGATTTACTTCTTTGATTCTGTTCAAATATGCCTCAACTAGGGTTGCACTCTTCAGCTGAAATTGTCTTTATTATTTGTAATGTCAACTCCTCTCTTACCCTTCCTTGTCGGATCATCTCTGCGGCTGCAGTTGCGCTGATGTTTAGTAATGGATCTTCACTGTATGTTACAGTACTTTTACAAGTTGTAATCGCGGTATATCTCGCATATGCAATGCACGAGACGTGAAGAGCAATGGCTCCGGGGTCTAGCTGAAATTTTATTCATATTGGAATCAGAAGATTGCCTTACTGTTTTGAAGGGCAACACCGGCAGATCCATTCGTTTCGGGGGTGCCTCGGTTATTATCATAGTCAATGATGACCAAAACGGTCGAAGTTTTTTGGTGGAACTGAAAGTTTTAGAATGAACGAATGCGCTCCGTTGATAGGCAAGGACGAAAACACGTTTTAAAGGAAATTCTCAACGACAAATAATTGCTGCGACTTCTTTGACATGTGTTTTAATCATCGGCCCTACTAGAATTGAATATAAATTTCAGCTTCCCATCCCCCCTCCAGACCCACCCAAGCCACCCATAGCCAAGAAACCGCCCACTCCCACAAGCATAACGTCCGCCAAATCCACCAAGTCGAGTCAAAGCGCCAACAAACGCACACAGATCATCCCCACCACCTCAAAGAGCAACTCCATCGACCAGAAAAGAGTCGCCAGAACAACAACCCCGGCAACTATCCCGAAACGTAATTCCGCGGCCATCAGAGAACGGGCATTTGGACCGAGGGCGTCGTTGAACGGGAAGGAGCGGCAGAGAACGGCCTCGACCCCATCGAAACCGACCGTCAATATGGTCTTGAATAACAACAGCGAGAGTTACAATGTAAGTTGCGGATTCAAAGAACTTGGGTCAAGGATGTGAAGCAAGGGGTTTACTGTAGATCAAAGTTCTTTGGAGTGAGGTTAAACATAATTATGGGCAAATATGTCCAATGAAAGCTCACGAATTGGAATGACAAGTCCTTGATATATTTTCCTCGTCGATTACAGTTCTCCCTGTTACTGAATTTGTTTCAGATGTGGCTAGAAAGGAAGCTTGAAACAGACCGCAAGAAACGAATGGAAGAAAGGGAGCGACAGAAGGCGGAGGAAGAGGTAAGCACTTCACATTATACATGGCAACGTCGTGGACGACCCCGTTTTAAACCCCTTGCACGAATACGTACATCCACGGCCGGGGGCGGCGATACGAAAATATTTATTTACCCTGGAGGTGTTGTCGATCTTTCTCCCCGTCGGAGAAGGTCATTGGAAGGTTGGAGATACTACTGTATCGCTTGGAGTTTCGAATATCAAAGCGGTCGATTTTACTCGGAGCAGACGGGTTTTTAAACAGTTGAAGACGTGATCACCCCGACGAAAACTTCTTATGTGACATATGGAGATGACAGTGAACTTTAAAGGCGATAAAAATAGCAAAAGTTCAATCACCGCTGAGCAGGTCCGTAGGCGGGCAAAGTTATTTCAACCCGTTGTATGGTCGAGATGAACTTTGTTTAATTCATTCGATAAATAAGTTATTAGTTGCCACAGGGCGAAACTCTGAGGCGTTCTACAAAACGATCAGCTAATGAATTACTATTTAATGATTAGAATTTTGAAAGGCCATTGTTAGATCATCCTAAGACTTTGTGGTTGGTATGTTGCTTTTTTGGTATGCAGTTTTAGTCAAAAAGTAAAGGCTGGTGTAAGATTACAAGACTCCCTTACGATTATTTTTAAAATCAAGCATTTCTGCAGGGGAGAAAGTTCAAATTATCCAAAAAATTTTAAAGTAGATCTCTCCGGGTAACCCATCAATAGATGAAAGTTTTACCTCGTGCTTTGCAAGCTCACCTTAGATTTATTACCCTGTGAATTCGGAGTGTAAAGTGCCCCACGTTTCTTCAAAGTCAGCACTTTTGCACTCTGAGAACTTCCTCTTTAAAATCTTGAATCATCAAGATCAACATAGGAGGTTATTTGTAGTACTCGAGTGCATACATTAAAAGCTACAGATCTGCATTACAACCGTCCTTGATGGACTTTTGATTCAGCCCCGAGGGTCCACGCCCTTACCGACAGAATGGAAGAGACTAGAAAGCAGAAGCTCGTGTCATCAAGAATCGAAAAGAATAAGTTGTAAACAGTAAACACAAAAGTGTTAGGACTCTGGATGTTTTTGTAGGCAATTGTGGCTGAACTCACATCATCTGCGGTGTGGCAGAAGGGTGTCGCGACACTTGCGGGCAACCACTTTGCGGACACCCGACTTTTTTGATTAGAATTGTGATTTCCCTCCCATAACCTACGTAGTACGATAGAAATTTTACATTGGCAACTCCCTGGCACTGATAAGACCACAAATCTACTAAATTCATCCACTACTTTCAAAGTTATGGGAGTTTGTTTTCAAAAAAAGGAAAAAATGCCTGGATAAGGTTATGATAGCTATTCAAGCCACGTATACACCTGGAAACGTAATCCGCAACATCAAATTGTCAAGACCATCGTTTGAATATCCAGTTGTATTTAGAAAATTTTGGCTGATTTCGAAACATGCCCTCAAAATCTCCGTGGTTTTTCAAGCTGTCCGCAAGTGTGGGCCCGCCGGCATAATGCGCTAATTTTTTCACTGTAGTTAAGTTTGCGGAGCAGGTTGCTTAACAAGAGTTATTTGGCAAAATCCGCAAAAAACCCAAAAGAGTATGGCCTACATGGGATTTTCTCTGACTGACCCTCCTGAATTCCCATTGTCTCTCGTCTTCCAAGATTAAAAAGGCTGCATTTGCAAGACACGAGCTAAAACTTTTAGGGATTGGTGAGTTTCCTGGGTAGATAGTCTTTGCAAAATTTTAGAAAGATCCGAACGTCCCAGTTTGAGAAATTCTTGATTTAAAGACTGATCTTTTGGTCGAAAAAACCTCGTGTTATTTTAAGGCGACCCTTCAAATTTTTGATTTAAAATAACAACTAAAGCAAGTCCAAAACAACGTACCAACTACTCTATCTGCTATGACATGATGTCCTTTCAAAATTCGAAGTATTGAGTATAATATAAATTCATTGCCGATCTCTGGTCGAAGCCGCGCATTTCCCATCCCCAAAACACATGTTTTTGATAACTTGAACCCGTCGAAAACAAGTCGTTGACCAATTTTAGTAAGTCACTCGCCAATCATCGCAATTTATAACCGTCGCAACGCGCGCTGTAATCCGACCCTAAGGCGCTGATGGAGAGGTTTTCGCAATTTTTTACGGCCTCGCCCCGCCGTTGATGTACGTATCTGCATGGAGTATGTGTTTTTCCAGCGGAAGAAAGAGCAACAGGACAATGCGGAAAGGGCGTTCCGTCGATGGCAGGAGGAGAATCAGCGACGTCTCCACGAAGAGAGACAGCGGAAAGAGCGCGAGAAACGAGAGGCGGAAGAGAAACGGGAGGCCGAGCAAAAGGAACGCCGCCGGAACGCCGAAAAGGTTGGGCTTTCGAAACATACGGTAGACGAATTCAAAGTTGCAATAACGCGAAATGACAAGTCACATGTGATTTGTTGTCGGGCGCCCAGAAAAGGCGCAGGAAATCGGGTTAAAGCCCCCGAAAATACGTACAGAGTGCTCGGCGAAATGAAGGGCTCCGCTTGTCATCGTCAACAAGCGGATCCAAAAACACAAGACACGAGTGTAGGGAGAAGAGTTGATAAGTGGGTTACTGTAATTCGAAGAAGATTAGGGGGTTTAACAGATAGCTTTTATCGTGTTGTCGCTTCGCTGATAATTCAGGTAGACAAAGGCTGAAAACTATTTTTATTTTAAAATTTTTTAAAGAAATTGTATATTTTTCATCTCTGCGGGAGCTTATAATTGACTGGAATGACGCTTTTTACAGACCGAATATAGATTGGCCCGTGAGGAGACTTGTTTTCCATCTTGTACTGGGTAAATAGGACTTTGATGACTATTTTTTTTGATTGTTGAATCCCGGCATCCCCTTAGCCTCGCAAAACTATAGTTTACTCTTTGATTTCCCTCTTTTATATACGTATCACCACTTAGAAATCTAAGCCTACAGATTTGCAAATCCTCATAGATGAGTATCTTTGCTCAATTTTTCTCGGGATTTCCAAGTTTACCGAGTTTTTTTTTTCATGATCTTATCGAAACACATGATCCTTTGAATGTCTTTTCATGAAACTTTCGAATCAGAATCAGCGAAACTTTTGCGTTTTTCAACGGCCAAAATGTGTTAAAAATGCGAGAGGTTGCGTTTCCAACACAGAATCGAAACTACAGGACAAACGTTTCGATTGGAGTCTGATAAGACGATAAACACGAGGCGTTTACAGGGCAAATGATCAGCAGGGACGATCAAAGTCCAAGGAAATTTTTTAAAATATAGGAGCAAATTCGGAAGAAACCTTCCGTAAAAGTCGCAAAGAATTGTTTTTGGGACAGTCTTTGAAGTCAATTATAGCTGTCAAATTTATAGCCAAAGAGTTGAACTGGCTTCTAAATATATTGGGTGACTAGCCAAATGATTATAACAGTAGTCCAGCGGCTCAGATCGTTAGCCATAGACTTGGAATGCTAGCCAAAGGCGGGACGAGGCCTCGTGGTTGTTTAGCTGACATTCCAACCACTCTAACTGGTCTTTTAAGCAGGTTGGACACTGTTATAAGTGTTTGGTCGACGCCATATGGTTGATGCTGCAACCATTTGGACAGTTATTCTATATACAGTGCGCGACAAAATTATAACCGCACTTTAGAAATTGCTGTAACTTTTTTGGTTGTCAATAGAAATGTGTCATATTTTGCTCCAATATGCACTAGTGTCTCACGATTCATGTGCCAAAAAATTATTCCGGGAAATTTCCCCAATTTGGAAAAAAAATTGAAAAAACCAAAATTTTGATGATTTTCTATGCGACAAAATTATAACCGCACTTACGAATTTGGTGAATTAGCCTAATTAAATCAACGAATAACAATAACTAATGTTTGGTTACGTTGCCTGAGGCTTCAATAACGTCGATTGAATAGCCGGGAATATTCTGGGCAAAGTTTTTTTAGCCTCTTCTGGCCAATATTGTGCCAGAATCGGAAAAGTGCCTATTTTAGCTCAGGTAGGCCATTCGGACAGAGTTTGCCAGCAACTAACTGAGTAACCCAGAATCCTATAACACATCTAAACGTTCTGGGAAAAAGGTGCGCCACTGCAGCAGAGCAAGGGCTGATATATCCGCCGAGTTTCCAACTCCAATATCCCTTGTTCTCATATAAGCTAAGAAATAGGCCTCAGGCGGGAACAGCAGTAAAGCTATGCTGGAGGTTGTAAGACACAGCTACGTCATCACTGGGCGCCGTATGAAGTTGTGGCCTCAGCTGGCCGGGTCCACGGCAGAGCGCGGCCGAGATTTGCCAAGGTGACATTGGAAAAATAGGTTGAATAGTTAAAGGTTAGTTTAACATCATTACAGTGCCGAAATCCTTGAAGATTTTATGGCCAAATGATGTACCTGACCGCTTCACACATGACCCACATTACAGACGTGAAATCAGAAGAGAAACGCATTATTTCCCGCGCCGTAACGTTTTAGGTGGCTTGCTGATAATCTTTCGGCGCATTCGAAGAACCGAAGTGCTTCCGTTGGAGGCCATATCAACTCAAATAAGTATCCTTGAGTAATAGGGAGTCTTAGGCAAGCATCGGGTAACGTATTGGCAACCAGACTACACGTAAATGCAGGGCAGGGCTCGCGTATACCTTAGCTGGTCGACAAAGCTGTTTCTTAAACGACAAGGAATTGCTATCCCGGACGAGCCCATGCGTTCCTTGGATTCAAATCCGACAGAGAACATGTGGGGCTTCCTGGTTTGTTAACTACACCACGATAACAAGCATTATGCTACAGTAACTGAGCTAAAATAGGCACTTTTCCGATTCTGGCACAATATTGGCCAGAAGAGGCTAAAAAACTTTGCCCAGAATATTCCCGGCTATTCAATCGACGTTATTGAAGCCTCAGGCAACGTAACTAAACATTAGTTATTGTTATTCATTGATTTAATTAGGCTAATTCACCAAATTCGTAAGTGCGGTTATAATTTTGTCGCATAGAAAATCATCAAAATTTTGGTTTTTTCAATTTTTTTCCAAATTGGGGAAATTTCCCGAAATAATTTTTTGGCACATGATTCGTGAGACACTAGTGCATATTGGAGCCAAATATGGCACATTTCTATTGACAACCAAAAAAGTTACAGCAATTCCTAAAGTGCGGTTATAATTTTGTCGCGCACTGTATTTAGGGGCTAGTGCAAGCTTTTGAAATTTTGAGGAGCGCAACAATTGATGGCTGCTATTGCAACCTGCTACATAAATTTTTGGCGGTCTTGCAGCCTTTGGCTAGTATTTTTGTTGCTAACATCAATTCCAAACTCTAAGCCAAGCAAATAACCTATTTGTGTATAATGACTTTTCAAATTTGCCTATTATCCGCAAAAATTCTAGCATTTTTATATTACAGTATCCATAGCTCTTTAAAAATCTAACACTGATATCTTCAGACTTTCGAGACCTGGAAGAAACGTCAGGAAGAGAAACTTCGCGAAGAGAGGATTCGAAAACGTGAGGAGCAACGACAACGTGCTCAAAGTGCACAAGAAGAGAAGCGCCGACAACGTTCCGAGAATCAGAAGGTATATCAAAAATGGGTTGAACAGTCGTTGCAACGACAGCGTGAGATCAAACAGATGAATCTGGAGAAGGAACTGGCCCTGAGGAAGCAAGAGGAGGAGGAAAGGGCCTTCAAAGAGGCCCTTTCCAACGAGGCCTATCAACTTTGGCTCGAGATGAAGGTACGGAATGAATTTTGATGAAGAAAAAAGGTTCTGCAAACGGCGCAGGGCCCCCTTAAAATACGAAAAATTACTGTCATGCACTGTGCTTTGACCAGTAATCTGAATGTTTACGGGGAGCTGGGAATGCGGTTATCCCGCGAGCACAAAAGGACATTACTTTAGACAGTTGAGATACGTTTCGTTTGAAATTGTTTTGTCGAGTGATTGCATTACGGTCACGAACATCTGATCACATTAGCTGAATCGGCGTTGATGATTGAATAACGTGGTGATTTGGGGAAGCGATTTTTTCATGACTATAGTAATTGAAGAGTTTAAAAGTCATGGCCTACAAAATTGTGATTTAGATTACAACTTTTGCGAAAAAAATCGTAAATGTGGTAATTGCTTTGGCATTGCATTAACAAGTGGTGTCATACAAAAATTTAGAGGATTTTGGGATACTGTAACATTCATTTTGTATGATTTTTTAACCAAAATTTTCCGAAAAATTGCAAAAAATACCTTATTTTATAGCTGAAAAAACAACGAAAAGTACCTTTTTTAGGTCAAAAATTCTATAAAATACCTTCAAACGCTAAGAAAATTGTCGTAGCACCCTCTCGAAGCTATGTATTAACATTTTCAGAAAAAAGAAAAAACCTTTTCCCAGTCCTTGGCCTACAAAATCCTCGATTTTGACAACGAGGCCAAGAAGAGATGGCCAACACCGTGGATTCCGACTGGAAATACAGTACCCCGAAGGTTTGTTGGGACCGGAAATCGTCGACGAACCATTGAGAAGCCCCTAAATATCGTTCAACAACGCGCCAAATCCGTTTATTAACATATTACAACAACCCTTAATATCACTTAAATTTGAAATTATTGCGTTATTTTTGCAGATTTTGATGTAATTTTGTACCGTAATTTTTTGTAAATAGTGTTGAATAAAGAAGGTAATGATTAGTCATGAAAGGAATTACGTTTTTATTGCCGCGCATTTATTTTTTCAAATTTTAAAATTTACTACAGTATTATAAAAACTCGGGGTATTATGGTGATAATTCATGAGTGATAACACTCCTCTTGAAACAGAATATTTAGGGGTTAATCAAGTCAAGGTCCTCATTATATTCGTACTTGCCGCATCGACGGTCACCATCACAGTAATTGGGGACGCATTTGAAGGCTTTGCTCTCCTGGCAAGGGGGAACGACGCAAAATATTTTGTTAGTTCCAGCTAAAAACACAATTTTTATAAGACGTCAGATGTCCTCTATTTTGAATGCGGTTGCTGGACACACTTGATCTCTGAACGTTTTATATCCCCCACTTTCATTACAATACAACCGGCAGCCGAGATATTAAAGGCCTTGTCTTTGAGAGAGCACACAAAGGCAGGAGTGCGACCAAACGAAAAACGGGCTTGGCCCATGAATTTTCTTGACGGAAATTTTATTTTTTACGTCAAGCTTTCCCGCTAGCATTGTAATGAGCCTGAAATAAAACAACCTAAGCTCGCAACTAGCAATAATTGCTGGTTTAGTCTCGAATTAATTCAATCAGATCTCCCTCGTCTAAGGATAAACTTTTTTGCTTCTTACCCGGACAACACCGTGGGATATGAACGCATCTGAGGCTCCCATGGCGATTCTTTTCAATCTGCTCGCACTGTTTGCATTCGAGGGCAATGGAGAGAGTTATCAAGGAGAAAAGGAGGACAAACTTGAACATGTTTACTGAAAAAGGTTAAAAATTAAAGTTGGTACAGTTTAAAGATTGTTTCCTGCCGTAAATCAGACTACTACAACCAGAGGCTGACTGAAAAGAAAAATTGTGAATTGCAAATTGGAAAAATGAACGAAGATTTTTGAATTTTATACACTACTTTTACATTTTTATAAGCCAATTAATGGGACACGTTGGCCAAAGAATTTAATACCAGACAAATAATTAGAACGTGTAATTGGACTGCAATCGATTTCATTGACCTCTGGTTTATTGTTCAAATTTACATTTATTAAAGGGCAAATAAAAACGTCGGAGGATTATGCTGACAATTCATCTTTGAGGAAACTCTTCTTGGAATATGAATTTAGAACTTGATCAAGTCAAGATTGTTGTCGTATTCGAACTTGCTGCAAGGACGGTCAGAGCAGTAGTTGGAGACACATTTGTAGGCACCCTTGCTGGTCTGGCAAGGGTCAACAAAGCAGGTTACGGTATCAACTCCGGCTGAAAAGGGGTGGTTTTTATTGGCAGAAAAATATTCCAGTTCTGTAGTTGACACGTAGCAATAACTGGGACCCACTGTCATAAACCTTAATGTTTCTACATTGCGGTAGTTAAGGATCTAGCATATCGTTAAGAAGTCTTCAGACATGGCAATCGGGCCGGACTTTTTGCCCCACGGGGCCCAAAGCCCGGCCCGATAAAATGTAGGCCCGGCTCGGCCCGTTTTCAGGATTTTTGAAGCCCGGCCCGGCCTGGCCAGATTGCCATGTCTGGAAGTCTTATAAATGTTACTTTTGTCAAATTTGATTATAATGTGTTCTTTGTTTCCTTGGGAAATTTAGAACAAAGTTTATGTCCAAAAAAAGAAAACCCAATCAATCCCGTTATAGGTTTCCTTACCTGGACAACAATGTGGTTTCCTGATACACTTGGAGACCCCAGCGACATTCTTCACAGCCTCCTCACATTCCTTGCAATCCTGAGCGAACACCGAGAGGGTAATCAGACAAAACAGAAGGACAAACTTGTACATTCTTGCTAAAATGACTGAAATTAAAGTTAAAAACGGTTTAAATAAAACCGCTATTCATCAACGTCTACTCGAAAAGGACGCTTAGACTACAAATCGGAGGAATGGAATTGAGACTTTCGAATGATATACACTACTTGTTTATAAAAGAAACAAATTTATGAGGGGACACGTAGGCCCTCAACTCAATTGATAAAAGATATAAAACACTACTAAAAAATGCACTTTGACTGGTCGCAAATCGGCTTTTTGGCCTCTATTTATTCGGCCGAGTCGCCGGTGTTTTCGATATTTTTAGAATTTTTGTTTACAATTCGCTGAAATGAGTCATCATTTTGTACTGAAAGGTCCAAAGCAGGTTCGTAATAGTAATTTATTGACTCGAAATCGCGACCAGATGATCTGCAGGTCGTAGGCTAATAAAGCTAATAGTAATTGGGATTACTCACGGTATTGTTTTTAACAAGCAATTTTTATGTGATAAAATTTCAAAAATATTTTTTATTCAACTACATAAACCTCACTATTCTCAAAATTCAAGAGTTTCATAATTATTAAAAAAATTTTAAATAAAAACGTATATTCATAGAGCAGAACGGTTACTAATAACATGTTTGAACAGTAAATGAAGGATTGATCCTTTGTCTGTTCAAATAATCGAGGAATTGATAACAACTTTCGAAATTTTGCATAATCACTTCTCGTTTTGATTTTGCCATGTCTAAACAATAAGTCTTACAAAGGACATGTACGCAGCGCTAAAATTTCTTTAAATTTTGGCCAAAATTACTATCAGTCTGGCCGAAAAAGAACCGGCCCCCCTCGCGCCTCGAAATCGCAACCTCGAAATTGAATGTTTTTGCGATGCATCGCAAAAGTGCGCGCGACATTGAAAGATCGCTGAATTTGTGGGAATTTTGTTGATTGCACCGTGCGAAACAGCAGAAAAAGGGCATTTGCACTGTGCAAAACCCACTTTTACTAATCGCGACATAAAGTCCTGACACATTTTGCACCGTGCAATCTTCTTTCATCTAATCCGCACTGTGCATCTTTTCGCATTTGTCGCCGCGATTTCCCGTTTTTGCACTAGCGACGTGCACTTTTGCCCGCGATAAACCCGAATTTGCAGGCGCGGCGTCCAAAACCCGAAGTTTCGCACCGTGCATTCTGCTTTCATTTGATCCGCACGGTGCAATTTTTCGCATTTGTCGCCGCGATTTCCCGTTTTTGCACACTTTCGCGTGCGACGAACCCGAATTTGGGGGCGCGACGTCCAAACCCCGAACTTTCGCACGGTGCAAAATGTGTCAGGACTTTATGGCGCGACTAGTATCGCTGGCGATGCGTTGTTTTTTCTCTTTCTTTCGGCGACACCCTCCAAATTTCTCCCCGATGCGAATTGGGGTTTGGGGTGAGTGCGACGGAAGGGTTCGGGGAGGCCGGTTCTTTTTCGGCCAGACTGATAGTCCGTCCGGAAAGTCGCCGGACTGATTTTTGACGCTTGCACCGTGCGAAAAAACTCAGGGTGCGAGCGACATCCCGTAAAAGCCTATTGCACTGTGTAAGAGGCAAGAAATTGCACAGTGCAAAGTGAACTTTCGTTTAAAAGTCGGCCGTAAGTTTCAATGGTCTTTGTCGCCGAGAGAGTACAAGAAATGCGGAAACCGGTCAGAGAGAAAAACATTTTTTAGCCATTTATCGGGCCATTTCGTGTGGAAAAAATTGATTTCTCGTGGAAGTCTTGCCTTCCCTGGTAGAAATAAGGCCGAAGATTTTCATACATGAACTGGCAAAAAATTTTGAATCATCACAAATTTTCGGGCCAAAAATCTCAATTTTTTCCACAGAACGCGCTCTAGGACGTCTTGTAAAACCTTCATCAAAATCCAAACGTCCAATTTCAAGTTGGAGACAGTTAATTCAGCTGTTATTTGTATCTTTATTTTGCTCCTCGAACATCATCTCTGAATTGGAACCAACTTGACCTGTTTATTTACTCAGAGTAAAGTTCCCGCTCACAAATTAATTGTGTCGCTTAATTTGAGAGAAAAAAGTGTTTACTGTGGAAGTCACGTAAAAAAAGTTAAAACGGAAAAGGAATGAAGAAATTTGAGGTCGAATGGAGTGCATTGATAACAAAGAGAAGCAGTGGTTACAAAATGACTCCTAGTTTGCGCAGAAACAATTGAGAGTTCCTATCCTTGTAATGCCGGGAAAGACTCCATTTTTTCTGATACTTAAATTTTCATAAAGAGTAAGGTAAAATGGAATTAAAGAAGTTTTTGGTATCTTGAAGAAATGCGTCCAAATCCTGCCCAAAAATTTTAGGATGATCTCTACCGCAGATGAAAACATTTGGACCAAAAATCAATCATGTCAAATCGATGTTGACTGTGTTATATAAACCTGTTTTATATGGAACATCCAGTGTAAATTGGTTCCTTCAAAACGATCACTTCCTGGATTGGAACGGCCAAAGTTTTGGAATTAAAAATTCCAAGCCAACGATTGCTAATCCGACAAATTCTGCGTTCAATTTGTCGATTTTTAATCGGCGTACCAATGGCCAACAAGTTCTGTCATAATGATCCCATAAATCTGAATTTAGCAAGTAACTTTAGAAATGCTAATCACAGAACACGAAAACACAATGCTATCAGCGAATTGACCTTGGTCGTATAATCAAAATGGGTTACTTGTCCTTGAGCGAAAACTGGTTAATAACTTGTAACTACCTAAACTTAAGTTGGACCCTTTTCTTTGCAAAACCCGCTGTACTTTGCTTGAATTTCTAATTCCCCGAACCCGCAGACGCCGAGTTCTATATAAATTTGTTTTTTTCTTGGTTTCTGTTAGCGCTTTTCAACTTCCGTTGTAATGAGGGAGTTACATGTTAACCTTAACGAAATTTACGGTGGTATAAAGACAGATAGAGGATTCGAGATAGGGCAGGGAAAAATTGAGATTTTTGGGGAATTAAACAGGTCAGTCCAGATTTTGGGGTCTTCCGGAAGTAAGTTTCTTAAGGGCGGCGTTTAAATTCCCTTTTAATTTTTAACACAACGTCCTAATGGAGCTGTATGGCAATTCCTGACAGTTACAGCTCACATCTTTAGTCGATTTTTTGTCAATGATGCTGCACGCTCCGAACTAAATTGCACCTTTTCAGGATGCCATACAAGTGGAATAAAATCTCGATAGTTTCTGAAAAACGCAAGCCAAAAAAATATTTTTTCTTTGGTCCCTAATAATCGCGCATTCAGCATTTTCAAAGATTTTTTATTTCTGCTACAGTATTCAATATCACTTCTGTTATTCTGACTTGTTGTAATACCATGTTGAAAGTCCTAATCACAGACCACAGCATAAAAAGTTACCCTTAAGTCAGATTGTCACTAAGCCACAGTGTAACCTCCAATTTGATCACTTTTTCTTTGCTTATTTATCACTGATGCTTACTGTTCACTTTCTAAAGATCAATTTACGAGAAAATTTTTCTACTTCTTTTACATCATGCACTTAAATCAAGGTCACGTTTCATAGGTTCATTTCGAAAGCGAACAAAATTATTGTGCTTTATGTCGGGTTTAATCTACCGTTACGTTTTTCGGAAACCTCCCATTTTCCGGATGTTACAGACAAATGATCGGAAACTTTGTGTTCGGGAATTGATGACTCAAGACACAGCGCCAATGTCATAAAAAAACTCATTTACCTTGGTTTCTTTTTCTTCAACCGGTTACTCAATAAATCGTCGGTTACTCGAAACTTTGCAGAGACTGTAAACCGGTTCAAAAGTCAAATAAAGCTTGGGTTGAGAGAACAGTTAGACCTTGAAGTGTAGTGCAGAAAACACTAAGGACTCTTCTCTTACAAAAACGGGATTTTTTGGTATTTTTTGTTTTTGCGATGACATTGATTTAAAAATTTTTGCTGTGTTTTTGGATAAAGGCTGCGTTTAAAGTGCAGCTCGAGGATGGTGTCAAAATTTGGCTTGAGTTTTCTCCTCTGTAAGCTATGGTATATGTATGTAATAATGTGAAAAACACGTCACGATACTCACACTTACCTTCTTGCAAAAGCTTTAGTATACCCTGTAAAAAGAGGAGAGATTGTAAGGAGATGTAAAATGTAATATAAAATTTCATTATCCCTCTAAAAACCTACATAAAACTCCAAATTTTCCCACCTGATGTTTGATTCAAAGCTCAGTACATTTTTTTACAACTGTTTGCAGCCATCTTTTCATTTTTCACTGCGTTAATGATTGGAAATTTATTGAATTTTGATGACCACATAACAAACATTGCGCAATTTTTTGTTTACGTTCATCTGAGGCTGAGAAGTTCTTTATTTGAGACTTGCAGGTCAGAGTCATGAATCCACTCTTGTGGGTTGTATTCGTTGTTGTACTGTACATCTTGTTGAACCTGAAGGCGCTCTGGAAAGCGATCCAGGAAAGAAGGCATATTGTGAAATGTTTGGAGCCAATGGAGGGCCCGGAGGCTCTGCCTTTGATCGGGGTTGCTCATAAACTCAATCCGGATAGTGTTTGTAAGCATTGTGTTTTACTTTAGATGATAGAATGTATTATATGACAATTCGGTTGCATCCTGTTCGTTCGGTGCTTAGATTGAAGCCAGTAAAAGTAAAAATATTAACTTGCGCTTTGCAGTCTATATTTTATGTAGGAACCACAACAACATCTTTTTTTCAGTGATGACTTACATAATGGAATACTTCTTCCGATCCCACACGGACGCGTTGAACTCAAATGGAGTCATGAAACTTTGGCTAGGGCCAAAACCTATTGTAATGCTGTATAAACCGGAAACTGTGAGAGTAAGCAATGTTCTCTATTTGGAAAATTCATTGCTTGATTTTTAGCCAATTTTGGACAGTCATGTGTTTGTTCAAAAACCCAATGATTACGATTTCCTGAAAGAATGGCTGGGTGAAGGTTTACTGACAAGGTACGTTAAAATACGAAGATTTGGAATGATGCTCTTAATTCTCTTTTAGCTCGAATCCAAAATGGCACTCCAGAAGAAAGATGCTGACGCCGGCGTTTCATTTCAGTATTTTGGAGAATTTTATGAATTGTTTCAACGAGCAAGCCAGTGTAAGCTAGAAAAGCCTTCTCTTTTCAATTTATGTAACAATATCTCTCGAAATCAGAATCCTTATTTTCCAGGTTTTGGTCCAAAAACTAGATAATTACGCGAAAAGTGGATATCCCTTCGACATTTATCCTCATCTCAAAGCGATTGCTCTCGACGTTATCTGTGGTAGGTGCTTGTTGACATTGAATAATTTTCAAGCAGAATGCTTTTATTAAAGCACTTTTCTTTGAATTTCTAACATCGTAATCGTTTGTCATCCAGAAGCTCTCACAAAAGGTAGCGAGCCTCCGGAAAATTCCGACCTAAATTTCTCGACGGCTTGTGGCAATTTCCACTATTTTTATCGTCCTTTCAGAAGCCGCTATGGGAGTTCAGATGGGCTCGCAGACCGGTAAAAACATGGAATACGTCCGTTCTGTGAAGATTCTCTGCGAATCCCTCTGGCTTCGGATTCGGTCTCCCTGGCTCTGGCCCGCCCTACCCTGGAATCTCCTCGGCTATGGGCCTAAATGCAGAGATGCCTTGAAGGTTGTAAAAGGGTTCAGCGAGAAGATTATTCAAGAAAGACGAAGAGAATTCCAGGAGAGAAACAACAACAAACAAGAGAACGAAAGGCCCGCGTTTCTGGACATTTTGCTGGGAATGGAATCAGCGAAATGCCTGACTGACGAGGACATCCGAGAAGAAGTGGACACGTTTATGTTTGAGGGGCATGACACAGTCAGCAATACTCTCTCCTTCTTGTTGTTTATGATCAGCGACCAGGCGAACTTGCATTTTCAGGACAAAATTTATGAGGAATTAAGGGAAATCTTTGGTGAGAACCTTGAGTTTGAATTTTTTCTACTATATTCTCACTGTAGAATTTAGAAAAAAACATTGTTTTCAGCCGACAATCCCGATCGTCATATAACCACAGCTGATCTGGGAAAGATGAAATATCTAGAACAATGCATAAAAGAGGGCATGAGAATGGCCCCAGTGGTCCCAATGATTGGGAGAATCGCTCTGGAAGACATCCCCATTGGAGATCTGGTCGTTCCAAAGGGAGTGGCCGTGCTGGTCACACCATTTTTAGTCCATAGAAATCGAACGGTAATCGTTTTCATTGGCTTTAAAAGCGAGGCGAAATGTCGCGAAATTATCGGCACTTTTTCTTGCCCGAAAAAATTGCTTTTTATCGGATAGTGACATTTCGTTTTGAACGAATCACCAAAAAGGGGCGGGAAATTTTTTCTTCTATTTTGCATTGACGTGGGCTGAATCAACTTGCATAAAAATGAGGTGCTCCAAGTTAATTTTCCATCTTCAAAAAAGCACTTCTTGTATCAGATCTATTACCATGACATTACCGCTATCTTTTCAGCTTTGGAAGAACCCCAATGAATTCGATCCGAGTCATTTTGATCCAGAAGAGTGCCGAAAGAGACATCCCTTCGCCTATATTCCATTCTCAGCCGGCGCTCGCAACTGCATTGGTCAAAAGTTTGCAATGAACCAACTGAAAGTGGTCCTAGCCCATCTCTTTCGAAGATTCAAATTTATCGGTGCTGTCCATGAAGTCGAGAACCGAGGGTTGCCAGAATTGGTGATGAAGCCGAACAAAGGATGTGTTCTCAGGGTCGAGGTTGTGAATTGAGTTGCAATAATATAATGTATGAAATTAGTTGTTGATCTGCATAGGCAATATTGTTTAATAAATATATTTCCCACATAGACAAATAGATAGCTTTGTTCTGTGCATTCCTCTTTTCCTTGTATTTCTCGCGAGTCTTTGGCAATGACTCGTCACTTTTGCTTTCTAACCTTTTTTGAAAATGTCTTTGGAAGGACTTCCCGATGATTTCGTCTTATCAACTCTTCGAACGTCTGAATGTTTCCAAAGAGTAAAAAATGGAAAGAAAATCGTGAACGTAAGCTAACACATCTTAAATTGTCAAAATTACAGACTAATCCAAGGGCTGCGTTGGCCTATATACTAAATTTCATGGAGTCTAGCCATTTTATTTCTGTGCTCGAATTTTTGGCCTTCGCTCCAAAAGCTAAAAATTGTTTTCCAGGTGTCTCCAAGTGTCCTCTCCAAAGACGGCTACTTATCCATCGTCTATCTCGTCGAAGTCATCTTCAACGATGACTCCAAATTCTCTTGCATTCTCAAGATCCCGTCGGCTAAAAGGTACATTGAAGCGATGGGCCAGGATGAAAAGAATGCCAATTTGGCTCCATTAGAGACATTGCACAACCGTGAATGCCAAGCATTCGAAATCCTGAGACAATGCAATACCACTGCGCCAAAACTTTATGCCTCGAAACAAGTCGTTGATGTCGCCAAGGACTCCGGATACGTTTTAATGGAGAGTTTTGTGGATAATGCGGCAGTGTTTGGGATTTTCACCGCTCCCACTGAAGAGCAGTGCATCAATGTTGCACATAATTTGGGTAAATTGAGAGCCGAGGTGGCCAAGGTTCCACTTGAAAGTTATAGTATGTGGAATGAGCCTTTTCGAGTGGAACAGGACATGTTGACGGTGTTGATGCAAAAGCATATTCCGGCGTTGATAAAACATGACAAAGGTGAGGGTGATTTAAGTGACAGGGCATCATCGTTCCTTTTCAGAAACTTTTGGACCGTTAACCGAGGAATTGGAGCCATTTACAAACAGAAAAACCTTCTCATATCTGATGAAAGGTCATGCTGAGAAATTAGGTAAGGCTCCCATCAGAATACGAAATGATTTTCTAGGAGTTCAATCACTCACCCACGGTGATCTCCATGGTGGAAATATGATCGTGAAACTAAATCCAGATGGCTCCCGGTCCAATGAAATCGCTTCTTTCATCGATTGGCAGACTAGCTTCTGCGGAAATTCCTTATACGATTTGACTACATTCCTATCCTTTGCTGATGCTAAAACTAGACACAAAATGGAAAAAATTGTCCTTGACGAGTACTACAACACTTACCTGGAGCATTGTCAAAGTCCCGACCCGAATTTCAGCCGAGAAATCTGTCAAGAACTTTATGATATTGCCCTGATGATGAGTGGAATTGAATGGCAACATTGGTTTGGAATTTTAACTGATAATTCAGGAAATATGAACGAGGATGACATGAAAGAACTCAAGGAAAAGTTGGCTGTGCAGACACGAGACGTTATACAGGATGCAATCCGATTGATTAGGAAATATGATTTACAAAGTCTTATAAATAACGCCTGAATGGCTTTTTATTGACTATCTAAACTATTGCGGAACAACAAATCCAATATCAAATATTCTCTCTGTCTAGACCTCAAATCCATGGCTCTTCATCCATTCGTCATCGACCACTCTGCTCAAGGTATTTCTTATTCCATCAGGGAGGATCGTGACCACTCTTGAATCAGCGCCCAACTTCTTTGCCACAGTCAGAGCCGCCCAGACATTAGCTCCTGCGGATCCACCAACCAGCAGACCCTCTTCTTTGATGAGTCGACGGGCCATTGTGAAGGCGTCCTGATCTTTTACCGTAATCCAGCCATCAATAATGTTGCTCTTCATGACTGCCGGAATGAAATCTTGACCAATTCCTTCCACCAAATAAGGCTTCGCTTCCTTGGGACCATCGGCGATAGCAGATCCGACTGGGTCAACTCCATAGATCTAAAGGCGAACAATTTAATCATCTATATTAACTTACCATGCAATTGGGTAAATCCTCGCGGACTCTTCTTGCCACGCCCGTCAAAGTTCCGCCAGTTCCAGCTCCAATAACAATCGCATCAATAGTTTCGTCACATTGTTCAAACATTTCTATTCCAGTTCCTTCATAATGGGCCAATGGGTTTGCTTCGTTTCGGTACTAAAAAATATTAATTATAAAACAAAAACGATTAAAATGCAAATCGAAAAAACCAGTCCAAATCTCCTACCTGATCGAGATGAACCGCGTCTGGCAAAGTCTTTTGCAGTCTCAGAACCACCGCATGTGGAGACATGGGATCGGTATACGGTAAGTCCGGAGGAGTCCGCACAACATACGCCCCAAGACTTTTGAGGATCTGCTCCTTCTCCGTGGATTGCTTTTCTGTCATCACAATTACACACTTGTATCCTTTGACTGCCGCAACCAACGCAAGGCCAATTCCAGTGTTGCCGGCACTGGATTCAACAATGGTCATTCCGGGCTTCAGAACTCCTTCCTTCTCGGCCTTTTCAACCATCTTCAAAGCCATTCGGTCTTTCACGGATCCTCCAGGGTTCATGTACTCGCATTTCACCACTGAAAAACAAAAATTTTAAATAAAGTTCTGACGGATCGAGTGCAATATAAAAAAATCACTTACAAACTTCAGCGGTAATTCCGTCCTTTATGGGGATTCTTTTCAACTTGATCAATGGAGTATTTCCGATGGCTTCAAGAATAGATTGACAAATAACTTTCTTTGCAATTCGAGTTCCATTCCATGGAAGTGGGACCCTTTGCCACTCAAATTCAGGTGCTTGGTCGGGGCTATAAACATAATATTATTGAACAATAATTGGGGGATGACTTACGTTGGGACAGTTCCATCCGGTGGTGGAATATCTATTTTCTGATTATTCGCACTCAAAGCCGTCTCCATGAATTTGGTGATACCATCCGGCAAGATCATCACACATTTTTCGCCTTCGTTCATGGTCTTGGCCACTTGAATCGCAGCAGCGAGAACTACACCGCCTTTCGGGCCACAGAGAATTCCTTCAACATGATGTAGCTTGGCCATCGTTTTTTGACCAACTTCTTTTTCTATTGAGATCTGAAACAACAACAATTCAATCGTGCCTCTTTCGGACACTTACTGTTTGGTCCATTGAGCCTTCAAAGGGAATTGTAGTCAACTTATCCACTGAATACTCTGGGAGATCTTTTGCGGCAATGATTTTGCAGTTCGGTGCCTCCTTTTTTAATCGTTTAGACACTCCCAAAACAGTTCCGCCAGAGTTCAAAGAGACTACAACAGCATCCACATTGCTGCCAAACACCCGAAGAATACCAGCGGCTGTGGTTTCGTAATGAGCCATGGGGTTGGCGCAATCTCGGTGCTAAAGCATTTTAAAAAAAGGAAAAATAATCATCTCCATTCACTTACCGGCCATAAAACGATTGAATTCTCTTGCTGTTTCGCCAGCTCATAGGACTTTCCAACAAAGCCTTCGGGACTCTCTGGATCGGCGTTGTTATCGGCCTTGACGACCTCTGCGCCAAGCGCTTTCAGAATCTTCTCTCGATTCTTGTCTTGATCGTCAGGCATCACTGTGATCAGTTTGTATCCCTTTGGAGCTACAGCCAAAGCAGTGCTGATTCCAGTGTTTCCTAAAAATGATTCAAGGCACATACAGAATGTCCTACCAGTCGAAGGTTCAATGATGGTAACGCCTTCTTTCAACTGCCCGGCTTCCTCGGCAAGCTCAATCATCCGTAAAGCCACACGGTCCTTGGTGGTGCCGCCGCCGCTGAGAAACTCGCATTTTGCATCTGAAAGCAGCGAAGAATTTTATTTGGATTGCTGTAATTCTTATAACTTTTTGAATCTCCACTTACAAAGTTCGCATTTCAACCCGTATTCCTTGGCGATCTTGTTCAGCCGTACAATCGGAGTACGGCCGATTGTTCCCAGTACAGACCCACAGATCTTTTGGTTCACGGGCCTGTAACAGGACAAATGTTACGACTGGTTCACTTACGCTCCGTTTTTGAACTTATGAGCGCCCCGCTCGTCCTGCACATAGTCGTCGTGCCACTCGATTTTACTGGTCGGAATAGGCATCCTCCACAATTAGCAGTAGCGAAAAGCAAGTGTTTGAGGTGAGGAAAATATAAAGCTCAGCCAAGCTTCGATTGCTCCAAAAAGCGAAATGAAGTCAATCAAGGTTTCTAATATGCAAATTTTTGAGTTATGATAATTTATCGTTGGCCAAATTTTATTGAAATTTTTGAAAAATAATTTGGTGTTGTAAGTTCTGCATAATGTGACCAGTTTTTTTACTGTAATATTGCGTCTGACGCAATAACGATGATTGTATCTCCTGCATAAAATACAATCGTTTCTACTTTGGCAATACGTCAAAGTACATAGCAGAGATCTTAACTCACGGAAAGTAAAGACGCTGTAACGGCGAATTACCGATGATTTTTCTAACTCTCAGCTCCATCTGATTGACAAGTTGACGTTGAGAGCGTTTTTAAAATTACATTTAAAGAGGGTGTCATCGCTGGAGAGTTGAAGAATTTTGTGTTCTTTGATGATGGTCGTCGATGATCTAACCGATGAGTTGGTGCTGTCTTTTATTCAGGATTCAAAACATTTTCGAGAGTTAGAAAAAGACAAGAAAGTTTCGAAGGTACGAATAAGTTTATTATGGGCAGGTTTAAGGCAAAGGCGATATCCCAGGGGATGGTGAAGCATTGCTTTGTGGCGGTCTTGGGTATGCCAAGGCTCATCGTCAGCCTGGCCTTCTCTCTTCTTTTGTGAGACATTTTCTGGGTATCCACCGACAAACAAAGGGCCAGTCGAGCTGTTACTGATCCGAAATCTTATGACCCAAATTGTCGAAATATGTCTTTTTTCCGCTTTTCCAAAAATTTTTCTTCCCTTAATCCATAATTCAATCTGTCCATGGTTCCAACTTATTCCACGTTTCCAGATCACAACCACTGTTCTATCCGAAGAAGGCTACCTCTCAGTCGTCTATAATGCCGTCATTACCTTCTCTGACGAGACTCAATTCTCTTTTATCATCAAACGCATCTCCGTCGCCCGATATCTCAAATCCTTTTCTCTGGCTGAAGAGAAATCAAATTTGGAGTTACTGGCCAATTATCACAATCGAGAATGCCAAGTCTACGAGTTGCTGAGTAAAACAAGCACTGTTGCTCCGCGGCTCTACGCGGCAAAGCCCGCGATTGATGTCAGCAAAGATCCAGGCTATATTCTGATGGAAAGTTTCGTCGGCAGAGCATCAGTTTTGGGGGTGTTTACAGCGACTACAGATCAACACTGTCTCAACGTTGCTCGACAATTGGGGAAACTAAGAGCCGAAGTGGCTGCAGTTCCATTTGAAGAATACAGTGACTGGAATGATCCGTTCCGAATAGACGCGGATATGGTTCAATCCCTGTTGGACCAGCATTTACAAAGTTTGTTGGACTATGACAACGGTGGGTGACTATCAAAGTCTAAATTTATCCCTTATCAAAACAAATGAAAAACTCCGAATGCGACACTATGCTTTTATATAAACTTCTTCAGAGCTATTTGCCCCTTTGGTTGAGAAGTTGAAGCCCTACGCTAACAGAAACTCTTATAACTACTTATTAAAGACTCGCGCAGTGGAACTAGGTAAGTTGATGAACATTTCGACAAACATGTTGCAGGTGTTGCATCATTAACCCATGCTGATCTCCATGGGAGCAACATGATTGCGAAACTTCAACCAGATGGCACTCCGTCCAATGAAATTGTCGCTTTCATCGACTGGCAGACCAGTTTCTGCGGCAACTCTTTATTTGATTTGGCTCGTTTCCTCTCCTTCTCTGATGCCGACACAAGGCGAAGGGTTGAGCAGGATGCGTTGGATGAGTATTACAATACTTACCTGGAATTTACAAAAAAACCAAACCCCAAGTTCACTCGTGAAGTTTGCCAAGAACTGTACGATCTTGGCCTGTTAATGGAGGCTTTAGAATGGCAGAATTTGTTCGGAATAGTTTTCCAGAACTTTACTTGCAATAATGAGAAAGAAAAGGAGGCATTCAAGGCCAGGATGGCAGTGAAAGCGAGGTTTACAATGGAAGATGGCATCCAAGCGATCGAAAAGTACAACCTGAAGGACAGGCTGGCAAATCTTCAAAATGGATACCAATAGATCATAGAGGTGACTTCGGATTTCTTTATTGATATAGTCAGAGGAGATATCCTAAACTTTAAAAAAATCGACAGGCTTACTTCGAGTACATCCCCTATATTTTTTTTACTATTCATAATGTCATTGTTATACAAAATAAATTTTGTTCGTATTTGTAATACATTATTCGATTACAAAAAACAAGAGCAAAGAACGGACTCCATAGACAGCAGATTTTTTTTTTTGAAAATTCCGAATCAGGAGCGACTATGTAGACTTTTTCAAAAGTAGTATGTGTCTACTTGACTGATGGTTGCGTGCGATTGACGAGAAAAAATTGAGTTTTGAGACTTTACGCCAATTAGAGACTCAGTCAAAACGAATCAAAATTGCCGTTATAAAAAGGGAGGGTCGATCCTTTTCAACTGGAAGTTGTATCTGTTCATTGTGTTAAAGCATTTTGCAATTGTGCTCTTCGCTAGCCAAAAAAACTTTACGTTTGGTAAAATCTAGCACAGCAATAAGTTTTGGAGCCGCCTAAGTGCAATGGTTGTTGTCGATGAGGAATATGCATTGTCAGTGATCAGGAAGTCAAAGAATTTTCAGAAATTTGAGGAGGGCAAGAAAGTGAAAAGTGTAGGGAGATTTAACTCTGCAGTAGAATTGTCAGTCAACTTCTGTATAAGCTATGAATCATCACTTCTTCAGGTGTCCATCAGGGTCCTTTCCGATGACCAAGGATACGTTGCCGTTGTCCATCACGCTATTGTGCACTTTGAATGTGGCACAGACTTCTCTTTCATCATCAAAGCTCCTTCTCTGGAGCGTTGCGTGGATACCTTTGCCTTGGATAATGATGACCCGAACAGTTTAACATTGGTTCACAATCGAGAATGCGAAGTGTACGAATTCTTAGACAAATGCAATGTCCTTGCTCCAAAACTTTACGACATGCGGCTAGCAACGGATTTAGTTAAAGATCCGGGGTACATCTTGATGGAAAGTTTTGTGGGAAGAGGTGTTGTCCTTGGGCTAAGGCATCAAGTTTCCTCAAAACAAGTCATCAATGTGGCTCATCATTTGGGAAAAATGAGAGCTGAAGTTGGCAAAATCAAAGACGTGAAACCGTGGAACGATCCGTTCAGAGTTGAGGGCACCTTGGTGGATGAGTTGTTTGACAAGGAAAGTACTTTTATGGGGGCTCCTACTTTTTGACGGGACATATCTCAAAAAATCAGAAAAAATGTGCTGATCAAGAATATATAGATCTTAGCTGCCCATTTTAGGTTTTTAGGGGTGAAAACTCAGTCGGAAGTTGACTTAAAGTCCTATATGAACCCCTTTTCGCTTAATTTTTTCAAAGGTTTACAATTTTTATTTTGGCTTAAAATGGTGTTTATTGAGTTTCTAAGACGTAATATGACAGTCTTGGCCCAAAAATTTATTTTTCCGACCTTCATCTTCAAAAAAAGTTGATTCAGCCCAAAAGGGAAATCGAACCCGTGCGGCGTCCTCCCTCTTGATTCCCAGACTACGGCACTAACCACTCGGCCACACCGCTCTCTTCCGAAGGAAGAGATCGAGTGCTCTTTTTATCGTTTCGAATGTCTGCCTTTTGTAGGGAAATTAAACCAGTTTTTGGGCATTTTCACCCTTAAAAACCTAAAATGGGCAGCTAAGATTTATATATCCTTGATCAGCGCATTTTTTCTGATTTTTTGAGATATGTCCCGTCAAAAAGTAGGAGCCCCCATAAAAGTACTTTCCTTGTGAAAAGAACATTCCTTTTTTGTCGGAATACGATAAAAGTAAGGTGCTTAGATTGGATCTATAACACTGTTCTTCAAGGGACTTTTGGACCGCTGGTTGATCAATTAAAGCCGTTTACGAATAAAAAGTTCTTTGGGTATCTGCAGAAAGGCCGTGCTGAAGAACTCGGTAAGTCATTTCCTTCTACTAGTCAATAAGAGACAAACAAAAAAATCGCCATATTCTTTGCTAAATTTGTAGTTGAACAACATAGGCACTTCCAGGTGTAGCGACGCTAACACACGCTGATCTCCACAGTGGCAATGTCATGACCAAGCCAAATCCGGATGGCAGCCCTTCCGATGAGGTCGCGACCTTCTTCGACTGGCAACTCGGTTTCTTTGGCAACGCTTTGTTTGATCTTGCCAGATTCGCTTGTGTTTCTGCGGATGCGGATATACGACGAGGGATTGAAGATGTCGCCCTGGACGAGTATTACGACGCTTATATCAAACATAGTGAGAGACCCGATCCGAAGTTCACACGAGACGTTTGCCAAGAACTCTACGATCTGGGAATTGTAATGGAAGCGCTGGAATTTCAATTCCTGTTCCATCTTGTGTCCGGAAACTTGAATCCACGGAATGATCGCCATCTCGAGAGTCTACTGGCCAGATTTGCCCTGAGGGCACGACTAACAATGGAAGATGGGATCCGCGCAATCGAAAAGTACAAACTCTTAGATGTCGCAAAAAATAAGTGTTTGAAAACTGTGTAACTTTATATGCATATAATTAGTAAATACAGTGTTCCTAGTGTTTCGAGTTAGCTTCAAAAGATATTGAATATGAAAGACAACGCATCAAATTGCCAAAATGTATCAATCTTTGAGATGTACAGAAACCACGTCGCGTTTAGCGTGGTTGTTTTTTAGTAGCACAGCACAGCGCAAATAATTTCAACATAGTTTATCGTTAACTTCGATTTCCAGTCGCACAGCAAGTGATCTGCATCGACTGGAACGAAACTACATCACGTTGTAAAGCGGAGACTGAAGAAACTTATCAGAATTGCGTGAATTTTTTGACAGTCGATAGGCGTTTGCTCGGGTAAAGTTAACGTTAAAAGTCTTGATTTTGTGAACTTTTACTGATTGGATTAACCGGGCTTTTATTGGTCCTTTTGTTATTACTTTAAACCACGTCAGTGTTTTGATTTTGGGGTTATGGTAAAAATGGTGAAAGGTGGCTTAACAGAAGACTATGTTCTGTCATTGCTGAGAAGATCGTCTCATTTTGCCGAATTGGAAAAGGAAAAACGAGTCGAGAAGGTAACATTTGCAACTATGAGCTTATATAAAACAGTCACATTGATCTGCTAACTTGGGAACGATACGGTATACAATTTTGCAGACGTCGGTAAACCCTCTGTCTCCGGAAGAGCTGGGGTATCTTTCCGTCATCTATCATTGCATTGTCCACTTCCACGACGGCTCGGATTTCTCATTTATTCTGAAGATGCCGTCGCTTCAACGATTCACGGAAGGAGTAGATTCCGATAGCCATGACGATTCAGCGGACCTCTTATTTTCTTGTCATAATCGGGAATGCCAGCTCTATGCACTGCTCAGTGACCTCGATGTTCTTACTCCAAAGTTGTATGGATTTAAGGTAGTCTCAATCAGTTAAGCGTAGTTACTGTCAGATATTTACAGACGGTAGAAAACCGTGTAAAGGACACTGGTTACATTTTGATGGAAAATTTCATCGGCAAAGCTGTTGTTTTGGGAGCAATGGGTCATGCAACCTCCAAGCAAATACTCAACGTTGCTAGCCATCTTGGCAAGTTTAGAGCGGAAATTGAGAAGCTGCCTAAAGAGGAATGGAGCTCGTTATGTGATCCATTCCGCCTCGAGATCGATCTTTTGACCGCAATGATGGGACCAAATATAGCACAATTGTTGGAATACGATTACGGTAAGACGCAATTGCCTCTTCGTCAAAAAAAGTCTCTACGTTTAGACACATTCCATCCACTGGTACAGAAATTAAAGCCATTTTCTTGCCAGCCCTTCTACGAATATCTACTAAAAGGAAGAGCGGTTGAACTTGGTAAGATGATTTTACAAACTCATACATATTTTTCCTGTTTCTACTAAACCAATTCTCATTTCAGGTGTTGAAAGCTTGGTTCATTCCGACACACATGGTGGCAATTTAATGTTCAAGACCAGCCCCGATGGCAGCATTTCCAACGAACTCGCCACTTTTCTCGACTGGCAATCGGGGTTCTCAGGCAATTCGCTCTTCGATTTGGCGCGGTTCTCTGTGGTCTCGGCTGACGTCGATGTCCGCCGAGGAGTTGAGGATGAGGCGGTTCAAATTTACTATGAAAATTATGCGAAGCACGCCAAGAATCCCAATCCGAAATTTACAAAGGCTGTCTGCCAAGAACTTTACGATCTTGGAGTGCTGATGGAAGCTATTGAATGGCAGATTTTGTTTGGGGTCTTTGCTTGTAAACCAAATGGACAAAAGGAAAGAAGTTTCGAGGCATCCAGAGCTCAAATGGCGCTGCGCGCGAAGCTTTGTATGGAGGATGGGATTCGACTAATCGAAAAGTATCGAGCGCATGAGATATTGGAGAAGTTGCAGAAATAAATTTATTGCAAAACGTAAAAATATTTACTCACGATTAAAAGACAATAACAGCCCTCAGATAATTAAAATCACTAAGTCCCGACCTTAGTGTAATTGGATTAACCTATAACAGTAAGTAGTTCCTGTTATAAGTTCGAACTCTGTGTTAACATTAAAGGCGCATTACACTTATATCCTTTGTCAACAATGTCTCATCAGTAATGTAACTGATTGTTTTTTGCAAAATAAATATCGTTAACCTTCAACCCAAGACAAACGGTGACTGCCTCGAGGAAAGGCGCACCTAAAACCCATCGGGTTTCGCCTTCAGGCAACGCTTTCATTCGGAGCGCACAGATGTTTGAATCAATGTGATCTCTCATTGTATAGAACATAGATTCAATCGAAACTAGGCCGCCATTAATGTAAAATACGATAGGTTGTCCGAGGAAGCGGTAGTTGCAATTGATGATGACGTCACCATCTGGAGACGTCTCGGACTCAGATAGAGATGTGGTCATGATTTTTATCAGTTCTTGGGGAACATGCAGGTAAGGCGTAGTGGACGAAAGAATTGCCTCAAAGGTGGGAAAAAAGGCGGAAGATGTGAACTCCTGGTATGCAGCGTATTGCACTTGGAATTGCCAAAAATGCCCTTCGTTCGGTGTGATGTCAGCAATGGCGCGAATGTTCTCCATTTGCGGTCCTCCCGCCACACTGTTGGCCGTTTCGCACGCATCTCTTTTATGCTCACTAAATCACGAGGGATAAGTGAATCTGAGATCATTTCAATTTTTATGGCTTCTTTCAAACCACTATTTGCAATCCATGCTAAAATATACCTACACTTCATCAATGTGAACGTGTGTCACTAAGCAAAAGTAATCGCTGTTCGAAAATAAAGACGTCAGACGGGAAGTCAGGTTGAAGTTGGTATTGAAGCCAATCCGTCCCTTTGTCGCCTTTTGGTTTAGATTCGTTATCGCTGACGGCGAATCAGCTTCTAGGACAATCGGAACACGATATGCTTTTCCAGACTAAATAAAACATTGAAGAAAAACAAAATTTTCATATAAGACCATACGCAATAATAAGCAAACAGTAATAAAACCGCTTACATTTGTGTCATTCAAGATCCACACCTTCCCGGGAAACCCGTCCTTTAGCGCTCCCTATTCTACCATCGTATCGAATCTCAAAAGTCTCATCAGTTCCCAAAAATCTGGGATCTGTTATATTCGTATCGCTCACCACATCCCCACAATTAACACAACCTTGTGACGATATAAACCAATCTTCATCTGACATAAGGTCCAGAAAGCCGTCAAAGAAGATCCCATTTAGAGCGACAAACCGAGTGTGGACTACCGAATCATACTGGCTTATCTTATGATCCGGGATTTTCAATTTCCCATTGGCAGAAATGCAAAGGCAAAAGAAGAGACATACCCAATACGACATGCGGAAATGAAAAAATAAACTATGTGATTTGAGGCTGGTCTTGTTTTGTTTTATCAGTTTCGCGGCTTACGCTACATAAGGCGCTTCGCGAAGGATGTTTTAACACTCATAGAGCTTTTAGGAGAAACAAATATCTTATTTTTGCTATCGACCTGGCTTCATTTCGATTTTAAGAGTGTTCGGACTAATCCAGCCATCTGGCCAGCTCATGGGCCAACCATTCAAAGGTTACGTAAATTGAAAAAAAATGATCCAAAATTAGTTGTCACAAAAAGAAAGAAAAACAATACATACAGTGAGGGACCTGATCCAGTGGCAAAAAAACGTATCATTTTGCATCCGGGAAGTATCAGAAATGTGGCAAAATGCCTCCCTCTCCAACCAAAAAAAACTCCGTTTTGAATTGCGCGGCCTTTCTTTCACAGAGTGGGCGTGCTTTTGAAATCGGAGTTTTTTCACTTGGAGAGGGAGGTATTTTGCTGCATTTATGATACTTCCCGGATGCAAAATGGTACGTTTTTGGCCAAGGGATCAGGTCCGCCACTGCGTATACGTTACTTTTCACAATGTTGTTTGTTACTAATGCTTTCTTTCCATATTTACAAATAAAATCATTTTCGCTAAAATAAACTCGACCCTCTAGTCTCTCAGTCAATGTTTGAACTTATTCGTTTACTCAGTATTCTCATACATAAAAAACGGAATTTCGAAAGAGTCAAAAGCAAAAGGAGCCAAGGTAGAGGGAGGGGAACAAACAACTGGAAATATCCCTCCACCAGATCTTACAATCCCAAGTTTCTGGGTTTTATTTTGGTTTATTATGATTGATTTAATTGGGGCAATATCATCGCCACGAACCTTTTGGTTTTTATAACGTTTTTTTCGTTTCAGTGAGAGGGTTTTTATTCCAAGGTCAGTTCGGAGTGTCCGTCAAATCGAATTCAAAAGAAAAATTTATGTTTTGGTTAGTTTTGACAAGGTGTTTTTCGAGGTTAAACAATGTTGTAATGAGTTAAAAAGTATCTGAAATAATGCTGCGACGGCTATAACAAGGCGATCAGAGATGCGGATCAAATACAACGCATTGTTTATTTACGCCTTGTTCGATAAAATCTTTATGCGATGCCTTTCTTCTACATCCAATACCTCTCCAGATTCCCATTTAATTTTTCCATAACCCTAAACAAAACCCCTTTCCGGATTTGCAGCTTCTTTTATGTGACAAAAGTCCCCCTTTCCCTCCAATTTCCCCCCTCTTTCCCCAGTTTTCACAGGAAGAAAACAGGAACATGTTGGTGTTCCATCGTATCTTTTTATACTAGTTTTTATGCTTCATGCCCGTGAGGTGACTGATTGAAAGGTGGAGTGTACTCTTCCAACTGGGCCAAAGGGCAGGGAATTTCGAAAGCGGACGTTATAACGTCCTCTCGGTCTTAAAATATTTTCTGATTCATGAAATCTCGTTAACTACTTGTCTTTTCTATACAACCAACTTAGTTGTTAGCTCAAAATCTTTTGCAACAAAGAAAACCCGCGTAATCATCCCATAAATCAGGGAAATCCTCCATTTGCTACCCATCCTTACCATGCCAATTACATTGTAATTGGATTTCCATACCTCGACGTTAGCCGATCGCCGACGACCGGTTGGGAAACTAAGATCCAGCTGTTCCCCTCCAAACCTTGTCAGTGGGCATTCGGCATTCGGTTCCGGTGCGAAAACAATTTTTCGGCGAGCGCGTTCTTCCGAACTTGAATTTGGTGAGGGCGCAGCTTGCCGAAAATCTTTCTCGAGAAGTTTTACATTTTTACCTCTGTGAGATTCATTTTTGTCATTAGGTTCTACAGCTTCCGGCTACATAACTCCTCATGGTTGACTCGACAGGGGTCCGTGTGGCCATCCGGTAGGTTCTTTTCTATAAAATTTTCAAATACAGTTTCACTACAACCTTCCAAACATAAGTTTTCCGTAATATTTTAGTGTTCGACCACAAAATGGACGAGAAACCGCGGCTGGCTACCAAATTTGCACGATGGTTTCCATGACCGATCCTCAGATATTCATGGGAAACGACAAATCTTTTACCTATGATTTTGTTTTTGACCGCAATTCAACGCAAGAACAAGTTTACCAAGCATGCATTCGAGATCTAGTTGAAGGAGTTTTCAAAGGCTATAATGCAACTATTTTAGCCTACGGACAGGTATGGATTCAGTGTTGTGTTATGCTTTTAGATTTATTTGTGGATTTTATGAATATTTGCAGACTGGAAGCGGGAAAACTCATACGATGGGAACCGCATTTGATGCTGTTTCTGCCTCGGTCGATTCTGAGCATGCTGGAGTTATTCCTCGAGCGGCTCAACAACTGTTCGATGGAATGGAAAGCCGGAGGAAGCATGCTACCGAAGCTGGCGATCCTGAACCAACGTTTACAATAAGAGTCCAGTTTATTGAGGTGAGTTGGATGATGATTTATTTGTTTAGGTTTCAATCATATTCCTTTAACATCAAGTTTTTTAGCTTTACAATGAGGATTTAATTGATCTCTTATCGCCGGATCGCCATTCCGGAGTTAAGATTCATGAAGATCGAGATTCTGGGCAAATCGTTCTCCAAAACGCGACCACCATGCAAACCAATACTCCTATAGGGATCCTGGAGATCCTTCGGAATGGCGCCCTCAATCGAAAAGTTGCATCAACGAATATGAATAAAGAATCGTCGAGGTCGCACGCTATTTTTAGCGTTCACATTCAACAAGATTGTCTTGAAGTAAGTTAGCTACGGTTTTTAGTTTATTACTTGGCTTCTAGACGATTCATACAGAAAATGGCGAAGAAAAATTGGCTAGTGTGATTTCTGCGAAATTGCATTTTGTCGATTTGGCTGGATCAGAACGTTTGAAAAGAACGGGAGCTACAGGAGAACGAGCGAAAGAAGGAATCTGCATTAATTGCGGTTTGGTAAGTCATTTAGGGTTTGTTTGTCTGTTTTCTAGACAACAATCATCTATTTCGAATGTTTCAGCTGGCTCTTGGTAATGTGATCAACGCTTTGACCGATCCGAAGAAAGGCCATGTTCCTTACCGTGATTCCAAACTGACCCGACTTCTCCAAGATTCTCTCGGTGGAAACTCAAGGACACTTATGATTGCATGCGCATCCCCTAACGATGTGGACTTTGCTGAGACGTTAAACACTTTGAATTACGCCTCTCGAACGAAAGCGATCAAGAATAAGGTCGTTGCCAATAAAGATCATGGCTCAGCTATGGTTGGTCAATTGCGGGCCAAGATCATCGCTCTCGAGAACGAACTGAATGAGTATAGATCTGTAAGTCTGCTTTCTAAACAGTTTTTTTCCTTTGTTAGCAGAAAATATTCAACTTTCTTTTAGGGGAAACGTGTTGCTGGTGGAGACGCCGATGACAACGGGATCTCCGATCAATACTATGAGAATGTCCATCTACAGGCAGAGCTGCAACGAGTGACTGTCCGCGCACAAGCTCTTCAGGAGTCCAATAACGCCCTAACTGAGCGGGTCACTCGAATGAAGGAGCAGATGGAGAAGGAAAAGTTGATGAAGCTGGTACCAACAGTTAACGACGACGGCACCATCAATGAACACGAACAAAACAACTTTGAAGCTACGTTGTCCACAATTATCGAGACCTATGTTTCCGAAATTGAGCAGCTGAAGTCAAGACTTGGTGAAGAAATGAGTGAGAAAGATGAGTACAGAAAGAAATTGGAGAACTTGAAACGCCGAGTAATGGACGGAGAGATCCATCATACATCTATCGACTCTATCCCGATGAGTCCCATGATCGAGAATCAATTGATTACGTCGGCCAGAAAGGAGATTGAAGATCAAAAGAAATTACTTGAAAGTGAGGCATTATTTTACATTTTTGTGTTATACATATATTTTTTTTCATTTTCAGTATACAAAGAAAGAGCAGAGAAGGAAGGAGTTCCATTTGAGAATTCGGAAATGGACGACGAACCCATGGATTACGATCGTGAGTCGACCCCTGAAGAAGGAACTTCCGAAGTCGATGAGCTTGATGAGGAGGCCATTGAAAGTCGCGGAAATCACGCCAAGCTTTGTCTGGAAGTGGCCGACCTTCAAAATGAAATTGGAACAAAGGAAAAGCTGATCAAGGAGCTTGAACTGGCTGAAAGACGACTTGCCCAGGTCAGAAAGGACTACGAGAGGAAGTTGAATGAACTTTCGGACAGGATCGCGGCAACAGAAGCGGAAAGAGACAAGATTTTAATGGATATCTCGAAGAAACCGGCAAACAAAGCCTCAGAGGCCAAGGTTGCGGAGGTCAAGAAGGATTATGAAATGAGATTGAACAGTATGAAGGGAGAGTTTAGCAAGTTGAAGATGGCTCAACGAGAACATGAACGACTACGGCAAAGACAACTGCAACAGCAACGGGATCTGGAAAGAACAAAGAACGAACTCCAAGAAATGAAGAGAAGTAAGGTGAAGTTGGTCCAACAAATGAGAGAGGAAGCGAAGAGAGTGAAGAAGGCCGAAGCAGAGGCTGCAAAGAAGATCGCAGCAATGGAGAAGGCCAACAGAGTTAAGGAAAATAAATTGAGAAACTTGGAGGTCAAGGATCGCCAACGGGAAGAATTCATGAGAAGAAAGATGGAACAACTCAACACTCTGACCTCAAAACAAAGAACGCCGTTGTCGTCCAACATGAACAGACAGCGTTATGGCCTCTTGTCCAAAAAACCCTTCTCTCCCAGCGTGGCCAAGAACAAGTGGCGGCAATTGGAATCCAAAATTAATTCGGCGGTCTCCGAACATGCTGGATTGGTAAAACTGGATGGCCAGCATACTAGGCTGCTTGTAGAAAAGGGAAATAAAGAGAACATACTCAAAGACTTAGTAAGGAAAACATTTTAAAAGCGGTGTTTGAATTTTAGAAATTAATATGTTGCGTAAAAATAATTAATTTGTTTCAGAGCAACAAATTTGTCAAAGCTCGGACTATTGAAGAGAGAGAGTCCATCCAGGAACAAATGAACATTGAAGAAGACCACCTGAACTATATTAATGAACAGATCAAAGATGTACGGGCAGCCATGGTCGATCTAGAAGGGGTAGATAAAGAAAACGGTTCCAACTGCCAAGGAGACTTGAGAACGGTTATAAACCAATGCGAGAATCTTCTTGAGGCTAGGTTCTTGTTGGATGAAATGGCGACATTCGCTGTTGCAAGCGCTGCTGCATGGGAGAAATCAAAGGTTAAGATCAGAGTAAGTAAATTTATTTTTCTTTAAAAGTTTGGACGAAGCTCTAAATTAGATTTTAACTTATTGCAGGAGATGGAAGCCAAGCTTGCCGAGATGGAGGATGGTAAAATGGAGAGTGACAGATTGGTTAACAATCTTATTTTGTCTCAAACTCGACATCCTGAAGACCTGGAAAGAGACCTCTCCGATTTCAATGACACCCCAAAACGCACTTCGGGTATGTTACTAATTGTCTTTTTGTCCACATAAGAAAGTTTTGAATTTAGTTTTTATTTTGTTTTGGTTGATTACGTTTCATGTTTTCTCAATGTTGTTTAGTTGTCCGCCAATCCCTGAAGGCTCGACGACGAACACAAACAACGGACGAACTGTTGTACGCGGATAGGACGCTTAAAATGGATCAGACCGTGTGCTTGGGCCAAGGTATTGTTTAGTGCGTCTTGTTGTCTCATGTCACACCCAATGTCTCATTCTCCCTGCTTTGTCTACAATTATGTTGATATTAATTTTGTTGCGTAAACTTTTTGTACATTGTCGTTGTTCTTTTGCTTGCTTTTTTTCGATTCTCAGTATTGTCACATCTCCGATTAACTGTTGTTCAACTCGTTGTAGGTGGTTTGCAAACGACGATAATAAGAGAAGAGCCCGATGAACGATCCTCGCCGGAGTCCGTCACAGACAACGGAGACATTGCTTATGCGCAAAGCACGAGCAAAATTCAGAACGTTGGTGTCCTCGCCGGTCACACAAGAACCGTGGTCTCCGTGGATTTGTGCTCCACGCATGGAGTATCAGCGGGGAAAGGTGAGAAAACTTTGATTGTTTTGTTTTGCCGAAATATGTGATGGGTTAGTTTATGACTATTCGGATTTCAGATCGAAAGTTCTTCTATTGGGACATTGAGACGGCGAAGGCCATCCTCACGATGAACGATTTCCCCAAGCCGATGGGCGGCTGCAGATTCATGCCTTGTAATTCGAGCCTCGTCTTGTGCGCTGCGTCGTTTACTATCCAGGTATGGGATGTGAGAAGCAATGTGATCGCGTCGTATATGAATTCGTCCGGCATCGATGGGAAAGGTGGCTTCACAATCCCCGGAAAGCCACCAAGAGGAGAATCGTTTATTACGCCTCTTGGAATCAGCGAATGTGGAAATTATATGGCCACTACGTTCCATTCTGGCGCCAGAATATGGGATTTAAGGACGCAACGATGTATTAGCTTGTACAATGAGATCAATAAGGAGTAAGTGCAGTAGTCTGTCGATTTATAACTTAACTTTCAGTCGTTACGTTTCGGACATGCTTCCATTTGTAAGTGAGAACTACTCGTATCTCTTGGTTGGCGACACGGAAGGCAACATCATCTCCAATGTTTTGGATGCGGACTTGAAGAAGAAACAATATGAACCCATTGATCTTCATCCACAGATGCATGGCCGTGTTGTGAAAATGGTGACGAGCCAAAGTCAACTCTACGCGATCTCTAAACATGGAGTATGTTTGGTTTAAATTTTACATTGATTCTTTAAATGTAGAGTCATTTCTCTTTGTTTTTAGGACTTTTGGAGTTTCCATCTCGGGGATCTCACCCGCGATCGGGTATGCCCTTCAGCACATGACGATGTAAATGTCGGCGATATGTGCCTTATCAAGAATCACAGCCACAACGGAGAGCTTCTGGCCACAGCCGACTACTCTGGCGGAATTAGGATATGGTCGACAGAGAACACATCCTCCTTCAAACTGCTCGACGAACATGTTGGCGCTCACAACGCCACCATCAACGAGATAGCCAGCTCGGACCGGGGAATTCTTGCAACTGCAGCCGATGAGACCGTCAAATTGTGGAGGCCAGAATTATGACAGAAGATAAAGAAGCCTGAATGTATCATAGAATTCTTGTATAGTTACCTTTTTAGCTGTTAATCAGTTTTTTTCACTTTCTCAGAGATTACGTGTTAAATCATCGTTTTTGACTGTTGTGTTTTTGAATCTTTTAGTGTTCTTTTTCGTAATACGAGTCTTTATTTTCTCTCAAGATTCCTATCGATGGTATCGTTAGCTTGCTCATTGAAACTTATTCTGCATCATCAAACACCCCGATTCCACTTGTTCCGGCCTTAATTTATTCCTGATGCCTTTTCACTTTGCCTTTCACGGCATTCATTCCTTTTCATTATGCAAATTTGGTATTTTATTAAAGATTCTAATATTTTTTAATGTGTGTGTGATTTGAGTTTGGATCTACGAATATCTGATCTTGTTGAGTTGATTTATGAAATGTGAAAACAGTTGACCTTTATTTGTTTTTACAAGTGGGAGACAAGAGCAATGTGATGTTGACAAATCGGAACATTGAAATTTACAAAATAAGCATTAAAGAACAATATGAGACACAAGTTTAGAAATGAAATAAAACTAAAGTTGATATTATCAGCGTATATCATTAACAGCTTTCAAGAAATGAAACCAAACGTTCAGCTTTATAGTGCGGTCCGGGTAGTTCGCAGTGAGCGGTCAACCCGGAAAGGTGAGCGATCAATTCAAAGAAGAATCGTTTTTGGTCAAAATTCGACTCGAAGAAATTGATAATCAGAGAACTGATCAGAAATCGAGCCGCGGATCATATTTGAATACTGCAGTGCTAATCGTAGCCATGGAAATGAATTTGAATACTGCGGTAAATGGATGGAGCCAGCTTTTGCGCCACCTCATCCGCGCTCTCGCGGATTGCCGCGGAATTGACCGCTCAAAGAGCAGGGTACGGTATTCGGAGGTTGTTTTATAGCGTATGCACTGGGAGGCTCCGCCCACTTTATAAACCCCATTCCCTTCAGTGTTGGACTTTTGGCTTGGTCCAGCAACGTTGCTGTTTATCGCTAATTCTGGTGTTAATAATATTTGCTAATGCTGCGACGCACTGTTTTAGTTTTAGTCGGTGTGCGTTTTGTTTTTGCGTTTTATGGCACTCAAGGCACTGTTATGTTAGATTATGTTTCAGCACTGGCCACCTCTGAAGTTCGCAGTCAGCCTTCATGTCCCGGGACAAGAAGGCAGATCTCGAGGACCTCAAGCAAGAGGTCCCAATAACACAACATAAAGTCCCATTGGATGAACTGATTGCAGAGCTCGAGACCGATCGAGAAAATGTATGTAATACGCGGTGTAAAAAAAGTTTTGGGAGGATTGTAGTACGGTTTTTTCACTTACTTTTTTCAGGGTTTGACGACAGCAAAGGCAGAAGAACTCCTTCTTCGTGATGGACCAAATGCCTTGTCTCCGCCACGCACAACTCCTGAATGGATCAAGTTCTGCAAGAACCTGTTTGGCGGGTTTGCCATGCTCTTGTGGATCGGTGCTGTTCTCTGTTACATCGCCTTCACTGTCGACTACTTCACTGTGGAACATCCCGCCTTTGACAACCTCTACTTGGGCCTTGTGCTGATGTGTGTTGTGATCATTACTGGTGTCTTCCAATATTACCAAGAGAACAAATCCTCGAAGATCATGGAGTCGTTTAAGTCAATGGTCCCAACGTATGCCAGTGTAACTCGTGATGGAGAAAAGACAAAGATCCCCACGGAGAAGTTGGTCGTTGGAGACATTGTCGAAGTGCACAGTGGAGATCGCGTGCCCGCCGATATTCGTATTCTCCATGCCACCGGGTTCAAGGTGGATAATTCGTCGTTGACTGGGGAATCCGAGCCCCAATCTCGTTCTCCCGAATGCACGAACGAGAATCCTTTGGAAACAAAGAACATTGCCTTCTTCTCCACCAATGCTGTTGAAGGCGCAGCCACCGGCGTTGTGATTGGCACTGGAGATCGTACCGTCATGGGTAGAATTGCCCATTTAGCCGCTGATTTGGAGGCTGGAATGACCCCAATTGCACGAGAGATTGAGCATTTTATACACATCATTACTGGAGTTGCCTTCTTCTGTGGAATCACATTTTTCATCATTTCACTTGCCATGGGATATCACTGGTTGACCGCCGTTGTCTTCTTGATTGGCATTATTGTTGCCAATGTTCCGGAAGGTAAGAGAGGCAGAAAGATTTTCCTTGCAATAGAGTGATAAGTTGAAAACTAAATAATTCATGTTTTACAGGTCTCATTGCCACTGTTACCGTATGCTTGACGTTGACGGCCAAACGCATGGCTTCAAAGAACTGTTTGGTCAAGAACTTAGAAGCTGTCGAGACTCTCGGCTCCACTTCCACCATCTGCTCTGATAAGACTGGTACCCTCACCCAGAACCGCATGACCGTCGCCCACACCTGGTTCGATCAGACCATTTCCGCCTGTGATACCAACGAGGACTACACTGGAGGGGAAAACAAACACCGCAACGAAAGTGAAATGGCCCTTCTGCGGGTTGCAGCATTGTGCAATCGAGCAGAATTCAAGGCGGGCCAATCGGATATCCCAATTCTGAAACGGGATTGTACCGGCGATGCCTCCGAGATTGCTCTACTCAAATACAGCGAACAACAAATTGGGAATGTGATTCAATACCGAAGGAAGAACCCAAAGATTGCAGAGATTCCGTTTAATTCTACCAATAAGTTTCAAATCTCCATCCATGAAGTTGACGACGGGCATCCAGGTTATCTTCTGGTAATGAAAGGAGCACCAGAAAGAGTACTAGACTGTTGCGCAACCATTTTGCTGAAAGGCGAAGAGAAGCCCCTAGATCAGCATCTTCGTCATCATTTCAACGAGGCTTATCTGGAACTTGGTGGATTGGGAGAACGTGTTCTTGGATTTTGCGATTTCAGACTGGACGCCGAGAAGTTCCCTAAAGGTTTCTCGTTTGATACAGAAGAAATAAACTTCCCCATGGATGGTTTCCGATTTGTTGGTCTCATGTCCATGATCGATCCTCCTCGTGCTGCAGTCCCAGACGCCGTTGCCAAATGCCGATCGGCTGGAATTAAAGTAAATCGTTTTTATTCGTTTGATAGTTCTGAATTTAGGTTGTGATGGTCACTGGAGATCACCCAATTACCGCCAAGGCAATTGCGAAGACTGTCGGAATCATCTCCAGCAACGCTATTGAGGATGGGCAGAGTCCCAATCATTCGAAGAGAGACGAGAGTAGCAAGAATGAGAGTTCTGAAGAGAAGAAGCGTAGACCGAGATCGGCTGTCCTCCATGGATCCGAGCTTCGTGGAATGACTCCCGAAGAACTCGATGCGTTCATTCGAGAGCATGACGAGATTGTCTTTGCTCGAACATCTCCACAACAAAAATTAATGATTGTTGAAGGCTTCCAACGTCAGGGCCAGATTGTCGCTGTGACTGGTGACGGTGTGAATGATTCCCCGGCGTTGAAGAAAGGTAGGTGTAATCAGTTAAACATATAAAGATGATCCGGTTAATTTTTTTGTCTTGGAAAAATCCCGATTTCTTGGCTCGAGAGCTTTCAAGGAATGTCATATTCTTGACTCAAGTTGCGTAACATTGCACAATATTTCAAATCTTCCACTTTTAGCCGATATTGGAGTTGCCATGGGTATCACTGGGTCCGATGTCTCCAAGCAAGCCGCTGACATGATTCTCCTTGATGACAACTTCGCTTCAATTGTTGTTGGTGTTGAAGAAGGGCGCCTCATTTTCGACAATCTCAAAAAGTCCATTGCATACACCTTGACATCAAATATTCCGGAGGTGTCGCCTTTCTTGACCTACATTCTCTTCGGTATTCCTCTTCCTTTGGGTACGATCACCATCTTGTGTATTGATTTGGGTACTGACATGGTCCCTGCCATCTCTCTGGCCTACGAAGAAGCTGAATCCGACATCATGAAGCGTAGTCCTCGTGATCCACAACACGACAAACTCGTCAACGAACGTTTGATTTCGTTGGCCTACGGTCAAATTGGAATGATACAAGCACTGGCTGGATTCTTTACTTATTTCTGGATCATGGCCGACAACGGATTTAAACCAGACAGATTATACGGACTGCGGGCGGAGTGGGATTCGTTGGCTGTAAATAATTTGAGAGACAGTTATGGTCAAGAATGGGTGAGTCTCTCCTTCTTTTTTTTTATTATGCGTTTAGGCGTATCATGATCGCAAAGTCTTGGAATACACTTGCCAGACCGCCTACTTTGTGGCCATTGTGATTGTGCAATGGGCCGATCTGATCATCTCTAAGACCCGGCGCAACTCCTTAGTTCAACAGGGAATGACCAACTGGGCCCTAAACTTTGGACTAGTCTTTGAAACCGCCTTGGCTGCCTTCCTCTGTTACTGTCCCGGCCTGGACAAGGGACTTCACATGTACGGCCTTCGTTTTGGATGGTGGTTCCCAGCTCTCCCCTTCGCTGTCATCATCTTCCTCTACGATGAATTCCGCCGTTTCCTCATCCGGCGAAACCCTGGTGGATGGGTCGAACGCGAGACTTACTACTAGATATATATCTGTAAGCATTTACTTTACTACTATCACTTCTTCTAATTCCTAAATTCATATCTATACTTGCCGGTAAATAAATTTCTAACTATTTTGACGATTGTTTATTTTTTATTATACCTTTTCCCCTTTCCAACGGTTTAGATTTTATTTTTATTTTTGATGTAGGGTCATTTGGCCCACGTTTCTTTCGTTTTTCGCAAGCGGCACAAAAAGGATGGCTTTAGTTGAATCATAGAAAATACGTCACAGGAATAGGTGCCGGTTTTTATTTTTCACAATCAGATTTCTTTTCGGATAGTTGAAATGTATCGCTCTTATAAATTTTCTTCGTTTTGTCATCAGTAGATTTGTTTGTTAGGTTGCCGGGCTTAATCTTTTTGTACATCTAAACAGCCAGGGCATCTGGCTGATGACGACAACAAACCCTCATTCAATTTCTCTTTCGAATTCTTTTGAGAAAACCGGGGCCCGTTGGCCTCGGTTAACCCGGACAGATCCAAGAGTATGGGGCCCACAGATCAAAACGAACTGGGGACCTGGTCTCACTCGGCTCTTCCATACAGTCGAGCAGCAGTTTGCAAGTGCTTTTGGGACCCGGCTGTCGATTCTTTCTTTCGTCACCCTTTCTCTCATTCGAAATTCCGTCTCTCTGGCCTTTTCTCGGGGTTTTGCGTTGGGCAAAGTCTGTCAAAGCGGCCCCGGAAACCCGGCGGCCCGATGTTTTTTCTGAATTTCGGGCCAAGCGTTCCGAATTCTTACTCGTCCACATCAGTTTCAGTCTTATCGGACAAATTTTTTGTGTGGTTTTGCCGATAGGTCGGAGCAATTATGAAGCCAATTTCTGGTCTTAAAGCCTTATTTTTTCCCCGAGTTACGTAAAGTTTCTCCGTTTCTACTCTCCTTTCGCGCCTTGTTATTCAACGTCTGACCTGGCTTGAAAAGAATATTTGCTCAATTTCTTATCGGCTTCTCCTTCTTCAGTCGCTTCCATCGAACTTTAATCTTCGTTTACATACCGTTTGCGAATGGCTTTTGAAGAAAATTTTACTAGGCCAAGCTGGAAAGCTACTGACTTGTTCAAGTGATGGTTTCTTATCTTTTATGAGGCAATTCATTTGGCCACAAATATAATGTTGTCCAGATTTTACCCAGCTCTATTCCCACTGTCCCCCGATTCCTTAACGAAGAGAACAAACAATTTTGGGACGGCCCAGAGATCGAAGCAAAAAAAGATGAAGCCATTTCCCTCACTCCACCTTGGCTGTCTAGGAACTCCGGGGCGCGTAAAGGCCAGGCCCCGGCTGCCAGGACTCGGCTCCTTTCTTTCCCCGTCCCCTGTTCTTCTCATTCCCATTGCGTTGGGATTCACTTACTGTGTGAGACTGTCCTAAAATTACAAAAAATTTTTCAACGGCTGTTTGCCCAAATTAGACGTTTTCTTTCCGGAATGTTGATAATTTCTGTTATTGTTTTCATCGCCCGTCACAACTGTTTTTCGAATTGGAGAAGAAACGAACCGGGCACCATTTTTTGACAGTCTGTCTCGCCAAGCGCATACATGTGCGATGAGTCGCCTCGCTGTTTTTGAAGGCCTTTTTGGAAATGACTTTTGAAAAATAATGTTTTTACCCATTAAAAAAGGTTTCCGGGATTCATAGGTGCTTTAGACGTCGTTTAAGTAATTTTTTCTGTCTTATAGAAGCCGGCGAGCATCAATAGCATCCTCGGCCTCTCCGAACATGGCCAAGAACAAGAAGGGAGAGCTTGATGATCTCAAGCAGGAGGTCAAGATGGATGAACATCAGATCCCGATCGACCAACTCGTTGCTCGTCTCGGTACTGACCTGGAAAATGTGAGAGACGGCAGATAATCATGTTCAATTCATGTGGCTGATTTAATAAATATTATTTTAGGGTCTGACCACAGCTAAGGTCGAAGAAGTGTTGGCCAGAGATGGACCAAACGCCCTTTCTCCACCCAAGACTACTCCAGAATGGATCAAGTTCTGTAAGAACTTGTTCGGAGGTTTTGCCATGCTGCTGTGGGTTGGTGCCGTCCTTTGCTACATCGCTTTTGCCGTCGACTACTTCAGTATGGAGCATCCCGCCTTCGACAACTTATATCTTGGCCTGGTCTTGATGAGTGTCGTCATCATCACCGGTTGTTTCCAATACTACCAAGAAAGCAAGTCCTCCAAGATTATGGAATCCTTCAAGTCCATGGTCCCAACCTTTGCTTTGGCCTACCGTAACGGCGAGAAGGTCCAAGTTCCGACCGAAAAGCTGGTGGTTGGTGATGTCGTTGAGGTCCGTGGTGGTGACCGTGTCCCTGCCGATATCCGTGTCATCTACGCCATGGGATTCAAGGTGGACAACGCGTCGTTGACTGGTGAATCTGAGCCCCAATCTCGTTCTCCCGAATGCACCAACGAGAATCCTCTGGAGACCAAGAACATTGCCTTCTTCTCCACCAATGCTGTTGAAGGTACCGCCAAGGGTATTGTAATCTACACTGGTGACCGAACCGTCATGGGAAGAATTGCTCATTTGGCCGCTGATTTGGACGCTGGAATGACCCCGATTGCCCGTGAAATTGAGCATTTTATCCATTTGATTACTGGTGTCGCTGTCTTCCTGGGTGTCTCCTTCTTCATCATCGCCTTCGCCTTGGGCTACCATTGGCTTACCGCCGTTGTCTTCTTGATTGGTATCATTGTCGCTAACGTACCTGAAGGTAGGTATAATTTTATTTATCTAGGCGTTCAATTTAGATGCTATGATTATTATCAAATATTTGTGTTTAGGTCTTATTGCCACTGTCACCGTCTGTTTGACCTTGACTGCCAAACGTATGGCCGCAAAGAACTGTTTGGTCAAGAACTTGGAAGCCGTCGAGACCCTCGGCTCCACTTCCACCATTTGCTCTGATAAGACTGGTACCCTCACCCAGAACCGCATGACCGTCGCCCACACCTGGTTCGACCAGACAATTGCCAACTGCGATACGACTGAGAACTACGTCGGCGGAGAAAGCAAACAACGCGGCGAGACCGAGAAGGCTTTGCTCCGAGTTGCCGCCCTCTGTAACCGCGCCGAATTTAAGCCTGGCCAGACGGATGTCCCAATCCTCAGACGTGATTGCACTGGTGACGCCTCTGAGATTGCTCTCCTGAAATTCACCGAACTCCAACTCGGAAAGATCACCCAATACAGACAGAAGAACCCCAAGATTGCTGAGATTCCATTCAACTCGACGAACAAATTCCAAGTCTCCGTCCATGAGACTGATGACGGACATCCTGGATATCTTCTGGTCATGAAAGGAGCCCCAGAAAGAATCCTCGACCGTTGTTCCACCATTTTGCTTAAGGGTGAAGAGAAGCCCTTGGATGAACATCTTCGTCATCACTTCAATGATGCTTACTTGGATCTTGGCGGACTTGGCGAACGTGTTCTGGGTTTCTGCGACTTCAGACTGGACGTTGACAAGTTCCCTAAGGGCTTCAAGTTCGATGTTGAAGAGGTCAACTTCCCAATCACTGGACTCAGATTCGTTGGTCTCATGTCCATGATTGATCCTCCCCGTGCTGCTGTCCCAGATGCCGTTGCCAAGTGCAGATCTGCCGGTATTAAGGTAAGATTACTTTTAATGAGATGTTTAATGCACAACAAATATTATTATCTGGTTGTTTTCAGGTTGTCATGGTCACTGGTGACCATCCTATTACCGCTAAAGCCATTGCCAAATCCGTCGGAATCATCTCGGAGAACTCCGAAACCGTCGAAGACATTGCCATGCGCAAGGGCGTTCCAGTCGAACATGTTCATCCCACTGAAGCCAAGGCCGCCGTCCTTCACGGATCGGATCTTCGTGAGATGACCTCCGATCAATTGGACGAGTTCATTGCCCACCACAACGAAATTGTGTTTGCCCGAACATCTCCTCAACAAAAGCTGATGATTGTTGAAGGTTTCCAACGTCAAGGCCAGATTGTCGCTGTCACTGGTGACGGTGTGAATGACTCCCCAGCTCTCAAGAAAGGTAAGGAATTTTTTTTACGATTGGGATTCTTCTTTTCCAAATTCATTGCTCTCTTCAATTCCCCTTTTCCTTTTTCGCACAGATGCGACAGTTTGTCGCGGGTGCGACATCGCGACATCCGAATTCAGTCTTGAGCTCACAATCTGTGCACTGTGCACTTTTTCAACTCGAAGAGGGAGTGTGTGCGCAGTGATTACGGAAGAGAAAAAGAGTGTTTGCATGCACAGTGCGATTGCATTGAGAGTTCGTTTTGCGAAATGGAGATTTGGGTGAACAATGCTTTGCGACAGATTGTCGCGCTAGCGACAAGCATTTTTGGCGCAAATCAGCGGCAGGATTGCATTCTCGCGTTTGTCGCGGTTTCCCTTTCTGTCGCAACAGTTGTTTTGGTTTCAAAAATTGCACTGTGCATGTTTTCAACCCGAAGAGTGAGTGTGTGCCCGATGATGACAGAAGAGAAAAAGAGTTATCAATCGCACGGTGCGGTTGAGAGTTCACTTGGAAAAGGAAAATTTCCCGATTTTTTGCACAGTGCGAAATTTCAAAAGAAAAAATCAGCAAAAATGGGGTGCAGAACTGGAAATGCAGACTTCAAATCTTACATTTTTAGCCGATATTGGAGTTGCCATGGGTATCACTGGATCCGATGTCTCCAAGCAAGCCGCTGACATGATTCTTCTTGATGACAACTTCGCTTCCATCGTTGTCGGTGTTGAAGAAGGTCGTCTTATTTTCGACAATCTCAAGAAGTCGATTGCTTACACCCTCACCTCCAACATCCCTGAGATTTCGCCTTTCTTGACCTACATTCTCTTCGGTATTCCTCTTCCTTTGGGTACGATCACCATCTTGTGTATTGATTTGGGTACTGACATGGTCCCTGCCATCTCTCTGGCCTACGAAGAAGCTGAATCCGACATCATGAAGCGTAGTCCTCGTGATCCACAACACGACAAACTTGTCAACGAGCGTTTGATTTCGTTGGCCTACGGTCAAATTGGTATGATTCAAGCTTCGGCTGGTTTCTTCACCTATTTCTGGATCATGGCTGACAATGGATTTATGCCATCCAGGCTCTACCAACTCCGTTCGGAATGGGACTCCATGGCTGTCAACAATGTTCAAGACAGTTATGGACAAGAATGGGTATGCTTTCGGTTATGTGAAGTGGTTTATGTTCTGCTCAACATTCAGAGATTGAATAAAAATAATGTGTTTTTATTTTAGGCCTACCAAGACCGTAAGATCCTGGAGTACACCTGCCAGACCGCTTACTTCGTCGCCATTGTCATTGTGCAATGGGCCGATCTGATCATCTCCAAGACCCGCCGTAACTCCTTGGTACAACAGGGAATGTCCAACTGGACGATGAACTTTGGTTTGGTCTTCGAAACCGCTTTGGCTGCCTTCCTCTGCTACTGTCCCGGCCTTGACAAGGGTCTTCGCATGTACGGCCTCCGTTTCAGCTGGTGGTTCCCAGCTCTTCCATTCTCCATCGTCATCTTCATCTACGATGAAGTCCGTCGTTTCTTGATCCGTCGCTATCCTGGTGGATGGGTCGAACGCGAGACCTACTACTAAGCTTATTCTCCTCTAAACTACTCCTATAACATTCTATTTTTCCATATTTAGTTGTTGCTAATCGCACTTACTTTAATGCAGTAGACAACCCAATAAAATTTTTGTAAGGAAGTTAACGGAATTGTGAAAATGATACAGCTTCAAACAGAAATGAAAATACTTTTAATTCTTGGACCAAAAACAAGGGAATTCAATCATCATTAATCAACTTTTATTAAGCATGGATAACAGTTTTGTGACATTTGGAAGATGATGTTCATGATAAAGCCGTTATTGCAGAGTAATCTCTATCTTTACACAAACTATTATACTTAAACAAACCACTTTAAAAGTAGCTAAATTAAAAGAATGCTAGCCTATACCTGTAGGCCAGAAATCCTGATATTAATATTATTAATAAAAGATCCCGTGAACGTGATTAAAATAATTTTTGGACAATGAGCAGAGAAGTGAAACAAATAAATAAGAGAGCAACAATTTAATGGCAGGACGAGGAAAATTTGAATATGGGCAAAGATGGCAGTTCTACTTCAGCCAAGAGCAAACATCTTTAAACAAAAGTTACACAAATGAAAGACTTTAAACTACACAATAATAACAAAAATTTTTCACCTGAATTGTCATTCTTGTACTGATTGCAAAGAGATATTGGTGATATATACATCAGGAGCTGGAGGAACTCCTCGTACACGTGGACTCTGCGTCATCGCCTGTTACTGCCCGTGAGCATTTCTCAAAATACTCGATTAACTCATCTTTGTAATCTGTTTTCAGCTTCTTGTAGGGATAAACGTATACGTGCTCATCGCTAGAAAAGATTTATCAATAACTGGATAAGGGGCTTACTATTCAACGGCAAAATTCATATTCTTCAGAGTTCCATTTGTACTCGTTCTTGTGCTGACCGGCCCGAGGACTGTCACATTTCTCTGAAAAGGTTTTGCTATAGGTTTTATTACAAAATCTTGCTAAAAACCCCTCTTCTAACAATCCATACCTTCATTTTAGATCGATACAGCTGGATCTCCCGCTTTGGCAGGTTGTCTTCGGGCTCATACGTGTCTCTACAAGATCATTATCATTGGTTGTGTCTAAATCTCGAAACCTTCTAATATTGGAAAGACTTACTGCCACCGGACTTTGTATAGCCTGATCTTCTTGCCCTTTTCTTCCACAATTTTTGGCCCGTCTACCACCTTCTTTATCTCGTATATCGTATGTAGTGCTTGCTTGGCCATATCTGCAAAGTAAAAAAGTTATTTGTAATGACAGTTAACGGTAGGGTAAAGGGAAATCACGATCATAGCAATTGAAAAAACAGAATATACTCTAAAGGAGGCGTTAGCACTTTCTGTTTATTAATATTTGCCATCAAGCCTTTAAAAACAAGCCGTCACTGTGCCATTTGGTGCCCTTGAGAGAAAGGAGCCGGGCAACTGCATCAACAAGATCGTCAAAACAATAAATACGAGCTCGCCCCAAATTGGGTCAATAAAGCTCATCCACATATCCTTTCGACCCTACTTTAAAAAGCAAATTGAAGAGAAACATCTGAAAAAAGAATGAAACCTTTAGGAACAGACAGTCCCCGCGGCTCCCGTAAACAGTCTATTACCAGGAGGGAAATAGGAAAAATTCAATTGAAAAAAAAACAACAACACTTGGGAACCCGGGCTCTTTTCCCGGTTCGGTTTCCGAGCGTTTCTGAGACGCAAGCCCCCCTTCCCACCCTTGGTCTTCCAGTGGTCTTCGATGCGCTCACCCGCGCTTTTCGCTAGCGTCCTGGCTCTTTTTTTTCTGCCATCGCCTTTTGCTTTTTTATTAGTAAGCCGGTTTGAATTCGGCTATAATATTTGGCCTTCAAATTACTTTTCGTTCGAAGTTGTTTATGAGCATTGCACCTTTGCTGACTTGAAGCTTCCGAACTACCAAATAAAAGCCAATAAATGGTCTTTTTTCTCTCATTTCGCTGTTTAAAGATGATTTTTAGACATTTTGATGCAAAACCTCTTCATTAATGTCATCCATTTTTGATACTCAACAGTCTTTTGTATTGTCTTTTGTATTGCACTTTATTTCAGCTAGAAATAGACAGCCTTGAACATTGGTCTAAACATCATTATTGGTGGTCGACTTTCGACACAGTTCAGTGAAACTTCAAGAAGCATAAACACAAACATTTAAAAACAACATATACAATCAAGCAGAAATCAACATTTTGCTCAACATCAAACAAAGACTTAAGCAAGGAACAGTACAATTTTTATACTTTCGGAACATTCACAAGAGCAATAGATTTTGTCCGCAACTCCGAATTACAACTCTCGGCATGTGTAGTAACATTAAGCATTATTCTTGACGAGAAATTGTTATGAAGAAAGAACCGGGTGTAAACCTGTTCGTGCAAAAACAACGATTTTTGAAATCTGTTTCTCCGATTGGGTATTTACAAAACAAAATGTAATCTATATCAACGACAGATTCATCTTGTTACACTAACGGTCAACACAGATGAACAGTATAAAAGGGCTTCCGAAACTTAATCGAAACACAGTCAAGTAAACTGTAATCATCATGTTCTTCAAAACTACTGTCTTATTGGTTGTGTTCATCGTCGCTGTTCGAGCTGACATTTACGATGAGTTACTCCCGCAAGTTGGGAAGATCTTAGAAGGGAGTCTTATTCCTGGCAAGACCGGAAGATTGTGTACGTGTGAAGAGCAATCGGAATGCTTTGCCGCGATGAAGGCGCAAAGTGTTGCATGTGCTGATTCTTGTTGGGAACATTTAAAGAGTAGATTCCCAAAGCCCGAGGAGGTCAAGAAGTGTTTGATGGAGAATGACGTTGAGATTGGAATCGCCATGGATTGTTTCGAACATGACATGAACACGTAAGTCGACTAATAACAAGTATAGTTAGCGCTATCAGGAGGTTATTTGACAACCGTTATAGAGTAATGAACATCATTTCAGATGCCAAAAATCCTTAACAGAAGAACAGGTTCCCGCCCGAGACATTGAGAAAATGTTAAACCTAATTCTGTTCTATCTGAAGGAGAACGCAAACAAGACTGCTCAACCTTTCTCGACCCCTATTCAACGGTTGATCGGAACCTCTGAGCAGTATGCCACTTGCGTCAAGGACTGCATGCTTGAGAAGAACAAGCCCAACGGATTCTGCTTCGATCAGAAGAAATGCCAGCTCAAACTGTCGGCCCATGAAGTCAAGAACTCGATTAGAACGTGTACCGAGGCTCAAGAGTGGAGACGCCACATTGGAGAGACATGTAAATGCATGGCTGATGCGGGAGTGACGTAAGTCTTTCAATCCTTGCCATGATCTAATGTCATCCGTTTTAGTGAGCTGACAAAACTGTGCCCATTGCTCAGCGCAATGGCTGGAAAGCCCAAACCCGAATAAGTGACGGTAAATGTAATCAAATTTTGAATATCATGTGTACCTGTGCTGCTCTTAAATTAGTATGAATAAAGTTTTGTTTTGACAGTTGCATTTTTGGCTTAAATTTTGGCAAGAAGCTTCAAGATGCATAAACTGTTTGCCAAAGGCTACGGCATAGCACCGAGCTTGAGATAATCGACAAAATGAAGTTTTCATATTGCCTGATTTGTTTTGGAATTCGGTGTGAGCAGAGATCATATGGGATTCATAAAATTTAACGAAATTTTCCAGCTCCAAAGCACCCTCGTATTGCTCGTTCCTCTCACTACGTAGTTCTGGAAATTGGCATCGGATTTTGTGCGGTTTCCTTTTTTCGACAGCCAAACCAACAGCAAAATGGCTGATTACATATGCAAATCCGGCGATTTGACAGTGCGGGAACCTTCCTGAAATATGAGAGGTCAGTCGCTGGCCTTCGATCCCCCATCATCACAGCAAACTCGGGGTTTACATAGAGTCGATACTCAACTGCGGGTTTGGAAAACAGCTCGGTCCGTTTTTTTCTGAATATTAACTAAGTTTGAACCACAGGGTTCTGCGGATTCAATTGGCTTGAAGCGACCGTGAGAACCTGGCTTATTATTTTATACTTTCGCTAACTACCGTATACCAGAACAACATATTCTGAGTGTGTGCGCGACATGTCAGAAAAACGGTAAGATGTAAGGGTTAATAGGATCTCGAGACTTTGTAGAGGTTCTTTTTTGCAGTCTTAACTGCCTGAGTCTATTGAATGAGTGGTATTTTACTATTGTCAATTATGTCTATTTAACTTCGAATGGATATTATAAATATGTTCCAAAAGTCAATAACGATCTTGACTGTTAGCGAATCGAAACTTGATCTTCTCAACCAAATTGCTCAATTTTGTGTTATCATCTTTCATAAATAGATTTCCAAATCTCTACGACCCGAGCGCAACCTGTCCTTTACCATTTTTGTAAGTGCGGTTTGTACAGTGGTAACCTTCAAAGAAGTATTTTTTGAACGTCTCCATTGATTGAATTAATATTTGGTGCTTCAAATTATAACTTTCTGAGAATCGGTAATTTTCTCACCAAAAACAAAATATATACGTATAAACAGAAAAGGTCAGGATAAGTGTAGAGAACATTCCACACATATAAGGAAATTTTACCGCAGATAATAAACCAAAACAAAAATATAGAAGCTTTGGGGATACGCCATAAGTAATCAGACTGTCCACTCTCTTTAAATGTCATATATAAAGTTATCATGTTTTTGGGAGCAGTCATTTCCATCAATCAGTCCTCCTTCATTCTTTAGTTGTAAAGCAGACTGGCGGGACTTTGGTAGTGTCTTCTGTAGAAAGTTTACTTGCGGTTGATATTTATTATGTGGGAAGGTAAATAACTCCTAATTGGAGAGGAATGCCATTTTTGAAGCCGTACTTCCGAAGGCCTGTCGAATAAATCAAGCGGCTTGCATCAACCGTATTTCCTCATTGCAAACGCTGTTTCTGATGTCTTTTAATCCTACTGGAAACTTATAAGCGCCATTATCATCAATGTCACAGATTTCTCTTAAGCCTCAAGGACTGTATGGGTCTCGCTCTCCTCGCATGATCACTTGATTTAAATTCAAATCTCTCGCTTAATCGCAGAATGTCAACGTAAACATTGGATTATGTCACGGCATTCCAAAATTTCGATAATTTGGGGGGTAAAAGAGATCCTGCGCGCCCTTTCGTTTTCTTGATGACGTACAAAGTATTGCGGTCATTCGCATATACGGTTCTAGCGGGGACAAGAGAATGCGCAATTGTTGAGAGATCAAACGGCTCGGTGTAATAAAATTAACGGAAGTCATGGGTGGTTATTACCAAAACAAATGTAAAATGTTCCCTTTTGGACATTGTTTGAATTTCGCCTTTTGTTGCAAAACCATTTCAGATTGCTTTACGTCGAGCAAAAAAGCAATTTCGGCCAATAGCTTTTTTGTTCACGAATCACTCCTGTGACGCGATGCCGATTCATTGTCAAGACATTGTTTAGACGGCTGCAATTACTTCATCATGAAGATTAAAGTCTTATAGTTAGATCATTCCATCTTTTTTAAACCGGATCGCCGTTTTTTTGGGGTTTATACCCATCCAACGTCCATCTTCCATTTCTCGAGTCCGATCATATTTTTCGCTCTGAAGAAGTTAATCTTAATTGGCGTTAAATTTCCAAATGCCGCTTTGGGAAATGAAATCTGATTGGACTAGGATTAAGAGATTTAAAATTAGAAGTGTAATAAGAAGTAGTTGTAAATGTTAGAAAACATTGAGCGAATTCCCTTCTTGTTCTATCAGTATATATTTTTCAAAATGGGTCGTATCAAATTTTTGTTTTGTTATTGTTCATAACCGTCTAAACTTTCAGAAAAGGTATATTCGGCAAGGTCTTCATGAAAAGACGAGTTGAAGACAGCGATACCGGTGGGAACGTTCCGAATGGACAGGAAATGTAAGTTTACCCTGATGAACCCAAAATTCCCTCTCACTTTTACACTTCTTTTGTTGGTTGAAGCGGTTTCCAACGAAATTATCCCTCGAAAAATGTGAAATCCTCACAATTTTAATTGGTTGGGGCGAACAACAAATTAAACTGGAAAACATAATACGTAATGGTCTTCAACGTCCATTGCTTTCAATTTTGTCATCATACGCATAGCGAAAGAATGGGTCTTGACACGAGAATGAGCCGTGCATTTTTCATTTTTTAATTTCGACAAATTTTTGTCAAGCTCGAATTCTTACATCATTTTTACAGGAAGACGGTTCACAAGGACTCGATTTCATCCAGTGCTACCTCCACCAGCTCTCACGGTATGTATTAATTTGATTGTTATATTGTTTTAGATAACAATCAGGGATTTGCCTTATTTTTTGAAGGAATTTTATTTTACTGCGTGGATAGGTTAGCAAATAAGGGAGGAAGGACAGCTGACGTAATGGTGAAAGCCATTTGCAAAATGAGACTTTGGAGGGGAGTTAGTTTGCTTTATGACAGTTTTTGTGAGCAGTCAAAAGATTTATTCAAAACTGAAATTTCGTGTAATTGCTGGAAACATTCTATAATCCAACCTAATTACTTTTCTGTTTCCTTTTGTTTGCTATAGCTTAGAGACATAACAATTATGCTTTCCGCAATTATCTCGAGCCATCCAGAGCTTTCCGTACTTCTTTGCGCAAGAATTGGCGCGAAATTTCGAAGTCTGCCGTCTTTCGACATCCCAAACGACCAGCCGCGACCCAGAACAAGGCAGGTGTTGGCCGAGTTTATTTGAATATTTTTTGAACGTCTTATTTGTTTAGCGGTTTTAACAGGCTTCCCAGATGTTTTCCCTGTAATTTTAGCTACTATTGTTGGATAGGGGACATCATTTGGCTGATGTGTTTTGAGTTCAAGTTGATCGAAAAATGTAGGTATACCTGAAATCGGATCATACAGAGGCAATTGTTGAAATAGTCAGTTTGCTGTGCTGTTGAAAGGTTTCTAATTCTGTTGCTAGTCCCAAGGTTTGTATTCTTGAGCAAAGAACGCATCCATTCTGGCCGTATCCCTACTGGATTCGGCCATTTCTGCCAGAATTTTTTATTATTTTTGCAAACCATTTAGACGGAAATTTTGAAAACCCCACTTCTAATAGAGGACGGGGGTATTAATTTCTCCCCGAAAAAATCCAGATGTGGTGGCGAAATGAGGCCGAGTTAACCCGGTTTTTGCCCTTGTGTGCCTGTGCGGCCCGACGGAACGGAATGGACATTGCCGTTCGTCGAAATGAGAAATAGAGCCTCATTTCGACGTTTGCCCGTGCTCTCCGGCGCTTTTGTAGAAGTTTCGGGGCTCGCGGAGCGTTGTTTGCTTAGAATCAGGACCTTCTCTAAACTTTTGTCCAAATAGCCAACATTTTTGTGAATACCGCTTTACTGAACACTTTTTGGGCTGGGACAATGAAACATCGGAGGTCATGTTTTGAGCCGGGTTTAATGTAAGCTTGCCGAAGAAAGGACACACTTTGACCAATCTGTTATTTGTTTCTTTTTCCGGAAAGGTGTCAGTTGGGAAACGTTCCTTGGTTAAGTGATTTTTCCCAGACATCTTTCGCCTTCTCAGTGAGCTCTTAATTGAACGCTTTCATATTTTGAATGGAAATTAAAGATCCCTGGGGATTATAATTAATGTTGTTTTTGTCCTACCGCATTTGCCTTTGAGGGAAAGACCGGCAATGTAAGTAAAAAGGGTTCGTTGTTTAGAGCAATTGCCCGGCAAAACCGTTCTTATGCCGTTATGAAGGCAATTTGAATGCATGGAGATGGTAGTTGTACTCCCAGGAGTTCTCAGACTACATACCTATCACCACTTTCGATTTGGTTTTCTCATTGTTAGGCCTTGAAAATGCGGAAATTGCACTTTTTTAGGGCAGTGGTATATGATGTGCTCTTCTCTTTCGCTAGCTCAAAGAAACACGTAATATAGTTTCAAGGGTAATAAAGGGAATGGAGGTCATTTCTGACACCATCTGCTGTCGATTCGAACACATTCCACTTGGCGTTCCCATTCCAAAATATTCCCGAGATGATTTTCTCGAGGACATAAGCAGTTTTTTAAAATATGCGGCCGTTTTTATCTCTCTTCTCGGATTATTTATGGTAACATCGTCATTTTTGACGAACGTTTCTGAGATCCCGAGCAGCTGTTAAAGGTAATAATAGATTGGAAACGGAAAGGTTTATGGGACATCCTAACGTTCCTTTTCTTCTTTTGGCCATCCATGGATTACAAAGAGAGGAAATATTTTTTGCCATTTGGACGTGAAAGGGGACATTTGTCCGATATTGATGAATGTGAATGCCAATGTTTGTTACAGTGTTTGCAAATACAATGGCTCTATGTTTTCCTGACTTTTGAGAGGATGCGCGAGGAATGCGTTTATAGATCGCTGGAATGTACGGAATTAATTTTGGAGTATTTGGAAGGTTTTGATGAAATGAGCGGTCAAATTGGGCTCGCTCTGTCCTTTCCGGTCATACTTTTGGTCAATGTCATTTTTTGAAGGCATGACACTCTGGTTCTTGACAATTGCTACCTTGAGCTCGACTTTTGATTGTTGATGAAATGTTTCTGAAGGGTGGAGGGGGTGGGGGCTCTGATTTCCTTTGAGGTCATCGAGTTTTCTTTGTGTTACAATATGTCATTTTAATTTTCTTTCCTTAGTTCGCTTTTATCTAATCGTATTTTAGTCCGCTTTCCACTTTTAACCCTCTGTTGTTCATGGATTACGGAGCTTACTAAATGACGGGTCCAAGTCTCAGCACGCCAGATCTGGAGAACGGATATGGAGGCGAACAGAAGCGAATTCAAAAGGTCCCTTCATGTCATCGTATATTTCACGTGGAAAAAATAGGCGCATCAACGCAGTCAATCCCCTCCAAGGATGATCCCGACTCTACACCGTTATTGGACGACGCGCCGCCATTGGAACAGGAGAGAATTGGTGAGTTATCAAAGGAAAACTTTGTTTTGCGCTTTGCTTACATACTCTTGCATACTAAATAGTAAATATCGGAAGGCTGACCTGACTTTGAGCTTTCAACCGCGTATTCTGTGTTTGCAATCAGTTTTTATATGTTGCACTTAAAGAATTCGCCTTTATCAGTTGTCTGTCACACCAGAATTTGTCTTAAAATAATAGAATTATCAGCTCGGAACGATAAATTACTCACGAAAACGAACTTCGTAATACGGGGTTTACATTGATAAGACGATTACAAGCTAGTTTACATAAAAAAATGACGGGGAAACAGTTGATGTGGGAGTGCGGTTTTAGGGTTTGTAATGGAAAGACCTAGACTAACAAGTCGCGGCAGATTTCAATCATTATTGTTACTGAATTCAGATGATCATGGATTCGGATTTGGCTCCTTTCGGCATAAAGCCCGGGAGAATAACCTGGCGCTGTACGAGAATGAACCGCAGAGCAATTTTCTGAATGCATTGGTCGGTGGATACACGACTCCGGGTCCGCAAGAACGAGCAGCGAGCAAAAATGCCAAGGCTAAGGTAAGCTGTTGATTATGGTCAATGAGTTGGTCTTCTGTTAACATCGATTATCGTTTCTTCCAGGCCGATCTTGGTGTCATGTTGGGCGTATATCTCCCAACCATCCAACACATCTTGGGTGTTACAATGTTCATCCGTCTCGGCTGGTGTGTGGGAGTTGCCGGTGTAGGAGAGACCTTTGGAATGTTGTTCTTATGCTGCGTTTGTGTAAGTGACTACTCCATTGCATTGTGAATCCATCCATTTCAGACCTTTTTGACTTGCATAAGTTTATCCGCTGTCGCCACCAATGGCGTCATTGAAAGCGGAGGTGCCTATTTCATGATAAGTCGAAATCTCGGGCCAGAATTCGGAAGTTCAGTGGGAATCTTGTTTTATCTGGCAAATACAGTAGCCACAGCCATGTATCTGGTGGGTGGAGTTGAAATATTGTTGCTGTACATCTTCCCCGACCTTACCATTGGAGGCTCTGCTGTCCACACTGATACCGGTACGTCCTTCTGTTTTGTTTATGATTGCTTTTAGGGCCAATGGGAATGATGACGCATAATCTTCGACTTTATGGCACGATATTGGTTATTATCGAATTCTTGATCGTCGCCATGGGTGTGAAGTTTGTGCAATTACTAGCCCCCGTTTCCCTATTCTGTGTGATCTGCTCAATTCTTGCATGTTATGGTGGAGCCATCGAGAAGAGTCTCAGTCCCGATGCTGGTCAACGGTGAGCATCTATGAGACAACATTAATCTTTTTTTATTTCTTGTTTTAATACGGTCTTATTTCAGTGTCTGTATGATTGGGCCACATCTCCTTCAATCAAAGGCTTTTATGCCCGAAAACTCCACTCTGGCAGATGTCTGCAATTATTGTTCTCCAACGTAAGTGATATTTGTTTTATTTTTATCTTCCTTTAGGAATGAACTTCTCCTCAATAACTTGTGCCTCGGGTCTAATTTAACCAAAGCGTGTAAACATTCGTGGAACATATCGGAACTGGCGTGTGTGAACGGTTATCCCGGAGGGCACAGCACTCTAATCGACAATCTTGGGAGCACTTATCCACACGTCAATGAATACCTTCAGAATCAGGAAGCCGACACTACGGTGGAGATCTTCCAAGATGCAAAGACGTCATTCTTCCTCATCCTGGCGATCTACTTCCCTGCGGTCACTGGCATATTCACAGGAACAAACATGTCTGGCGATCTGAAGAACCCACAGAAATCCATCCCTGGTGGAACAATCGCCGCTCAGTTGACAACTTCCTTTGTTTACTTTTCGTTGGCCTTAGTGTTTGGATTCACAATTAATCCAGCATTACTCAGGGATAAGTATGGGCAGTCATTGAATGGTGGAATGGTTACTGCATATCTGGCATGGCCTTCGCCTTGGGTTCTCCTCATCGGGTCTTTCTTGTCAACGTTCGGAGCCGCTCTTCAGTGCCTTTGCAGTAAGTCCTTCCTTATTCTTATCGCAATTATGAATTCCGGAAAGGCTGTGTTTGTTTTATAGGTGCTCCTCGGCTTCTTCAATCGATTGCCAAGGATGATGTGATCCCGATCCTCGCTCCGTTTGCCAAGGTCACCAAATCCAACGAGCCCTTCAACGGCCTCATCATTACTACCATTATCGCCGAGCTTGGCATCTTGTTAGGTGCTATGGACTCTATCGCTGCTGTTGTCGACTTCTTTTTCTTGATGTGCTACGCCTTTGTGAACTTGATCTGCGCCATGCATTCAATTCTCGGAGCTCCCAACTGGCGTCCTCGTTACACATACTACCATTGGAGTCTGTCCTTGTTGGGTGCCGCTCTCTGTTTCTTCATTATGTTCTCTACTCACATCGAGTATGCCATTGCTTCGATTGTTCTTTGTTTGGCAATCTACAAGTATGTTGAGTACAAAGGAGCCAAGAAGGAATGGGGAGACGGGTTCAGAGGACTGGCCTTGAGTACCGCCCAGTACAGTATCCAAAAGATTGATGAGAACAAAAAGGACGCCAAGAACTGGAGACCACAATTGTTGTTGTTGCACTCGATGCCTTGGTCCAAGGAGATGTTGGATGTGAGATATCTGAACTTATTGAACCTGGCAGCCCAAATGAAGGCCGGAAAGGGATTGACAATGGTCGTTTCTTTCATTCGTGGAGATTCAAGCACTCAGGCGGATGTTGAGAGAGCTCAGGAGGTGAGTATTGAAGGGAATAGGAGGAGTGCAAGATAATGAGCTTTGATTTTATTGTTTATTTGTTTTAGATCAAGAACAGAATGAAGAAAGACATGGACTCGGTCAGACTTCGAGGATTTCCTAAGAGCATTCTGTACAATGAAGATCAGATCAGAGGTTGTGTTAATACTCTCATCCAGTCAATTGGTATTGGAGGTCTCAGACCCAACACACTCATGTTGAGCTGGCCCACAAAGCCTTCGGACAATGACGGTTCAGCCACCATGGAGTACAATACCTTTATTGGTAAGTGCCTCATTCCTTTCTTATTGCCTTTTATCCTTCAGATAAACTTTTGGTCGGAACTTTGAATGGAATGGCTTTGATCGTTGCTAAGGGAATCACCGACTTCCCGGACCGTAAGATCACCGGAACCATGGATGTGTACTGGATTGTGAAGGACGGTGGTCTGTGTTTGCTAATCGCTTTCCTCCTCAGGCAGCACAAAGTATGGAGAGGATGCAAGCTCCGTGTGATGTGTGTGGCTGGAAGCAGCGAGAACAATGTCAGGATGAGGGATGTGCTCAAGAAATACATCTACGAACTCCGTATTGATGCCGAGATCAAGGTCGTTGACATGAATGAATCTGCCGCCACAGAAGAGGCCTTTGTCAGAACCTTGTACATGGAAGACAGAAATAAATTGTTGAGAGAGTTGAGGCAGAATATGAGGGATGGAGCTGATCATCAACTGACTACAGGATCTATTGATGTAAGTTGAATAATCTTGTGCGGTGATGCAATGCGTTGAACGCTGATGTAATATTATGCTGTTGCAGTCTCGACGGGGGGCTAGCTCGGATGCCGCGGATACGCCAACCTCGGAGAATGGTGGAAACATGGACACTATTAACTCGACCTCATCCCGCTTTGATCATCTCGACAAGAAGAAGGTCTTCAAGATGCAAACTGCCATCCGATTGAACGCGATGATGAAGGAGAATTCGGCGGATGCTCAGCTCGTTATCATCACTTTGCCAAAAGCCCCAAGAGGAGAAGAAGGTGAGTTTAGATGGTTATTTTTTTAGTAGGGATTGATTATTGACTCATAATAAATGACCATTTGGTTTCAGCCGCTCACGACTTTTTCCACTACATGGAAGAGATGAGCTCGGGTATCAAGAGAATGTTGTTCGTCCGCGGAACCGGAGACGAAGTCATTACCGAATCCTCATGATTCTCCTCTTGTCACATAAATTTGAGCAATGAACTACTGATATATGAAAAGTATGTCTGTTGGGTTTTTCTCAGTTGATCCTACCCCAAAGCCGGTCTTCCCCCATTTCGTCTCTTCGCCTACATAACTTTTTCGCTGTTTTAATTACAAATTAGAGCTCTTTGTCTAGAATAGTCTTCCAATATTTTGGCATGTTTCTACTTTCTGTTCTACAACAAAATTAATTTGTTTCTTGACGCATATATCAGTTTAATTATCTGTGCCTACTTATAGTTATTGACCTTACCTATCTTTTTTGTTCACCTTTTCCCCGACAACGGGTTCTCGACTCGCTCTTTGTTACTTCTATTGATGTTCAAAGATGTTTGAACACGCTATATTTCTGTACTGTTTGGTACATTCTATTTCTAACACCTTAACATTGGTTTGAAACCATTTTTCAAACAAAGTAAACGAAACTTGATACCTTGTGATATTCTTGACTTATAATAAAGTGTTTTATTGGTTACTGAAAGTATAAATTGAATTTTTTGTAGCTCGTCGGTTCTGATGCAACTGTCCCTTCACTTTTATCGAGCATAATCTGCACCTTTTACCACAAACCGCCAATATTTTTTCTATCTACGACTCTGCTAATAATGTCAAATGCCAAAAATGTTATTTCGTTAAACTGTAAATTCTCCCTATTTTCAAAGTCTAGTAAATTACCAACGAGTACGGATCACAGGTTTATGTTTGGTATACGAAATCAAAGGTTACATCAAGTTAGTTATGAAAGATAAATAATGTTACAAACGTGAGGTGTTGTACTACAATGTCAGTAGATCTCCTAAGCGCATGAGCAGATCCCAGTGCGGCATGGGAGACCGAAAGGCGGAGTCCACCGTGATGACGTGAGGTTGCCGTCATTAAAAAAAATTTCTTACGGGTTTTTAGCAAAAGTTTATAAGAATTTTCCCAGAAAGTTTATTTGACAATCAAAACGACAGAAGCTTGTTATACCGTCAATTGGCATAAGTCGCTGTAACCCTATGTAGCCTGTATACATTGCCTCAGAATGGGTTCGATTGTAATAACTACTCCTTTAAAACTTTTTTGAAGAAGTGGGGCATGAAGGTCTACATAATATTGTCTATTACGAAATTGCTCGATTACGCCAATCGAATATACTATAGGCGTAATCTCCTCTGGCCCTTTACTTTCATATAACGCCAGAAAAAGCGGCTATCTGCTCACACCTTTTTCTGTAATCTTCGTTCAGCGTTTTTTTGCTTGAGATCTTGATTTCTTGATCATTTTTTCTTTCCTGCCATTTATTCCAGCTTTCCCTTAGTACAGTAACCATCATGTTTGGCAAGAAAAGGTCCAAGTCGTGTAATGATCTTCCCACAACGATGGGTGTAAGGAAGAACCAGGTAAGCACATTTCCAACCCCGTAAAACCCGTCTTGAAATCAAGACATGCTGGGCATTGTCAGCATGTGATTTGGCTGTGCAGTTGTAAATTGGAGAAGGTATTATGGGCAGCTATGTCAAACTTTATTGACCGGATTCCACAGGTTATCGAATAGTTTCGTTGTTGCAATCAAGGTTCCAACATCACGCAGATTATTGGTATCGCAAACCTCATTGGGATTGGTAGCCATGTTTTCTTGCACAGTTAATTCAAGAAAAATTTCAGAAGACTTCCGCTCTGAAGAAGTTACTGAGGGATCTGCCCTTGGAATTGAGAGAGATGATCCTTAACAGGGTAGCTCTTCCTCAGAAAATCGACTTTGTTGATCTTGAAGATTCAGATTGTTTGAATAGAATCCAACGATCCTTTAGAGCCAATGATATCATCCCGAGGCTCGGAAGGGACACAAATTGGGGGTTTGAATTAAAGAGGTTTGTTCTGATTACTCGAAGCACATGCCCTGTCAGAACTCGTTGTATATATGTGTATTATTTAGCTTCGTATCTTCCCTACCATCTGTGTTATCGTACAACACGCCATGCTACAGCAGGATGGCAGAAATTGATCAACACAGCGGAATTCAACTTACCGGTTTGAAAATGGAACATGCACAGTACTCTTCATCCACCCGCAGCCATTTGAAATTTATAATGAAAGTCGCTAAGGGCACAGAGGGAGATGGCTCCAAGAAGACTATGATTCTGGACCACAAGGTGGAGCGCAAAAAGATTATTGGAAGGTATTCGAAAAATGATTACTGCGAGTTTTATATTGGAAACAACTACGACCTTGCCGTCAATCACGGCAAAGGAGTCAAATATTATTCAACGAAAATGGTACTTTCCATTCCTTTTCACGTTAGATCAAACCTTTATTATAGGACATCGGTCGCGTTCTTAAAATTGCTATCGACGAAAACGACATTATGTATAACGGAGCAATGCAGCAAGGTGGAATTATGAACTTTTACCGAAAACACCTTGCATCTCATGGTGACTTCGAGTTGTTCTACACAACTCGCCCGCGCATGATGATTGACAATTTAGCTGTTGCCAATGATAAGCTTTTCTTTGGAGCAAGAAACTACGGTATTAACTCAACAAGTGCCTTTTGTTATGATATGAACACGAAGAAAGAGTATACGATGGTGTGCCAGGATCTGGATTTGGTATGTTTATTCCTAATTAATAGCTAATAAAAATATACATTAGAATCTTAGGACCTTAAGCTATAACTAAATGAATACGTTTCTAAGCCATACAACTTTTTGATTTCAGTGTTCCATAATGATTGCTCACGGCGATTCTGTGCTGGTCACCAAGGATAATATGGGCACCAGTAGAAACACAGAATTTGTTATGTTGTCGTTGGAGAATGACGAGATTGTGCGACGAAATTTGAATTTGTCTTATCGCAGGCTTCAGCAACTTAATAGAGACACCTATCTCATCCTTGTGGATGAAGGCCCGGCAAGATTTTCGTTGAAGGTAGGATGAATTTAAAAGAACTAAAAAAACATTTTAGACTTTCTCCATCATTGAAGGCCAGCCCATAGTTCGGTTCGTGCAATACTGCCACGAGGAAAGTATCTTCCGCCGAATCGGCGACCAATTCTTCTTTGTTTTGGAGCCGAGGAAACGCAACATTTGGTATCAGGAAACTCCTGGAGGTAAACGGGTTTGTAACGGATAAGTTTATTTTTAGATGCGCTATTTCTTATATATTCCGATAATGAGAAAACAAACACATGGTATCGACGCTACCGCATCTTTTTCTGGACTCCAGGGAACCGTCGAAAGAGCCTTTAATCGGAATGCTTGGCCCATCAAACGCGTGTCGTGACAATTCCGGATTAATGGAACAGAACTGTCCCCCTTCACTTTTATCAAGCATAATCTGCACCTTTTGCCGTAAACCGCCAATACTTTTTCTATCTACGACTCTGCTAATGTCAAAAATCTCGTTTCGTTAACTGCAACCCCTCCCTATTTTCAAAGTCCAATAAAGTAATAACGAGTACAGATCACAGGTTTATGTTTGGTATACAAAATCGAAGGTTACATCAAGTTAGTTATGAAAGCTAAATAATGTTACAAATGTGAGGTATTGTGTTACAGCGTGAGTAGAATGAATGGCGGCTCCTAAGCGCATGAGCAGATTCCAGTGTGGCATGGGAAACCGAAACAATCCTTGTCGGCAGAGTCGACGGTGCAGGTCTTCTTGTTGCAGAATTCTTGGTTGGCTTGGAATTGGGTCTTGAATCCGGCTTGCTGGTATCCCTTGAGGCACGAGCAGGTGCTGGTGGTGTTCTGGCAAGCGCCTTGGAGACCTCCACAGGCGTCGTCGTCCTTGCAGAAGATGAAGTTCAGGCACTTGGAGCATTCACAGGTTCCAACGAAGGCGCCAATACACTTTCCAGATCCACATTCGGCGTCTGAGGTGCATTTAGCGAGGGCGGTGCAGTTGGATTCCTCGGTATCATTCAGAGCACGGAAGAAGGGACTGTCGTCTTCGGTCTGAGTTCCATCAAACCAAACGGGTGCACCTGAAAAGAACAATTGATAAAACCGACACATCTCGTCTCTAAATAACCTCTAGACAGTCCAAAAACGTTGATTTCCCTACCAGTCCAAAGCAAACTGTCTCAACTGCCGAAAACAATATGAACTTACTTCCGCTGCCTGATCCGGACCCGCTTCCAGATTCATCTCCTGATCCAGAACCGCTCCCAGATGCCGTGGCGGAACCATTGCCGGACCCTTCAATTCCAGAGCCATTTCCAGACCCGAATCCACTTCCTTCGAATGTACCATTTCCGGATTCGAATATGATGATCTCGTCAACCTCATCAACTTCAATGACCTCGATAACTTCGGGCTCCTGCTGGTGTCCATGTCCATGGTGGTGTCGAGCGTGAACAGAGAGGGCGGCGAGGGCCAGGACGATGATCATACGCATGGAAGCCATTCTGAAATAAAGTCAAAGGTGAAAATGTATCGGCATTGTTTTCAAAAACACAAGGTCAACACGCACAACACACCAAAGTGTCAGACGACACACGTAACGTGAAACACAATCGAAAAATACGACTCCATCGTCGAAATAAACGTAAATTAACCCTAGAGCAACATAGAAATAATCGAAATACGTCAGGATGGAGACCACGACCGCTGCACACCTTGCAAATCGTGGAGAAGAAAGCTTCTGACCACAATTTCAACATGAAACACCTTCTTTGCCGGAGGGAGCCGAGTTATTTGTCAGACTTGGTGACAAAATCTGGAAGAGGAAAAGTTGACTCAAATGGACAAGTCTTCCCCTAATAGTGATTTAGGCCAGGGGTGGTCAGCAGACCCTATTTTTCCGATTTTCGGCCCGCGGCCCGGCCCGTCTAATCACCGGCCCGGCCCGGCCCGTCTAGTCTTTTTCCAGGCCCGGCCCGGCCCGGCCCGTGACGGGCCTGGCCCGGCCCGGCCCGGCCCGTGCAGGCCCGTCTATAGAGGGTTCTGCGAACTGCGCCCAGGCTCGGGATCTAAACTGAGGCAAAAAAGGCGTTGATCTAGCTAGTAAAGGATCAATGTGATAGTTTTGTGGTTCTATAATGGAACTATAGACTTGTAAACGTGTTAGAACTTGAGAAACAGCAACTATAACAACATCAATTAATTTTCCCGGCGCGAAAACAATGAATGCCAACGGTTTGGCATTGTATTTTAGACGGGCCGGGCCGGGCCGGAAAAACCCCAGGCCCGCGGCCCGGCCCGGCCCGGCCCGTGACGGGCCCGGCCCGTTTGTCAATTTCCATTTTTGAGGCCGGCCGGCCCGTTTGGGCCGGGCCGGGCCGGCCCGGGCCGGGCCGGCCCGGCCCGCCGACCACCCCTGGATTTAGGCCATTCAAAGCTCTGTAAACTTTCCGTATACGGTGTAAGAAGGATTTAGGGTGATCATTTATTATTTGCAGTCAAAATAGACTTTGGTTTGGATTCCAAAAGTAATTTGTTTGACGAGATTCTACACAGTAATCAAACCATCCAATAGAGATAACTTTGTTTTTGCCCAAAAACCACGACCTCGGGCCAGCTTTGAAAGGATGCAAACAATTTACTAATCATAATTGTGAAAAATAAATTTAACAATCAGTCATTATTTCTTGACAAGTTCCAGAAACTCCTCAAACCTCTGAAAGCTTTCCCCAAATCGAACGAAAATCAAACGCCAAAAACGTACAACAAAATAGAGATCACAAGTTTATTTTTTGGTACATAGTATAAAGATGCGTTAATAATAAGTTAGTTATGAAAGCAAAATAATGTTACAAATGTGAGGTATTTTGTTACAGCGTGAGTAGAATGTGAATGACGGCGCCTAAGCACATGAGCAGATTCCAGTGCGGCATGGGAGACCGAAACAATCCTTGTCGGCAGAGTCGACGGTGCAGGTCTTCTTGTTGCAGAATTCTTGGTTGGCTTGGAATTGGGTCTTGAATCCGGCTTGCTGGTATCCCTTGAGGCACGAGCAGGTGCTGGTGGTGTTCTGGCAAGCGCCTTGGAGACCTCCACAGGCGTCGTCGTCCTTGCAGAAGATGAAGTTCAGGCACTTGGAGCATTCACAGGTTCCAACAAAGGCGCCAATACACTTTCCAGATCCACATTCGGCGTCTGAGGTGCATTTAGCGAGGGCGGTGCAGTTGGATTCCTCGGTATCATTCAGAGAACGGAAGAAGGAACGGGCTGCTTCGGCTTCTTCGTGTCCTTGAAGGAAGGTTGACGCGGCATCATCCGAGGTCTGATCTTCCAGAGCTGCGCCAGATGCTGAAACAAAAGAAAATATAACCATCATTCATAAAATAAACTCCAGTTATGATTTCGTGAAAAAGTACAAAATCGCTAAAACCATGCCTATTCTACCTAAAAACAATAAACAAGTGAACTTACATGAACCATCATCCGATCCTGAGCCGCTTCCAGATTCCTCGATGCCGGAGCCAGATCCGGAGCCGCTTCCAGATTCTTCAATTCCAGATCCAGAGCCGCTTCCAGATTCCTCGATGCCGGAGCCAGAGCCGCTTCCGGATTCCTCGATACCGGAGCCAGATCCTGAGCCGCTGCCGTAACCATAACTGGAAACAGATTCTTCAAGACCAGATCCTGATCCGCTTCCAGATTCCTCGACGCCCGAGCCAGATCCGGAGCCGCTTCCAGATTCCTCGATGCCGCTTCCAGATCCCGAGCCGCTTCCGGATTCCTCGATGCCGGAGCCAGATCCAGAACCGCTTCCAGATTCCTCGATGCCGGAGCCAGATCCAGAACCGCTTCCAGATTCCTCGATGCCGGAGCCAGATGCAGAGCCGCTTCCAGATTCTTCGATTCCAGATCCGGAGCCGCTTCCGGATTCCTCGATGCCGGAGCCAGATCCCGAGCCGCTTCCAGATTCTTCGATTCCAGATCCGGAGCCGCTTCCAGATTCCTCGATGCCGGAGCCAGATCCGGAGCCGCTTCCAGATTCCTCGATGCCGGAGCCAGATCCGGAGCCGCTTCCAGATTCCTCGATGCCGGAGCCAGATCCTGAGCCGCTTCCAGATTCCTCGATGCCGGAGCCAGATCCTGAGCCGCTTCTAGACTCATCGACATTGTGACCGGATCCCGGCGAGTGAACGTGTCGAGCTTGGGCCGAGAGGGCGATGAGGAGTACCAACAAGATCAAATGCATAGACGCCATGCTGAAAATATTATTCATCAGAAAAAACAACGGGAAATAAGGAGTTGACACGACAAAGGCTTTCTCCACCAACCCAAGGCCAGAAGTCCGCAAAATGACCTAAAATCAAACGAAAAAGTAAAGAAAAAAAATGACCACCAACGGGTTCATAAACATCACGCAACTGGCCAACCTCCTCGTGATCACTCCATCTCCTGATGACCTCTCTTGCCACAGGAAATACCTTGTTTTTGTAAGCAACCTTCGAGAAATGTCGACGACTTGGCCAAACAAGAAGACTTGACACGAAAGGATTTTGTCCGGGTTAAGTGTTGCATCATGACGGAATTTCTGGAAAATCCGTTGGTTTCGTAAAATTATTCAACTCTTTGCAACCTGTTTCGCGCAACAGGTTGCAAAGACCTGCGATAACGCGGTGAAAAAAAGTTTTGCAGCCGTTTACTGCGTTCAGGCGTGTACTTGTATGATGTACGTCAACAATGTCAAAATGCGATTTATCGCTCTAGATCGTCGAAGTAAAAGACGAGAATGTTCGTCCTTTAGAGCTAATTGTTTAGGTTTCTAATTACGGTTAGCTTCGCAAAGTCGTTTTCTGTTCATTACCAGTATAATCCATCCAAGAGTATAAAGAAGGTATTACTTTTGTTTTGTTCAGCTTTCTTTAGGAATTGCACCAATAGTGAACTGTGTACTGCGTCAAAGAAGGTTTGATTATAAATTGTTATGACGTCATGTCGCAAACATGGGATTGCTTGGAAATCTTTGCAATGGGCCTGATGTTTAGGCGAACAAAGATTTTAGATTCGAAGTCAATTGACAAGGGCCATCTTTGACCCAATCTAATCTGCTCCCACTTTTGCAATTGTATGTTTTATTCACTCCCACTAAAAAAACATTCACGCGGACAATGGGAGATTAGAGGACTTCCCATGACTAATGGTTTAAAGAGAGTCCTGTTTATTCCACATGTTTCCTGGAATCGAGGGTTGACGTTCGCGGATTGGTGGCAGGAGCGGTGTGTTACCGTACGAGACGATTAGAGCGTTCCTCTTTATTCGAATGGGGTATTAGGACGGTCTTTTATTCTCCTACGTAAGGGTTTGAATTCTTGCAATTCTTTGCGTTTTTCTCTATTGTTGGGATGTAAAATTCCTAATCTTGCTGACTATAAGGGCGTTCTTTCGGGATCCTGCGTCATTTCGTGGGCACTTATTATACTGCAGATTTAGATTAGTTTCGCGCAAACGCTTATTTGTCAAATCTGTCGAAGTAAGATCATATTGTGTTTATTTTGCATCCTCCATGTTCTCTATTTCTCACGTGCTCTGGAATTTTACTGCTTGTAAATATTGCTAATTACTCGGATAATTAATTTTATTGTTCCGTTCCCTTCTGTCATAATTTCGCTTTGATAAACGGTTTGCCCTCATGAATACCGAAAGTTGTATTTTGTTTTTGTTATCTGCGGAAAAACAAAGAACTTGAGAGGGAAATTCGTGGGAACACCCTGCCCACAGTGCATCTATCATTATTATTCCGTGCGCGGACTTCAAAGACTACTCTAATATGCATCGGCGTCACTTGTGAGGCCAGGGTTCAGATGTCGCAACAATTTTGAGAGAACATTTTCTAGTTTATAGAAGATAATAATTTTTGTAATCTTTAACATTTTTGCTCTGTATTGGAACGTTCTTTGCCTTCCCGGATACGGTATGGGGTCCAGTTCGACTCTCTGCCTAAGGGTTTACATCCTGGTCTGGAGTATCAAATAATGGCCACAACTTCTAATTGGTGGACCCACATTTGCAAGGGCTAATTGTTGATTCCCAGACAAAGCCGTGTCAACTTCTAGGTTTACATGCCGGATGCCCAGTTTCGTTTCTTCTCTATTCATCTCCGAGGACTTTGACTTTTTCGAACCGAATGCTCGTTCGTTCTCCACTCTTTCTTAAAGGTATTTCACAATGCTTCAGGACGTTTGTTGTGTTCTCAGTCAGTGATAATAACGAGAAAGGAGCAGCATAAATATCCGTTTTAATGAGCAGTAAAGTCCCCGGGCGGCAAAGGACGTATCTTGTACAATCTTCTGTTTACTCGAATTATTTTCTCCAGCGAGAAATGGAAAGCATATTGGAGGTTTAGTTTTGGAATTTAAAAAACTTTTTCATCAGAAATAGGCAAAAAGATGACTAAAACCCACTTTTTTCTGGGAGCCTTTTCTCATTATCGTTCTCTCTTATTTGAAAAAATGGTGACTGAATATATCGAATGGTTTGAAAATTTATTTTGGCATAGGCTGAAATTTTGAGAGACCAAAATATGACCTATATAGATAAGATTGTCAAATCTGTACCCGAGAATGCGCCCAAAATTTAGATAACATCTGAGCCTTGCACCTCCATAACTTTCTATCCGGACCAACTTGTACTTTAACGAGACTTATTTTCGAATCACACTTATTGGGACTATTTTTTCAACGATAATTTAAATGTACTCTACCTTTTCCGTGTTCCGCAGTAAAGACAACTTCCTGTCCAAGTTGTGTAAAGTCCAAGAACTCCTTTTGCAAGAAAAAAAGCTTGTCATGCTATAGTAAGACGTTTGTTTTTCTACCAAAACAGTCTGGAAGGCGCGCTTGACCAAGATTCCCACTTTTTTCGTACTTTCTTCGCAATATTTGGGTTACATTTGCCGTGGATAAACCCCTTTTCGAAGGCAGAGATCCCCAATCTAATTAGAGTTTGTGTTGTGCTTACGTGAAGAAAGGCCTCAGGATTTCGTATCCAGATCTTTTTGGTTCCGTTTTTAGGCGGCTAATTAAAGGATAATATTGGAGTGAACACTCAAAGATTGCCCTCTCCCAATTAATGTTAATCGAATTAATTGGAAGAGGGGGTATTGTAGTAGGTGTTTGTTCCTATTTTGAGGACTTGGCCTTTTGCTCCCGAATTAATTTGAGGACTTTTTGCACCCATTAGACACAAGGTATAAAATTAAATTGTGATTGTGCAATTACCATGGCTTCAGAGATCTCTAAACAGTTTTATCAGTATTAGCAATCCCTATGATCTCTGTATCTAGCAGTAATCCTTTTTAACCAATTGTTTTACCATAAATACCATTACAATGGCCATTAGAATTTAACCTATCAAGTCGCGTTGTTTTTGGGAACGGCTAGGCGTATTTATAAATTAAAAAGGCAAGAGAGTAGTTTGACCAGTAATGTCATTACAACGAACGTTGTATTCCCGGTATCCAACTGTTATTTCACGCCCTTGCGTCCATCTATTTATGTGTATATTTACGCAAATATTTCCTCAATATTTTCATTTGCGCAAGTATTCATTGAGTTCATTCTATCTTTGACCATTGAACTTGTTTGCCTCGTCTCATATGCGGATTAATCGGTTAATGATGAGTTATGAGCTTGCAAAAGTTTTTGTTTTTGTCGAACTAATCCTACCGTACTCCTGTTCACGAATGGCAAATGGTTTGGCCGACCCATTGTTCCCTCCGAAGTGAAGTATTATGTTTTGCGTGATTTCTAATCATTTTGTTTATCCCAAAAATTTCTTGTAAATCCGTTTGAGTATCATGCCGGCTTTCACCGGGTTCGCCTGACGTTTGGTCAACTTAGGACAAAGGATTGTGGTAATACAAGCACCTTTACCGCGTCATCAGGTTTTTGTTGATGGTGATTATTTGCGGGCACAGGAAATGGGGTCTGTCAATGTTTTGGTTTACTTCAACGAGTAACAGAGATCCCTCATTTCTGGTGACTCCAATTTCTCGATTTCCCACACCATACTTGGCATATATTTTCCGTAGAGTTCATTTCTCTACGGGTTTTTTGCGCATACAAAGAGCTGAATTAAGGTTTTGCATTACAATAGACGCCTTATTGAATCGTCCTGAATAGTATACCTTAATTGCCGCAAAAATTTAATGGGTTTACAGAATTTGGTCTCCACTGAGATTGGAATCTTTGATTTTTTAAGCTCACTTTGCTGCAATCCAATGAATTTTGGGCAACCTACGGTACTGACGGGGAAAATGCAGAAATTTGGATAAAAAAGTCCAACTCTGTATGTGTTTTAAATTTGCACCAAGTTTCTGAGGGTCACACGATGCTAACTTCCTTCTGTTCGCAATAAGTTTTTGTTATATTGAGCTTCATAATTATGCTAACCAGTCGTGTCACCAAACCCAATTTATTTTATTTCATATGAACGGAAATCGTGCAATTTCTGACATGGCCTATATTTGGTCCGGCGGACTTGGTCTTGGAAATCGCGGAAAGAGCGAATGACGCCGGGAAGGAAGCCCGGAGATGTTCCTGTTCTTATGTAATGGTCGTACTCCAATTCTAATAGTCTTTCAAATCCCCGCCGGCCGACGAATTCCTATAGTTTTATCGAGTGTTTCGTCGATTGTGAGATAATCGTTTCATCAAAGCGGATTGAAATCCCTTTTTTTAGAATATGCAGATTACACGCGTTGTCTGTCATTTTTAGCGCCCCGACTTCCGCGATAACGTGAACAGTTTATGCATGACCTGGAGGTATTTGTTTTTGGTAGGAGGATTTAAATGTCGTCCATAAATGAGGGTGAGATCCTTTATCCGCAAGATTTTCCCACTGGATTTGCATGGAGCCCCTGAATGGACGCCCAGCTGTTTTCTCGCTTAAATTACGATAATCCGGGGGATGAGAGACGAAACCGTCGATGATAGGCTCGATAATTGCCTTTGAACTTTGGCTTGATGTATTTAAACACCTTAAATGTTTTTTGCGTCATTAATCCGGCCTTTTTTATTATGCAGATGGGAAGCTGGAAAGGAAGCGGAATGTTTCTGAGCTCTTTAGGAAGCCTTATCAAATCTCGTACCCCAGGATCTTTCACGTAAACTATCAGGTTGATGAAGGCGGACTGACAAACACAAAAATATATAAGGGATCATTGTACGGAAAATTACTTCCTAGTTGATTGTTTTATCTCTCCGAATTCGCAATACATGGGGATTTAAATTTTTTGTTTTGCTTTTGTTTCACTCTTAAAGACATCACAAATTGTTTTCAAAAGGAATATTACCTAATACTCGTGGTAATAGCTTTGATTGTTAACGGGAATCTGCTTTTTACTATTTTTCCGGCTTCAAAACTGCGTAATAATAGAGTAAACCTATTAAAATGAGTGTACACGACCCGTTTAGAGTCATCAATTTTGCATGTTTTACACTGTTACATGATGTTTACCCTGTTTATGATGTTGTCGGTTTATGTGCAATCGGGAAAGAATTTTAAATGAGACATCGGATACACAGAGACTACAGGTCGGAAGCTGGCGGGAGTCTCTTGTTCACATGATTTTGGATAAGCTTTGGGGACTAAATATAATAGGTAAAAGTTCATTGCTATTGGTGTATGAATTTTAATACATGATTCAACGAGAAGGTGCAACTGCCGTCACCAAAGGGCTTTTTAAAATCTCGGTTGTCATTGATTGGCATTGTCTAAAATTTACGGCCCTTGACAAGCAACCCAAATAGGTGATTAACTCAAAATTTGAAGAAGCCATGTTGTTTTAACCCTGCCGGATCCGTTTGTTGATACAAGCTTGATGCATAATTCGGCATGATTAAATCTATATCTCGATAACACCTTTTTTAAAGTCGGTTCCACCTGAGCTTCCCGTTCAATTTTAATTTTTCAACGTTAAACTCTTAAGCGTTGTGTGTTGTAGTCTACAGAAGTTAAATTATTGATGGGAACATGTGTTTTAATAGGGAATTTCCAGCCTTCCACGATCTATATGTGTACGAGACTGTGAACTTTACCAAGTGTTTGTTTAGCCGGTGGACAAACCTAACAAACCTGCTGTGCTTTACTTAGGATGACCTTTTCTGGTATCTTTGAATAACATCAAAATATTTGAATAATACGGTCTTATTTACGACCTTTGAGGATATTATTTTTGATGACCCAAAATATCATAATCTATTCGTTTGTTTACGGGTTTTTCTTTTTTGATATATCTGTTACTGTGCGTCAAATTGACCTCCCTAGCTGCCGGCGCATCTGAATTACGTCAGGAAAAAAACAGGGCCACAGTCTTTGGCTTTTACTAGAGCTGTTGTAGGAAATGGAGAGTCATGATTTATGCAACTTTAATCCTGAGGATGTCCCGAAAAAACTTGCATTAAAAGAATTGTTTTTGCTTTATGAACATCAACGTGGGAGGCTCGTATAAATCGGGCAAATACATGTTTGAAGAACGATTATTTTTCCGGGTCTGGCCTCCAAAAATTCGCCAAGTTTTAATATTGCGCTTTTCTGATGCGTGACGTGGGGAACTAGAAGGATTAATTGAAAAAATGTAAGCGTACATGACTAATAGAGAAGGTTCTGACCAGGTATGTATGACGAGATTTGATGCTAATTTAGAATAGAATCTTCAAAGATTTCTGTTATCTTTTGATTTCACCGTCTCACTTGAAGCTTACAACTTATTTTAGACTCACATAGAGTTCCAAAGTTGACCCGCTGACTTTTGACATGTATCAAAAGCGCGAAGTTTTTGTTTTTCTCCGTCTGATTAATTTGAAATTTTTCCCTGGTGCTTTAATTGCTTGTTACTTTCTACTCTTTGTTCTCTTTTGAACAGATACTTATGATGACTCTGTAGAGGAGCTCTCCCGGCCTCGGATATTTTAATGCTGGCCATTAATTCAACATGGTATGGCCTGTGTTGGCTGACGTTTTATAGGGAAGTGAATCAGATTACGTTATCGACGAAAAGATAGGTCAGACCCAGTAAATAATCGGTGTTCTGAACGTGGGAGAGCGATGTACTTGAGGTATGTGGGAAACAAGGTCTTTCGAACTTTTCCAAGATTAGATTCATCTTCATTAAGGAATATGTACGTGGGTCGATCTCAGAATATTCATCATGTTGATGAAGCAACGAGAATTTTAAGACAACCAGGAGAGTACACCAAAGGCGCCGCTCAGATTTTCCCTAAATTTTTCACACGCTATACGCCACATATCAACGAAATAGTTCCTCTGCAAGCTCGCGCCTTGCAGAGGCGGCCGTGATATCGGGCTGTCGGGAAAATAACGGCGTATCGTCGCTCCTCGGAATCGCCCATCATCGCTCTGCGACTGCAAGCCGCGACTTGGGATTTGGTGCGCGATAGCGGCGAGGCGAGACATTTTGATGCGACAATCCGCCGTTATTTTTCCGACAGACTGATATTGTGATATTCAAGGATTCGCGAAACGCGGAGAGCGGCAGGGACGAAGACCCTTTTGATCACAATTTGTTCTAGCGGTAGTAATCTGTTTGAACTAAAAATCTCTCAAAATTTTTGCCGCAGAATGAAACTGTTTCCGTTGACTTCCGATAATGAGGAAATATGAGAAGCAAAAACGCTTTTGGCAATGTCGTTTTGCGTTGTGATCTGATATTCGATGTCTAACGGATGCTAAATTTCGACAAAAGCTATCCATCGCATCTCCGGTTCTTCCCTTATAGACCTCCAGACATCTTTTGTCGAGTATTCATCGCTTCGATGAAGTAATCAGCATTGTAGAGTAGTAATCTCTTCCAGATGCCCCTTTTTCTCCTAAGCCCCGTCAATCTCTGTTCAATGGCAAATTAATATCATTGTTGTGACGCTCCTCTCGCTTGCATCATTACCACCTTTACTACCGTAGCAGCATCTATCCTCCATCCACCTCTAATATGTTTATTACTGTTACATTTTTAATTAAGGGATTAAGCACTTGGAACTCCTGTTATTACCGAGATTAGCGGCTGATTTATGTTGCTGTCAGGCTTGTAGCATTTGGCAGACAGCTACGGTATGATTGTTCCACTTTCAACTGTGCCTTGTGTCAGATTTTGGAGTTTTGAAAGTTCTGGAAAAATTTTTTGCAACCGCTGTGTTCACGGCTTTATTGACAATTTTCTTCTTTTATATAGTGCTGTTTATCCCCGGCTAATTGTCTAAGATGTAATATAAGTAATGTATTTACCATAAAATCTAAATGTCGGGGATAACAATACGATGATTGATATGATTAATCGTATTGTGATATAATTACTTATCAAGGAAGTTCTTGCGAAATTCCGGGAAACTTCTTGGATTAAGTAATTTGCCCTCGAGTGAAATGTATGCGATGGACTTTCTTCGAGCACATTCTGTCATATTATAGTAGTACTCAGCCTTCGGAATTGCAAAAGGGGTAATTAATACCCAATAAATGCCGGTTTCAATTCACATTTGACGTTCGCTTTCATTATTATACCCTGCATTGTGTCGCTGCAATTACAATGGGGGCGTGTAGTTTTAATTTTTCGAACTTTGGTTGCCCTCTTGACCTTGTACAATGTCAGACGGCTTTCAAAAGGTCCAATTTACAACTCTGCAATTTTAAAGCACTAAGTATTTCTATAGTAGATTTCTAATTCTGACTGAGTCTTGTTTTTCCATCTTGCCAGTACAAGTTACAGATTTTTGTTTATTTGGCCCAGATATTCTCCACGCGGAACCGGCTCTGATGCGATTCTCCTACCGTAATCCGCCTTGGCGTAGGTGCTGTTTTGGCATTACATGTTCTAGAGGATTTACCAGCAAAACAGCATTGAACCAGATCCCCTCAACTTGTAGGTGGATAGCAGAAGAGAATTTCTGTCCCGTCCACAAAGTTGATAAAGCGAGCCGTTTTCTTCGACAAGGCTATGGGCCGTGTTATTTCCCGTAAAGGTCATGTTATCGGGCCTTGCTTTTGAACTATGAGCGGAAGTCCAGTTTTCTCGGACAAAAAATAGGTTAAGATGGGAGTAGTTTATTATCCGACTTCAGGCCTAATTTTGTTTGAGGAATCGACTATCTCGAGCGTATCCGTTAATATCCCTATGACCCTGATATCGCCTTATATAATCTTTTTGGCGGATACATCTTTATTCTTGTAAAGTCTCAAAGATGCTCGAAGCTGTGTTTACTTGGAACAGGGTCAAAAACCAGTAGTTTTGTCTGGCCTCTACACCTTCTTATCCGGTCGCGCTTGCAGCCAAAGATAATCGCGCTATCTTCGGCTTTTGAAACATTTCGGATTCGCGGATTCCTGGGCCAAACCCTCCGGCAAATCCCGCTCTTTTTTCTCCAAATCTCTGCTTATTATCCTCGGCGCCGCCTGCACTTTTCGTGGATGGTGATGTTGTGTTTCACATCCATTTTTCGTATGTTTTCCCTGCGCCGTTATTAAGCGGCGTTCTGGAATTAATAAACTTGGAGACCGTGCGCATTTCCGGAGCCTCAATTAAAACGAAGGGGCTGCTTCTGTTCCCAATTATCATGGCCCTGGGCTCGCTGTCTTCGTAGCCACAATGAGTAGTTTACTCGTTAGACTGTCTTCGCTGGATGGCTTGTTGTGACTTGAGCTTGTTCACATGTCTCGCCTAATTCACACGGAATTGGGATGCTTAATGAAAGTTCTTGAAGGCTGTTGTATTAATAAAGGCTTCTTTTTTGGTCGAATTTGTACCCTTTTAAAGTTTGGTCTCCGAACAAATTTCTAACCCAATCCATCTTGTTTCAATTCGAATGGAATGATGACATAATTATCTTATTCGAATATTTTATCAACGTGCTTTTTGAGGTGAAAGCGGAAGTTGCATTGAAAGCGGAATCTATTTCGGAATTGAACGTATCCTTTGTATAGATTTTTTTATTAGGTAGCATTATATGTTAACTATTCAAGACGCTCTTGGTTCTCTTACTACCTGGATTTTTGTTGAATTTTCTTTCTGTGAACTCTGAAAAGATTGGTGAATTTTGTTGCAACTTATAAAGCAATATTCCTTTGGTCTCAGTCTTAGCAAATAAGAGGTAGGACGAAAAGTAATAGTCTTTGGGGAAAAGCCACAGTTAAATATGCTTGTAGAAAGGTATTAAGTAAAAGTTCGTATACGGTTGAGCGGGTTTGTCGGACCTCCCAAGAGCACCCTTGGATTCTAATTTTTGAAGGTGCACTTGGGGGTTTCCGAGGGAGTTTTACCTGCACTTCTGAGGTAATGAGGAGGCTGGGAGGGTGAGAAAAAACCAGAGTTTACTTTGCCTTTGCAATATTTTTTAACCGTTTTTTGGAAGGAGCGTAATTGGTACAGATGGATAGATATTGATTTGATGCCGACAAACTTATGTTTGGAGTTTCTTAAAATTTATTTTGCTGAATCTTTGTGACCAAATATCAGTGCAAGTTTCGGCGAACACTGCAAAGGTAGTTGAAATATTAAATCGCTTTTGCAGTCGATGGACATTAAAAATGATGAGATATCACCAGAAAAAAATTTCCGGCCATTACTTTTTAGAAAAAATATGATCTCAAGTCTGAACGCAATTGTGACTCCTTAATCCTTATTTGGATACCATATTTCCTCAAATTTCACCGTTTGAAGCAATTTTAGGTCTTCTTTGTTGTCGTATATTACACACTTCTATCCACCCTTTTGATCCCTTTTTATTGTGCTTTGAAACCCAGACTTGTCGCCTGCACTTTATAATTCCTCAAGGGGAGATCTTACAATTGTTAATTTTAACTTGCTAACTAAATATATCAAAACAAGTGCAGGCTGTCGCGTTTTTTCTCGTAAAGCACTTCAATCTTTGTACAATGTCTCTAAAGTTTTCAAGCTTGCATGGTTCACCTTCAACTACACTTAAAATTAAAATTACAGGGTATAAATGCAACCCTATAATCAGCATTGTAGGTATTCCCAAGTGTATAAAACGGAGGTGGGAGGACTAACAGAACCCTTTGATTCATTGTTATTTTAGAATTCCGACGTCGCTAGACTTTTTTTTACACCTGTTGGGGCCACCTTTGTGTAACTGGAATTTCTTGGAGTGCGTCTGTTCGTTGAGACCTTTGGAAGTGAAGCCGTGGATTTTGATATCTCTGCGTTTGTCTGGGTTTAACTTTTTTTGATGATAGCTTGAAGACCCAGACTCAGATTTTGTGGAATCTTGGCGAAGATCGGGAGGTTTACAATCCGTATGGGAGATCGCTGGCCTATGATTCGCGAAAATCACCGAGGAATTACGGTCCGAAATAACTAAAATTCGATGAATTTTCATCCGCAAAATTCCGAGTATAATTCTACCACGATTACTTGAGATTTTAAGGAATTGGTGTATGATCCACAAAGACCGTTGGTACAAAATTGAAAAGAACTTTGGAGGTTACACCTCCAGTTCCATTTCATAAATGGGTCCTTCTTTTTTTCACTTCTGGTTTTTCTTCCTTTAATTTATCTTAATAATTGTAATCTCTCTCCAGGTAAAAGTCAACCCCATTTTCACCAATCTTTGTCTTCTTATCTTTGATTACCTCGCTGTTTATGTGGATATCTCCGGCCCCTTGCAAAAATCCATTGTTTGGAAAATTATGTATATATTCTAGAGGTCTTCCTTATCCCTCAAATTGTTGCAAAATCACGCGCTTTATTGTCTCCGATTCCCTCCTACACTCCCGGACAGCCCTTTACGTTCCGGGAATAGCCTGACCTTATCACTTCGCCCCTCAGGGCTTTGTTGTGCGTAAATCCGCAGGACACAAACAGATCCCATTTAATCCCAAATTTAGATTTCTCCCGATTAATTATGCAATTAAAAATGAGAACAAAGGCGAGGAGTTTGGTCACTGAACTCCTTCTATTACGTACGGATATATTTACCTCGGTTCTGTGTTCCGGGACATGTTTATTATTCACATGTTGAGGCTTTGTCTTTACGGGTGTACTTAAAAGCCAAGTTTTCCTTCCGTTTCCCGGATTTCACAACTGAATCTGCCCGTTATAACAGAGGGCAATGACGTGGAATATAATGGGATTACACCATTGTTTCGCAAGTTCTTTCTTCCCTAAGATCTAGGTGACAAATGGATGGATTATTTAGCTGAAAGGTAGGGATAAGAAAAGTGTATGGACTAGGAGTGTAAGTAAGATTTTGCGGAGTTCGTATATGTGAAGGATATGAACAGAATATTAAGAAGATGCCGTCACTGTCGTGATGATCGCCTTCCGTGTGAGATAGAATATATAATATGCTTTTTCTTGCCCTTCTCCCTGAGGCTCTAACGCATCATCCCGATTTCACGGTATTTACAATTTGCCTGAGTCCCATTTCACACTGACCAACTCTTTTTTTTAAATTGTATGTTTAATTTTTACAATTTTATTTTTGACATTTGTATTATAGTATACGTTTTTATGACTCTCTGCTTTTATACAATGTTTTTTATGCCTTTCTTTTTCTTACTGTGGCTTAAATATTGACAATACAATTGCTGTATCGTCTATCTCTAATCTTTTAGCGTTCCATTTTCCCAATTTTTACATTGGTCATTCAGAATTCGAATACAAAAACAACACCCCCTTATTATTAGCGTTAATCCTTCGGCTGAAACTCGGCTTCCAGTAATTGACGATGACTTTTTACGTTTACACATAAATGAACTCGGAATTGTGGGCTAAAAATTCTCATAATGCTAACTATAACAGGGAGCGTACTTGGGCTCTATCTTCATCATGACAACATGTTAGGACAACAACATAGTTGTGTTTAATTAAAGCCCCACCCTCTCCCACTCACTCTCTGTTGGCCAATTACATTCTAGACTGTGTTAAGTAGTACTTACCTTGAGGATCTTTAGTAATTACTCATCCCCAAGGTCGCTAATTCTCGGGATATTATACGTGCTAAATGCGAGGATCCTTAAGTATTTTTTGTGCCTTCTTATACACAGTCTAATCGATTGTTTTACAGTCATAACCGGGTCTTGACTTTCGTTTATCAGCGTGATTTTTATTGGGAAGCACATACCTTCAAAATTACTTCAGGGTTTTGTCAGTGCCATGGAGAATGAAGATTCATTTGAAACATTGGACACAAATGGACTTGGAGATATTGTAAGTTGCTATTAAGGTTGAAAAAAGTCTCCTGGGTATTCGTATTGGGTGGCCGAATCCTGAGATATTCATAGTATTTAATAGTATTTTTTGGTTTCTCAGGTTTTTTTTAATGACGCTCTGACAAAAATTCAAAAGTCATCATCCTACTTTTGCTTTTGTTTTTTGTTTTCTCATCCATTTAATTCGCAGTTAGTTTCTTTCTGTTTTATATTTTAAACTTTTCAATTTTATGCTTTTTAGTCACAATTACTGGGAAACGACATTAACCACACAGCACTGGCAATTTTGTACGAAAAATTGTTGCGAAACAAAGAATGCCTACAACAACAGAAAGAGGTGAGTTCTAGCTTGCATGTTGCGTCGCTTTAGAGCAGTTCGGTCTAAGAGTATTACACACTTTAAATCTTCTAACCTTAACTCTTCCGTTTTTAGCCTCGTTGCGAAGAGACAGCCCTATATCGAATGTTAATGGGCTACGGCTTCCTTATCCTTTGTTTTATCGCCATTGTGGGAAACTGCCTGAACATCCTGGTCTACACCTCGGACCAAATCCGCTTCTTCATTGCCATCAAGATGCTGTGCACGAAACTCTTGACCAACACCTTGACCATGTTGGTCCTGCTACCTCAGGCCTGTCGATCCATTGGCCTGTGGGCGGTGGGGTCGATGAATGACCAGGTTTACTGGAGCTATTGGCCATACCAAGCCTTCTTCGGAAATTTCTTCGGATTTACGGGCATGTGGCTGACGGTGCTAATGACGGCCGAGTGCTATGTTCATGTGTTTATGCCGCTCAGATCGAAGTCGATATGCACGATGAAGAATGTGTGGCGAAGCTATGTGGTGATAGTCATCATGGCCACATTACTGGGTATTATTTATCCGTTAAATCGGAGTGTAATGCTGACTGATGAATGCGATAAGGTCGAGGTCGCCATTGTTATGACGGATGGTAAGTTTTGCATCGCAATTTCCGAATCTTGGCGGATAATTCTGAATAGGGCGTTTTTCCAAGTACTCCATTTAATTCATTATATCTATTGTCTCGCTTCCGGCCTCGATTATTTAAATCCGAAATCCCCCATTCATCTTTACATCTTTCAGCCGACTTTCTCGGTATCTACGAGCGATTCCACATGCTGGCCAACATGCTGTTCGCGATCGTAATTCCGCTCGGCCTTCTGGTCTTCATGACTTCCTGCATTGTCTGGCGGTTGGTGGGCAAGACCACACTGCTGCGGGATACGGGCAAGAAGAAGGTGGGCGGGAAGTTCAACTCGGAGAAGAGGTCCGTCACCCAAATCACCATCATCACCACGATCTTCCAGCTGATGGGGGAGCTGCCGTCGGTGCCCATCTTCCTGCTGGCCTCCTTCACGGCCCCCGGAAGCATGGATAAGATGGCGTGGATGTGCTTGTGGCAGACATTGTCCCAGTTCCTCGGCCTGTGCAATGTCTCCCTCTCCTTCTTTGTTTACATTGCATTCTCGCCGCGGTTCAGGAAGGCGTTGATTACGTAAGTTTTTTTTGGAAATTGTTAATTTCTGCAAAGAACGAACTTTCGAAGGGGAATCCGGAAAATCTAAGCATAACTGGAAATTTTGCGACAAAGACTTTTACATTGACATAAAATTTGCCTAATTTCACTTTTTCGACACTAAAATATACCGTGTTTTTCTCTTCAATCACCAAATTTTTAACTCTTAAAAATTTTTCAGTCGACTCTACTGCGGAAACAAGTATCTCCGAGCCGTTGCCAACTCTCTAACCCCCTTAAAACGCCATTCCAACGACCCCAGTGTGTTGTCGATTCATTGTCCCTCATCGACAGGTAATTTCGTGGCCATTTGTTACTCCTTCCTCGATCTGAACCCAGATTTTTAATATTACAGTCTTTACAGATGTGCGCGCTTCGATCCGCTTGATTGCAGTGGCCAGTCGCAAAGATGGCCGGCTAAATGTTGATTGTATCAGTCCAACATTATCCGACGAAAATTCTGGAATCTACGATCACTTCCTGTAAAATGGTCGTCCAACTTTTACCTCCCAAAAAATCATAAAAATTGTCGTCTTCGTAAGGTCGAGTATAATGTAAGATCAGCTCAGATCTCCGTGAATTGTATCTCCTACGGTTGTTACTTGAACATATTATTGTTGCCCTCCGGTTCTCTTCTTGTTACGGGTACTCTGGTTTTTCTAATCGAATAAATTATTAATTGGATATACGGTGGGAAAATAATAATTAACCTCAAGCCTTTTAATGTCCTAATTGGCTCGGAAATTGAACGTTTTGAAAGGGGATTAGAGCAGGGAAGTCGTATGAGTTGCGGTCTGTCATGAGAGGTACGGTAAAACCATGAAAACACATGAGTGTTGTTGCGAATTGGGGTGGCGGATTAAAGGGTCGAAAAGAAAAGAAAGGAGATTTATATATAGGAGGTTATGACAATAACAAGTGTCAGCTTATATCACAAATTTCGAAGGATTCTTTTATTCACAGCTGGCTTGCATTTTTAAATCGTAGGATACGGTAGATGACTCGTTACAATCACTACTGCCTTTAAACTTAAAATCGGGGATTTGCAAAATTAAGACGACTTCTGACTTTCATTTCTCCGAGGTCGCCGCAAATCAACAGCAAGAAATTTCGCCCCTCCTTGGGTAATGGAGAATAATGGTGTTCCTAATTTGTGACAAAACTATAAAAATATATCGATATCTCACACTATGACCTCTTCAAAGTCCCTTATTTCCTCCATTAAAAAAAATTGCGCTATAAGACACCAAAAGTCCGCAAATGTCTTGTACGTGCCAAACCACCCGTTCCCAGGCCTAAATTAAAGATACAAAGTTTAGTTATAATTGAAGAGAACCACAAGATACCACGTTAATCTTAATTTCCTTTTAGTATTTATGGCTCTGTTCTTTTCTTCTTTTAAGCCGACAATTGGACAACAGTTTGTGAAATCACGATTCGTTAGAGTTAAAGTTGAAAGTAAACTTGACAGCAGTAGTTACAGTAAGAATTAATATTCGAAAGCTTCATGCGACAAGTCTGAAAAAAGACTTCTTTCTGCTAAAAAGAGATTGATCTGTCCATGGTATCATTGTGCAATCAATGGCAAGTTTCAAGCGCGGGTTGTTTTTCTGTGTGAGGATAAATTGCCGTTGTCAAAACTAACAGCAGGAAGATTTGAGATAAAAAATTGTATTTTAAACGAACTTAGAATCCTTTTGTTGACTCAGAACAATAAAATGAGTACAGAATTCAAAGACCAAGTGCTGCAAATTTTAAATTTAGAAAATATGGTCTGCAAGGACCACAAATCAACCACAAGAAAATTTAGCCTATGAGTTGATGGTAGAGAATAGCAAATATCCAGCGGCTTTTATGGACAAAGTAGCTTTCATCAAACTCCAAGGGAATAGGACGATTTTTTGTAGGAAGTTTACTGTTTATACTAAAAAATCTAGGCAGCGTGTTTTTCATAAGCAGGAGCTAAAATCTCATAAATGGTAGCATACGTCAAAAATTTAGAGAAATTTGTTTGACCATCACATCAAAGCAAGCTTGTGTTAAAGAAAAGTTCCGGATCTTCAGTCTACAGTATACTTTGATTACAACAAGAAATTTCTCACAAAACGTTTTGTAAAACCAGAATATACAAGAACAGGAAAAACTATTATTGGAAAGCTTAAGAAACGTTATCCACTAACCTACTGCGCTCCACAGTACTACTCCGATCTTATGCTTCAACTATTATACAGCTCACATCAGCACAATCTCACCCGGTCAACCCAAAGTTTATCCCCTGCGACGTCATCGTTTTTGAACTCCCCAGGCTTAACAGTATGCCCGTTCATGCCGAGTGTCATATGAGTTGCGTTCGGAGCGAAAGTCAAGGCGACATGAACTCCGGAAAAGCGGGGATTTGAATGCGAAGCAGCCGTGTCGCCGCGTAATCAACAGACGATCAGGGCCTGGGGCGTTTGGTCAACAGACGATCAACCCGGCCCTCGGGCGATTGCATCATGGAAAAGCCTTCCTCTGCGGTGTTTGTGGAGGCCACGCAGCGGTATTTGCGGCAGTATAAAAGCGGTCGTTACTCCCAAAATAAAGTCAGTGAGTTCTGGAAAGTCGCTAACGAAAACCATGCTTCCAAGGACTGGCTGGAATCGGAAGTGCACTGTCATCACGGCTGTTCTGTTAGCTGTTACGGTGGGATTTTTGGTCTGCATGAGACTATCGCAATGGGATCTCAGTTTATACGTAAGTGGAGGGTCTTGGAAAAAAGGAGATTCTATGGAAAAAGGCAGAGAAAGATCAAAAGTATTGCAATTTCAACAGTCATCGTGAAAAATAAACTTGAATTTTATGTCATTCTCAAAACTATGAGCCTCTTTTGGTCTTACCAACAACATAAACACCGATTTCGACACTGAAAACATTTTGAAACAAGGCTGATTTCACAAGTCATAGCTGCATCTATTTATAATATAATTGTTGTGATTTGTGTTTCGAATAGAAAAACAGAGTGTTAAATATCCTAAAATAATACTTTTAGATCTACAACATTGACCTCTACACACCGCTCTGTTTCTTCACGCTGATGTTCTTGTTGATCAGCCTTCTGGAGTTCAAGGCCCTACAGGACATTGCTGTTTTCCCATTCGTTTCGAGGAAGTCCTACTTTATCCTCCTCAATTTTTGTAAGTTTACTAAAAATACTGTAGTTAAAAAGCTTTCCTGTTTTGATTTCTTTTCACAAAACAGGGTGTTTTACTATTACCACATTCCAGACAAAGTCCTGTTCACAATTTTCTTTTTGTCGACGGTTTTCCTGCCCTTCGGAGTCATCTTTCCCCCTCTGGATGCGTGCAAGACCTCCTATTTCTTGGCTGTGAACACGGTTGTTTCATTCCTCTGGATGAAAACTTACATGAAACAATGGGAGGCAGTAAGTTGTCTTCGGAAGAAAGGAGATTAGTTGAAATCGAATTTGTGGTCATAACTTTCCAGACCTTCGCTTGGGAAATGATTACTCTGAGCGTAGGTGTTGAATTTTCCATTCTAAATTGATTACCATGGTTTGGCTGGAGGCTTAAGAAATTATGCCAAGGCAAGCCTTGGTACCCCCAAGAGATTCTGCAAAGCGTAAGCTAAAAATGTCGCAGTAGCCTTAAAAAATTTTGAGTTTTATTTGCCTTCATCGCAATCAATGCTCCACACTTTGGGCATCTCCTCTACATAAGCCAATGGACCACAATTGAGTTATCCTTTGCTTTTCCAGATCACGCGTTACATCGTGGAGATGATAATGCTCAACCAGATCAATGGTACTGAAATCTCCGTCGACGATGCACTCCAATCCTACAGAACAGAGTACGAAGGCCTTATCGCCGACTATCATCGAACCCATTGCTCCGAGTTCTCGAGAATGAAGCAACTTCTGGTGGAACGGCAGTTTTTTGAGCTCCAAAGGATGATGGTGGCCTTCAGAAAAGAACTTGACTCTGCGACTTTGAACAAGCCAGAACTAGAACGGCTCTACTGTGAGATGTTGAGGGTCAGCCAATCATTTTGTCTGAAGATCGAGCATGACATTGCAATCAAGAGAGCGGCCGAAAATTGGCATCTGTGGAAGCGGCCGAATGAGAAGACGGTTAGAATTGAGAATACTGCGGTGTTAGAGATCAACAATGATCTTGCTAAGACAGTAATCTGAATCAGAGAATGATTGTACATATCCATGTATGCAGTATCAATATTTATTTGATTATTAGATCTGTAAATAAGAGGATGAATTGAAAATTGCGGAAGATCTACAACTAAATATTCCACAGTAGCTAGGCTGCTGAAAAATGCCTTTTTTAAAACCACATTCTCTCCGAAAATTATGAAATATGCAACCTTATACAGCTGTTATCACCTTGTCATCGGTAATCCCTTTAAACAGACCAATTACCGGTTTCAAGCGAGCAGCTTAAGTAAGAGGCGACGTGTCCCTTCATCCCACTTTGATATAATCCTTCTCTTTCCTCCGGCGAATTTGTAATAGCCCGCGGAAAATACTTTAATTGTCAAGATTAGTTTGTTCGGTGGCTTTGAACATATCACGAAACTACACAAGGCAAGCTCGTTGCAGTCGCCGGTGTTCCCATGGATTCGACGCAGATTCTGGATGCGTTGGTTACGACCGAGATCATTTTCACGGCGGCCTCGCTACTGATCAGTGTTTACATTGTCTTCAAGTTTCGGCACATCACAACTCTGCACGGGAATTTCAGATTGGTTTTGGTAAGTGGACATTAACGGTTTCGAAGACTGAAAACTGTCTGAAGTGCCGGTTTAACCGTGAATTCATAAGCTGAAAGTCTCAGAAATAGAGACGCAATCTTTTTCGAGCATTACTGCAAATTTTGATCAAACTTAGAGAGCTTTTCTCTTCTCTGTAAAATTTGGCGTCCATTTTTAAGGTTATGAATCACTTTCCGTTTTTTGATGACAATTTTTTCAGATTTCAACAAAACAACCGTAGTTTTCAAAAGTGACGTCATTTTACGTCATCAATTTATACCCATAGATTTCAAAGTCTCAATCATTACATGCTTTCCCATTTTCCACATTGTGCAGAAATCACCATAAAATTTCAAAAGTCAAATAGAAAATATGTAAATAGAAGATTCCACGAAATCGTAGCTATAAATAAGAGCTCTTTCGCGGATTACCGAAAAAAAGTAATGAGATTTAGCAGTGTGTCATATGATGAGATAATACTCTCGGTTATATAAACAAGTAAAATTTTGAACAGCAATAGCAGTACGTTTCAATGATGATGTGACTTTATGATCTTCGAGATGAGGCCTCATTATTTTGCATTACCTTTTACCTAATACCCGTAACGAAGTCCTCAGGGTCTTAATTCCAAAAATTAATCCGTCTTTTCAAGATTTGCATCTTGTGAATACTATTCCCAAATCCATCTTTCAACAATAGGCATTGATCTTGCATCTCCGAAAACTCTTCTAAAACTTGTTCTATCATTAAAACTTCACTTTTTCAGAGTTACGCTCTAGTTGGAGGCAATGTTTTCAACATCTCACATCTCTACCTCTATCCTCGGGTCATCGAGTTCTACAAACTCAATGAATTTGGGAGTTATGACACTACGTTGGACATCCGATTCGCCGCTATTTGCTATTGGACTGGGGCTGTGATTGCGCTGACAAAGTTCCTTTTGCTGTGCTTGGAACGCTTCTTGGCGACCGCTTATCGGACCGACTACGAACATCGAGGGACTTGCATTGGATGGACAATGATCACAATCCATATAGTCATCTCCTTGGCCATCGGATTCACGCATTTATCGGCCTATGACATTTGTGTGGCGTACACCGAAAGTTGTGACGGGTATTGTGAGAGGTCGTGTGCAATGTCCCACTTCTTCTATGATGGAAACACACTCTACATAGCGATATCTTTTCTTGTCGGGCTTGTGTGCTGGGTTCTTGGAATCGTGGTAAGAAATATTTACCAAATTATATTATACTTGGTCCAGCCAACGATATTGATTTGTAATTGCTTATTCGTTCCCTATTGCAGGAAGCAATAGTTCTTTTTATTGTCAACAAGAAGCTAGGCACTCAGCTGGACACTCTCAGTCTTCGCTTCCAGTACAGAGAGAATCTGGAGACCCTCAAAGCCATGCTGCCCGGGGTCACAATCTATGGAATCATGGAGCTGATTTGTTGCACAGCCGTGGTTTATGTCATGGTATCCATGCAGGATCTCGCAACTGACGACGTGGGGAAGCAAATACTCTTCCATGTGAGTCATAAAAAATTTTACCGACCAAGTCGTCATGTTGTACAATATATTGTTCCCATCCAATTTCCAGATCACCTATGTCGCCATGGCCAGTTACAACCTCTTCTTCTCGCTGTACAACCTGCTTGGATACCCACCCTTATCCGTGGCGTTTATCAATGACCTCAGGGCGATCATTTGTATGAAGCCGCTCGAACTGAGCGCTGTGGTTGCTCCGAAAGAAGTCAGGGAGAGGGTGAATGAGAAACAAAAGTACTTTGAGTATGTTAATCGACAGTGGAAGTGATTGAATTGTTATACATCTATAATAAACAAAAAAATTATTTTTGTCATTTACATCGCATGTAAATGAAGCTCGGTATCATAAAAAAATCTTGCATTACAAAATAAAAAAATAGTATAATAGCTAATACTGTACTAATCATTGAGGCTAGGTCCAATTTTTGGACAACTAAGTGACTAAAAAGCCTGAAGAATCACGAGTTTATTCTCCCGAAAACAGAGGTAAAATTTTCGCAGAGTATGGATCCTTGAAGCAATTTTGTTTCGACGTCCAATACTTCTTGTTGGACATCCAGAGATTCTTCTGGCTGAATGGGTCATGTCTCTCGGTGAACCACATTTGGCGATGTTGAAGGTGGGAGCGCTGACGTTGAGCCTGAAACAAAACAAAACGAACGTATGAACCAAAAATTCGCTCAAATTTAATTCAAAACTTACCTGCTCCAACGAATTCTTTGCATCATTGGCTCTTTTGCTGTCTCCGAATTCCAAAAATCTCTGGTCCGGGCGGAGTCGACTATCCGTCATTGGGAGGAACGGTCTCAATTCGGATGTGATCTCATTCAAACCCAAGGTGAATTTGTTGAATCCATAGTACCTACTCGACAATTCATAATGCGGAGGGGCTTCAAACAAGCGTTCCTGTTCATTTGAGGGCAAAATTCTAAAATCAACTCCATAAACCACTGAAAATTTATCCTATCGGTTCTATACACACAAAAACAGGTTCAAAACTGACCTATTCAATCCCTTATCCCAGCATCCAACTAGTCTAAAGACTATAGCTTGCTGATTGTTCCTGATCTCCCCGCGGATCCCATTCTTCTCCGATGTGAACAACATTTTACATTCATATCCATTACTGCATCTGATGCTCATCTCTCCTTCATTCTTCACCTTTCGTTTAATCGCTTCAGCTCTCGCATTCTGGATGATGGTTGTGACCTAAACCCAGAAACAATAATAAAACAAAATAACCTTACTTTATTCCACACATACTCTTCTCCGTTCGCCAGGGTCAACCTAATGGGCAAAAGGCAATTCAAACTGGTCGATCCATCCAAACTAGGAGTGATTGTGCCCTGCAGAGTCTGCTGCCATTCCCAGCCATTCCCTTCAGCGTTGCATGCAGATACCGGGGGATGGTGAGAGACCTGTTCCGCATGGTATTTCCAACCATCATCCGAAATGTAATCAAAAGTCTCTCCGAGCAGCGGATTGAATGGTTTTCGGTTACGAATACTCATTCCAGAATACCCGCTGATAATGAATCCAGCAATCAGAGACATCCGATCTCCTGGATTATCAATCTTCTGGAGGCGATCCAAGAAAGTCGCGGCAAATCGCAATTCTTCGCAGGCACTCTAAAGGCAAGATTATTACATAAGAACCCGTTGAGCAACTCTTTAATGACGCAAAAATTCTATATTTTCGAATGCAAACCCCAAAAAATCTTATCTCACCTGTAAGATACCCAACGGTTCGTAAGCGTGAATCGGAAGACTTCGCTTCAAAATTGCCATCATGGGAATACTATCTCCATAGATCTGATCATGTGGCAGAGTTTCTCTTCGTTTCTTCGGTGGCAAAAGTGCCGGATGCACCTGCGGTTTGGCTGCATCTACCCTGGGCTTGGCCTGAGTTTGCGCGGGAATGGCCGATGGAGCTGGGGATTGAGTGGGAAGAGCTACATGGGGCTCCAAAGGCTTTATTCTGGTCTCACTTTGGTTCTTCTGCAAAACAGTCAGTCATTGGACGAAGTCTAACAAAATTATATTACAAAATGTATATTTGTAATCCCAAACACAAAATCAAAACCCACCGCATTGCTAACAGCAATATTCGGAAGAGACGGGCTCTTCTTGACCTTGGCAACCTGGAGCTCTTCCTCATTTATATTCAGGGCCGAAACAGAGGCCTTCAACATAGCGATGGCATTCTGATCTAACGGTGCAGTCGTAGCTGGAACTTCTTTTGGACGTTCTTTTACCGACGTAGAGTCTTCTTCATCCTCGTCCGAGCAACATTCATCATCGTCGTTGGAATGCTAGAAAATAAAAACATTTCATAATTCTAACATCTTATACAAGCTCATCCAGTGTAATATTCCCACCTTCCTCCTTCTGAGTTTCTTCAATTCCCTGAGGATTTCATTCGACTCGTCGTGACACTTCTGGATTCGATCCAATATTTGAATCGATGAACTGTGCACCAACTTATACGTTTCCATAGCACTTCCCAACGCCTTTAATGCCGTGACCAATCTAAAACATTAAAATCCTCATCAAATCAACTTACCTTTTCTCTTCCTTATCTCCTTCGCTGCTGCCGGTCTTCTTCGGAGAGCCCGTTCCTAGGTTGTTGTTTTCATTCGTATTCATCTCCTTTCCCTTCTTTTCATCTTTGTCTCCTTCCTTTGAATGTTTCGGTGATGTGGGCTTTTCGTCAACATTCACCAACGGTCCCACTTCCTGGTTGATAGCTACTTTATTTTCCAATTTTCCTGCAGCTCCGTCTTCAACAATGTTCTGGAAGGCGAGCTGTGTCTTTTGAAGCTGAGAGTTCTCGGATTCATCAAGCAGACCCTCTCTAAATCAATAAAATAAAATCAAACTGAACATACTTTTTCTGAAACTGTCGGTAGAGCCGATGTTGATGAATTCCCGTCTTCCATTGCATATATTTATCCTTGTCAATTGGGACGAGAGTGTAGGTCTCCTTTTGGAAAACCAAACTCAACTTTCGGGCGTTGTCGTTGTACATTACTTGACTAAGCTGGAAAAAGCCATTATTCTTCATAACCTTTACGACTTCTTCTATTAACCACATAATCAATCGTAATTCGGCGCAATTTAACGCATCTTACCGTTGATACGTCAATGTTGAACTCGGCAGTGAAGGGTTTCTTGTCCTCCTTCTGTTTGTCTTTCTGCTTGTACAACTTCAGAACGCCGTTGTTCAACTTGGCATGATACCTCTTCTGCAGATTCATTCGCCGTTTCTTCTCGCGCTTCAAAATCACCATTCCGGAAATCTTCTGCGGTGTGGATGTGATCTTCTCGGAATCCTCGAGATCTCTGAGTGGATACATCGGCTCCTTCTGCAAAACACTTATGTAGACATTAAGTATGACCTAAAGCCAAATCAAGCAACTTGCCTTACTCCCTGCAAACTTCCCCAACCTCTTGAACGCCGACACTTTCTTGGTCGTGGGCGTCTGAGCGGCGGGAGTTGTCGAATTGCCCGCATTTTTGGTCGTTTCATTGTGGGGATCAGAGCTAGAACAAGGTGGAAATAATCCTCCATAACCGAAGGCTCATAAAAGGGACGAAACAGACTTACCCGCCAATCATTCGGCTCACCGAGACCATCAACCGCCTTTCAAATTTACAAACGCTTCAAATGGGTGCTGCTCATTTCCAAAAAAATTGGATGGAAACATTGAAAATGTTTTTTACTTCTAATGTACTTCGTGAATCTTCTGATTGCCCAATACTTCGAAGTACTTCGTAGATCTTCAGCTTTCCCTTGTGGAACAAAGTGTCAAAAATTGATATTTGAAGCTCGTTCGTCGAGAAAATACGTCATGAAGACAGCTATTTATGACGTGTTTTCTAGAATTAGAAAGCGGCTATTGTAACAATGAGTTGAAATAACTTTGTAGGATCTTGCAATGCCCTGTATCGCTTTTGATTGAGCACACTCCGGACCTTGAAAAAGGAGAGGTTCGCTTCCCAGAGCTTTTCCGGTTGATAATTCGCGGCGACTTTTTGATAGGCCAGAGACGGATCCGAATAGGTTCGGATGGCCTCGCGGACCTTGCGCACGCCCGAGGCGCCGATGTCCTTCAGAACACGTTCTGGACGAATCGATTCGGAAGGGGTCCCCCAAAGGCGGACGTCTTCTCCGCTCATCGGGGTCAACGAGTCGCGGTCAAGTGCTGTCGACGAACGGACCCGACCAGACTTTGGTGAGTTTGGGCAGTGAAATTACATTTTTGTCGGTTTAGGATTATGCAAATTCGTTGCAAACTGATTTCACACTTTTGTTGGCGGATTCTTTTACTTTTGATTTTGATCTCTAAAATAATGTAATTTTTTTTGACAAAAATTTTCTTAAGCGTGCCTTAAGTGGATTTTAATGTTGCTACATTTATCCCTCCCTCTAATTTTACGTAATGACGATTAAAGTCAACAATGCGTCTTTCTAAAATAGTCTTTTTATTATACATCGTCATTGTCTTGAACCCCCGGAACAGCTCTGCAAATACAAAGCGAACAGTTTGTGGATGTTTGTTGTGACTTTCCGAACACGAGGATATCAGGCTTACTTCTCGAAGAAAACCTATAAATTGAGCTTTTGGTAGCTCGTCGGAATTTTACTTCGATGATAAATACTGTCTGTAAAAAGTACGGGTACTACCCAATCATGCTTCATTGCTATATAAGAGTGGACCGACAAGATAGGCACTGCTCAAAGGCCCTTCACTTTCATCAAGCAGAATCCGCACCTTTTACCGTAAAACTATATAATATTAACTCCTCCCCCGATCTAAAGCCCAGTAAAATGCCAACGAGTACAGATAACAGGTTTGTTTGGTGCACAAAATTGAATGTCTAAAGCAAGTTAGTTATGAAAACTAATCTTACAAATGTGAAGTGATGCATTACAATGTGCGTAGAATGAATGACGGCTCCTAGACGCACGAGCATACCACCAAAACCAAGGATCAAGAACAACAAAAACTAGCCAAATTCTAACCTTGAAACCAAAAACTCCTCAAACCTTTGAAAGCTTTCCCCAAATCGAACGAAAATAAAATGCCAAAAACGTACAACAAAATAGAGATCACAAGTTTATTTTTTGGTACATAGTATAAAGATGCGTTAATAATAAGTTAGTTATGAAAGCAAAATAATGTTACAAATGTGAGGTATTGTATTACAACGTGAACAGAATGAATGGCGGCTCTTAAGCGCATGAGCAGATTCCAGTGTGGCATGGGAGACAGAAACAATCCTTGTCGGCGGAATCAATTTCGACCCTCCCCGCCTAAGTACAGTCGAAGGCGGCACAGCGTTGCTTCTATTGTTACTTGGCAGTTGGGACAATGAGTGATCTCATACTGGTGACCACGAACCCAATGGTCGTTACATATCAATGATCGACGACAGAGGCCTGCCGCATCCTCAATGTACGTATCGCAAAATAACGTAGCGTCTCTCCGGCAGCCGATGGAAACACAAGTTTCATCTAAAACCATAAAAGTTAGCTGCCTAATTGATGTCTGTTACAGTCGCCGATGCTCAAGCTGTAAAACTGTCGGGAAAGTGGATCCCATTCGAAATGTTTAGAAACTTTTTACTAACATCTTTATGGCGCATGGCTTTCCGCGTCATCCCGGTATCCCAAACGGCGGTTTTCTTTTTGCCCGCTGCCGGCAGCTGGCCAAGGTAGCATGTATAAACACCCTTCTTAACTGTGTTACCATTTGGTAATAACGGCAACAGCGTAGGCCTATGACAATTCCAAGAGCGGCTCAAAAATACCCTCCTGGAGATGGACTGTTGCTTGGATCTGAACTTCAGAATCCTGCACGTCAAATCATTGGCTCTTGTTTACATGGTTATAATACAGGACATACGTCTCATTAACGAGCACTAGTTGGGGTACTGAGATATATGTTTGGCTAAAAGGCAGCAGTTGTCAGATGGACTCCCTGTTGAAATATTAGCCAACCTAATAAAAGAATGCCGCATGCGAGGGGCCGCAGGCCCCGAGCCTTTCATAAAATTTCGAAAAATCGAAAGGTTTAGAGGAAGTTCAAAAGCAAGAGTAAAAGAACACGTACTTCTGGTCCCCTTTATGAATGAAAAAGAATAAAAACAGAAAGGCACTTACCCTCTAAGCTTCCTATTCCTGAACTGGCACTATTATTGAAGTCCTCGTCTCGCGGCCTAACTTGCTCCCTTCTCCGCTCTCTGGCAATGAAGATAATAATCGGGAGTAGAACAATCGAAACGGGTAGCATATCCATCACACCGAAATTCGTCAAGAGTATCAATAAGATCAAATGCATTGACGCCATGCTGAAAATGTGATTCATGAGAAAAAACAACGGGAAAATAAGGAGTTGACTCGATAAAAAGCTTTCTCCACCAACCCAAGGCCAGAAGTCTGCAAACTAAGCAATTCGCGCAACAGGTTGCAAAGAGTTGGATAATTTTACGTTTTCCAGAAATTCGGTCATGATGCAACTTGACCCGGACAAAATCCTTTCGCCACAGGAAATACCTTGTTTTTGTAAGCAATCTTCGCGAATTGTCATCGCCTTGGCCAAACACGAAGACTTGACACGAAAGTGTTGCATCATGACCGAATTTCTGGACACAAAAATAGATTCAAAACTGACCTATTCAATCCTTTATCCCAACATCCAACTAGTCTAAAGACGACAGCTTGCTGATTTTTCCTGATCTCCCCGCGGATCCCATTCTTTTCCGATGTAAACAACATTTTACATTCATATCCATTACTGCATCTGATGCTCATCTCTCCTTCATTCTTCACCTTTCGTTTAGTCGCTTCAGCTCTCGCATTCTGGATGATGGTTGTGACCTAAACCCAGAAACAATAATAAAACAAAATAACCTTACTTTATTCCACACATACTCTTCTCCATTCGCCAGGGTCAACCTAATAGAGACAATTCAAAACTGGCCGACCCGTCCAAACTAGGAGTGATTGTGCCCTGCAGAGTCTGCTGCCATTCCCAGCCATTCCCTTCAGCATTGCATGCAGATACCGGGGGATGGTGAGAGACTTGTTCCGCATGGTATTTCCAACCATCATCCGAAATGTAATCAAAAGTCTCTCCGAGCAGCGGATTGAATGGTTTTCGGTTGCGAATACTCATTCCAGAATACCCGCTGATAATGAATCCAGCAATCAGAGACATCCGATCTCCTGGGTTATCAATCTTCTGGAGGCGATCCAAGAAAGTCGCGGCAAATCGCAATTCTTCGCAGGCACTATAAAGGCAAGAATATTACATCAGAACCCGTTGACCAGCTCTTTAATGACGCAATAATTATATTTTCGAATGTAAACCCTAAAAAATATCTTATCTCACCTGTAATATACCCAACGGTTCATAAGCATGAATTGGAAGACTTCGCTTCAAAATTGCCATCATGGGAATACTATCTCCATAGATCTGATCATGTGGCAGAGTTTCTCATCGTTTCTTCGGTGGCAAAAGTGCCGGATGCACCTGCGGTTTGGCTGCATCTACCCTGGGCTTGGCCTGAGTTTGCGCGGGAATGGCCGATGGAGCTGGGGATTGAGTGGGAAGAGCTACATGGGGCTCCAAAGGCTTTATTCTGGTCTCACTTTGGTTCTTCTGCAAAACAGTCAGTCATTGGACGAAGTCTAACAAAATTATATTACAAAATGTATATTTGTAATCCCAAACACAAAATCAAAACCCACCGCATTGCTAACAGCAATATTCGGAAGAGACGGGCCCTTCTTGACCTTGGCAACCTGGAGCTCTTCCTCATTTATATTCAGGGCCGAAACAGAGGCCTTCAACATAGCGATGGCATTCTGATCTAACGGTGCAGTCGTAGCTGGAACTTCTTTTGGACGTTCTTTTACCGACGTAGAGTCTTCTTCATCCTCGTCCGAGCAACATTCATCATCGTCGTTGGAATGCTAGAAAATAAAAACATTTCATAATTCTAACATCTTATACAAGCTCATCCAGTGTAATATTCCCACCTTCCTCCTTCTGAGTTTCTTCAATTCCCTGAGGATTTCATTCGACTCGTCGTGACACTTCTGGATTCGATCCAATATTTGAATCGATGAACTGTGCACCAACTTATACGTTTCCATAGCACTTCCCAACGCCTTTAATGCCGTGACCAATCTAAAACATTAAAATCCTCATCAAATCAACTTACCTTTTCTCTTCCTTATCTCCTTCGCTGCTGCCGGTCTTCTTCGGAGAGCCCGTTCCTAGGTTGTTGTTTTCATTCGTATTCATCTCCTTTCCCTTCTTTTCATCTTTGTCTCCTTCCTTTGAATGTTTCGGTGATGTGGGCTTTTCGTCAACATTCACCAACGGTCCCACTTCCTGGTTGATAGCTACTTTATTTTCCAATTTTCCTGCAGCTCCGTCTTCAACAATGTTCTGGAAGGCGAGCTGTGTCTTTTGAAGCTGAGAGTTCTCGGATTCATCAAGCAGACCCTCTCTAAACCAATAAAATAAAATCAAACTGAACATACTTTTTTCTGAAACTGTCGGTAGAGCCGATGTTGATGAATTCCCGTCTTCCATTGCATATATTTATCCTTGTCAAATGAGACGAGAGTGTAGGTCTCCTTTTGGAAAACCAAACTCAACTTTCGGGCGTTGTCGTTGTACATTACTTGACTAAGCTGGAAAAAGCCATTATTCTTCATAACCTTTACGACTTCTTCTATTAACCACATAATCAATCGTAATTCGGCGCAATTTAACGCATCTTACCGTTGATAAGTCAATGTCGAACTCGGCAGTGAAGGGTTTCTTGTCCTCCTTCTGTTTGTCTTTCTGCTTGTACAACTTCAGAACGCCGTTGTTCAACTTGGCATGATACCTCTTCTGCAGATTCATTCGCCGTTTCTTCTCGCGCTTCAAAATCACCATTCCGGAAATCTTCTGCGGTGTGGATGTGATCTTCTCGGAATCTTCGAGATCTCTGAGTGGATACATCGGCTCCTTCTGCAAAACACTTATGTAGACATTAAGTATGACCTAAAGCCAAATCAAGCAACTTGCCTTACTCCCTGCAAACTTCCCCAACCTCTTGAACGCCGACACTTTCTTGGTCGTGGGCGTCTGAGCGGCGGGAGTTGTCGAATTGCCCGCATTTTTGGTCGTTTCATTGTGGGGATCAGAGCTAGAACAAGGTGGAAATAATCCTCCATAACCGAAGGCTCATAAAAGGGACGAAACAGACTTACCCGCCAATCATTCGGCTCACCGAGACCATCAACCGCCTTTCAAATTTACAAACGCTTCAAATGGGTGCTGCTCATTTCCAAAAAAATTGGATGGAAACATTGAAAATGTTTTTTACTTCTAATGTACTTCGTGAATCTTTTGATTGCCAAATACTTCGAAGTATACTTCGAAGTATTTGGCAATCAACGGTTTGCCCAAAACGACAAAAAAACGCCCGAAAAGACTTTTTGTTTTTTGCGAAAATCATTTTATACGATCAAAGTTTCAGAGAACTAACTGGGATGTTCACCTTGCAAGGCATTCTAAGCGTTACTGAAGATTGTGATTGATATAATTAGCATAAATAAACACAATATTATCATGCGGTAGTAGAAATGTCTTGTTAATAGACAAATATTATCTTGGCCAATGGAGTAACGAATAGGCCAAGTAGCCAACAATACAACTTTTTTTGCGTAATTCTTGGATTAAACCGGAATTTTTATTACATTTTTCCTATTTTTATATTGTACATGCACCACGCTTTTTGGTTACACTCATCTACCTCGACTTGCACCCTATCAACACATTTTTCGCCATTTCTAGTTCATTTGGGGACTACACTCGTTCCCTGTCAGTCCTACTGTGCTTAAAAAAAAATTGAAATATCACAATACTCAGTACATCAGAAAAATCGGAAAAATTATTCTCCGTAATAAAATTAATATTATATTATGTAACAATAATATAACTACAATCATCATTCTTCAAATATTAAACCTGTGTGCCGCCCTTCCATAAAGATCATCATAATGGGACGTTAAATCATTTTTCTACTACCACTACCAGTTTCCCTATGGTCTTGTCATCTTTACCATGATGACACTCTTTTTTCTGATTACCTTTCCACAGTTACCATATAAGTAATATTGCCTCAATGCTGTTTATCTTCTCACGTCAAAACGTTTAAAAAATCAGGACAGTATCGAACATTTTTGTCAATAATTTTTAAGGCATTACGTTTTTGATACCATATCTACGGGATTTTGGTCATGACAGAAGCTGTTAAAACCCACGGTACAATAAAAAATTGCATCTAGCAGTGTAGTTATTTATTGTACAGCCTAGGAGAACCGTCACGACATCCCCTAGCCATCATGAAATTTTTTTTGCAAAACTTATTGTAGTCAAGGGGTGATGCTCTCATTGGGGTCCAGAAAATCGAATTAAATTTTAGGGCTAGAATTCTGAAACTTTCCAGTATTTGACTCTAGTGTATCCCTCGTCTAACAGAATTAAAAAATTTTCACAATGTTGTGTTCTACAGTATTTATAGAGTACTGTAAAATGCCTATTTTTTGCGATTTTTTCTTCCGCACACCCCTCACTCCGAACACCTATGCCAGAAATCAATGGGTAGATGTGGAAAATGCAAGTCAGGTTTGATAAATGCTAGTGACACTCAGACGAGACCGGCTGTAACGGTTGTTTACACATCAATTTCCAAGTACTTTTTGGACCCTTCATTGGGGTCCAGAAAATGACCCTTCAAAATTCACCAAATTGCATGAAATTTTCAAGATATACTGTTCTGATAGTCGTGTAACTAACAAAAATCAAACATCTTGAATATCACCTCTAAGAAGCCATATATGACCCGCTAAAAGGCGCCTTAAAATTGCACATTTTCGAAAGCTCCTGGCAAGTCAGAGTTTCGATATGGATGATGGGGAAACATTCAATACAAGAGAAGAAGTGTGCAAGAATTCATTTCTACTCTTATTTTGTATCGTTCTGTTAGTCTTTGCTGTCTTTTACATTCAAACTTTTACCCTATAATTCCGGAATTTTTCACGACTCGGGCGCGAACTGCGAAGGGCTCGGGCGCTTTTTTGTCGTTTTTTGTTCTATGTGGGCAAACCGTGTCTAGATTAGACATGGCTCCCGGGCCGGGCCGGCCCGGGCCGGCCTGGGCCGGGCCGCGGGCCGGGCCGAAATTTCGGCCCGTCGGCCGGATTTCAGGTCGGCCGGGCCGGCCGGACCATTTCCGGCCCGTCGGCCGGGCCGACGTTTCGGCCCGGCCCGGCCCGAAATAGTTAAAATCCAGAATCTCGAAGCGAAAATTGGGATTGATAATGAAAATAAACGAAATGTGAAGACACAAAAATACCTTTTTTAACGGTATTTTTGTTTTTAGATAGCTATGGAACACAGTATTTATCCATTTACATGATGATAGAAAAAAATTAGGTCATAAGGAGTTAGACTTGGGGAGACTTTCGTTTTAATGGGCCGGCCCGGGCCGGGCCGAAGCAAATTTAGAACGGGCCGGGCCGGGCCGACGGAAAATTTGAAACGGGCCGGGCCGGCCGGAACCCTTCAGGCCGACGGGCCGGGCCGAGATTTTCGGCCCGGGCCGGCCGACGAGCCATGTCTAGTCTAGATCTAGTACTGCGTACGTACGAAATTTTTCCTTGTGGAACAAAGTGTCAAAAATTGATATTTGAAGCTCGTCCGTCCAGAAAATACGTCATGATGACAGCTATTTATGACGTGTTTTCTAGAACTAGAAGGCGGCTATTGTAACAATGAGTTGAAATAACTTTGTATTTAGGGTCTTGCAAGGCTCTGTATCGCTTTTTATTGAGCATACACCTTTAATTATTTTGACCAGAAATTATGTTGTGTTACACTACTTATTTGACGAGCATAAATTCAGTTTATTCCCCAAAGAAACAAGTATAATGTTCGTGTTCATCGTTGAAATAGATTTATCGGGAATCAGCGGTTTCTAGAAATTCTTCTCTGTCTCGGCGGGGCTTCTGGCCTCTCTCCATTCGCTGTAGGACTCGCGTTGTCCAAGAACAGCTCCTTATGCCAACTTATAACACATTTCCCGCCGTCTTGTAAGTCCACAACCTCTGGCTTTTCTGCAGCGGCAACTGTACTTTCATCTTCTCTAACACGAGAACCTCTTTTCACTTTGGCATCCAATTCCTTAACTCTTCTGAAGGCTTTGATGGCTCCTGTGCTGATGTAGATGAAATCGTAGAGACTGAAATGATTCGATTACAACATGTATACATAAACGAAGATAATATGACGTAAGCTTACCTACTTTATTTGTTCATCGTATAGGTACCCAAAAAGCATTTCGTGGAAGAGACTTTCCGCTTCTTTCTCGTGGAAAGAAGTTTTCACAACAAATTTCTTGAAGAATCTTTCCTGAGAAGAGCCCAAGGAAAGGCTGATGCACATTATCAGATGCTTTAACAGTTTGATGGGATTTGCGGGATTGTTGTTCATTCTTCGATGCTCTTCCAATTTGCGTCTATGTTTCTTCTCAAGCAAATATTTCAAATTGTCTTCTCCGCAAGTCCCAAGTAGTTTTTCAAACAACTCAGCATTGGGGATAGGAGGCTGGAGCATCCAGAATTTCTGGACAAAGAGTTCGGAGACAGTCGGACGATCTGCCGGATTCAATTTGAGACAAGAATCTGCAAATGATGCTGTAAAAGGTCTGACTAGTCGTTTGATTTATCCTGAAAATTCCCAGGCGGCTTTCCCGAGAGTTCGATTCAGAGCGAAATCATCCGAACGACTAGCGAAAGATCTGGATCGCATTGGATTTGTCTGAATTAGTGTTCGCTGCTTACCAATGAAGTCTTTGCAATGCTTGGACAGTTTTTTTCTCAGTTGTTCTCCATTGGCATACATCCTGTTCCAATTTACGTCGCGAACTGTGTTCATTTTCTGCAAAGCCGCAATTTCTTCTTCAACGTCTGGGTTGGGGTTTCTTTCAAACGGAATCGTGCCGTATAGAAGCTCCAGCGTGCAGATCCCGACCGCCCTAAATGCATTACAATGGGGGACCTGATCCAGTAGCAAAAAACGTACCATTCTGCATCCGGGAAGTATCAAAAAATGTGGCAAAATGCTTCCCTCTCCAAGTGAAAAAAACTCAGATTTCAAAAGCGCGCTCGCTCTTTTTGTGAGGGAAATGGCGCGCCCTTCAAAACGAAGTTTTTTCACTTGGAGAGGGAAGCATTTTGCCACATTTTTGATCCTTCCCGGATGCAAAATCGTACGTTTTTTGCCACTGGATCAGGTCCCCCACTGTAATTAAATTTCTATGTTGAAATTAAAAAATTATAGCACTGTAGTAAGCAATAAAATCAAAAATTCCTTGCCATGTTTCAGCTCTGATGTCATACGCCGCTGCGCTTCTGTCGAAATAACGCTTGGCGACTTCTGGCGCCATGAACAGCTTGGTTCCACATGGGGTCTTCAAGAGTCCGAGGCTGTTCTCAGCTGGCGTATACTTGCGAGAGAGCCCAAAGTCGGCAATCTTGATCGTCCCTTCTTTGTCAAACAAGAAATTGTCGGCTTTAAGGTCTCGATGAACAAATTTATGGCTGTGCATGAAGGCCAGGCCGCAACAAACCTGCTGGATGATATTGTGAACTACATCTTCTGAGAAGATCTGAAACACTTCTTTGGTCTCTCGGTCTTCTTTCTGTTCTGCCAAACTGAAAGTAAAAGGGTGTTGTTAGTCTACAAGGTGAATTTTATACTGAATGGTCTAAAAATGAAATAAATTTGGCAGTTTTAGATTTCATCGTCTAAATAATGTAAGATGAAGAATTCAAGATACCTTGTTGGTCGACTTACATCTCCATCACGATTTTCCCAAGAGGGTAGAGAGCTGGCATGATCAGAGTGAGGACTCCGTCATTCGTGATGCATGCACAGTAGAGATGGACAATGTTTGGATGATGCAAAGTGCCCAAAGCGCGGATCTCACGTTTCTGAAAGACAGCAACTAGAGTCTTCAAGAATTACCCTCAATCACATTTCTGGATGAGATTCTGGAACTAAAAGAAGTTATTAACAATATTGTATACACTTACGATCATGTCAATGTCTCTTTTGTAGGTCCGCACCAGCTTGATGGCACATTTCGACTTTTCCTTTTCATTGTAGCCCCGGAACACGGTTCCAAATGATCCGGCACCCAGCACACTCCGGACCTTGAAAAACGAGAGGTTCGCTTCCCAGAGCTTTTCCGGTTGATAATTCGCGGCGACTTTCTGATAGGCCAGAGACGGATCCGAATAGGTTCGGATGGCCTCGCGGACCTTGCGCACGCCCGAGGCGCCGATGTCCTTCAGAACACGTTCTGGACGAATCGATTCGGAAGGGGTCCCCCAAAGGCGGACGTCTTCTCCGCTCATCGGGGTCAACGAGTCGCGGTCAAGTGCTGTCGACGAACGGACCCGACCAGACTTTGGTGAGTTTGGGCAGTGAAATTACATTTTTGTCGGTTTAGGATTATGCAAATTCGTTGCAAACTGATTTCACACTTTTGTTGACAGCTTGTTTTATTTCTAATTTTGATCTCTAAAATAATGTAATTTTTTTGACAAAAACGTGCCTTAACAAGGGATCGGCAAATAGTTGCACCCTGCTTTCTTAACGAAACATGTATCATTTGAAAGAGCATAAAAAATAGTGCACAGCGCAAAAAAAATTAGCTGCCTAAATTACCTTAGGGCATAGATACGACCGCTTTTTGAAAGGGGTTATATGCGGCCAAAACGCCGGTTCCTTATATTACAGTAATCCTGGCGGTTTGAAATTGTCTTTATTAATTTTCTGGTATCCAAAAACGTCTATCACGGTCGTTTTATGGCTTTACCAATCCTCGGTTGTATGTTATTAGACATTACTGCTGGTTACAGTAAATTGTAAATAAAACTAGGTTAAAGGGAAAATTGGAGCAAAAAGCTTTGGAAATACATTTATATGATCGTCGTGGTCATTCACAAACGAAAATTTCAAAATCGAAAATTTCTTATGTCCTAGCCTTACCAATGGTTGGTCCACTGTGTCAGCAATAGTGTCTTTGGCCGATTTTACAATTTTATCTTCGTATTTTTTCAAAAAAAAGTATATTTATAGGCCCTTGTAAATTGAATTATCCTCCAGCAATCATAATCGGTCAGGCTACTGGCATAACACCCTTGGAATTATACGATAGTGACATACCCACTCTCATCACCATCAAATTTGTGGTCGTTTCAAAAAAATTCAAAAACTCAGAAAAATTGCGTAACCATGGATTTTGTCTGCGGAGGAACAAAAATTATTAAAAAATGTCAACATACCATGGTTTTGTGGCATATAAGAGACGAAACGCAAAATATTTACAGAGACCGGATTCGAAACCAGGACTCGCTGCGCCGGAAGTGGGCTCACTACCACTCGGCCAACTGGACACAACTGTGTTGCCATTCTGAGAACTTATAAAGCGAGGCGGAAATTAGGCTAAAATCTGTATTTTGGCCATAACTTTGTCCAAAGTGAATTTAGGCAGCTAATTCTTTTTGCGCTGTGAACTATTTTTAATGCTCTTTCAAATGATATAGGTTTCGTTAAGAAAGCAGGTTACAACTATTTGCCGATCCCTTGTAAGTGGATTTTTAATATTGCTACATTTATCCCTCCCTCTAATTTTACGTAATGACGGTTAAAGTCAACAATGCGTCTTTCTAAAATAGGCTTTTTATTATACATCGTCATTGTCTTGAACCCAGCTCTGCAAATAAAAAGCGAACATTTTGTGGATGTCTGATGTGACTTTCAGAACATGAGGATATCAGGCTTACTTCTACTACTTACTACTGTTTGTTGTGGCCAAAATAAATGTCAGAAATGCACATTGCGATTCGAATGTTGGGATGGGTCGGATGGGATCGAGGATGGAGTTATCGTTCACAGTGAGATGAACAAGTTCGATGGGTGTGCGCGGTCGAAAGTCAGTTGTAAAGGGGCGAACAATAAGTCGGTTACACTTCTGAAAATTGGACAAGTGAGCGACTAGGGTCTTACTTACATTGTTTAGTACATTACTTTGTCCGAAGTGGAGCTTGTGTGCAATGAAAAAGGGAAATGGAGTCCCTACAATGCAGAGACCGTTGCCTGTGGAGGTGAGGGCAAATTTAGACTTTAATATTGTAAATTGTAGATGTAAAAAATTAATATTTTAGTCTCCGGATCCACTGGAGTTCCACTTGCTCCGACCTGTCTAAGTGTAACCGAAGTTGTCTATGATGGGACTGAAACTGGCGACGAAAAGTCCGCGAAGGTTGCTGAGAATTGCAAAAGCTGTCCAACGGATGTGAAATGCTTTGGGAATGATGACGTCTTCGTCGACGGGATCATTGATTGGCGGATTTCCAAAGATGACGCAACTGGATGTGCAATATTGGATGCGGAATGTGGATTTGGTGGGGAGCCGAGGAAGGGAAGCGATGTTGCTCAACTGTTCGTTGGAAAAGTGAGATTATGTGATTTTAGAAAATTGTCGCTTTAGTACTCGTTTGACAAGAAAGTGAGGCTAAAATGTGGTGCGAATGGAGCTTGGGTGCCCGAAAAGAATAACGAAATAAAATGTGGGGGTAAGTACAGCGATAAATGGATTTTTTTACCAAGTTATGGCTTTTTAATATTTTCGGGTGTAAATTTCGAGTCGAAATATGAAGAAATATTATCATTACAGTATACCGAACAGAGGGCACTCTTCCGCCGAAAGTCTCGTCCCAAGCCACTTGTAAATTGCCCAAGCCAATTCGACCCCCAGGCTACGAAGACCTTGAAGATCCGTTACCAACTGAACCGGCGACCACTGAACCGACTACCGAGCTCACAACAACCTCATCATCTACGTCTCTGACCACCGCACCTACCCGCAAACTCAAGAAGATCACTCTCCCCAAGCCGTCTTGCTGCGGGTCTTGGTCCGAATGGATGGAGGTTACGAAATGTGCGGATACTTGCGGAAGTTGCGGCGTCCAAAGAGTAAGAAGAAAATGCCTCACAGACAAATGTAAATGCGAAGGGGAGTCAGAGGAGATCAGGCATTGCAACAGACAGCCTTGCCGACTCTCCAGGACTTCTTGCTGCTCTCCGTATCGACCACAAGTCGAAGGGAGCAATATTGAATGTGGAAATCAGGTGAGATGGGCTCAGAAATGGGGTCAAGATGACTGTAACTTTCCAGAATACTCTCTCAATTGCCGCTAAGATCCAATGCGACCGTCCGCAATGTTGTCCGCCCAATGGAATCTGGAGTGAATGGCAAGCTTACGGTAGATGCCCTGTGGGATGTGGCGGATTTGCAAGGTCGAAAAGGAAAAGAATTTGCTTATCTCAGTGGGTGATGGGATGCAAATGCGAGTAAGTGCAATATTGGATTTATTTCCTATAAAATTTTCATTTTTAGAGGGCCTGATCATGACTCCGGACCTTGCAATCTAAAGCCTTGCACTCAAGTTGGCTGGACCAAGTGTCGAAGTGGGTTGTTGCCGATGAAAAGGGGATACGACAGGTTATGTAGCGAGTTTGTCTCCAAGAAAGAACAAACGGAATGCTGCCCATTTGGTTGGTTATATTATGTTAGATCGATGAGTATTTGACGAGTCATTTTCAACTTCTTTTCAGGGGGGATTTGGGATCAATGGTCGGAATGGACTCATTGTAAAACGCCTTGCGGAGGATGTTCAACGACACGAAGATGGAGAATGTGTGCTTCCGAGAGGGTGGGATGCCCGTGCACGTAAGTTTTTACATTCTTCTAGACATTAGTGACGTCGGAGTTTATTTTATCAAAGAAAATGTTATTTCATCATGTCAAATTTTGCATTGCAGAGGTGATGACAAAGAGGAAGAGCCTTGTAACACCGTAACTTGTGAGCATGGCAAACCGTATTGTTGTAGTCCTCTTCAAGTAGTCATCTATGCGGGGAACGCGTTATGCTGGTTGAAAGAGCGGGCGGTTCATGATATCATCCCTGCCAAACATTACGCCGAATTCTTCACTCTTACTCCAGAAGAATACGGGAAGAATTTGATCGTAAAGACTTCGACGACAAAAGAAGCGAAGGGCAAATGGTCGGACTGGGAAGGATACTGTACGGAGGAATGCGGCCTGTGCGGACATCATATAAGGAAGAGGAAATGTTTGGGACCCGGGGATTGCAAGTAAGTTGAATGAATTCCAAAGAGGTCATAGAAATCTGAGATCTTTCACAAAAATTACTTTTTCCCGAAAAGGCAGAAGAAAGATAAGAAAATGCGTTTTATCGGATAGTGACATTTCGTTTTGAACGAATCACCAAAAAGGGGCGGGAAATTTTTTCTTCTGTTTATTTTGGGTTGACGTTAGCTGAAGCATTTCTCTTTAGACTTCCATCAACAACAATAAAATCATCCTTTTCAGTGGGAATTACCGCGAAGAACTGCGTGGAGTTTGTCCTCGAATCGCTTGCAAAGCCCCCCACAAGCCTTGTTGCCACGGTAAACCCGTCAAAATTGCAGGAATCTATGTTTGTATATTGTCGAAATGATGTGAAGGTAATTGTTTATATAAACCGAATGTAAATTTAAAGCAAAAAAATGTATTGAGAAAGTTGTCTGGCACTTAAAATGGCACTATAAACTTGCATAAAAATTTTCAGTAACGGGAATTGAGTGAAGTTTTTAATTCAAGAGAAAACAAGACTCATTCGGAGAGCCCAATGCTCGGCGGAGACATTAAGATTATAAGGTACATCTTGTTACATGGCGGAGGACTCGTTACAACGGTCGAAATAAGGCTTACAGTAGACCTTGATGCTTTTAAGAAAATTCCGTAACATTTTGTCTTCTAGCGCACAATTCAAAGTTGGTTGTTCTAATCTTTTGAAGGAACTAAACCAGCAATAACAGAAAATTTATGGTCTTACAAATTTCCATTTTACATTACAAGTAATTGGCACAAAAATTTTTGCTTATTTTTCTGGTTCCGAAGTCGTATTTCGTTTTCCTGAGTTGTCACGGCACGCTTTTGACGAGCATTCCGATTAAAGGCTCTTTCGACGCTTCCCTGGAGTAGAGAATAAGATGAGGCAGCGTCGATCCCATATGTTTGTTTTCTCATTATCGGAATATATAAGAAATAGCGCATCTAAAAATAAACTTATCCGTTACAAACCCGTTTACCTCCAGGAGTTTCCTGATACCAAATGTTGCGTTTACTCGGCTCCAAAACAAAGAAGAATTGGTCGCCGATTCGGCGGAAGATACTATCCTCGTGGCAGTATTGCACGAATCGAACTATGGGCTGGCCTTCAATGATGGAGAAAGTCTAAAATGTAATCTTTTGCTTTTTTACATTCATCCTACCTTCAACGAAAATCTTGCCGGGCCTTCATCCACAAGGATGAGATAGGTGTCTCTATTAAGTTGCTGAAGCCTGCGATAAGACAAATTCAAATTTCGTCGCACAATCTCGTCATTCTCCAGCGACAACATAACGAATTCTGTGTTTTTACTGGTGCCGATTCTCTTCTTGGTGACCAGCACAGAATCGCCGTGAGCAATCATTACGAAACACTGAAATCGAGAGGTTGTATGACTTAAAAACGTATTCATTTAGTTATAGGAAAGGGTCCTAAGAGTCTAATATATATATCTATTAGCTGTGAATTGGGAATAAACATACCAAACTCAGATCCGGCCACACCATCGTATACTCTTTTTTCGTGTTCATATCATAGCAAAAGGCTCTTTGTGGGCCATCAATCGGCATTCCTCCAAAAAAAAGTTTATCGTTGGCAACAGCTAAATTGGAAATCATCAAGCGCGGCCGAGTCGTGTAGAACAACTTGAATTTACCATGAGATGCAAGGTGTTTTCGGTAAAAATTTATAAAACCACCTTGTTGCATTGCTCCGTAATACATAATGTCGTTTTCGTCGATAGCAATTTGAAGAACGCGACCGATGTCCTATAATAAAGGTTTGATCTAACGTGAAAAGGAATGGAAAGTACCATTTTCGTTGAATAATATTTGACTCCTTTGCCGTGATTGACGGCAAGGTCGTAGTTGTTTCCAATATAAAACTCGCAGTAATCATTTTTCGAATACCTTTCAATAATCTTGTTGCGCTTAACCTTGTGTTTCAGAATCATAGTCTTCTTGGAGCCATCTCCCTCTGTGCCCTTAGCGACTTTCATTATAAATTTCAAATAGCTGCGGATGGATGAACAGTACTGTGTATGCTCCATCTTCAAACCGGTAAGTTGAATTCCGCTGCGTTGATCGATGTCTGCCTTTCTGGTGCCGCATCGCCTGTTGTATGATAACACACATGGTAGGGAAGATACGAAGCTAAATAATACACATATATACAACGGGTTCTGACAGGGCATGTGCTTCGAGTAATCAGAACAAACCTCTTTAATTCAAACCCCCAATTTGTGTCCCTTCCGAGCCTCGGGATGATATCATTGGCTCTAAAAGATCGTTGGATTCTATTCAAACACTCTGAATCTTCGGGATCAACAAAGTCGATTTTCTGAGGAAGAGCTACCCTATTCAGGATATTGTCTCTCAATTCCAAGGGCAGATCCCTCAGTAGCTTCTTCAGAGCGGAAGTCTTCTGAAATTTTTCTTGAATTAACTGTGCAAGAAAACATGGCTACCAATCCCAATGAGGTTTGCGATACCAATAATCTGTGTGATGTTGGAACCTTGATTGCAATAACGAAACTATTCGATAACCTGTGGAATCCGGTAAATGGTTCAATAAAGTTTGACATAGCTGCCCATAATACCTTCTCCAATTTACAACTGCACAGCCAAATCACATGCTGACAACTCCCAGCATGTCTTGATTTCAAGCCGGCGTTTACGGGGTTGGAAATGTGCCTACCTGATTCTTCCTTACACCCATCGTTGTGGGAAGGTCATTACACGACTTGGATCTTTTCTTGCCAAACATGATGGTTACTGTACTAAGGGAAAGCTGGAATAAATGGCAGGGAAGAGAAAATGATCCAGGAATCAAGATCTCAAGCAAAAAAACGCTGAACGAAGATTACAGAAAAAGGTATGAGCAGATAGCCGCTTTTTCTGGTGTTATCTGAAAGTAAAGGGCCAGAGGAGATTACGCCTATAGTATATTCGATTGGCGTAATCGAGCAATTTCGTAATAGACAATCTAAAAGTTTTAAAGGAGCAGTTATTACTAGTCGCGGAAAGTTGTGATAAGAAAATGCGTTTTATCGGATAGTGACATTTCGTTTTGAACGAATCACCAAAAAGGGGCGGGAAATTTTTTCTTCTGTTTATTTTGGGTTGACGTTAGCTGAAGCATTTCTCTTTAGACTTCCATCAACAACAATAAAATCATCCTTTTCAGTGGGAATTACCGCGAAGAACTGCGTGGAGTTTGTCCTCGAATCGCTTGCAAAGCCCCCCACAAGCCTTGTTGCCACGGTAAACCCGTCAAAATTGCAGGAATCTATGTTTGTATATTGTCGAAATGATGTGAAGGTAATTGTTTATATAAACCGAATGTAAATTTAAAGCAAAAAAAAATGTATTGAGAAAGTTGTCTGGCACTTAAAATGGCACTATAAACTTGCATAAAAATTTTCGGTAACGGGCATTGAGTGAAGTTTTTAATTCAAGAGAAAACAAGACTCATTCGGAGGGCCCAATGCTCGGCGGAGACATTAAGATTATAAGGTACATCTTGTTACATGGCGGAGGCCTCGTTACAACGGTCGAAATAAGGCTTACAGTAGACCTTGATGCTTTTAAGAAAATTCCGTAACATTTTGTCTTCTAGCGCACAATTCAAAGTTGGTTGTTCTAATCTTTTGAAGGAACTAAACCAGCAATAACAGAAAATTTATGGTCTTACAAATTTCCATTTTACATTACAAGTAATTGGCACAAAAATTTTTGCTTATTTTTCTGGTTCCGAAGTCGTATTTCGTTTTCCTGAGTTGTCACGGCACGCTTTTGACGAGCATTCCGATTAAAGGCTCTTTCGACGGTTCCCTGGAGTCCAGAATAAGATGCTGCAACGTTGGCGTCGATCCCATATGTTTGTTTTTTCATTATCGGAATATATAAGAAATAGCGCATCTAAAAATAAACTTATCCGTTACAAACCCGTTTACCTCCAGGAGTTTCCTGATACCAAATGTTGCGTTTCCTCGGCTCCAAAACAAAGAAGAATTGGTCGCCGATTCGGCGGAAGATACTTTCCTCGTGGCAGTATTGCACGAACCGAACTATGGGCTGGCCTTCAATGATGGAGAAAGTCTAAAATGTTTTTTTGATTCTTTTAAATTCATCCTACCTTCAACGAAAATCTTGCCGGGCCTTCATCCACAAGGATGAGATAGGTGTCTCTATTAAGTTGCTGAAGCCTGCGATAAGACAAATTCAAATTGCGTCGCACAATCTCGTCATTCTCCAGCGACAACATAACGAATTCTGTGTTTTTACTGGTGCCGATCCTCTTCTTGGTGACCAGCACAGAATCGCCGTGAGCAATCATTATGGTATTCTGAAATCGGCAAGTTTTATAGCTTAGAAACGTATTCATTTAGTTATTTATTAGCTATTAATTAGGAATAAACATACCAAACTCAGATCCGGCCACACCATCGTATACTCATTTTTCGTGTTCATATCATAGCAAAAGGCTCTTTGTGGGCCATCAGCCGGCATTCCTCCAAAAAAAAGCTTCTCATTGGCAACAGCTAAATTGGTAAGCAACATGCGCGGCCGAGTTGTGTAGAACAACTCGAAGTCACCATGAGATGCAAGGTGTTTTCGGTAAAAGTTCATAATTCCACCTTGCTGCATTGCTCCGTAATACATAATGTCGTTTTCGTCGATAGCAATTTGAAGAACGCGACCGATGTCCTATAATAAAGGTTTGATCTAACGTGAAAAGGAATGGAAAGTACCATTTTCGTTGAATAATATTTGACTCCTTTGCCGTGATTGACGGCAAGGTCGTAGTTGTTTCCAATATAAAACTCGCAGTAATCATTTTTCGAATACCTTTCAATAATCTTTTTGCGCTTAACCTTGTGGTCCAGAATCATAGTCTTCTTGGAGCCATCTCCCTCTGTGCCCTTAGCGACTTTCATTACAAATTTCAAAGAGCTGCAGATGGATGAGGAGTACTGCAAATGTTTCATTCTCAAACCGGTAAGTTGAATTCCGCTGCGTTGATCGATGTCTGCCTTTCTGGTGCCGCATCGCCTGTTGTATGATAACACAGATGGTAGGGAAGATACGAAGCTAAAGAACAGACATATATACAACGAGTTCTGACAGGGCATGTGCTTCGAGTAATCAGAACAAACCTCTTTAATTCAAACCCCCAATTTGTGTCCCTTCCGAGCCTCGGGATGATATTATTGGCTCTAAAAGATCGTTGGATTCTATTCAAACAATCTGAATCTTTGGGATCAACAAAGTCGATTTTCTGAGGAAGAGCTACCCTATTCAGGATATTGTCTCTCAATTCCATGGGCAGATCCCTCAGTAACTTCTTCAGAGCGGAAGTCTTCTGAAATGTATCTTGAATTAACTGTGCAAGAAAACATGGCTACCAATCCCAATGAGGTTTGCGATACCAATAATCTGTGTGATGTTGGAACCTTGATTGCAACAACGAAACTATTCGATAACCTGTGGAATCCGGTAAATGGTTCAATAAAGTTTGACATAGCTGCCCATAATACCTTCTCCAATTTACAACTGCACAGCCAAATCACATGCTGACAACTCCCAGCATGTCTTGATTTCAAGCCGGCGTTTACGGGGTTGGAAATGTGCTTACCTGATTCTTCCTTACACCCATCGTTGTGGGAAGGTCATTACAGGACTTGGTTCTTTTCCTGCCAAACATGACCTTTCTTCTTGAGGACCTTCTTTTGCCAAGCATGAGTATACTTAGGAAAAGCATGCCATATATGACTGTACGTATAATAAATGGCAGTGTCAAGAAATGAGAGAACATGATCAAGAAATCAAGATCTCAAGCAAACCAACGCCGAACGAAGATTACAAAAAAAGGGTATGAGCAGAGAGCCGCTTTTTCTGGCGTTATATGAAACTAAGGAGCCAAGAAAAAGACGCCAATCCATTCGATTGGCGTAATCAGGCAATTTCGCAATTAGTATAGTCAACAGACAATATATGTAACATTTTCATTGTTACATATACTTTGGGAATGCTAAGCACGTAGATATGTGGGTTAAACCTCTTTGATTGAAGGATGCAGCCGTCTGCACAGCCCCTCACAGACCCTTTTGCTACGGTAAACCTGTCAAAAATAATATCTAAGCTTGTATATATATGTATTGTCAAAGTAAAGTCAAGGTAATTGTTTATATAAATCGATGTAAATTCAAATGACAAGAATCTTATAGAAAGTTTTCTGGCGCTTAAAATGGCAGTAATAACTTACAAAAGAATTTTCAAAATGGAAATTGAGTGAGGTTTTTACTTCAATACAAAACGAGACTTTTTCACCGAAGAATACGATTTATAGACAGAAGGAGTTCGATACAACAAAATAAGGTCATTTCAGGGGATTAAAGCCCTACGAACAAGGTTTTCAGATCATAGAAAGACGGAGGAATTAGATAATGTCGCAAAAATTTTGATAATAAATACTAATAATGGCATTAAAGACACATTGTACTAATGATGACATTAAAGGGACAAAAAAAGGATTTTCAGAGGTAATATTACTTATTAGAGCGGAGATTTGACCACTGTTCGTCAAAGGGGATATCGATCATGCCATTTGCAACCGGAGATTGGGCTGCGGACGGTTTGGCGGCCTTAAATAATATTATACTTGACATCAGAACAAAAATTTTTGAAAAAGCGTCAAAAAAGCATGATTTTCAGATAAAAAATGTGTAAATTTTTACTAATTTTTCGTTTTCCAACTTAGAAACCTTGTGCCTCAATAGAAAGCCAAAATTGCAACGTTTTTAAACCAATGATGGTTTTTCCTACTGTAACCATCCATCTTACCGAGTGCATGAGATAGATGGTGTAGAAAGTTGTGATAGTCATTGTTAAGTAGTGTGCAATTTAAGTGCCCCCTTTCACCGTCCAACTCAGCCTCCCTTCGATGGTATCAATACTAAATTCGGTCTCATTTCCGGCTTGTTCTTCTAGCTTCTTCCTAAAATCCCGAAATTTGATTTGGAAAGTGAAAAAAAACTGCAGAAAAAACGTGAGTTCACAACAATCGTGAAGGCAAACACACTATCTACAAATTCTAAGTGCGGAAACCGATAAAAATGGGATAAAATATATAAATATTATTCATCACCATCTCTTACCCATCTGAAGAGTTCTGGGCATTCTGAAAAACACACAATATGCAAATTTGTTAATAACTTTGTGGATAGATATTAGTCAGTAATTAAGGAAATTTCACAGCAAATCACACCCCTCCCAAAATAGTTTAGCCCACAAAATCATCAATTATATTGCCCATGACGCTTACATCATAAGGTTTCCATGAGCAATATGGCAAGGGAAGACCGTCTGGGCCAGTAGGACAAGGCGCATCCAATCCGGGGATTCCCTGAAAACACATTTACATTGTGAGCGACACAAAAGCCTTCGAATACTATTAGAGCCACTCACTTGATCTCCTTTAGCTCCACGAAGTCCTGGTCGTCCTCTGGGCCCTCTTTCTCCGGGCGGTCCGATTGGTCCTGGTGCCCCGGGCAACCCAGGATCTCCTTTTTGTCCAGGCAGCGCGTCTTGACCCTAAAATCCGATATCATAAAGTCTGTAAGGCCGAATTATATCATCAACACAATACCAAGAACTAAAATTATAACCGGAAAAGGAAAAGAAAAAACATAGCTGAAATATGATAGGATTATCAAGTAAAATAAAAGGTATAAACAAAGTTACCGGTTCTCCATCCTTCCCATCGCGCCCGGCTGGACCTTGAGGACCTGGCGGGCCAGGGAGTCCCATGTTTCCGGGCAATCCAACATGCCCGGTGTCTCCTTTCTCTCCGCGAAGGCCGGGAGGTCCGGGCAATCCCGACGATCCTCTAGGGCCCGGAGGCCCGGGTGGGCCAGCCACAGCGGCAGTGGCACCACCTGCGAGTTGAATCCGTTCTCCTGGCGGCCCAGGAAGTCCAGGGGGGCCAATCAATCCCGGAGGTCCAATATCGCCTCGGTCTCCTTTCTCGCCAGAATGCCCGGGAAGACCCTGAGGACCCCGGGATCCGGTTAAACCAGGTGGGCCAATTGGTCCCTAAATTTGGATTCCTTATCTGTATGATGACACTAGTCTTACCATAGGTCCAGGTGGTCCTTGACTAACATTCTTCAGGATTTCATCTCTAAGAATTGGAAGTAATGTGGGCAATAATTCTTCGGCTTCATGACGCAACATTCCCTTGGACAACTAAAGAACAGAACCGGATAGAAAGGTCACAACCACAAAACTGTATAACTTTGGAAATTGAAAAAGAACCAAATTGATAGAGCAAAAGTAGATTAACCGTCAAAAAGGTTTGTCACGAAGAGATATTCCCTTACCTTTCTTCCCCGCTTTCCAGGCTGTCCTGGTTCTCCTTTCGGTCCCATTGGTCCAGGTGCGCCAGCATCTCCAGGATCTCCTTTTTCACCCTTCTCTCCATCCTTCCCATCACGTCCGGCGGGACCGGGAGGGCCTTGAATAACGGTGCTTCCTCCGTTTGTCCCTTGAACCGTCGAGACTCCGGGTTCTCCGGGGACTCCGCGGAGCCCACGGTCTCCTCGGTCACCTTTCGCTCCCTAAAAGAAAGTTTTTAGGGTCATAAAGCACAAGAGAGCGAAGCAATAGAAGCGAGGCTCAAAGTGGACGTTACAATTTACATTACAGTAGTTCGAGACGATACCACTTACCTTTTCTCCCCTCTGTCCTGGATATCCGGGCTTTCCTTCCAGTCCGGGTGGTCCAGTCAATCCTGGCGGTCCAATTGGCCCGATCATTCCGGGAATTCCATTCAATCCGGGGACTCCTGGAGGACCAGGGGGGCCCGGAGGTCCTGGCGGACAAGTTGGAGGAACAGCTGTTGTTGAATGAGCATGATGATTATGATGATGGTGATCGTAGATCTGGGACGGAGCAAGAGCACTGCCGACCGGGCCAGGGGGGCCGGGATGACCCCGATCTCCTTGGTCTCCTTTAGCTCCAGGGAAACCGCGAGGCCCAACAAGACCAGTGGCTCCATCTCTTCCCGGCAATCCCATTGAGCCCTATGGAAGGAAAGGAAATAGAAAAACCAATCAGAAAATTGAAGAACAACTTATAAATAGTAAGAAGTAACCAGTAAACGAAACGTAGCATTAAAAAAAGCCTTTCTTACCTTGACTCCCGGCTCTCCCTTCATCCCGGGCGTTCCTGGTCGTCCAGCTTCTCCTCGGTCTCCTTTTGGTCCGACCTTACTTTCCCCATCAAAGCCGGGCAATCCTCGATCGCCCTTAGGGCCTGGAGGTCCCGCTTTTCCAGCGGGTCCAGGAGGTCCTGGAGGCCCTTGAACTACAATCGGGGCTACTGTTTCCGCCGAATACGGAACTGACGACCTCGTTTGAGCATAAGCTAACCTTTGGACAAACGGTGCTGAAGAGTCGCCCTTAGGGCCTGGAGGACCAATGGGACCAGCTGGCCCACGTTCTCCCCGATCTCCTTTGGCTCCGGGAATCCCCTGCAAATTTACATTTTATTTTAAAATCGGATTACTCTTATCTTGAAAAGAAATCAATTTCTTACCGGTAATCCTCTTGGCCCATCCAAACCAATAGGTCCTGGGAAGCCTGGGTAGCCTCGAATTCCTTTTGGACCCTGAAATCATCAAGCATATTATAAAAACTCTTCCGAAACCGGATTAGTCTCAATATCACAAGCCCAAGAACGAAATACGAAAAGAACAGTGATAATTGAGAGAGAAACCAACGAAAATTTGAAATACCGGAGGTCCAGGCGGTCCAGGCATTCCTCGCACTTCGATCGTCTTCCCATCCGGAGCATAGAAGAAGCCGTAATGCTTCAATTGCCGACGATTCAGACGATCAAACGGCTAAAAATCACGACACAAATAACTTATATCTGCAACGAGTTAGGTGAAGAAAAAATAAAGATTGAAAACTAACAACAAGACGTTCACGAAGTCGACGATGATTGTGTTTACAGATGCCCGGCGGACCCTAAAACCAAATAAAACAAAATACGAAGAAATCACATCATGTGCAATAAAATTATTGGTCAATTTAAAGAAAACAGCGACTGTTGTTCGACTTACTGGCTCGCCCGGCTCTCCTTTTGGACCTGAAAAGATGAATTAAATATTTTTGCATTATAATCAAATTAATTGTATTTTCTAATGCCTTTAATATCCCTTCAAGCTCTTCTTGTTCATAAATCAGATGTCATCTGTCATGTTTTTTGCGGTTTTGGCAATGATTTTTCAAAAAAATGAGCCAAAGATTTGCAAAAAGACTGGAAGGAGATGTCACAAATTGGTTGTTTTTAAACGATGACACAATGACATACCTGGTGGACAATAACATCGGGCCTGTTGTTGAGGCGTCTTCTCCGCCGTGTTATCGAAAATCGACCGGTGTATCCGAGGGTTCGTCACATTACTCGTATTCAATTGGACTAGTTGGTCGGCATAGGGCTGGAATGGGATTTTTAGAAGGGAAAATGGGACCAAATTGTGGATTTGGAACTAGATATTATCTTAGACATTGGATTGGTTGGATATGGAAAATCCGAGGAAAAGGACTGTGGAATATGAGGAGGGAAGATCAGAGAAAAATTATTATTTTTTTTACATTGTAATCAAAATTTTGTAAAAATGATGATTTTTCATATAAAATTTTAAATTTTAGGTCATCTTTCGATGAGTTTACAATTTTGCAGACGTTTTAGACAGTTCTAATATTAATTTGCGTACACTCTCCACACAATCTGCCAGCTAAATTTTGAGAATTTTTGTTTTTTTTTTTTGTAATTCCTTTTTTTTCAAACTTTTTTTCAACTTTTTGTTTTCGTTTTTGCAACCGCTTCCGTCACCACGTTGTTGTTTATTTCCCCCATTTTTCACACTCCTTCGCCCTGATCTGCCTCCATTAACATGTAGTGGACATTAAACTCCCGCTGTGTCTTCGGATTCCATTTCGTTTTTTGGTGGGGGTTCATGTGGGAATTGAGAGATGCAAGAATGCGAAAAACAAACAAAAAGGTTTAATTTTGATTCCGAAAAAGGATTTCGCCTTTACGGCCCAGTAAATTGGACATTGCGCTCGGCCCGGGACCAAAGATTGATGCTAATTTAGGGCCAGGGAAAATTGGGCGACTACCTTTTGATGATTTGCATTTCGCAATAGATTTAATGGAGGGACCTCTTTTCTAAGCCATGAATAATACTATTTAAACTTCAAAATTTATCTCCCTTCCAAAAATTTTTATATTATCCATTAAATCTCCCCAACTTTTTGCTCTTTAACCTCACTAAAATCCTAAAAAATGGGACAAAAACCACTTTTTGACTCAACAAAATTTATGTTTTTTTCGATTAATCCTTTTTGTTTTGACAAAAAAAATCTGTTTTAATGACAAAGAGAGGCTGCACAATTTTGTCCGAGAAAAGAACAAATCCCTGGCAAGATTATGACACCTATGCAAGGCAGATGTCCAGAGATGTTTGAGGATGGATATGCAAACGAAAATGGGCTTAATGGGAGGTAATTGGATATAAAACAGTTAAAAATGGGATTCATAGAAAGAATCATGAGCAAAAAATTAAAAAAATGACGAAATGATGACATGGATAATATAAAAATGGCTGCAATAATAAAAGTAAAGACGTGAGGCAGCTTTAACAAACAAAAAACTATCTAAAATTAACTCTAATAACATAACATCGAGAAAAAATAGTTTTTGGAAATTCATAAATTTGCATAAAACTGAAAAATTTGTATAAATCTCATCAATCTTCCGGAGCCCCGCAATTATCGCATAAAGAAGACAGGTTAATCCCTCATAACGGGGCGATTACATAACTCCCTAATTTCTCAAATAACCGAGCAAACAGATGAGACACAATTTTTTTATAAAACATTTTTATGCGAAAATAAAAATTAAAATAAAAGAAATTTATTTTTTTTAAAATTTCTAATGGACTGACCTGCTCATCGTCGATGAATAACCTCTCCTCCAGCCGGAATATCCGCTGCTTCATCTGTTCCATTTGGATTTGTTGCCATAAAATTAATATCCCACAAGGCAAAAGTACGCCCAAGGTTGCTAAAATGAGCTGTAATTTGGAGACAGGAGTGTTTAGAAGATCTTTGGAGGGCCTGTGTTGAAAGGAGCGATATGATGCGTTGGATGGGGTTCGTCGATGAAGACCGCCGCTGGTCGCGGACATCCTGACGATGAAGTTTCTGAATCGGCTTTGCGAAGGCAATTGTTATCTCATCCTGCAAATTCCTGATTGGTAAATTAGCTAGAGCTCCTTAAAATCGAATTTAATGCAAACCAAACCGCAATAATCCAGTCAAACAAGCATTATGACCAAAAAATCATTTTTTGCCAAGTCCAATATAAAAAGCTTTCAGAACTTGCAAAAAATCCTAAATTAGATAAAGACTAATATGTCAGATCAAAATCTGTATGGTACAAAACGCATTCAACTTCAAACTTTCCAAAAATAAAGCAATTTCCTGTGGTCCCAACCCCCCTAAAGAGCCCACCTTCGGAGTGCATTGGCGTTTTTGCGGGACTCAGACGACGCTCCAATGAATCTTGGCCTTTTTTCTGGGTCCAAAATCAACTCCCGGAAATGAGTCAGAAGTGCAGACACTGTAAAATTCTTGCTTCAAATGACAAAACAACAAAAAGTTTTAGTACGGGGATTATTCAAATTTTTCGAATTAAAAAATTTGGTAAATTTGTGCGATTTCTAGGCAAAATTACATATGCATCGATGGTCATTGCTGGAGAAATTCTAATTTTTTAGCAGGCAAAAAGTTGAGAGCCTCTGGGAAAAGAATGGACGTTGAATTAGGTATTCTTCCGGCGGGGAAAAAGGTGTGGTCAACCAAAAATAGGAGAAGATTTGGGGCCGCTGATGAAGCATCTTGACCTTATGAGCTAGCAAGGTCTTTTTGAGACGTCAAAATTTGAAAAAAATGGAAAAAATCAGGCTTAGAAAAGTCTATCGTAAGCAAAATTAATGGCAAAATATTAAAACTTGAGCCCAAAAGGCAAGATAAAATTTTTGAAAAATTTGCATATATTTTCTAATCAACCGTTTCCCGAAGATTTAAGCCCGAGATGACACGAAAACCCGATGAAACTTGAAAGAACTCGAGCAAACATTGATAATCGTAAAGAATTCCGGAAAATATGCAAATAATTTACGACCAAGAATTCCAATTTTAGTCTCAAGACATCTTATTAATACTTTCCGGCTCCAAAATTCAAAAATTATAGAGAAATCCCGAGCCCCAAAAGTCATCCCTTTCCCCTTTTTTCCCTCCCGATCCGAACAGCTTTAGCCATTTTTTATATTCGCCTTCGCTTCGATGTCAATTAAAACAACACGATATTCATTTAGAAAAAACAATGCCCACTTTTGTTTTTCTTTCCGAAGTCGCAATTTGTAATCTGAAGGAAGGGATTTGGAGAAGGGAAAGTGGGCACTCAAAGGTAAAAATAAGTCTCGGACAGAAAGGGGAGGAGCCTCCGGGGAGAGGGTGATGATGTACTCGGAGAAATCAAAGGGCAGCGACAGGGTTTGGTGCTAAAAACATAGGATAAAAGATTCAGAGGAAGGCGGAAAGAGATTGTGATAAAATCCCGGAAATTTGTCGGTTTGAGGACAAAAAATGCAAAAGAAACGCAAATGCCTAAGGCCATTTTCTTCAAATTTTGTAAATATGATCCATAGAGACTTGAAATCAATCAGTGAAAAATTTTACTCCATAATTTTTAGGATCTGCCAAAATATTGAACCATTTGCGAGAGACAATGAAAAATGGGGAGAGACGGTCAGAGAAAACTCTTTTTTTGTCAATTTTTCACCCCAAAAATTGCGAAAAATCAAGTTTTCGGCGATTCTTCACTACAAACAAACCAGGCCTCCTGCAGAAACGATATTATTAAACCGCGGGCCTATCTTTGGCCCAGATCTCGTCCTTTCCCTTCCGATCATTGTTCATAAAAGGCACTGTTGTAACAGACAATTAGACGCGGCAATCTGTCCCTCTAAGAGTGGATTACCTTATCTGATCCAACAATTATGCCCTCAAATAATAATGCCGGCAAAAGTTTTGGCAATAAAACTTGTAGACACAAAGGAAAACCTTTTTTTTGAAATTTGATAAAACCGGTATCGTAAACAAAATCAACTGTAGATTCAAAGAGAATGCGGCGAGATAGATGCTCTACAGTAAGTGGGCCAATATAATATCAGAATTTTATGTCATGACTTAAAATTTAGCTGACATTAACCATCCAAAGATTGCAATCCGTTGCCCTTACGTCTCTCTCTAGGTCCACTTCCTTAAAGAAACCTACCCTTGCGAAGAGGTAGTAACTCATTTTAATTATAAAAAACGGAAAAGAAGATTTTTCAATTAAGCTCTTTGTATACAATATTATACTCGATCATGGGAGAGGAATGGAAGTAGGACGACTCTGGGATTGGAATATTTTGGGAAACGACATCAGAAAAAATAGTAAAATTGCGTTCAAATTTGATGACTAAAGAATTGAAAGCCAATGTATGCAACGACAGGCGTATTTTACAAGTAATTATAGTAAGGATAGCATCGAAAACAATATTAAAAAAGTTCTGGAAGTTTGCGCTTGCTGGTAATCTTTGAAGGCAGGGCATTACGGCAAGATTGAAAATACAGTCAGAGAATGGCTTTGGCTTTAAAATTGTGGTTTTTGTGAGGTCCTTAAATCTCGTATGAACCTAAGGAACTACTGACCTCAACTTGAAAAAAATTTGAAAAAAATCCGTGACTTCGCTTTCACTCGCTCTGCAAAAATTCCACTGTTCCCCAAGGCAATATAATCAACTCTTTATCCACTAAATCTATATCAGCAAACAGTCCAAAAATCACGGTGCCCATAAAACCTGAACCCCAAACTTTGTTGGTCCTCTAAAATAATTTTACGACGGTTCCCGTATCTCAAAAAAAGCCAAGGTCTTTATTTTTTCGACTGCGTTTTTGACTGCGGGAGTTGAGTGAGGGTTAACATCGTTATGTCGGATGTCTTTCAACAGCAACCAAAAGGTCATTTCGAATTTATAACAGGCACAAAAAACGAGTAGAAGAAGTTTTGGGGAGGAACTTGGAAGTGGAAGGAGTTTACGGCACCGTAAAAGACGGACATGGCATGTCGGTGTGGGGCTTGTAAACGGGTATATTGCGCAACTGGAAGGGCGAAACTGAGAAAATTGTGTGAAAAATAGAATAAACTGTGTTTTTAGGGCAATTTCCAGCACTAGGATATCAGAATGAGCCGAAATTTTTTTTAATTTATCAATTTTTTCGCCTTCTCTGTCTAGTACAATATCCAAAAAGAATTCAATCAAACAAATCAGGAAGAACCAGTTCCACCTTTTACCCCTCTTGGATAATGATTTGCAATAATTTCCCCCTCAGAGAATGACAAACAAATTCTCCCCGAACAAACCCCGGTATTATCCATTCGGAAGTAATGTAAGTTGGGTAAAAAAGCGTTCGCAGAAACATCCATTCGTCATAAATCTTAATGGATTATTTCCTTTCTGGGCAAAAAAAAGATTAATATAAATCTTTGTGTATCTTCCTCCAGTTGCGTAACATTTCTATGCATTTAGCGCGGAGTCCAAGAGTATTTTGAAGGATGGGGTAAAAATGGGCGTGCTGAGAAGGGGGTTGGGTATGCAGCAGTGGAATTTTATCACAATGATGTTAGGGCTCTGTAGTATATATTTTGAGATTTTAAAACGTATCATCCAACAAATGAATCTTATACGGCCAATTTCTTATTTGTCATCATCACCTAAAATAATATGCCAAAAAATCTCAAAAATTGCCAAAAATTTTAATGTACTCCAACCAGTGGAATAGATAATGCCCTCGAACGGCATCACAAATCTCCTCCAGTATCTTTTTCAGCTCTTACATTAATCCACCTACATTTTTCTACAACAATATCAGACAAACTCTCCCCAAAAGAATGTCGTAAACGGACAACCAAAGCCCCCACCAAACCACCGGCAATGCATTAATTAAGTGAAAGGAAACGGATTAAACATGAGATCGAGAAAAGATCAGTCCCAAAAACGCTTAAAGAGATTAGAATGAGCGGATATTCGGTCAGAACAAAAAAACAAAAAACCCGCGCTCAATAATTTTTTGAGTGCATTCCGAGAGTTTTACTTTTATATCTAGCTGAACACGAGTGATGAGAGGAGGGGAATTAAATTAATATATTCAAATTGGAGGCTAGAGGTGCTACTGTAATTTCAAGGGGGTGCTTGGGAGTAGTGTAATAGAAAAAGCAGAGAAAAATACAACTTGGTGTAGGAAGGTAGCGTTTACCGTTAGCCATTGATCAAATGGCTTGCCAAAAAGTTATGGTAATCAAAGACAACCCCAAAAATAACCTGCCAAAATTTTGAATTTAGCGGCAAAAAATGGCTAGCTGAGATTCCGAGGCGACCCTGATCCTGTGACAAGCCAGTTGAGATCTAGCGGCCAATTCAACCGTTTAACTAGCCATTTGGTATATAATAGATTTCAATGCAAAAGATAATTATACACAAAACGGATAGCAGCACAACTCTAGATAGCCAGCCATCTTAGAGGCATTGACCATCACTCCTGCTACTTTTCTAGCCTCTAAGGATACCTCCTTGTTAAGTATTAGTACGCCGATCACTCATCATACATTATCCTTTTTCCCATCTAAACATACGGTCATAACCCCATAACTCCAAACAAACAAACGCAAATGCCCAATCGATCTCTTCATGCATTGTCCACACAAATTGGCTGCGGAAAGAGCGTGCCGCACCCCTGACCTTATGCCGTTGCGCAACGATGATATAGCGATCCCTTTCCGGTACGAATCATAGATAAAGATCGAATATTATGCATCGCAGATAAACATGATGGAGAACTTTTTGTAACAACGAGATATGACTCAATTTGGGCGTAGTAATATTCCCGAGAGGGGAAACGTGCGCATTCAAAGGGGGCCTGGGACTAATAGCGATTAATTTTGGTCATAAAAGGAATTGTTATGGAGTGCTATGGCTTTAGTTCTACTTGAGGCTATGGAATTCGTAAAGGTAAAAAGTGGGTCGAGAAATAAAAGGGATTACAATGAAAAAAATTTCAATGAATTCTACACCCCAGAGTCTAAGGAAGCTTAAATTTTGGAATAAAATATATCTTCTTGGCCTCTCCAAAAAAGCGTAATTTTTATTTTTTGCGCATATGGCCAAGGATCCCGCAAGATTCCGCGTCAATTCATCAGGAATGGTCAGTGATCTGTCCGAGATGGAAATAAATAAACCGCAATATGTCACAAAAGGAAACGAAAGGGCTGGCTGAAAGTGGGACCATTCTGATCAGCGGAGGCCAAAAATTACAAAATAAAGTTCGAAAAATGATGACAAAAACATTCAAGATATAATACCTTGAAGTATCCCATTTATCTTTAGAAGCTGTACAATCTTGAAAACAAACATATATTTTGTGATAGAATAAACTACATAGTCACCCCATAAACCGCTAGATTTGGCCTTTTATCCCCCTCCCTTTTCAGTCATCCATAAATTTGCCGCGAATTCAAAGTGAAAGCGATAATTTTGCATGCTGAAAAGCCTCGACCGCATCGATTAATCACATTGGTGGAGTCATCACAGCAGATGTTCTTAAGGCCTCAATAAAAAACGAAAGCGATCCGCCTGACCTTTTAAGGCCCAAACCAACTTTTTTTTGGCCTTTGAAGGTAATGTGATCCGGTATTGTTTTAGCGGGAGAGGTCGTGGTTTATAACGGGAGATGTTTGAATATTTTGATGTGGAGAAGTGGGCTTGATCGAGATTTTGATGCAACATATGGTGGGGTAAATCAAAAAGGCATTTTTTCAGCCTGAACTTGAGATTTTTCTCCGTGACATGTCATGACAGTACGCCCATTTTTAAAGGACCACAAGTCCAATTGATTGTATAATTAGCACATTTCGTCTCTCAAAAAATCGTTTAATCATTGAGAAAAACGAATTCTCTTTATACAAATGACAAATTACTTGTCTTCATGGCACTCAATCCATCTCCAACTCGGAACACTCCAAAGTTTTTGCAAATCATCATAGAGCCTGGTCAATAAGCACAAGAAACTCTTTAGGATTTCATTTCCTTGACATCACCGATATAGTCGTTGTAGAGTGTTGGTTTGAGCGCCTTCCAATTTCAAAAAAATTAAGGCAATATCTCCAAATTCGTCTGTAATCAGGGCTTGAAATAATATTCAAAAATCATACTTACACATCCGATAAAATCAGCAAAATTGGCTGCGCTGACAAGACAACAATCCAAGCAAACTGAACGAAATGAACGATAAATGGAATACCCGTATTGGTGAGGGTGACATAGTTAGTTGGGAAGAGTAACAAAATGGATAAACTCATGTTTTGAATAATCAGACGGACCTCGAATTCTCGGGGAAGAGAGCCAGTTTTGTAATGACGTTTCTGAAAAGTTATGCGGATAAAGTGGGTTAATTTTTTTTGCAGAAAACAGGTGAGAATTGCATAGCCTTCACACGTCCACAAATTTTTGATTCGACTGATACAAAACTTGATTTTTTAATTTGCTCAAAAAAGCAAAAGTATTATCTCAAAACTGCCGCTTAAATTTTTGAAATCAACTTACATGGTAAAAGATGAGTCCGATGACAATAACATTGCCGGTGACCTCGCAGACCGAGCCCACTTTTCTCAGGTTCTCCGTGAAGAATACGAACTCATTATCACAGCAGAACTTCTTGAACTGAAGTAAGTGCCGATACCAAACATAATCATTGGTTGTTGTGAAATACAGCGACTGTAGAAACGAAGCCGTCAGCCAGCAAAACAAAATGATAATGTTGATTTTGGTCATTGAAATCTTGGTCTTACTGTAGACGTCTTTTAATGCCCAAATCCGCTCAAAAGTTAGACAAATTTGTTGGCAAGACATGGTCAGCAAGAGGTTCGTCATGGCAATGGATAGAGGCTGAAAAAGGAAAAAACAGTGATTTATCAGCCTTTGAAACTTATAAATTCCATTAGTAAAGCGCTTTGTAGCTTGATCTGTAACCTCAAAAACTTCATGGTAATAATGAATAATTTAGGCGATCATAATTTATTAATCAAACATTGCGCTAAAAACAGGAAAAAGTGCAATGTTCGGACAGCCTTCTTCTGTGCCTCTTTCGAGCACCAACGCGCTGGAATCGCCCTAGTCTTGCGGACTTTCCGTCAAGAGAAAGAATACTTGGTTTTCAGTTGGAACAAGAGCGCTTTAAGGACAAAAGAACACAGCACTTACTTTTAACAAAAAATAAGGCGCATTGATGTCAAAAACTGAGACACTGCTGAAGAACATGAACAGAAATATTTGCAAAAACGCATTCAATTCGATGGTGAACATCAGGCGAAATACAGGGCTCTTTCGGTGAAGTTTGAGCCGAATTATGGCCTGAAATAATCGTTATTATATTTTTTGCAGTAACCAATGTGAAACAACCCAACTTTCAGAGAATTGTTAAGCTTTAGTCTTCGTCAATTTGTTTGCAAACATGGTCAACAAAATAACAGTGGAAGTCTAAAGAATCGGTTACATTAATAACAGCAGCATGAACAACCGTCGAAATAGTTGTCGTAACAAGCATTGGGACTCCATAGATCACTCTGAAGTACTCCACATTCTCCAAAATAAACTCGGTCGCATTCATGAACGACAGCCTTCAAAATAAAAGAAAGTGGAGGAGAGGGCGATTGAAAATTTATGTGTATATTTGGAAGTCTACCCAGGTGATATTTGAATGCAAATAGTTATAAGGTAAAGGAATTGGGGATAAGCTGGGCATAGGTCATGTAATGCTTGAGTATTTTTTGTTTTTTGTTTTTTGGTGGTACAAGAATACAAGAAGTTGTTTGTCATACGCAGAGGAAATACGAATCTTGCTCAGCGTAATCCCCAAAGGCATTGTTTGTTTTTGTGAGCTACTGTAATTCTTGCGAACAATGTCTACCATTCAAAATGAATGACATTTACATAGACGATGAACTTATTTTAGTGACATAAATGCAGTAAAAAATATGTCCAATTAACAGGGGAAGTACTCCAAGTGCGACGCTCAGATTTTCTTTAAATTTTGCACACACGTCGGGTATGGACTAAATATCAATTCCTGAAAGTTTTAGCTCGCGCTTTGCGGGCGCCGCCCAGATATCGAACGATTTTTGCCGCCGAGAGAGCACGCTAAACGTGGAGAGCGGTCAGAGAGAAAAGCGCTTTTTTGCCATAACTTTGGCAGTTTCGTGCGGAAAAATTTGATTTTTTTGTAGAAACGTTATCCTTTACGGTTAAAATAGGAATGAAACTTTTCGTGCCGAAATTCGGCAAAAGGTCCTAAATTTTGGCCGACTTTCGACCTAAAAATCTCGGTTTTTTCTGCAAAACGCGAGCTAGGATTCTCGCATATGTCTAAGAAAAAATTATCCTAAATTTGCCAAGTTTCACCAAAATCTGAGCGTCGCACTTGGAGTATTATACTTTCCCTGTAAGTAGAAAGCCAGCAGAAGGAAGGCACAGAAAAGCGAACATAGACTTTTCTGAATACGATTTCAATGAATAACGACCTGTGAAAGTGATAATATACTAGTCAAAGGTTAGAATGTGCATCTTTGTTATTGTTTTCGTCGCCACTGCAACAAAAATCTTATCGTTTATCCTGTACATTTAGAAACAATCATTTCTTGTTTTTCCAATTATGTGTATTCAAATTAAGACTATTACGATTTACTTCCGTATCGTACACCTCCTTCTAAACTCCTGCCCTCTCTCAAAAATCCATTTGTTTGCGATCCATTTCTCTCCACTCAACACAGCACACCCAGCATGCTGTGTTCGGTCATCACCCGACCCGTCTTCGTGAAGATTATACCAAAAAATGGCACTTCCTTTTGCAGGTGCAACATGAATGTTGAGCTTTGTGAAGACGGTAGCGCCGCCTTTGTGTGGGGTGTTTAGCTGGAATTTAAAGTTTTATACGTACGGCTTTGAAGTTTAACATCAATATGTATACGTATATGTAGGCAAATACTTACATAGAACAGAGCCGTTGCAATTCTGCGACCAGTCGCCGGGGGAGCTGCGGTTGCGTTCTGGAAAGTCAAACGAGAAAACCGAAATGTTAAATGAAAGAGTCTTACCAAGATATGATCATAATGCGGTTTATACAGCCCTCCGATTCCATAATTATTCACTTTCAAGGCTTCCCCTGCCTTTGGATCCAACCCAGTCATCTCCTCCACCATTCTGTCGATCCTTTCAAGCTCTATGTCCGTGATGTTCCTCAAATCCGCCGTCAAACTCGTTCTTGTCGGAGTCGCCGAAACAACACCAGTATTGGAGTTGAACACCAATCCTCTCTTCAAGTTTCCCTTGGACAAAGTCCTTAGTTTTGTTGCAGCCGCATCTCCCAGAACGTCATGATAAACGCGGATCAATGGGTCCAAATAAATCATCTGCACTTTGAAATGGCTGATATAACTGCGTCTTTGGTAATAACAGATGGCTGTCGAGTTCTGATAGAACGGGATTGTATTGTAATTACGGCACACTCTGTTGAGGGGGCTGTCACCGGTTAGCCGATTGTTTAGAGGTGGTATATACTCGAGGTCCTCAAGTTCTCGGCCTTTGAGGAACTTCTTCAGCTGGACAACGTTTTCTGAAAATGAAAGGTGTTGGATTTTAGTAACTACTGCGGAAAGGACCTCTTCGAAAAGCCAATATATATATTTTTGGATGTAATACCCTACCATATCACACTTCCGTCCAGAAAAGCAACTATTAGTGTGAACCAAAAATTTTTTCCGATTTTTATATATTCCAGAAAGATACCTGTGTTCTGGATCTAGCACGGAGCACAAACATCACCGCACGCCCATGATCAAATCCCGTAATACCTTGTGTGGTCCTAAAGCAAATAAGGAAAGCTATTCTGTTAATGATGTTTTGATGGTATGCAAACTGTCGCGGCAATTCTATGGATCATAAAATTATCGCGATGGATTAAATGCGTTTATGGTGTTTGAACAAGCCATGGAAAGTTATGTGATTTTTATGAGTTTTCTCACTATATAAGATTGGCCTGAATCTTCAATAAATATATCAGAATCATTCCGTGATTTTTGGGGTTTGTGGAAATTCCCCGGTCCTGTTTTGTGCCCTATATACTCCCTTGAATATTCCCCTCCAACCCTCCCCTTAAGGTACAACCGCACCTTCTTAAGATAGATTCGTCGTCGGCATACAGCCACGACAAATTTATTGGTGACCCCGACGTGATTCGAACACGCAACCTTCTGACCCAGTCCCGATGGTCCTCCCTACATAACAGGACCTTCGCCAGGTACAGCACAGGAGACGATCGGGTTGCTCCCCGAATCGCCGAATTATTACAAGCAGCCAACCAGTTCATATCTGGACTGTCACAAGAAGAATTTGTAGATTTCCTACAAGTAAACCGATTTGCGCACCCGATTCCCTTAGAACAGCTGATGGGCTTACCCGACATAGTCCGACAACTCCAAGAAAATAATCAACAATCATCTACCGCGGATGATTTGCGTCAAAAACTGCAAAGGGAGCGAACGAATGCCACAGTTATGAGAAATAATCTGCCTGTAGAATGGAAGGAGAAAGGGAATGAGCCCCTCAATCTGAAGGAGGCAGAAAAAGGCGCCACCGCCTACTCTGCCGTGGCACTCATATAATCCACCAATGTCCTATCTACTTCAACGACCGCCTGGATGTGGCTAGCCCACTCAGCCTCTGCCATAATTGTCTATCCCTACATCCCAACGAGATGTGTCGCTCTAGCAACGTTTTCTGAAAATAAAGACTGTTGGATTTCAGTAACTACTGTGGAAAGGGCCTCTCCGGAAAGCAATCTATATTTTTTTGGATGTAATACCCTACCATATCACACTTCCATCCAGAAAAGCAACTATAATATTAGTGTGAACCAAAACTTTTTTCCGATTTTTGTATATTTTTTTGTCCAATCGTTTTTTTACGAAATAAATATTTTTTATAGTGTTTGGAGCTTTGAATATAGCTCGCTTACTTCTGGCTCCTTCCTTCTTTGGATTCAGCCTTGACAACTCTCTGCTCACCAGCCAAGCTCTCTTCAAATTCCCCTGTAACAGCAGTGCCAATCCGATAGCCTCCAATTGCTTCTCCCTCAGAACTCGGGGATCCCAGTCGATTTTCTTTTTACTGTCCACATTTTCCATCCAATCAATGCAATGGTAATATCGCTTCAATTCACATGCAATTAATGCAATCTGGAAAATGGAAAAGATCTTCAAAGGCCTTGCACAATAAGTTGGACCTTCTAGACCATCCGTAAAATAAGTAGAGGATAGATTGTAGGTTAATTGAAGATTGAAAATCTGCTTCGCAGCACTTGTCAGATCATCTTCTTTGAGTGGGACAATCTGGAAAACGATAATATCTACAAATTGACTGCTTTAACCGACCTTTTCCAACGATCTCAGTTGCTTTAATGTAGCTGACCCTTCTTTCAAGACATTTTTGATAGTTTGCTCTTGATACAAGCCGTCTCTCACATAGAAAAATGCATTTAATGGGTCAGTAATATCCGTTTTTGTTTGTCTCACAATTCTAAAATGTTATTTAGCATATAAAATTGTCAATTCAACAAAAATTAATAGTCAGACCCTCCCTACTTCTCAGAAATTCCAATTCGGGAATGATTTTTAACCATGCCTTCCACAATATCATTATCAATGGGCAATTTGACTTGATAATCTTGAATTCGTAGGAATATTTCATCCGGATGAGACTGAACCAGACTTAGTAGTATAAAAAAGATAAACTTCTGGAAGTTTAACATGTTTTTACGAAGAAAGGAACTGATAAATCCTGCGTTTGAACTGACCTAAAATCATCCCCGTTGCGTAACCGGGAGATTTTTTTAGATCATTTTAAGTCACCTTGATTGATATTATCTAATCCTAGCAGATTTTGATCATAATGTTGAATACACTTTACAAGTCTTTTGCAAACTTTTATTAGTGTATTTATAAATTAAATCTTCAAAAAACTGGTTCAAATACTTAGAATAATATATTCTATTTCCGGCTAGCGTTGGCTGGTCGACGGCTGTTCATCCTTGATCAACAATCCGCTGATTACTTCCGTGTTCTCTCCCAACAATTCTTTCCGTCTTTTGGCATCATGCACAGTATCTTGAAGAGGTTTATTCTTGGTCTCGGGCAAGAATATGATGACACAAGTCAGCGAAATCGTCGTTACAATTACAGCACCAAGATAGGGGGCGTAGTGCCAATATTTCTAAACAGCAATCGGTACTATTAATTCATTGATTCGAATAGAAAGAAAAGGCAAATTAAGAGGCCTTGCTGCTTACTCTAACATAAATAAGTTGAGGTCCGATTACACTACCCAACTGCGAGGCAATGCTGAATGTACTCAGTGCAATCGATCTCACTACTGTTGGGAAAAGCTCCGTTGTGTAAAGTTTATATGCAATCCACACAAATCCGGTCATCACCACATATCCAATAAGAACAGCGGATGTTCCGAAAACGCGAAATCTTTCGTCAAGCTCCAAGAAGTCTATGATAAACATGGAGGAGAAACACAATAAGACTACACCTAAAAATTACAAAAATTGCGAATCAAAGAGCTGTTGCTGTTGCCGCTTACCAAGGGAAACCGTCATCAACTTCTTTCTGCCAAAGTTTAGATATTTCGTTTCCAATAAAATTGCGACAAATGGGGTCCAAAGTCGGAGAAGTCCCATAAGTGAGACGTTTGTTAGAGGATTACCGGACTGAAAGTCAAATATCGTATGTTTCAGGTCAACCTACTAGATCCTGGATATTGAAAAACACAACAGATTGGATAATATTTAAAGTAATCCCGGTAAACATCTGAGAAATCACCCAAGAAGTCATTCTCCAGTTGGAAAACAAGTGGTACACAGTGTAATGGCGCCGTTTTGATTGCTTACTGCAACAATATACTTATTTCTTAATAATTTTACGTTAATAGCAAAGATTGCAGGGAAAATATCGACGGCTTACTTGACACTTGCATTCTGCAAAACCTTCATGTCATCAGTTGTAAATCGAACCTTGCTCCCGTTGAACCAAGCGATTCTGTTCATCGCCGACGCTGCTCGAGTGTACTTGTGTTTCTGCAGAAGATATCTTGGGGATTCTGTGAAAAACATCATCAGAAGAACGGATGGAAGACCAAATAAGGCCATGCCCAACAAATGCGTCCTCCAATGCCCTGTATAATGGGCGAGAACGCCCGCAACCTAAATTTTTAACCTTTTTAGGCCGTAAAATTACGTACAATGAATCCCAGCGAAAATTGGAAAGCATATCCTTGAACAATCCGGTATTTAGAATGCACTGTCTCAACCAATAATGGGAACGAAGCACTTCCTTTTATGGTCGAGACAAAACTGGCACAGAGATTGATGGCTATGTAGATTTGCCAAGTCGGCGCAATTGCTTCGGTGATAGCACAGAGAAAGATGATAGTAGAGCCTCCAACATAAAGCCACTTTCGTCCAAAGTAATCACTCAGATGGCCGGACAAAACATGCCCAATGATATGAAGAATGGGCTGAGTGGAGGCTATTGTGGACGCGAGACGATCAGGCTCACATACCCACTGAAATACGAGAGTAAATCGGTTGAGAAAAAAGGATTACAATGCTTAGGGCTCTGTCATTCAAACCTACCAGGAACTCCTGATAAATGCTGATCCAGAAATTGTGCGTCGTCAAATTACCGCAACTCTTGACCATCAAACACGCCTGCGTTGTATTCTTCTTGACTTGATTGGCCTTCAAATAAAACAAATTCTCCGGATCTTGGCATTCATAATCCGGCACCAAACCGCCTAATCGAAAGTATCCAATCGACATGAACGAAGCCATTGCCATCGACAGATATTGAATGGTAATGAAGCAGAATATCTGGTATCTTCCATACTTGCCGATCGCTTCGAACGCCTCATCTAATGAGCGGTAGATCGCCATGCGGTATTATGCTGGCCAGATACAGTATGATGTAATAAACGAGGAGGAATGAAGAGAAAAGAAAGAAAAATCGAAAGTCAAAAATTTTTACCCTGCAAATTTTTACGTTGTGGATTTCCAAAAAAAAGTATAAAAGTTTTGATTCGAAAGGAAAAAGTCGGCGAATTTTATATTCAAAGACTAATCTGAACTGACGAGCTTACTGCTTTACTATTTCTAGTTTGTAGTGCTCCGAGGAAATGATCAAGCGTTTGATGTAGACGTCCAGAACATCTTGATTGTAGAGTGTGCATGGATTGTAATTTTGTGTAACGATTACATCAGTAAGCTAATTTTTAGTCATTGAAAATCAAAGAGGATGGGAAAAGAGTTTTGAAAATTGATTACTTTTACAGCTACAACTGTTTAGAAGTTGCTGTGTTTTTTTGTGATGGTTCATTCTAGCAGAAAGGTTCTGAAGTTTAACTTTAGCTCTTTTTTTGTGTTTTCGACAGTGTTTGTGTTGCAAATTATTTAAAAAATGTTTAGAATTTGCAGGAAAAATTCTCAAGGTATGACGCTCGGATTTTGATGAAATTTGGCGCAATTTTTATATGACATGTAAAATTTTTTCTCATTCTTGGCAAAAGCCATCGTAATTTTCAGATTTTATAATTTCCAGATGCATTCTCGTTTCATCTCAATGCTTCTAAGGCTCCAAATATTACATACATATAAAATGACTGTGTCTGCAAATCATAGGCTAAATCTTCCAATAATTTTTATTCACCCCAAAACATACGCACAATGGTCAAAGAAGCCTTTCTTAATAAAGCACTGCTCTTTTTTTGTCATCTGATTATATTCTGTTAAAATATTATTGTATTTTTTTCGACCCGATCACGTCTGACTTTGTTATTAATAACATGAGTAATTCCGTGAACGCAAAAGTTCAACTTTCTCGTCGATCTTATTCGTCGTTTACTCTTTTGCCGAACAGTCATTACACAACTTCCCCTTGGAGTTAGTGGAAACGCTGTTTCGACTTTTGTTAATTTCCGAAATTACGTGATCTTTTCGACACCCACGGGTTTACAACGGTTCAGCCGACTCTCTGGATCGTTTTATCTATGAGTTTATTATTTTCTCCGATTGTAACTGTATAAAGCTGCCATGTTTTTCACAACTTATCTTCTTTTTATCTTATCCATTAGCTTTGTTAATGCTTTGGTTAATATTAAGCCTGATGGAGTGTATTTCCGAGCTCCCCATCGTAAACACATCAAGGTGAGAAGAGGATATATGATGGGTAAAATACAGGGTTAATTATAGATGCCATACAGCTGTCATGACCCTGAATTCTGCATGCATCCAACGGACAATTCAACGGCGTTGGATGAGATGGAATGGCCAGCCCGGATAAAGGATTATGTCCATTGCATGGATTTGTTGTGTCAATGTGGCGCTTTTAATGGTAGGGTTTTTTCTTGTGGTTCTATGAACTTTGTTCAAGTTCTTGGGAGGTCTTTATTCTTGAGTCATCATTTCATTTGTAATGCTAAAATTTCAACAAGTTCTTTTATTATATTCCCAGTCTTCCCCCAATTCTCATCATTTTCTTTCTTCCAGGAACAGTAAAAGACTTTAAATGCATTTTACCCAACGGCAAAGTTCTCCACAAAGCGCTGCGAAAAGAATTCCGTCAGCTCACCTTAGAAGAACGTCTTACCTACGTCGTAAGTCATCTATTCCTCCAATTCAGCCGATTTCCAGGAGATTCTCAATCAACTTCATCGAGAGGGAACTCTGAATTATATTGGGCTTCTTCACAAGACAGCTGGTGTTCATTCTGGTCCCGCTTTCTTTCCATGGCACCGGGAGTTCTTCAAACGGACTGAATTGTTGATCAGAACGTATAATCCAGAGGCAGCTATCCCTTATTGGGACAGTACTTTGGACAATTACTTGCCTCAGCCTTATAATTCGACACTGTTCACGTTTGAGTTGCTTGGAGAACCCGGAATTCGGGGATATGTTTATGATACGGTGTTTACAAATTGGACTACCATGGATGTAAGTCATAGTATTAATGGAGATCTTTTTAATGTATCTATAAGATTTTTACATCGTAAAATCCACTTCAAAGCATAGAATAATATTTTAGGGCAGACCCACTTGGTATCGATCATTTGGCCGAGAACCCGATGGAGAACTAATCAACAACAACCGAATAGATTATGTAATGAACCAGACTGATATTCATTATGTCCTCGCCTACAGTTTGCCTTTAATTGTAAGCGTTTTCCATCCATATTATCCGCGTTTTTCTTATCGATGGAGGTTTATTGATGATGATCTCAGGGCTGTAAAAACTACACGTTGGACGAGCGATTTTTGGAGTACTCGCACGATTACGTTCACTACTTTATCAGCGGCGATATGCAAGATAGGATTACCTCTAGCAACGACCCCATCTTTTTCTTACACCACTCTTTTGTCGACTCGATTTGGGAGGCCTGGAGACAAAAAAAGCAGGTAAATCAGGCTCAGTTCTTTGAATTTTTTGAAACTATTGTCAGATTTTGGTGGATATGCCTTATTTTAGACCAAAGAGCAACGAGAGAATGACTGGCCGACCGATGATCTCGAATGTGCTCCTGCTTGGCACTTCAAGGAAGCCGAAATGCCTCTGTTAAAACCGTTCAAGAATAAGGATGCCTTGTCAAGTAAATACACGGAAAATCTGTTTGAATATGCTCCGAGACCTTCTTGTTTATCAAAGACTGAGGAATGCGGATCAATGTGAGTCTTTAGCTTGTATTTAGTTAATCTACAGCTCGCTTCTTGACAAGTCATCTTATTTTTGCCCATTTCTTTTCAGTTATCTCTTCTGCGATCCCATCACAACTCCCTCTGATCCTCATTGTGTAGCCAAGGTCAAGCTGCAAGGAAATTGCACCGGTTTTGAGTGGTCATCAGACGTCTGTCTTCATGGAAAATGTATAGAAGGGATATGTAAACCAATTGTCGATAATATCGGGGATGTAATTCCCAATCCATTCCCAAAGCCACCAGAGTTCTTGGTTTCGGCAAAGGAAGAAATAAGAGGAAAGAAAATAGAAGTAAAAGAGGAAAAGAAAAAAGAAAAAGAAGAAAATAATGCAGTGAAAGAAGAAAACAGCGAAACAAAAGAGTTGAAAGAAGAAGAAAAAAGCCAAAAGTCAAGCAATGAAGAGCTCAAAATAGTCCGGCCAAAACAGAAAAAGATTGTGACCAAGACGTCTAGGTTTATGTAAATGTATTCAGACATATGATTACTTAAAATTTGTTAATAACGTTTTCCTTGTTAGGTTCTAATTTATATAAATCTTATTGTTCAAAGCCGATAATTTAATAAAACATAACGTGCACATTAAAATATCAGTTCTTGTGGCATTTTTTGCAAATTTAATTACTTTACAACCAGCTATGTCAACAACTTTTTTGGTGCGTTGCTAGTTTTTGGTTTTAAAATTCTAAAATTTGTCTTTTTATTACTGTAGCTAAAAATATAAGCTAATTATTTACAACCGAAATACGCTGAATACAGTTTATTTTCGGAAAATTTGGCGGACACACTTGATGACAGTAAAAGATTGGATTCTTGACCGCAAAAATGACTACACATCCGGGAGCAAACTTTTTGTTTTTTTTTTCAATTTATCCGCTTGCCGGCGTCCAGAACCACCCCCCCCCCCAAACATACAAACAAACATGCATATTCATGGCTCCTGTGGCATTAACAATTTAATCGAGATTCTCCTTTCGCTTTCGTTCATTCATTCCAAGCGGCGAAATAACAAAGAAAATACGGTAACACAGATAATTTAACATTATTACTCAACTACCAAATAAGTTACGCAAAAATAGTATTACAAGGCTCTTTATTAGTTAGGGGGTTGCGCGGAGAAGGGTGTCTCAGAAGATGGCGGCGTTCGGCCGGAAGAATTGGGCGTAGTCGAGGGGCGCCTGCCGCATTTCGAAGCCCGGCACGATGGGCTGATCGGCCGGGGTTCGACGACCGATGCGCATCAGGTTGCGGAGGTTGTTCGACTTTCGCTCTCGCAGTTGGATTTGTTCGAATCTGCAAAGAAGTCAGGTTAATTTTTGGAAATAGTTCAATAACGGCTGCTTTTAATCGAAACGATGACTTAATAAATCATTATTTGAAGACATAGGACCCTTCAAACTCTTATTTTGGCTGTTTTTTACAATAAAAACATGTTATTCTGACAGGCTTTCAGTGACACTACAGTATCTAGTGCAAGATTCTAACAGTAATTGTTTTTTGTCATGCCAATTTTTGTGTTTGTTCAAGCCCCCATGAATGTTTAGACCTATTTTTTATTGAGCTGTTCTTGCTGACATAACATTGCCAGTCTCCTGTTTAGTTCCTTCAATCGCTCCTTTCTGCCTAGTCCCATATTCTGAAGGTTTTCTTTTTGTCATTCTACCCTTGTTACTTCATCAGAATCACATGAAACCCCGTTGTTCTCGTTCTCCATTCCACTTACGGGCTTTCGTTGAATCCCTGTGTTTCGAGCCCGAGAATTCCCACCGGCTGTGCCGTTGCGAACGTACAGGCCAGGCACACCAGCGCCAACACAATCAATTGCCAGACATACGAGTTGACCAGAACTGCCATTTCCTTGTGGTTGTGAAGATTCGAAACGTCCCGATTATACGTGGTGGAGAAAGAAAAACCAAGCTGAAACGAATGCTCCGTCAGGCGTTCACGATTGCAATATGTTTGGCCGGCAAAGATTACACGACCCGCCACGACGCGCGACTTCCGCGAGACAACGAAAAACAAGTTAAATGGATGGAATGGAGGGCAATGAAAACATAAATTCATTACCTAACAAAAAAAGGGTTTCCAAAAATGTCGGCCCAAACCGCGTTCTAAATATGGCCGGCTAATGATACCGACGCCTATTTATACGCAACTCTTTGACCCACCTACGTAAAAATAGAAGAGGAAATGGAGGCGAATCCGAGATAAATGATGGTACAGTAGATCTGGGATGTTGCCGGTACAATGTAATCATTGAAGAGATAGGCAATTGGTGGCGTAAGTGGAGGTGTAAAAGGGACCACAAATCGTGTAAAAATGGGCTAGAGGCGTTAATAAACACAGAATTGGAAAGCTAGATGAGACAAACGTGAAAAGATGACTTTGAGAGCGCAGTTTTGATGTCGGTAGTGTATATGACAGCGCTATATGTAAAGCAAAGCAAGTCCAAAAAAGTGCTGTAAAAGTTGAAGGAAAAGCTAGGTTTGGCTGAAGACAAGAAAGCTCATAATTTTATGAAGAAACCAGGCCAAAACCGTCTCATCAATCAAACGATATGAAGCCGCAAGACAACCCTGAGATCATCAAAGTCCAACTTCTTCAAACGCTTCTTCCGAGCCGACCATTCACCACAGTTGAGACCGTCTTTTTCTTAACCGACCAAGTTTCCAAAAGCATCCTAAAAAATTCAATTAATACTCGTCGAACGTTGAGAATATTGCATCAAACGCCGTGTACAACATACTTTTCCCGTGGGCGGTTTCTATGCGAATCTGGGAGTTTCATAAGCCCCCAGGGGAGAGACAATGGCAGGGAGTTTGTCATCATAATTGGGCAGAAAAATTAATGGTAACTTGGCGACGTCTCACCAGCCCAATCTCTTTCGTATCGCTCAGAATGACGAGATGGCAATGTAAAAGTCATTTACAATACTTGCGGGGCTTCTCTGACTCTGAACTTTCGCTTCTAATAAGTGAGAATCAATAGCCTTAGGCGGTCTAGATGAGAATTTACACGAAATGCACGATGTCCGTGGCGTATATGAACTCATTTCGCATATCTATGATGTTAGGGTTCATTTGGCGCAAAACTCATTTTAATTGTTCTTGACATTACTCTAATTGCTCGAGGCTAAACATCCCATCAAATGTGAAAAAGCAATGAAACTTTTTAGCAAGCCTCCGGGGAGTAAATAGAACACGAAATGTTGCTGCCTAAAATTATGCGTGTAATTTGCATGTGACAGCAGATTAATTAACAAATTTGGACATTGCGTCCAGGAATTGGGGTCACGTTGAAGATCAGAGAAAAAAGATTAGTGGGACAAGAGTACAAGGTTTATGTAACATGATGAAAGTAGGCAACAATAGAAACAAATGTGATGAAAAAATTGGTGGGTATGTAATTGAGGGTTGGCAAAAAAGTAATCGAAAGAAAAAATTAAGGTCAGATTGCCGGTAATAAACATTGGCTACACATTTTCAAGCTCTCCTGGGCCAAATACGACCAATTGTATAATAATAAGCTAAAAAATCATTCAAAGGCGCATCTCAGATCAGGTTAAACTAGTTGTGAATTTGTCCGTTGTGTCCTCTGTCACGGATCCACTTCAGAATAGCAAAGTCAAGTTTTTCCCACGAAAACTATGCAGTTTTTATTACTTATTCTCTTGCTTCATTGCACTGAATAACAAGCCAATTAGACCAGTGAAACATTAGCTGCAAACTGCTAGTCTAAGGTCATCAAAAATTCAATAGCAATTTTTTTATTTTCCTCTAACAAACCCTCGAAACTCGGTAATAATAACAAACTTTGACCCTACACACCTCATCTCTGACTCAATCCCCATTATTCACTTCCTCGTCCACGCCCAACAATGGACTTACCATAATATCTAGAATGCACGGTCTCCAAGAAAACGGAGTATGGGGAAAGGGGCTGCGCGAAATGAATTTTAATTTGGGCCGGATTTGTTACTCTTTTGTTTGTACAAAAGTAATAAGCGCAAAACTCGAACTAAAAATATTAATTCTGATCGTACAAGGCGAAGATTACTTTTTATATTAAATCGTATACGGGGTATACAGTGCAAGAAGAGGGCCATTCAAAATTGCCTAATCCTCTAGCTGTACATATACTGGGTACACTTTGGCCGAAAAAATATTTTCAGCACAAGTGGACACTCAATTTGTGAGCCACCGTAAAAAAGGTGACATAGGCAAGAACATGAACAGGAAAATGATAAATCCCGGTGATTACGGCCGGATTAATACCTCCCTTTTGGGGGCTAAAAAAGATACATGTCCGTGTTCGATTGCAAGAACAAGAATAGGTTGTTTTGCAATGCATTGTAATCCCAAAACGTTCCAGAAATATCTAATCCCGGCCTTAATCCACTTTTATCCACATTTTGAACTACATTCCGAAATTTGTGGGAGTTCCAGCGCTTAAAATTAGCTGCGGTTTGCCGTGGTATCCAAATCTCCACAATGAACGCTACAACCCGCCCCTTTTGACCTCTAAGAGTATTACTATGGGTAATAGGAATCCTGGAACACCCAAAACGTGAGAAATAAACTTTACGTAAACTGAGAGTACTTTGGCCGCTTTCTGATCGCCCGCAGTTATGATGAGACAGCAATAAATAGATCATTTGCATATAGAGCTGTTGTTATGAGTTACAAGTCATAAAGTGAAGCTGAACAAAATAGGGATTAAAATGAGGAAGAGGAAGGATGGATACGGTAAGAATGTCATCATCAAAAGATGTATTGTGAAGATAAAACTGTCTGTGATGTCAGAGGAGAGTGCTCATGGCATGAGGGTATTATAAAAATGATGAGGTATGACATAAAGTGAGATCATCAATTTCTGAGACATCTGCAAGAATTCAAGACCTTTTGTCTCAGATGGAACTCTTCATCACTGACTGCTCCTCCTGATTTCTCACCGTCTATCGTCTTCAATGATTTGTCAGAATGCTATTCAACTTTGCAGTGAACCAATTCAAAGTTTCTGCAAAAGAAAGTCGGCTCCTGTAGAAAATACCTTCAAAGTATGATGGACATCCTGAAACCTGATTTAAAACACATCTTTTATCCATGAATTAAGGAGTTGGGCACAACATTTAGGCTTACCGTTTCTTGTTCTTGATCTCGAGAAAGATTAGGGCCTATACAAAAGAACCCCCGATCACAGTATGAACCTCCATCAACATAACAACCCCATCCAGTTTAAGGATTTTCCAGTGCAAAGCCACTGTACCATTACATTATTTTATAGCCTGGCACGGGCTGAACTTGTGTCCCCAAACCCACGGTCCTAATCAAAGCTCATTTCACGTCTAAACCTCAAACATTTCTCTCTCCCCACCCAGTCTATATATAAATTACATCGGAAATACTGTCGTCAGCCAAACCTTCCGAGATTTCTCTCAATTTTCTCACCGTTCCGCCTCCGTGCCATCGCAACACGAAGGAAGGGGGGAAGAGAAAGAAGGTAGCACTTGGCTGAAAGTAATACATCTTCCTTGCGGGTCCAGTTACATGAATCTTTAAGGTCTTAGCCCACTGTTTACAAATCATCATACACTTGTCCTCGGGACCTCCCCCTTTTCCTGTTTCTTTTAGATCCGTAAATAAAAAGCGGCGTGACATAAAGGTCGCTTTTCTACAGTAATATCGACATCACGCGGTTTACGTAATTTACGAAGACAGAAAAAAATACATATTGGTTAAAAAAAGAGCCGTTTACAATACGACAAGTTGAATCCTACATATAAGAACTCGACAGTCATCTTCTGAGTCGAGCAAGTTCCTCTTATCTATCCCCTTAAAAGTACATATTAAACTCTCTTCAATTGGACTTTAAACTTTGTTTTACATCCAATAAAAGTGTCACCAAACTCGGTGCTATTTAAGGTCAATTTTTGGCATCACTTTTGGCTTTAAATAGACCAGGGAAGACCTGCAACAACAACGTGCAGAAAAAGAGATGCCTTTTCTTTAATCTTTGACAAAATAGACATCAAGAACTGCTCCTAATCCAATGTAATCTTCACTATTTCGAATACCATGTAATCTCCACTCAATATTTTTTCGTAAGTCTTCCAGAAACCAAAAACAAACAGCGGAAAGTTCAAGTTGTAGGCGTCCACATGCTTCGGCGTCTAGGGTAACAAAACAAATGTTTAGCGGGCATTCCAGGCCCGGAATTCGTCGTCTAATGATGCCCAAACAAACCGAGAAAAGTTCTCCAAGAAGTTCTCGGCTCCGATTACCTGAGGCTATGAATAATTGACGACCAAAGATTGTGTACCGTACCCCCATTGTAACGTCACGTTTGATGTTGATTTGAGGGGTGGGATAAGTGTGCAAAAGGTAGGTTGGATATTCAGGACAAACAATGTGGATGACAACAGGACCCAATGTCATCAAAAGTATTGTACTTCACTTATACATGTAGTCTTGGGCATCAACATCGATGCGGAAGGAAATCTGGGGACATGTCTCTGTTTTTAAATATATAGTGGTCTATAACGATGCTATATACGGTAATAGATATTATTATAAAAAAACAAGAACTCGACCTTTTAGACCAATGGAACATAAAGAAATCCCCAAACAAGGTTCATAGACAAGAGTAACACGATTTAAAGAGAAACCACAGCTATGTCATGCTCAAATTGCATTACAGAGCTCAACCAAAGATTTGCGGGAACTTGCGCAAGATCCTCGTCTACGCCCTTGGGCCTATAAACCAAAATGGAATGGGAGGCATTAAGCTGGTTTTAATTCAAATTTGGGATTAAAACATTACATCAACTTGTCTACGTTGTAGCGCATCAAAGGAGCGGCGGGGCGGAAAACCCTTTTCAAATCCGGCGAGATTGATTAATAATGGGCCATAAATCCTCCATCGTATCTGTGGAAATGAACAAAGTAATAAAAATATGGAAGAAATCATATATATGGAAACGTCTGCCCAAAGGATACGATCGGATGATACCACATACAGAACATATGTATATATACCATGAATACGACTATCATCAAGATACGATATGTAGTCTATAGTATGATGCGTTAGGGCTGTGGGATTGGCGGACTGACGCATTACCTGCACCGGTACAGTACATGTTTACAATCCACTCAAACATCTGGAAAACAGGAGGAATGGTAAAAGTCCACAATAGGCGTCGGTTTATATGGTATGTTTCAAAAATTCTCAAACTTTAATGAGGTATAAATATTAAAAGTTTCGTGTAACTACACCCACAGAATAAGCATTTTTTCACATCGTAAAAAGTTGGTTTTTTTTTAGCCATGACTTGTTTTCATTGTTAACTAAACTCCAAAACTTTAGCCCTCCGAATATAGCATCAGCTTTTAATGTAACTTTAGAATGCCTGGCACTGTTGCCACCTCTAACCCCAAAAATCCAAGAGGACAAGAAGTTATCATTGTCGTATTTCCGGCCAAACTTTTTCCCTGAAAGACCAATTAAAACGGCAGACGATAAATAAGGAGAGCCTCTTTATTCGTATGTTTGTTTCTTTACGGAAAGGAAATGGCATTTTGATGGGGCTGATTGACAAGGGAAGACGTGTAACCACATGCGAGGTAAATAAGAATGCTATTAGATGGATGCAGCAGTAGAGTTGAACCTTCAAAAGTCTCCATTTGTGTACGATGCCTTGAGGAATTTATGGCAAAGATGATTCAAAGTAAATTTGAATCTATGTTTGCCCTAGATGAGGACTTACACTGGCATAACAAGAAATCAACAAGTACTTGTAACGAGATATGCAATGCAAAATTCCCAGGTCGATTTTCCGAAACAAAGGATCGTGAGACTTTGACTTATATGTCTTTGTCTTGCCTTAACGGTTGACGGAAAAAAATAATTTTCAAATTTAAAATTGAGACTTTGTAGCAATCGCTGATGATAAACCATAGAAATCAGCGAGGAGAAACACAGATTTGGCTAAAAATTCAAACGTAGGATTACCCAGGGCAGCTCTTCTTGGCTGGTTGTTTCCTTTCTTCGCCAAATGAACGAACATATCCCGGAGAACGACAAACGAGTTTGCTGATACCAAACATCCAGAAATGGCGGGATTTCCCGTAAAAATGTCCGGCTAGATTAACACCCAAGTCATTTAGACTCGGTTTCTAGGGAATAAAAGCGAGTATTATGTCTCGAAAATGGCTAGCCAAACATTAGAGGAGCTCTCCGAGGGAATGGCAACTAAATCTTGCAATTGTAAGCCACAACTTTACTATTTCGATTGTGATAACAATGAAGGACCGGCTTTCGAATGTGTGCTGGACTTTGATATAATTTATGAAAATTCTAACATTTGAAGCCTGGATTTGAACAATATGTTTAATAAGGATGATAATGGGTTGTTGATCATAAAACATAAACTTCTAGCGCCTCATTTCCGGATTCTTGAAAAATCTGACACCTGTGCAAAGCATTTCTGCCCCCATTTTCGTTTCTAATTCTTGGAAATCTTTCAACTCTTTTCTACTAAACAAATAAACCACCCTTGATCGGCCGAAATATATACAGCACATTCATTTAATATCATTTAAAATGTCATTGTTGAGGCGTTTTCTGAATGCTTCGATCTTGGCTCTTTTCAACTGCAGAGTTACGTGGAGTTATTCAGCAGCTGAATTTGTGTTTTTGGTTTTAAAAAAATGCGACAAAATTCGATAAATATTTGAGTAACATCTGGAAGTTGTAAGTCTAAACAGTAGTTAATCGATTTTGTATTGTTAATATAAAAAATTTTACGAAAGTTTGAAAAACATGTATGCAGTTGAGATGATGATGTCATAAATTATGCAAGGATACTGTAAATACTGCAAAAAAGTTTTGAATTAATTTTTTACGTATTTTATGTTGTACATAGATGTTTTTAAGTATATTACACTTCCAATATTCTCCCAAAGTCACCATGTGTGTTTCTCACCCACAACTTGATATACATTGTCCTTTAGGAAATCGGAATCTCATGTCCGAAGCTATAATGTCACCATGGGAAACTGTCTCATGAATTATTTCTCATTGTTCGGCCATGTTATAACCCGTAAAAGAACTACTCTAAAAAACGACTCGGATTTTGCATAAAATGAATTAGCCATAGGTCATTTTTATACAATTTTCGCTTGTGTTTTGCCGGTTTGAAAGCGCTTTTCAGTTATTTTTCATGATTAGAGAGTACGGGAAATTAGGAGAGGCTGTCAGAGCGACGATTTTTATTCCTAAAATCACAAAAAAAAAAATTTACGAGGGAATGGTCTGAACTTCCCCCAGCGTTTGGGAAAATGACTAGTGCAGGTGGATAGAGCAGGTCAACTTTGGTAAAAAGAGCCATTTTCCAGCTGCGGAATAAGCCCGGCCGACGAGAAAAATCGACCGAAAGTTCCACACAAATTTCCTCTTTCTCTTCCCTCGGAAAAGAAGAGCGGCGTTCAGTGGTTCGGTTAGCCGAGTGGATAAAGCATCCGCTCGATATTCTTTTGGGGGTTGGTTCGATTCCGGGGCCTTGCGAAGGACCGTGAAAAGGCTTTGATGAGCAAGATCAAACTCTAACAACACAAAAAAACATTTTGCCATTTTCATACGTTTTATAGGGGAATTATACCAAAACAACAATTGTCAAAAAATGAACTTTTTGGGTTCTTCCAAACCTTAAAAGCGATGGAACGTCGAAGTTATACTCGTTTGGTTATAGAAAAGGGTATGTCTATATTTTTGAAACGCTCTGTACTCGATTTCGTTATTGCCAAAAAATTTTTACATAACCTATAAAACGTATAAAAAAGGAAAATTTTTTTTTGGGTTGTTAGAGTTTGATCTTGCTCATCAAAGCCTTATCACGGTCCTTCTCGAGGCCCCGGAATCGAACCAACCCCCAAAAGAATACCGAGCGGATGCTTTATCCACTCGGCTAACCGAACCATTGGACACCGCTCTTCTTTTCCGAGGGAAGAGAAAGAGAAATTTTTTTGGAACTTTCGGTCGATTTTTCTCGTCGGCCGGGCTTATTCCGCAGCTGGAAAATGGCTCTTTTTACCAAAGTTGACCTGCTCTATCCACCTGTACTAGTCATTTTCCCAAACGCTGGGGGAAGTTCAGACCATTCCCTCGTTAGCCATTTTTTCCTAATTTCTCATCGAAAAAAACGGTAATCTAAATTTATGCAAATTTTTGCCAAAATCTGAGCACAGAATTTTGAATTCCTCCATCCGAAATTCACACCCACATTTGCAATTTCCATTTCCGGCGCAAATTTGCATTTTATTTCCATGTTACATTTTCACTTTTTGCCACGACAATTTCTGGCCATTTTAGAACAAAAACCCCTTCCGACGTCTTTTTTTTTGCTCTCCGGGGTTGGAGATCTTTTATCCGAAGAGACAAAAAACGCTTAGCCAATTACAAAATTGTTAGCGACAAAGTGGAGGTCTTTTTGTTGTAGCCGTTTCCTTTTTTTGAGTCATTCTGGAGTCGTTGAATCAGTGCGGAAAATCCTGAAGTGCTCAAACGGATTCATTATTTTTTTTGAACACGTTTTGGAGACAAATATGGGTTGTAACTATTTTCATGATTTTTCGGATTAAGTAAACTACAATGCAAACACAAAAGGGATATCGGTAATCCGCTTTTAGGAACGTTGCATCGTTTTTGGGGCTTGGGTTCGATGAGTAATGCATAGGGCAAAGAGCGGGTCTATGAAAGGTGCACAAGTGCCCGGGTAATGAATTTTGAGTGCCCCCTTATCACCGGAAGGTTACAAATCCCATAAAAACAACTTATCGCGAATTCCTAAAAACAATTTGTTTACCCACCCCATTCGAGCCCCCGTTTTTATCAACTCTACCCATTAATTCTTCTTGACGGTTAATTTCCATACTCTCCTCTTTCCTTCTGACTTCCTATTCTAAAAAACGAATTCCTATTCGCCTCCCTACTGATTATTATACGACTATTTTTCTCAAAATGAGTGACTGTAAAATCAAAGTAGGTGATGTTGCAGAGGACGAGATGATGTTGGAAGGGCTGCATCAGCGATGGACGAGGAGCGAGCATCGCTGGGAAATCGTCTATTTTAAACGGTAGGGGATTAAGTCATGGATAATTTAAGGTTTTATCGCTGTTTGCAACTCTTCTAACATCTAACATTTATTTCCAGAATCACCGTTCTTCTGCTCCTGTGTATTGTTGGGATCAGTATTTTCGAAGGCATCAGCTGGACTCGCTCCGATGTAACCATAAAATCCGCGGACGTTACGGATTACTGTGATGGGGAACTTGTAAGTCCAAAATTTGATGCGAAATGAGGAAATCTTGCCTTTCAGCTGAGGTATTATCACAAGTCGAAGATCAAAGGGTCCTTCAAAGAGCAGCGGGGTCTTTTGTTCGATTGTAGGCTTATGGAATATTTGCGAAAGTTCAAATTAACAGAGAAGGATCCGGTTAGAGAGGAGAAGGTGGGTAAAATCAAGATGCCATTTTGCAGATGGCTAAGTCATTGTAAAATTCTTAAATCCTATTCCATCTTCGGTGAAAATATTTTCAATTTCAGTCAAATTTCCCTGAAGACACAGCCATTGTAATAGGCGCAGATTCAGGTTACTACTACTCTACACGAGCCGTAATCGCCGAAATACGAAGACACTTTGGGAATGCCACAAAGATCATACTGTATGATCTTGGAGGAATAAAACCTCATTATGTAAGTAATATAGGCTCTAACTTTATAGACCAGACGGCATGATGACTATTTTTTCTCTTCAGCAGCAAGAACTCGATGGAATTTGCAATCTCGAATACCGAGTTTTCGACTTCAACACATTGCCCGAGCAGGTCCGAGCGAAGAAGATTTTCTCATGGAAGATCTTCATATTAGCTGTAAGTACACAAACCTGTATAAACGATCTTTGTAGGAAGTGTTTAGAGAGTACAACAACATCATGTACATGGATTCCTCCATATTTATTCAGACCAACGAATTCGAGGTCTTTTTCGAGATGATGCACGACAAAACGTTGACTCCCATTCAACTGAGTGGATGGACTGGGCATGGCCTCAAATACGCCACACATCCAGGTGAGAAAACAAGGGGGAATAACTGTAATGGAGGGAACAAGGTCAATTTATGATGTAAGCTTCTTAGACGAGCATGAGATTGAAATTCAAAGGGATCTAGGAGACAACTGTCGTCAATAAGTATGATTAGAAATAAGATTCAATTGAAAGCAATTTAGTTATATGCCAAGATTCCACTACGTATTTTACCATCAAACAATCGTGATATTTCATTGATTTGAGCACTAATCCAACTCTTTCACTAGCCATTTTACGTTTTATGCTTACGTTTCAACCATAGTGTACCCGAAACCAAACTCTACAATATTTTTTCGACAACCACTGGCTTATTTTAACACCCAAATTACATTACGTATTTTACCATTAAATTTCAGGCATGTATAAATACATTCCCCTTGATCTGAATGTCGACAACAAAGCGTGGATGATGGAGGCCAACCTCATACTAATGCAAAGGACCGAGCAAACAAGGAAGCTCCTAAAATGGTCAGTATTATGTGCATCTGTGGTTGAATGCATCAATCCGTTCGGTAAGGACTACAAAAATATTGCCACAGCTCCTGTTACCGCCATACTAAAAAGTCCCATTCCAGGCGCCGAATACTCGTGTCCCCGAGATGACGGATCGAGCGCAGGAATCTGTCATCGACAAGATCAAAGTCTATTGAATATTCTCATATATAATTTGGAATACGACATGATGTTTGACGGTAAGACCCAAAAACTTAAGCCAACTAAAACTTCAGGTCATCGAGTAGTTACACACATGCGAAAAGACCATCCAAAGAATACCCGACAACGACACGAAACGAGGCGATTGCAATCCACCAACGATAACATTGCGCAATGTTCGAAACCTTAGGACCCTCCTTAAGCCTATTTATATTCGATATAACGGGTATTACAACCATTCAGGGAGCGTTTACGAGTTAATAGTTGTAAAGAAATAATCAGATATTTATTACGACCTTCAAATAAACAATGATTTTCGATCACACGGTAATTTTAAAGGTCAATTATGTAGCAAAACAGTTAAAATGAGGGAATTCTTACTAATTAGACAACAATAACAACCTCGAGGAGCCATAAAATTCAAAAATGAGTGCCAATTTTAGCCGAAACAACAGAACAATCATCAAAATTAAAATCCTATCCATCCTGATTGTAAACGTATTTGACGAACCTCCGCTTTAGCCGTTGAAGTCTGGAAATGCTCAGAGAATCGCTGAATAAAGACACCCAAGCTCTTTCTTTGATCTCCACCTTGGCTATTTGAATTCCCAGGGCAACAATAATCAGCGCTGCTGTTAGACTTGAATGATCCGAGAAGAATTGAGGGTCCACTGAGACGTCTTGAAGCAACGTAGCCACAACGGTATCATACTTGGGGCACTTTTCAAATTTCGATGAGTAAAAGTCCTTGAGAATTGATGAGATCGTATAGACGAGATGATGAGGGAGATCGGCGGTGAGGTCAAAGCCGAGGAACCTTAACACAATTGGTTCTAAATCGATTAGGCTCTGTCTAAGGGCAGCTTCGAGTTCATTCAGAGGGATGGGAGGCTGTTCTGGATGCAAAATCCTAAAATTTTATATTATACTTGAAAAAATTGCCCAAAATGGATAAAAATTATCAATACAAAGTGTTCTTCTTACCTATAAGCAACCGAAACAATCGATTTCAGTCTCAATCTGTTGTCATTTGTTGTTTTTGCCGCTAACGACATACATGTCGAGGCGACTGTCTACAAATCATCAAGTACAATATAAAAAAAGCCTTAGCTTACATGTCTACACATCTCTTCCGGCAACTTTTCATGACACTTGTGATAGTAAACGCAGGCATAGCTAATGGTCAGAGTTCGTGCTTCGAGTCGTATACCTAAAATATAAACATCACTTAACGTCATCAACAAAAATGCCAAAAAAGATTATGAAAATAACATACCCAACTCCACAATGTACTCTAAAAACTTGCGTTCTCGTGTCATAAATATAAAAATAACAAGAAAAGGGTAAAAATCGCACTCAAAATGCATCAAATATCATTTTGGTTTATTAACCATAAAAAATTATTGCCTAAAAAACTATAAGGTACCAGTTTATGTTAACAACAACGACAATAATTTACATTTGATACATATTAGAGCTACGCGTCCGAAAACACAATTTCCATGCCGTCTTCAGGTTCAAAACTCCTCAGAACCACCGAAGAATTCCACTCTACCGAATCAAAGACGCCTTTCTGCACCTCCACCTTCACTTCTACCTTCGAGGGCTCAAATCTGAGTAGTCGGGAGGCCATGGCCACAATGTGTTCAATATTCAGACTCAATTGGAGTGTTCTTGTGATCGTTTTTCCATTATAAGTTAGAGAAATCTTCCGCTGTTGAGTCTCATATTTCCCCTCCGGCGGCTTCTCATAGACCGGTCCGTATTTGGCATTAAACCGTTGGACATCCTTCTCATGAACTTGTGGAATTGGAGGTTCACTGAACCGAAGTTGGAAGAATTTCTCGCAATTTGACCTCTCCCAAGGCGATACGATGCACCCGTTCAGAATATTGATGGTGGGAAGCTTGGCAATCAGTATCTCATATGCTTGAAGATTTCGATCAGACGTATATAAATCACCACTTCTTAAGTTCTTCAGTGATGGCAAACGTGCAATTTGGTTGATTGATTCCCACTAAAACAAGATAATCAATCAAAATAAGGTCCAACTTACATCACCAATCGGATTACCATCCAGCCAGAGGCATTCTAACGACGGGAAACCAACATCCTCATCAAATTCAACGGAACGAAATCCACATTCCTTGAGATTAAGTGTATTCAATCTAAACCGATATAAAAATAATTTAATAAGAACTTACCGGGAACAATTTTTTACTTTTGAGACCTTCTTGAAATCAACCAACGGGTTCTTTGACAAATCTAGTACCTCAAGTTTTACCAAATTTGTCAGATCCGGGACTTCTTCCAACTCGTTTCCAACCAAGAACAACTTCTTGAGGTTGGGAAAGTGACGATGAAGCTCAGAGACGGTTTTGACGTCCAGTCCACAAGAAACTACGTTCAACGACTCAACTGTAGGATAAACGCAATCAATCGGCTCCAATGGTTTTAGTTTGTTCAGCCTAAAAATTAGCAATAAAAGAAAGTTAACTTACGATATATCTAAAGTGACTAGTGAAGGAAAGAGATCAATGATACGGAAAACTTGGTTCCAATCAGACAGCATGTTCCTTGCCATTGACAACTCGATGCATTTAGGGAAGTTCTGAGACACATCCCTTTCAAGAAACCGGATGAATTTGTTCTCGAGGACAATCAATCGTTGCTGATAAATCCAACTAAAATATAAATAAGCAAAAACGTTGTAACCTACTTAAAATCAAGCTCTGCTTCCTTGAGAACAATCTCAACGCCTTCAAGTTGATCGTCCTTGCCGGAATAATGATCTTCCACCGTTTTCAAGAAACCTTGACCAAGATTTACATCTTTCAGACGAACAAATGATCCGGAATCAGGATATCTAAAAAAAAAACAAAAGCGAGAAACATGCTCCTACTTGGTGCTAAAGTATCGTTTCCCTTGAAGGACTCCATCATGTTTCCCCTCTCCGGGGTTATCCCATTCGATCCCTAACCAAACCTCATTACTGTCTGGTGCAATATGCAAAGAGCCAATATATCGGATGAACCCTCTCTTCTGATCAACCCCTACTCTGTCACCAATTGAAGGGGAATCTCGTATCGTCATTAGTGCATCAGTTCCGAATTCTTTCAGAAAATATTTTTTATCCGATCAATTGTGATGTTTCGCCTTGAAATTTATGGATTTTTCTCGAAATTCACGCAATTTTTATTTTATTTTCTTGATCAATGTTGAAGTAATAAGTTGTTGAGTTTGTCGTTGATAAAAAATGGTAAGTTGAATGCGGATTATTAGCTCATTAGAGACTTTAATTTCTTTTGTTATTGTTAACCCTCACTTTTTTGTCTTGTCGTTTCTGTTCATGTTTTCTATTTTTTTCAGTCCAGTGGATTTATACTAGCTAGCCTTGGTCTGGCTGCTGCCGGTTTTACTGGAAGATACTTGCTTAGAAACAAACACATACTGGATAAAGCTATCGATGCCATACCGAAAGAGGCTGTAAGCCAACCTTTACTTTTATTTATTATCATTTAGTTCTCCAAATACTACCAAGGAGGATTTGAGCCAAAAATGTCAAGACGAGAAGCATCGTTAATCTTGGGAGTTCCTTTCAATGCAAAGCCAAATAAGATAAAAGACGCACATAAAAAATTGATGATCATCAACCATCCAGATCGAGGTAGGATTTTGTTATTCTAGGTAGAGGTCAAACATAACCGTTTACTTTGTGCAATCCTCTGTTTTTTCGAGAAAATGGGATAGGAACCAGCGGTTTTTTTGGTTTGTAACGGTGAAAAACAAGCGTCACTTTAAGGGCCTGTTGACAAAAAAATGAACGAAAAGTGTTTGAACGCAGCAGTTTTTGGAACCATATGATTCATTCCGCCGTTCCTAATGTACTTGACAGTTGAATCTCTTATATGTTTACCTGTTTTTCTTTCAGGAGGCTCTCCCTACCTGGCAGCAAAGATCAACGAAGCCAAGGATTACCTTGAAAACAATAAATCATGATGATTTTTAAGATTTTTTTCAATAAATAATTTTATACAACAATAGAATTCGATCTTTCAGATATTTTAAGTCATCCTGATTTACCGGGTTTCACTGTACATGAATAAATTAATATTGCCCTAATTTAGTGTCTTGCCAGACCATCGCTATCGATTATTGTGCGGGCTGATTGGACGGAAGGGCAAGCCGAATCCAACAGGCGGATATTGTCTACACCACAAGCACCTTGGAATATGCCGTGATTGATACATTCGAAGAGAACCTGAAGAGATTATTTTACTGTAAGTTAGGAGTGATATTCACTATAATTTTGGATGGTTTGTTTATGATAAGATACGGCTTTCAGTTTTTTTTTTGATTTTGTATTATCACTTAGACGGGACTTTTGGCCGTTTTAGAAGTATAATATTCGTTTTTTAAATATATTGTACATGATTTATATCAACTTACCTTCTGAGTTCCTACTGGACAGCTGGCATAGTGTAGCTTCCATCTCCTGCTCCCTCGTTTAACTCCAATCTCGGTCTCGAACACACAGTTCTCGGTTGTATCACAACAAACTCTCAATTGAATATTCCTAGCCGCTTCCCAAGCCTGGAATTCAATTGTTTCCACCTTTGTTGCGTTGATCCTTGCCGACAACGTTGATCTTTGGAAGGGCTTAACATATGAAGCAGCGAAATGCTGATTCCTCTCGTTGAAGTTGTCGCCCCGTGCAATGCCAGTAACACTGTTTCGGTATCTTCCCCTCCAGTTTTGCCATCCTCTCATCACGTAATCGGCTTGTCGATGAGCTCGGCGACGCAAAAGGTATCTGTAGTTGTGGCTTCCGGGGTTTACGGTATCCACGGAACTCTCCCAATTGCAAAGGTCTTCTAAAACAGGCAAAATTAAAACTTGGTACCTTTTTATAGCATGTTAAGAGGTGTAAAAGACACAATCCTTACCTGACTCGAAGTTACAAGCCACTTTGTTACATTGTTTTAGCCGATCGTCCGCTGAAATTATTGTAGTATTAGTAAAATTATGCAAAGATTTTTTGACCTCGCTTGGTCGAAGGACGTCATTTCTGATATCAGTAAATGCCTTTGATATATTGTTTTTCGAAAATGATAAGTTTATTTGGTGCATTTAGAAAAACGGTGAAGTTTTTCCACAACTTTAGGTTCAGTTGGGCGAATTAAAGGGGTATTTTGACTAGGGTCTATGTTTTTTACATAGAAATAAAAATGCTTTTTCTTAGAAAACTTATTTTTAGAAAAAATGATTTTTTTCATAGAAAAAAACATTTTTATTTTAGAAAAGAATGGTTATTCCTTAGAAAGTGCAATTTTTAGTAAATTTGTGTATAATAATAAAAAAAACTGATTTTAAACAGTAACTAGTAGTAAATTTTGTTGAGTAGTGGGGTAAAATAGTAAGAGTAGTAACTTTTTGAGTGAATATTGGGGACTGGGGTATTCGATGGTGCTGATTCCGAAAACATAGTTCGTTTTTTGTGATTTTGACTTTTTCTTAAGTAGTACTGTAAGTTAGTAGCAATTTGTATTGTTGATGCCTCAACGTCGATTGAAATCGATTTCTTGCTCGTACCTGGGTTAACCCTTATATATCTTCAGACAAATTCCGACGAACCAGAGAGAATATTCAATTAAACAATTCAACAATTAATAAAAAATTCAAAATTGCTACTAACTTACAGTACTACTTAAGAAAAAAGTCAAAATCGCAAAAAACGAACTATGTTTTCGAAATCAGCACAATCGAATACCCCATTCCCCAATATTCACTCAAAAAGTTACTATTCTTACTATTTTGCCCTACTACTTAACAAAATTCACTACTTGTTACTGTTTAAAATCAATTTTTGTTATTATTATACACAAATTTACTTAAAATTGCACTTTCTAAGGAAAAACCATTCTTTTCTAAAATAAAAATGTTTTTTTCTATGAAAAAAATCATTTTTTCTAAAAATAAGTTTTCTAAGAAAAAGCGTTTTTATTTCTATGCGAAAAACATTTTCCCTTTTGACTATAATTTTGGTTATTTTACTCACCCTCATTGAACGGTTCATTCCGATCTGTGTGCATTACTGGCTGAGTGTGATGATGCCATTTGGGCTGTCTAAAATAGGAATCATAGAACGTTGCGGACACCTGATTGTTCGAATTCGAACTGATAACCGTTGGTTGATATAAAAGTGCGAAGATGTCGACCTTTACAACCCCCCCCCCTTACTATTCTTTGGAAATAGTAGATAAGTGGGAAGCGAATACGTATTCTTACATTTTGTGTTGCTCCACATGCTCCTTCTGCAATTGTTGGACCAGCTCGATGGCACTGACTTCCCCATTAGTCTCCACCGAGGACTTTTTGTTGGCCTCCACCCATATGTCCTGGGAAGTAAGCTCACTTTCGAAGGTTTTGAGGGCCTCCATCACTGATGGAGCTGGCTCTTCAGGGGCCCGTGGAATGCTGGGAACATCTTGAGCACGTGGAAGATGCTCGGGTTCAGAGTTATCGGAGTCGATCAGGCCTCCGCGGGCCGGTTTAGTATGCTTGGCAATACTTTCGTGCTTCTTCTTGAACAAGCCCGTATTCCCACTGTTGACGCTAGAGTAAGCAGTACTGAAAATCCTCTTGACCTTTTCGTTTTGTCCCCGATAGCCTCTGATTCCTTGTTGTGGATACTTGAACGGCCGATTGTAACCATCAGCTGGCCCATCGGAATCTCGCAACGCACCGGTTTCAGATGGCTTGGCGGGAACTTTGACGCCGTGAAACTCATGATCAATCTTTATACCAGGTTTGTTCATGTTGATGTGTGTGGGGAAGTTTACTTCATTCATTAGGGTCGTCGATTCCATTTGGGCTCGATTCGAACTTCCAGTATTAACGTAATGTTTTGGTTTTCGCGGCTGCTTGGCTTGATCTATCTCATCCACCACTGATTTTATCTCTTCTTCGATCTTAAAGAGGGTTGTTTTGGCTCCACTGTGGGTGGATCCTTTGTACGGGCCTTCGGTTGTCTCCGCAGCTGGTGACACTTGTATTTGACCCTCAGGCTTTTTCTCATTTGAAGATGAATTTGATTCGGATTCGAAGAATTCTTTAATATTTTTTCGATGAACCTCCTTCTCATCCTCAGTTCCATGTTCTTCTCCACCGTGATCGTGTTTGTTCTCGTCTGATTGTTCTCGCTCAAATGGCACAACTTTTAATGGATTGTATCCTCTGTGAAGTTCCTCTTCAATCTCCCTTGGAGGCTGTGCATATTGATCGTATTGTGCGTTTCTGGCATCAGAAAGCAAGGTCCTTCCATGCTCAGTGTCGCTATGATTCTCATCCAATATTTTACTACCAGTGGCGATGATGGTGGGTGCAGCGGCGGCCACGCTTCGAACTGGCGGTAGCTCTTCTCTATCCGGCTTCTCAATCGTACTCATATGTCTCTCATTTATCCTACGTAATCTCCTCATGAACTCACTCTTCATTGATTCGTATTTCGATTTCATTTGTTTCAACTTTTCCCCGAGGTCCTCAATGAATTGAGAGTGTAATCTGTTGTTCTTTGATCTCATATTGATGTTGTCATGAACGGCGAAGTTGCCAACATGATCTAACTCGATCTTTTTCTCTTCCGGAACTGTCTTATGACGTCGAATCAACATCGTGAAAGCGGGTTTTGGAGTGGATGAAGTTTTTTCTGTAGTTGCAACACTCTCTGGCGTCGTATTCTCCTGCGTGGTGCTTTCTGCGGTTGTGATCTCAGTTGTTGCACTCTCTGTAGTCGTTGCAGCAGTTGTTGGCGCCTCCGTGTATTCTTCAGTCACCATAGTCGTTCTGGTTTTTTCTTCAGAACCAATGATACTGATATCTTGAGCGTCATCCAAATTCGCAGCAACCTTAGGGTCAATGTAATCTTCCGCGGGTGCTAGTGCAGGAAGTGGTGTGCTAGTTTCTTGTTGTTTCGTAGCAACTGTTCGAATCCGTTCCTAAAATGAACAGTGTCAAATTGGAATTGTTCATACCAAATTGTCAGCGGCTAGTTCGTCATCTTCACTGTCTACTAATACCGGAACCCCAGTAGTTCTCATTGGACCCAAGGTCGTCCTTGATTGTTGTCTCTCACTGACCACGGGATCTTTGTTGATTGTCAACTCGGATGGGATCAGAACATTCACATTGGTCAGGAGTTTGGGCTTGAGTAATCTTTGATTGTGCCGGTCGATTACACCCTCCAACGTTTTGATCATTTCCTCACGGCTCAACTAAAAATGAAGTTATAATCTCGTAATCTGCTTACGGTTTCCGTATCCACCTTGCCTTGATGATATCGGCCAATTAGAGTTCTAAGTTGGTTATCGGTCAGTCTGTCTAAGGGACGACGATAACTTTCGTGGAGTTCCTGAAAATGTTTTTTTTTTGAGATTGCGGATTAACACTTTTGTTTCACGTGAATTTGTGTCTTACATGACCATCTGTTGGGGGCAATGGGTGTTTCAAGAAATCGACCGATAACCTTTCATCCGAGAAAGTTGACGTTCCATGAGCTCGGACCTTGAGATGTCGCAAACTTTTCAAGAAGAGGATGTTTTGTCCTCTCTGAACTTCCCCTGTTGTCCCCTCTTCTGTTATCCGATAGGCTCCCTCTTCTGCATGATCGTCCGAATCGACTACAGTCTCCCCTAAAAAGCAACTTTGTCAGATCTCGGTGTGGTTTGTTTCCGATGTTCCAAAGTTCTTTGCGAGAAAAAAGTTTTGTTTTTTTCTCTTCGTAATCCCGTCATAAAGCTGGTTTGATAAAGCTCCTCTCGCCCCGAGAAGGAAGATGATAACGCGCTTGAATGGATGATGATTACATCCTTGGATGCGTGTTCGGTCATCGGAGGAGCATCCCGCGCAAAACCGGTCAAAAAACAAACTTGAACTTGCCCCTGATAATCGAGATCAATTGAAATATGAGGATCCAACGGCTTCGTATTATCATCTGAAACGGTTTTTTATCACTAATTGTAATCATTGAGTCCGTAAAAACCAGTAGTGATGAAAGGTGATGCATAAAAATTAATGTTTTACTGTAAAATACGAGGTGAAAACGTAGTGTGATTAGTCTAATGCAGAGCTAGGATAAGGCCATAAACCGGTTTTCCAGCAGGAAAGATAGCTCTACCATTTTGTAAAGTAATAAGTAAAACATTTACCTTCACCATGAATAGAAAGGCGAACCCGAATATTGGGGCATATTATTAATGGGAATCGTTTATGAAATACTAAAATTTGCGGCTCGCGGAAAATTGCGCACCCTTTTGTAAAATTAGTTCGAAAACTTCAATGTGAAATTTTGTAACGTAAGCCGGAAACCCGAACTGGATTTATTCTCCCGCGGAGAGCCATTGTTTTTGCTATTTTTATTAAGATTTCAACGGGAAACGATAAATTTCAACGGAGATTGACAGTGCTCAATCATGTCTGGGAAAGGATACAGGATATTGACTGTTTATACAAGAGGTGGATACGGTTTGAGTTAGAGTGGAAATTGCCAAAATAATTAGGAGAATTTGTTGAAAACAGTGTTGAAACCCGGAAAGTTTACTGTTGATAAGCGAGAGGAAGTAAACACCCCCAAAACGATTGTTAACCGCGATGATTTGCATCCACTGGAGATGGGGAAGATCCGCCGGTTTCGTGGTTGATCACTTTTTTTTCGGCTTGCTCCCATCCCTCCCGATCCCGCCCCCATAACTTGCAAAATTCTCAAGACGGCGCCACTTTTCCCTTAATGAGTGAAAGTGAAAGATCTCATGAACACTGCGTGTTGAGACTCGTTTCTCCAGTTAGGTCATCCCCATGCCAATAAAATTTGACTGGCTTTAATTGATCCGAGAGGAATCGTCGACTGATAACTGAGAAGTAACTTGATTACCAATGAAACGAACATGACATTTCGATGACATGAAACATTCGGAGATGAGGGAAAGTTAATGAAAATAAGACGTAGCAAGAGGTTGATGCAACAATCGCCGCAGGGAATTGAAATCATCCTAATTAGGGATCTTGCATATTATCCATGCTGATTAGTCTTCTAATTTTGTCTTTTGGAATATCGTACTCTTCATATCATAATTAGAAATTAGATCGTCAATCATAACATGAAGCTAGAATTCATCAATTTAACTCACAAATAATTTCAGAACAAAATAGCCATGGATTATGTTGAGAGAGGCTACCGTTTTCTTTGCATGGAGCCAGCCATGTTCCTTTATATGACATCATCTTTTATTCGGATGCCAGTTTACAACTCTATGATGTATGAGAAAGTTTGTTGGCATCGGTTTGATGTATGTTCAAGATCAAGATTCAAATAATCACCATTTTCTTTTACAGTATGACAACTCCACAGTTGACTGTACAAATTCCACACAAATCAGGAGTGACACGGATATCCACGAAGATTTTAACAGGTTCTATCTGACTTCATCGTTGTGTTTACTCGTCCCATCACTTGTGTTTACTGCATTGTTGGGTTCTTGTAAGTTTGATGTTGTTGATCATCATGCCGAATATAAATTAGGTGTGTAATATCAATTTGCATTGCAGTAAGTGACGCCTGGAGCAGTAAGAAAGCGATGGTAGTCCCTTTCGTCGGCCTCATGCTTTGCAATATCAACTATGTTATTCAAGCCAGTTTTATGCACTTTGATCCCTATTATGTTGTTATAAGCGATGTTTTGTTTGGAATTTTTGGTGGATACTCTGCAATTATCAGTAGGTTGCTTTGGTTCTTAATGGACAAATAATTTGACATTGTTTCAGGCACAATGTTTTCTCATTCGATTAAGGTTACAAGCTTTGAAGATCGAAGTGAAAGGGTGGCCCTATTGGAAGGAGCCATTGGCCTCGGTGCTACGATCGGATCCTTCACTTCAGGAAGTCTTAGACAGTAAGCGCATCATTAGTAAACACACGGCTGCTGCTTGTTTTAGAGCCACCAGTTATGCAGTGGCCTTCATCATAATAGGTATCCTCAACTTTCTCTCTGCAGTCTATATTATGATCTTTGCCGAGGACCCACCATTAATGGACAATGGAGAGAATAGAAGTAAGAGTAATGCTTTTGAAGGCCTTGAATTGAAATTATTTTTGGAGGGAGTTAATTCTAAGAAAAAAATAAATTTCAGATCAAATGTCGTCGATCGCTGATGGAATCAAGAAACGATTAATGGATTATGGCCGGATATTCACCGTGACCAGAGAAAGTTGTCTGAGGGGACTGATCTTCGCCTCATTTTTGGCCTTGTCGATAGAATTGTTCTCTTATTCGGGAGTATCGGACATCTTGTTCTCGTTCCTCCTTCACCGATTCGCCTGGACTGACAAGGAATATGGATTCTTTAGGGGACTATCGAGCGCGCTGGGGTGCGTTATGGTAAGTACTATACTGCGGGACTAAAGTTTGGAACAGGCTATATTTTCTTTGCGGCTTGAGATCGGAGTTTCATTTCTTTTCTATAAGAATCGGAATATATTAAAACCCCATAATGGATGCATAGCCGTAGAAATCAGAAAGCTCATATGAGCAAAAAACAAAATTTTTAAAAATAGGTGGGACAAAAGTTTGGAACAGGGTTAGGAATGCGATCATAAATTTCGCAGTATAGTCAAAAACTCATAGGCTTTGGTATTTTTAGATGCTGCGAGGTGTCAGGATCTCAACAACATACTGATTTTCATCGATGAACTCAAAATGAAAAAAATTCTTATTGAGCCAACAATGACGGTCAAACTTGCGAAAAAAAATTATTTTTTGGGTTGGGTTCTCTATGTTATCGGTGTGTAAGCATTCTAAAATATTTGATATGGTCGTATAACCGTACAAAGACACTCAGATATCCGCATAGGAACCTTATCCGCACAGTATAATTTATGAAAATTTTGGAATGTGCTTCGAATCTTGGTCTAATGAATTTCAGATTTTTTGTATGACGACATGAAGACTAATTGGCCCTTTTATGATCACTGTGAGATAAAAAAGTATCTTCACAAAGCGAAACCTGACCGCAATTTGCAATATCCCACGCCAGATGTTTCAAACATTTAAAAAAATTTTCGGTCACCAAAATCAATGTTTATATCGACCTGGATTCCTAGTATGATACATTGTAGAGTTGGCTAACAAAACTATATCAGTGTGGTAAGGATAAAGGCATTTAGTTTGGCGCCATATGGCGACCTAAAATTAAGGTAAAAAATATGGGTCATCTTAACATCTCATATGTCCGGGCTTTTCGAAGTTGTGGCGTTTCGTGTTGCAAATAGCGGTTGGTTTTTGTTTCTTGAAGATACCTTTTCATCCCACAAAACCTAAGAAAAGGCCAATTAGCCATCAAGCCGCCTTATAAAAAATATAAAAATCATTGAACCAAGATTTGAGGCACAACTCAAAATTTTCATAATTTATACTATGCGTATACGGTGCCAATGGGAGGATGTGACTATCTGTATGAGATTATGCGACCATAATTGATATTTTAGAATGCTAATACATCGATAACATTGGTAACCCAACCCAAAAAATAATTTTTTTTCGCAAGTTTGACCGTCATTGTTGGCTCAATAAGAATTTTTTTCATTTTGAGTTCATCGATGAAAATCAGTATGTCGTTGAGATCCTGACTCCTCGCAGCATCTAAAAATACCAAAGCCTAGGAGTTTTTGACTATACTGCGAAATTTATGATCGCATTCCTAACCCTGTTCCAAAATTTTGTCCCACCTATTTTTAAAAATTTTGTTTTTTGCTCATATGAGCTTTCTGATTTCTACGGCTATGCATCCATTATGGGGTTTTAATATATTCCGATTCTTATAGAAAAGAAATGAAACTCCGATCTCAAGCCGCAAAGAAAATATAGCCTGTTCCAAACTTTAGTCCCGCAGTATATGATGTGTTTATCATGATTTATGAAGAAATGTGTATGATTTTATATTGTAGACTCTAGTTGGATATCCATTGCTTCGAAAAAGAGCTAACTGGTCCAACGCCAGCCTTGCCATCCTTGGAGTCCTTATGAAAATGATCTTCCTTATTGTCCTGGCCACATCTTACAGTGAATTCCTCACTTATCTCACAGTTATCCCTCAAAGTTTCACTCGGTTCGTTGCCAGTGGCCTCAGGGCAATGATTGGACAATTTATTTTGGACTCAGAACAGGGTAAGGAATATAATTTTTGATTTGCTTTTTGGAATTTCTGGGCGTTGATACAGTAATTTTTTAATTTTTAGGAAGAATCTTCGCTCTAATAGCTGTTGTTGAGAGCATCGCATCAATCTTTGCCACCACCATCTTCAATGGATTATATCCAAAGACGTTGGACACATTTGACGGGTTGATCTTTCTTTGCACAGCGATTGCTCTCTCATTGCCGTTGTTTATCATACTGTAAGAATTTTTTTGAAGGTGTTTGACAGTCATTTGAAATCTAACTTGATATTTTAGTGGTGTCCGTCGGAAAATGAAGACAGCATGGGCAGATGACGAAGAACTGGAACGTTTACGAAGAGAATAGCTCAATTTTACGGTGTTTTAATAATAATTATGATAACATATCTAGTCAAATCATATCAAATAAAGGTTATTTTGATCAAATTAGGCAGAGTACAGATTATGAGGAATCAATGTGGACCATGTTGAAATCCAGTCAAAAATTTACCTCGTTACTTTTTATAAAATACAAATAAGTCGAGGTTTGCAGGGAATCGTTGAAATGTGCAAGCTTCAAAACCTGGAAACCCGCTTGATTGGACGATATGACACAAAATCGCAACTAAAATCAATAGTGATATTCCGTTTACGCGAAAAATATTTTTCCCGACCTTATAACTTTTTGTTCGTTGTTGGCCGTTTTTCGACAAACCAAGATGTTTCGACTGGTCAAACACACATCCACATTGTCGCAAAGGGCGAAGCTATTAGTTGCGGCCTCAAATTCCTTCAGAAAGGTAATTTAGATTGCATTTTTTTGATTGTTTTCTCTAGATTTCTTCCTTCCAACCGTTGGTTTTGAACTCGCTCACAAGACAGCCAGCTGATGTCCGACAATTCCATGTGTCGTCTGTCGTTCAAGCCGCTCATGTAAGTCAACGTTAATATTGTGAATATTATATTTCTTTTTCTCGGAATGATTGTTCTCTTTTTAGCAACCCTTCACGATCAAGAGTGTCCGTGAACGACTGCTTCTAACCTTGAGTCTCTACGACAAAATTGATCCGGAGAAGTTGACATTGGATTCGGATTTCTTCAAAGATCTTGGTCTGGACAGTTTGGACTTTGTGGAAGTTATCATGGCAATTGAAGACGAATTTATGTTTGAGATCCCCGATGGCCATGCGGATCGCTTCAAGACTCCCCGGGATATCTTCCAGTTCATTTGCGACAAAGAGGATGTGTACGAATAGGTTTGTATCTTGTTTTATATGTTCTTGGTTTAGGACAAGAGAAATAAATTTAATCAGTTTAGTTCCTATACAATACATTTTTGAGGAATGAACTCTTTTTGGATGTTAAAGGGTCAGATGCGGTTCAAGCAATTCAATAGCGCTAAGAGCACATCCCCATCCAAGGGTGAACCCATTTCCTCCATGACCGTAGTTGTGAACCACCTGAAATTGACGTTGCCGTTTGATATATTAGACTTATTCTAATATGGGGATATAAGATTAAGCCTTACATGATAATCCTTTCCGTTATTCTGCCTTTTCTGATATTCAACTCTAATCGTTTTCCTCTCCGGTCTCAATGAAACCCATTCCGATAAGACCTTGGCTCCTTTGAATTTGGGATCCAGAGCCACATACCTACTCCAAATGGCTTCTCGATCAGCATCGGTGACGGTCAAGTCTGTACAATTGTCTTGTCGTATCGTTCCCATCATAACCGAATTGTTCATGGGGATGGTGAAGGTGGAGAAATCGCGATAATTAAAGTGCTTTTGCCACGGAGCATGGACCTATCGATTGATTGAGATGCCTAGCCTTATAACGTACCTCGATAGCCACTCCTCGGTTGGGTTTGACGCCTTCGGTATCATCTCCAGCCAGATCTCCCCCTTTCACACCTCCGCAATTGATAACGTATTCGAATCCAAGAGAAGAAACCTATAAAATTATGTGGATTAATAGAGAATAACTCCGTTATCTCACCTCGTCCAAGTTTTTGAACTCCTTTGTGACAAACTCGGCTCCCTTTCCTTGTAATTGCTTCTTCAGCCATGGAGTATACGTTCGTCCTTCCGATGCATACGCAGTGTAATGTATACAGTACTTTGACGGGTTTACAAACATCGAGTTCCGTTCTCTGTCATCCAACCAGCGGAAATTGTAGACAATATCAGCCATGTTTCGTTCCTGAAAACGTTGCTTATATCCGTCAGACCTCTCACCTGATGTTCAAGGAGTTCTCGATTGTCCGATTGGATGTGTCCTGATAAAAGTTTAACGCCGCATTCATGACCATAGGTCTTCTCCAGATATGCGAATCTCTCGAAACTCTTGCGAGCCCATGGTCTGAAAGAGATGACAGTAATCGAATATATGAATCTTCATCGATACCACAGTGTGGGACCTGATCCAGTGGCAAAAAACGTACCGTTTTGCATCCGGGAAGTATCAAAAATGTGGCAAAATGCTTCCCTCTCCAAGTGAAAAAACCTCTTTTTCAAGGGTGCGCCCTTTTAACCCACAAAAAAGAGCGGGCGCGTTTTTGAAATCTGAGTTTTTTCACTTGGAGATGGAGGTATTTTGACACATTTTTTGGTGCTTCCTGGATGCAAAATGGTGCGTTTTTTCCACTGGATCAGGTACTCTTAAAGCCCTCAAATTTGGATTCGAACATACCTGGCCTCATACTTGTCCAACCGAAATAATCCCCCCGGTCCAAAGCTACAGGTGTCAGCAAACGGCTTATTCGAAAACAAAGTAATCTACAAAAATATTACTGTCACTCTCCAACCATATTACTATTTTATCACCTGTAATTTTGGATACTTCTCCAAGAATGCCAGTGCGGTTGAGCACCCAACAACTCCCTCACCAACGATCGCGATCTTGGTCATGTTTTTTTCTGAAACAGTCTTTGTAACTTGTGGAATATAAATACCCCTAGGGGGGTTGTTTGTGTGTTCATAATTCTCTGGTAAAAGAAAGCGTGAAAGGCGTAAACACAACGTGGGGGAGCACAGAGTTCGTCCAAAGAACTCAAAAAACGTCCTCCTAATCGCAAAACGAGGAGAAACCTCCCCGAAAGAGATAATATTTTATTTTCCCCTGACCACGTGCCAGTTCTCTGGTGGTCTCTTTGTTTCATAAAGCCCTAGAGAGCTACGTAGTTGGGCTATGGTCTTAAAAAGAGACAATTCAAAGTTTACAATAAACGTACAATCAAGTGCAATATAAGTAATCCCAAACATCAAATTTACGAACAACTTTTCGGCTTCTAAATCCATATCTTTATTCACAGATCAGATAATCATCGTAAGACAGAAACAACATCCATCACCGTGATCACCATCTCTTTAGATTTATTAATTCTCACCGTTGATATGGCAATATTCAAATCGAGTAAGAAGAATAAAACAATATATCACAATCAAAGGGGATGTAAACAAATCCATATATTATACATTTGACATTCATCATGATGGCTATTGGGCTTCGAATGAAGTCTTTATGACATTAATTTGTGTTCAAAAAGTGCCGGTATGTACCGGGATTTCTCGCTTAGCTCCGTGGAAGACCTGCATTAGACTGTAGGCATCAGCAGTGAGTTCACAGATCTGTTGATCCGACCAGTTTTGGGTTGGGAGATTTTGGAGAAGGATCATTGCTCCCTAAAAGTAACATATAATATAAGGTAAGGTAAAATTACTTGGAAATCCCTCTCTTTCAGAATATCCCGACTCCATAGCCTTAGGAAAGCGACACAAACATAAGTGTGGAACTGGGAGAAACCGTTTCGTTCACTCTGCAAATAATATTTATATTCCACATGATACCTCAAGTATTAAAGTCGACATAAGCAAAGTGACTATCAAAAATATAAATTAAAACCTTACCAAATACGTGTCCCATAGCCTGATTGTCGCTCTTAGCGGTATCTCCCTCATTAGCAAGTTATTCATCCATCGGAATGCGAATTGTAAAAACTCGACTTGATGTCTCTCCAGATGTTTCGTCAATTCCCCATCCACTCTTCCGACCAAATACTTCAATTCGGCCACCTTTCTTTGAATTCCGGGCTGTGCAAACGTGTAATTATCTTGTATCGTATCCAGTAACGCGGTGAAACACCAAAACGAATCCGCTTCAATGAGTTCCAAGGTCTTTCTGGGTATCTGACTGACATCATATGTGCCGACCTCGGCCCCATCAGATATAAATTCACTCAGGAACACGACAAAGAACGGAGTGACGAGGTCGTTTATCCCTTGCACATATCCGCTGGCTGGATGACGGATGGCCCAGATGTAGAGGATTCGTTCGAAAATCTCCTGGACCAACTTCTGTTGGAAAAGAGGAACCAACGGACACATTCGAGGGATATCAATGTGAATCTAAACGCATAAAATAAAACCCGAAAGCTCCTACCTGTCTAAATGTATCTTGTTGCTGCTCATCGTACCTCGTATGAAAATATTGTTCAACATAATTCCAATACTCATTTCGTTTTCTATCCAACGTCACTTGCTGTCGGTCATAGTTTACTGGGACGTAACCCTAAACAAAAATCATAAAAAATGGAAATGACTCTTACCGATAGTATTCTCCAAGCCATTGGTCGGATCGAATTGGGGATTCCCAACCAGCAATCTTTGCGTAATTGCTCAATGTTGATCATATGACTAGATGGGACACCCGAGGAGTCGCAGTGACCGCTTACTTTTACAACGCGACGAAGACGGTCGAAACGGCTTTCATCACCTAAATGATAAAATAAACCATGATAAAATGTTCAAAAATACAGTTACAATATAAGCAAGTAGTATGTAAACATCACTTCAAGCTCAAATAGCTTCTCCTTACCATTCTGCGTTGGTTTCGTTTTCTGAGCTTTTATAGGAGTTGAGTTTGACCAAGGATAACATGGCTGGGAGTCGTCGGCCAACTTAGGATATATCGAAGTTACTTTTTGGGGAGGCTGTGAGTTGTCTGGTTTAGATGCGTTCGCATGCTGAGCTAAGACTTGATTTGCTGACTCCGAAGCCAGTTGGTTATTGAGCGTTATGTCCGTATCCCAGACGTCCGAAACACTGGAAATGACATGTTAAAACTTCCACTACGATGCTAAGAGATTTTTCTTCCGTTTTAAAACAAAACATTAAGCGTTGATTAACTGAAGATACCTAAAACAAGAAGAACAATACAAAATAAAACGACTTACTTCTTCTCATACTGTTTGAACTTCTGTTGGGTTTTTCCAGTCATAACGGGAGGTTGGGCAACTTCCTCTGGCCTCTGGGAATTGGCGGTCGTTGAACTTGTGGATTGCGTCAACCCGGGTAGAGGATACCTGGCGCCGTAAACTGGGCGGACACTAAAAACAAAAAGATTAAAATCCCTCGAAAACCAACCAACACAAAGGCTGAAGATCCTCCGCATATCACTATCAATTATTTTCAATCCTCGCATTACCCGAAAAGAGCGCGGAACGAATCATATTCGCGGGCGTTGAGGATAACAAGGTTTAGCGTGTCAGAGCATAATAAAGGATATAATAAATTAAAAAACGTGATATTTACCTGCCGGGAAGAGCCAAGTTCTGGGTCCAACCAGACATTAATGCCCCGCTTTGCAGATCGAAATGTTAATTCCTTCTTGAAAAGCGGGAAATCTGAAAAAAATAACATTATCCTTAACTAGAACCCTTGGAGTTGACGAATAACACGCGGCTTTATGTTTAATTCCTTTTTGCTAACCTCTACACTTCCACAACAACATCGGCTCGCTGAGTTTTATTTATGCACCTGCAAAATTACAAAAAATCGTTGGAAACTTTATCAATTTTGACCACAAATTGTGGGATCAGTATCTATTCCAAAAAATAATATAAACGGACGTCTTTCTCAAAAGAAAACAAAATGTTTAGTAAAACAGAAGGCTATGTCCGCATATTTACGATGCCTTGATTCCATTTACACGTGGAGGAATAGTGGAATTAAAAAGTGAAAGGGGCTATCGAAAAAGAGAAAAAGCGAATTCTGTTGAGAGAAAACTCGCCTCACGGAGATTAACTCCAATCTGAAAAAACCTGTTAGACTCTCGTTAGCTTTATCTAAAGACAGCCAAAAATAGAATGTTGAAAGAACTCACATTTCCACTTATATAACGCTTGTTCCGTTCGTGTTGAAATTGAAGTTGTGAGGTCTCGGTGAGATTGTAATATTATGTAAAAGTATGGCCGTATGAATCAAAGAAAAAGGAGACGCAATCTCTGGCCGGAAATGTCTCGGAACAAACTCTCTCCTCAAAAGAAAAAAGTTTCTTGATGGCTTTTGGCACTTCGCATCGATAATTCCTTGTCATTTCGTATTCCATCCTCGGCATATTTTTTTCCGGAAATTGCACGGATCCATGGATAACAACAAGGCTTTCTGGAGGATGTATTATCGGTAAGAGGAGTCCTTATTTTTTATTTTGCTGATTTAGGTTGCTCTGAGGGATGAGGACATTAAGAGAAACCCGGGCGATTCAGATGGGATCTTCACTTTCCCGTTTGGGAAGGTTATGCTCAAAATAAAACAACTTACAGACAAGAAACTAAATGAGTACTACAGCAAGAGTACAAAATTCGCCTTCCGTGCAACGTTATCTTCTTATGATCTCAGTCAAGCAACTGACGATCGAGTCGTATGGGTTGCTCATCATTCTCATTGTACACTTCTTCCGTGATTTCTTTTGTCTGTAACTTTTGTTGTATTTATTAAAAGTTTTAGTGTATTAAACTGTGCTGTTGTAAGATTTTTCCCGCAAGATTTGTTGATTCATTTTCGGATATCTGTCCCAACTCTAGCTGGATTTGAATTTGTTTACAGTATGGAAAACCAAAAGGGAAAGATAAATCCGAGGTTAAACGACGAATGTGTGCGATGTGTTACCAAGTTCTATCTACAACACGAAATACGAGGACGGCCTCTAATCTACGTCCGCTTGCTAGGCCAGAGGTTTTATCGGTGCTTCTGGGAGGGTGGATATTATGTGATGTGGATCAGTACAATGTTCCGACTTAAGCACGACAAACATAGTTTCCACAGGCCGGTTCAAATAATGCAAAATGAGGTGAAGTTATTGTTGGAGAAAGGATGGCTGCAGGCCCTCGAACTACATGGGGTGTATGATATTTCGGATTCCATGGAGGCACTAAAACTTTGGCTTAATGGGTTGGAAGTGAATGGCTCGCTTGCTCTTATTCTGTCAGGACATTTTTACTTTTTCTACACTATTCTTAAGGACGAAATAATTGCTAAGAAGTGGAAACTAGGCTACGTCAAAATGAAGTTTGATGCGTTATCCGGACAGATCATAATGATGGACCATTATTTGAATTTTTATCCGTACGCATTTCAAATGTGCCAAACGTTGAGCGTTGCCGAGTTACGTCTTTCATTTACAAGTAAGACGAACACTTTTGGTTTGTTTACTGTAATATCTTACGTATTGTTAGACACACGCTTCGAATTGCTTCAAAAAACGATAACAGATGCAAAAACAAGGACAGTTTTTATGGAGATGAAATGCGGGAGTACTTTTTTTGATCTAGAAAAGTATATTACCCAGCCTAATGACAACCAAAGCATTGAAGAGTTCATTCTGGACTTGAGAGGCTATCAAGGAAGTTGTAATACCTTTATTAGGTATGCGATAGAATCCCTGAAAGCTGCAACATTATTAACTTTGATCCGCACAGAAAGAACTCAAAGGGATAAGAAGAAACAAAGGATTGCATTGGAATATAATTACTCGGAATTGTATCCTAATATCAAGTTTATATTTATCACAGTTGTTGCAAAGGACCTGGTAGGTGTTTACGGTTAGAAGTTATTAAATATGACTCATAATGGCCCAATTTAAAAGAGTTGTTTTTTACATTACCACAACCCCCGTATACGGTAATTTTCGAAACTAAAAAATCGTGCTGATGTTTAGCTATTATAGTACAACAACTATGCAAAATATCTAAAGATTCTGAGTTGGTCGTTTTCTGGAAATGTCCGGGCCATCCTTCAAGTTGCAAAAAACTATTTTTTTAAATGATTCTAATTCAGACCGACCCTCGAGATCCACTTGATCTGCCGTTAAGACAAAGAGAACGATATCTTATTCGGCAATGTCTCTCATTTCCTATCCAATTCCAATTTGTTCACATGACCTCCAATTCTATTCAGCTTACAATGAATCTCGACTAACATGTTTTTTATCAACTTTGTTATTACTTCTTGTGTATTTATCAGAAAAAAAATCCTAAACAAATCTTGTGGCTAACGAAACAATCTTGGCCATCTCGATATTATCCCTCTTCTTAAGCAGAGTTCCAGGGATCGGGGCCAAAACCCTATTGCCAATCGGATTTCCCTCGTCATCCTAAAAAAATTGACTAAAGAATTTGATGAGAAACATACCAATAAAACAATATTGTTGGTGTCAGTAGAAGGAATTCCATGTTTTCTGTAGTTGACATGCGTGTTAGCCCCAACAACATAAGCCTTCTTCATCTCCCCTTTTATGGCAACCAATATCTGTAAGGGTTGGAAAATTAACAATTTCTCCATTTACTGACCTTGTCACCTAATGTTGCGTGGGGCATATGTTTTGGCCGGTAGCCTTTCTTGTAAACATGAATACAGTAGGCCAATCGGCCACTGCTATTCGCTTCTTTCCCAATGGCCGAGTTGTCTACAACAACACAACGAGTTCTTCGATGAATTCCAGGATTTGGTGGTCGAGAACGGTGGATTGATAACTCATAACTAAAAGTTTACAAATTCTAATGAGAGCTAGGCAGAAGTCATCGCGTTGTAAGTATTCCAGTCTAACTCACATTTTTAAATCGCAAACACAAAAAGATTATAGTCAGCCAAAAGTTCTCCTCCTTTCCCTTTTTTCAATTTATAGACAGCCCCATCAGGTAGACATGGCATAGATGGGGAATGCATTTCGCGAGGCAGCCCTAGTTCTTTCGCTGTTGGAACCATCTGCTGAAGATCGCTTTGTTCAGGGCATTGGCTGTGTGATCGAAACGATCTGAAAATAAAACGGCTATAAGTAACAACAGCCAATGCCCATTACACAAATTTGGTGCGCTTTTCTCATTAAGACCATAGAAGAGAAATTATAACCTTACGTTGGCTGTGGATACCACCTTCCAGATGCGGAAGCTTGACTCACAAATTGCGACAACCTCGGGAGCAAGTTCCTCAACATTTTGTTCGACCTCAGGCTTCATACAAGACTGCATCTCCTCAAAAGAAAAAACTTTCTTGATCGCTTTTGGCACTTCGCATCGATAATTCCTTGGCATTTCGTATTCCATTCTCGGCATATTTTTTTCCGGAAATTGCATGGATCCATGGATAACAACAAGGCTTTCTGGAGGATGTAAGCAGGTATTTCTTTTTGAATTTGCACTTAAAATTTTCTTACAATCGATTACTTGGAGATCCCTTGCGCATGTGACAGCTGACGATAAATTATGTCCGGAGGTTTCGAAACAAAAAAGTTCCCAACTCTCTTTTCCTCTAAAACTGTAGTACTCTTGCTTTTTTGTTTCCCTTGACTCCTCTCTGCTTTAGGCCGCTACATCATTATATTATTCATGACGTAGGCGTTGATCCTGCTTTCCCTGTAATTAAACTCTTGCAAATTTCCGATTCCTCTTTTCTCTATGGAGTCGGGATTGCGCAGACGGAACAGATGCGATGGCGGCAATTAGTGCGGGGCATGAGTTTCTGGATTTTTGAATAATTTTTATTTTTATGCACTTATTCCTGGTGCTTTATGTTTTGTTTCAAAAATGACCTTTCAAGTTCTATTTTTGTTTTGATTGACCACTACGAGTTTTGTTTCTCCTCTTTATTGTACTTTTTTGTACTGAGAGATCTTTCATTTTAATGTGGCTTTCTCTTTTTATGATGAATTATATTCTCTTATCAGTTTCCGGCGGCTAATGGGAGTTAAACTGTTTTGTTAGCAAAAAACGATAGCCCGAGTTCAGGATAGTTTTTACTCTCTTTAGTTATCAAAATTATACATTTTATATCTAAATTTTTTACTCATGTATAATATCCAGCTCCCATTGTTACAATGAAATCGAAATTTAGCGGATATACGGATCCCAGCTGTTGGATAAAATTTCATGATCAATTTGTTTCGCTTTTATGATGATCTCTTTGACTTTTCCGTCCATTTCGTCTTGTGTTTTGAATTAAAACAATGGGAAATTATGCAAATCCCCCTTTCTCGCGAGTATTTTTGTTCCAAAAGGCGTCAAAATGAAGAAGTCTTCGCGAATATCCGCGATACGACATGCCATTTACTTTGCTCCACTTTACTATTTCCTCTTTCTTTTTAAAACTGTCAGATTCCATTTTTCCGACCATATTTTATACATGACCTTTATACAAATCCTGAGTTTGAAGGATCTTTTATGCCGCCTTGAATATAATAGTATATCCTCAAGTCGTATTTGATATCCCCAGTCGAAGATGATCTCCTTTTTCTTCAGATTCAAGCGTCGGTATATGGCCATGGATCGGCCGGCCACGGGGTTCTTGGACTTTCTGCATTTGCATAAGGAAAAGGTGGGCTTGGCATAACGAAAGGTTGTATCCATTTCGGGAAGATTTGGTTTTGGGAAACGTCTGTTTTGGGCTAATCGAATTTATTGAGTGTAATTAATTTATTCAATGGCCCAAATCGCTAGCCAAAGAGTTGGAATAACCCAAAGATCTCATAAATGTCCAACAAAAGGTTTTGTTTGATAGCCAAATCAACCAATTGGCTAGGTGTTTGTGGGATCTTTGGGTTATTCCAACTTTTTTGGCTAGCGATTTGGGTTATTGAATAAATTAATTACACTCAGTAAATTCGACCTACCTGTAGGGCGAAATACTACCTGAAATAAGGTCGTAATTTGTTATGTGTATTTTTTACAGACATTCCGACCAAAGAAACGCTTTCCCATCGGAACATTGAGGTATAATCTTCATAAACATGCCCAGGCCACATTAAGTTCGGGTTTAGATCTTCGACAAGCGGTCAGACTACCGCCGGAAGAGACTTTCGAAGATTGGCTGGCTGTTCACAGTAAGCTTGACTTGGATTTCATATTTTATTTGGTAAAAACACATAAATTATACTCATTCTTTAGCCGTCGACTTTTTCAATCGAATAAATCTCTTGTACGGAACAATAAGTGATGTTTGTACGCGGGAATCATGCCCGACCATGTCCGGAGGCGCAAAATACGAGTACTTGTGGCAGGATGGACAACAATACAAGAAGCCCACACGACTCCCAGCTCCACAATACATGTCGCTTTTGATGGATTGGATTGAAGCCAGGATAAATAACGAGGAAATATTCCCTTCGAATCCGAGTAAGTGACTGTAGATACGGTACTGATTTGATAGGTATTCCTTAAATAGCTTTTTTGACACATAATAGGTCTAAAATTTGTGAATGAAGATTGATATCAAGTACAATATAATTGATTGCCATGTTTAATATCCATTTGATCTTCAGCGATCCCTTTCCCCTCGGACTTTCGATCAATATGCTCCAAGATACTTTCACGTCTTTTCCGGGTCTTTGTTCACATTTATATTCATCATTTCGATCGGTTATGTCAGATCGGCGCCGAACCTCATGCCAACACTTTGTACAAACACTTTTATTATTTTGTCACGGAACACAATATGATCTCAAGAAAGGAGCTAAATGCTTTGGTAAGTACTTTTTGACCTGTCTTTATTAACGATTGTTTGTTTGAAAATAATTTTTGGTACTTTTTTAGAAAGATCTGACAGAAAGATTGACTGGAGAGACGGTTAAAAAGTGAACAAAACAACACAAATACGCAGTGTTCAGAGTACAAATGAACGAATCTCGATATCGGCAAGCTTCCTATGATTGTATACAGCAAAATCCTCATCAATTTCCGGTTTATAAACGGTTTTTTTACTACAGGGTGTTCAGAGAATTATGGAAAAAACTATTCATTAATAACTTTGCGCTCGGTGGTCCAATCCGAAAAATTTTTTTTGCATTTTACAGAAAAACCTTGGAGTTTTTAGAATCTAAAAATTTTTTTTTCTTTTATCGGCGGAGACTTCCGTAATCCGCGTTGAATTCCGCGGAGTGTTTTTTTCACAAAATAAGGTTGTAAATCGTTGTATGTGTAATGAGAATGGGCGGAAAAGGATCCAGAGGATACAATATGAAATTTCTTTCAAATTTCTGTGCTTCGGCGGAGACATTTTTTAACTTCGGCGGACGATTTTTCTTCGACTTCGGATAGTCAAAATTGGCTAAAACCAAAGTGTATGGTATCCCTAGTGACATGGCGCCTAAAAACGACTTATTACGTCTTCAGTCGGCTGGCAGATGAAAAAACGGCAATTCGGCGGAGAAATCGGCGAAGAAAAAATGAACGTATTTAAGAACTTATGCAAATTTATCCGCCGACCATCCGCCAATAAGAAGAATGATATTTTTGGTTGATCAGGGCCGTATAAGACCTACAACTTTAGTTTTCTCATCATAATTTCTTAAATGGGTTAATTTTTTTCTTCGCCGATTTCTCCGCCGATTTGCCTTTTTTTCATCTGCCCGCCGGCTGAAGACGTATTAAGCCGTTTTAAGGCTCCATGCCACCAGGGATACCATACTCTTTGGTTTTAGCCAATTTTGACTTTCCGGAGTCGAAGAAAAATCGTCCGCCGAGATCAAAAAATGTCTCCGCCGAAGCACAGAAATTTGAAAGAAATTTCATATTGTATCTTCTGGATCCTTTTCCGCTCATTTTCTTTACACATATAACGATTTACAACCTTATTTTGTGAAAAAAACACTCCGCCGAATTCAACGCGGATTACGGAAGTCTCCGCCGATAAAAGAAAAAAAAATTTATATTCTAAAAACTCCAAGGTTTTTCTGTAAAATGCAAAAAAATTTTTTCGGATTGGACCACCGAGCGCAAAGTTATTAATGAATAGTTTTTTCCATAATTCTCTGAACACCCTGTATATTACACTTGATGTTAGATAAATTCTGATAGAGGAAAATCAAAGAAGCAATGGCTAAATGATGACAAAAAATGCCTACTATGACGGTTCCTGTCTGTATTTGTCTTCTCAATATCAAAAGGACAAGGATATTTATTATGAATGCCACGAACGCCATTCCTTTCCCCCCATATGAAATGTCCGTAATTTGCTCTCAAATTTCCCCCAAAAGCGCGACTTTTTTGGTGGCCCAAAAAAAGAGATGGCTATTTTACTCTCGCTCTCCGGCCCACATTTCCATGGCCGTGGTTTTTATGCCCTGAAGGTTGGAGTGGGGCCGCCAAAAAAGCGCGGACAAAAGAGTGTAAATCTTCGATTTTCTACGCCAAAAATTCCTCTTTTCCCCCCAATTTTATCAGTTGTAAATGTTGAAACAAAGGTTGTAAAGACCTGCACTTGTTTGTTTACAACTTACAGTAACTGTCTACTCAGTTCCCGCTTTGATTTATGCGGGAGATAATGCTTTCCAAAGTGCGCTCTGTTATCTCACCACGACAAGCGTCGAACAGCGATCAGCCCAAGGTCGGGTTGGTGGTGGACATGGCCGACTCTCATCTGATTGGCGGGATATTTCCGGGTAAGCGAATTACAGTACCAAAAGCACAAAACTTTCTGCAAAATAGACCACGTTTTTATGGAGGTTGTAGGTCACGCATACCTTGTATAATCATAGTTGTGACGGGGAAATTAATTTTAGAAGCTATCTGACGTCTCTCTACAAGTTTTATAAACGTATTTAAAGCTTAGGAAAGGCTGTTGTAAGGGTGATATGTCACTTATGTGGAGTTATTGGTGTTTGAGGGCCTTATCCTCGTATTATAATAGACAGAGTAAGTTGAGTGCGCAGGGAGTGAAAAAATTGTCATTACATATTGGAAAAACATGTCATCTTGATGATTAATCATTTTTTCATACTAAATTTGAATTTTTCAGTTACAGTAGGCCCTGACAAAGAGGAATACCCCTATTCCCGCCCAGAATTCCTGCATTTCACGGAAGAAGATGTCGCTTTGGCCTTGGATCAACAAGTTCGGCCAGTTTTATGCCCCAAATTCCCGAACCGAATGCCTGCTGTTGCTGGTTACGCTGAATGTTGTAATGCCGGGAAGTCGACGTTAAATGAAGATCAAGCCGCTGCAAAGATCCTGCAGTTTCATCAACAGGGTTACGAGGCCGAAAGCATGGTCGTTTTGAATGATAAAAACAAAAAAATCAAGAAAGAAGACCGCAAAAAGTCGGACGAAGATGTCCTCAGCTTTTCGCCCAGCTTGTCGGTGAGTAATTGGGGTTTTTCTGATGATTCGTGTTGAATATTTAGAGTGATGACAGCCCAGGAGTCCCTGAAATTAAGGCAGCCTACTTTGGATTATTCGATGGGCATGCTGGGAGTGGCGCGGCATCGATTTCAGCCAATTGTTTGCACGAGCACATCAAGGTAGGGTTTCATCGTTGCTGAGATTACGGTAGTTTTGGTTGTAGAATCGGATGAACGAGGTTGTGGAGACCGTTTTGACGCTATCCGCGAGAGAAACACATATGGTCGGGAAGAAGGCGAAGAAGGAGGACCAATGTAATCGGTACAACTCGATTGATAGCCAAAGTCTTATAATCGGGGCTCTGGAAAAGGCTTTTCTGGAAATGGTAAGACCAATTAGCTGTTGATTAGTCTGGAATCTCATTTTGAATTTCATACGGGTTGAGCTTATTGCTTGGACCCAGCCTTGATTTTTGATCTGCCATCAAAAATTTTGTCATCAAAAAATAAAAAATTAACTTCAGGACAACCAAATCGTCGAGGAGAAGCAATACGTTCGAATCGGCGGTGGCTGTGCGGTCCTTGTCTCCCTTTTCTGCCTAAACAAGATATTCATAGCGAATGCGGGCGATTGTCGAGCGATTGTGGTTACCCCAAGAGAAGTTCGACAACTCAGTGAAGACATGACACCTGTCCGCGAACGGAAACGACTTCAGTTTTTGGCCTACAACAACGAAGACGCGTTGAATAACTCCTTCTCCAGGTTCGAATACAGCAGATTCTTGACTCACAAAGACTTGGGGAGGAAGGTTTTGTATCGCGATTACAACATGGATGGGTGGACGACAAAAACGGTGAAGGAGTATGATCTGCGACCGCCTTTGATTAGTACACGCAGCAAAAAGGCGCGATTGTTGAATACGATCGGCGTTAGTCGAGGGTTTGGAGATCATCATCTGATGACCTACGATGACAAGATCAGTATAAAGCCGTTCTTGACAGCTTCTCCGGAGGTAAGGACTATACTTTATAAATATTTTCTGTAGGGCTTAGAATTTTGTAAATGGGTTTTTTTTGTAAAAATTATGTTAAAATTTTTAACAAAAAATCGGAAAAAAGTTTTGGTTCACCCTAATAAAAAAGTTCTTTGTAGGTAACAGTGTTCGACTTATCTACAATGTCCGAACTAACCGATTCGGACGTCTTGATCATGGCTTCTGACGGTTTATGGGATGTGTTGAGCAATGAAGACGTCGCGAAGATCGTCCGGACTTGTCTCAGCCAAACAGACCCTTCAGATCTCACTCGGTAAGACTAAGCCATCTAAAGTAAGATAAGTAATCATTCAGATACACAAGTGTCGCCCAAGATCTTGCAGCTGCTGCACGAGGCAATCCCATGGAAGGGTGTAAATGGCGACTCACCTGGAACAAAGATACGAACATAGAGCATATAAAAGAGAGCCCCGCCACGTCTAGCACGTCTTACGGGACTCAGGCCTCTTTGGATGACATTACAGTGTTCGTGATTCCCTTGAAATTCGCCATAAATTTACCGAGGGATGATGATGACGAGGATGATGAGGAATTACTCGTATTTTAGTCGTGCTTTAGGTTATTTATTTTTAGCAATACTTGTACACAAATAAAATTTTATACTTGAAATTTGATTTTTCCCAAGGTTTTATGCAGATTCGGTTTCTAAACGGAGTCAGGATCACGATTTCGCTCCATTCTACAGTATTTTGTTTGCGCGTCAGCCGAGTGATTGGTTGTTTGGAGAATGGCCAAAGACGATCATCATTGGATTGAGTCCACCATTCAAGCCGACATTGGTCCTCGCTCTTCAGTTGGTGTCTTGTTGAGTAATGACCTCCCTCCGAAAGTCGTCAAAATCTTGCCGTCCTCAAGCTTCCTCGGACGGCTCTTTGTAGGCGATCGGATCGTGTCCATCAATGGTCAGGTAAACAAAATATGTAAAACCGATATTTAAAGTGGGGGACCTGATCCAGTGGCAAAAAACGTACCATTTTGTATCCGGGAAGTATCAAAAATGTGGCAAAATGCTTCCCTCCCCTGCGCACCCGCTCTTTTGGTGGGGGAAAGGACCCTTCAAAACGAAGTTTTTCACTTGGAGAGGGAAGCATTTTGCCACATTTTTGATACTTCCCGGATGCAAAATGGTACGTTTTTTGCCACTGGATCAGGTCCCCTGTAAGTGCGTAGAATTGAAATCTTCATTTGAAAATTAGTATTGCTGCGCTCATTACAGCCCATCAAGAACTTCCAAGAGATGCACAAACTTTGCAAAGGCAAGATTTCCCTCAAACTTTGTCGAGATGAGTACTGCACGGTGCAGGCCACCAGTCTACCCGACCCGAAGCCCGGCTTTCAAGCATTCGACTTTGACATCAAATGGAGAGAAGGCGGAATGCCCATTGGAATACTCGTGTGCACGGTAAGTGTAACGATCACAATCACATTCACTCTAATAAAATTTTTTAGGATTCCGAAAAACAAGTGATGGTGAGTATGATCGAGAATGGAAGTTTGGCCAGTTCCAGTCTAAGACCCGGCGATATCTTGGTCAAAGTGAATGACACAGCCATCAGTGACCGGAATGTCGCTAAGAAGGTCAGTTTAGTACTCAATGGTTAGAACAAATCATCGTTTTTATATTGTACATCATATGATCTTTTCAGTTGATCCTCGACAGTGTGACCGCCAGCAATCGAGTCAAGTTGACTGTGCATCGTCAGATCGAACGTGACGTCCCATCTCTTATCCACTCCACCGTCGCAAGTCCCGGTAACCCTCCCAATGACCTCCGCTCTTCGAAAGACACTCAATCCGAAAAATCACAAAAGTCTGAAGTGAAATCCATTACTGCTACTGCCAAGCCCGCTCGACCGAAGCCCAAAGGTCTTCCGAATTTTGATACCCTCGTTCCTCCCGATGTTTTGGCCATTATGGAGGCCAACAAAGATTTCTGGAAGAAGCCCAATTCCAATCCACCAATTCTCAAGAGCCGCTCGGCCCCTGGTCTGTCTATTAATGAACTTTATGAAAAAAGCCTGCCCAGACTAATCCCTTATTCTTTCAGGACCTCGAATCAACCTCGAAGGCCAAGTCGAAGAGACTCAAATCGCCTATGAACCCGGTCCAAAGCCCCTTCGAAACACTCCAAAAAGAGTTGGTTCTTAAAACAAGTCCAATTTACCGTATGAATAAAGCAGTCTCATCAATCTTTAATACATATTTATCATGTTATAAAAAAAAATTAAGATTACTATATAAAAACAAAGTTAAGACGCTATATATATACATTTACATCGACTTTGTTTCCGAGACCTTGATTATTGAGTCCGAAATCAGAATTCTTTTAGAGATTACGTCCGCGCCTTCTCAATGTCCCGAGTGAAACTCTCCGAGCGTCGCCTGAAGCGTTGCAGCGAGGGAGTTGGGCGGCGATGACGTTGGGGAAGAAGAATGTACTGGGCCATGATGGGGATATGATCCGAAGGCACATGGGGATGGGGGAAGCCGAGGATTTTGTTCTCGCTGATCCAGGTCTGATCCATTCCACCCAGATACCCGACTTTGTTCAAGGATTGAGGAGATGTGAAGATGTAATCGATCATTCCCTTAAAGTCAAGGGTAATATTCGTATTGGAGATATGTTCGGGACTGATGGCACTTTCCAATTGCAGAGCATGGGTGTAGTTGAGTTCCGCGTAGTCGTTGGTGTTGATTCCATTGAGGACCATATCATTCCGGAAGGACTTTAGGTCGGGATGTTCTTTGTGGATGATGCCTCGGGTCAGATATTCGATCACACCCGAGTCCGGCAGGGAGTTGAAATCACCGCAAATTATCAGAGGAACTTCCTGAAGGAACAATAATCATAATAAAATATATAAGAAATATATTTTATAAATTAACTGTAAATCCTCACCGGTAATGGGACTTTGCTCTTTTCAGCTACAGCCTCAATCTGTCTTGCACATTCGTGTACCAACATCATCGATTGGATCAACTTCACATCACAGAATTCGGGGTCCCAATGGATATGAGCAGCACACAAAACCAATGGAGTTCCGACTACACTGTCTTCCGAATCCACTTCTGGACTTCCTGCGGTGTCTGGGGAGCTGTCAAGGAAGGACGGAGGCCCGTCCTTTGATCGGTAAATTCCTGGGAGGACTTCCATTATAGCCATCAAAGCAATGTTATCCTTGGGCATTACCCGATTAATAATGGCGTCACTCTTGTATGCCTTGTTGATGGCGACTTGGGCAAATTCAACTAGATGTTGATGGTTCATTCGGAATCTAAAATTGCAATATATAAACAGAACAAAAAAATTTTTTTTTGTCATGTATAATATAAATTACTTTGATGATTTCCAGAACAAAGAGCATCCATCCACGTGTTTCCGATCGTCCGCATTCATGGTTTTGGCTCTTGACTTCGGAGCAAAAATCCCATCATATCCATGTTCCTTCAGACTTGGCTCGAACAAAACTTTGAATTGTTCAGCTTCAACTTCCTGCAGTGCCACGATATCAGCATCGTATCGAAGAATCTCCTTTATAATGGCATTCTTTCGATATTCCCAGTTGAGCGCCCAGGATGGACAGTAGGAATACAAGTTCGTTGTAGCGTACTTATCACAGAGGACGTTGTAACAAAATACAGTGAACTCGGCTGAAAATTGAAGAAAATATTTTCACAACTCTCATTAAAAACGTACCAACAGGCTTGTCGCTACTAGGATGTTGAATCGTATACCATTTTCTCGCCGGTGGAGGTTTGGTATTGGCTAAACACAGAAAATAAAAATGAGAAAGGCCAACTCACTAGCTAGACTATCCAACAAAAATTGAAGTAACTTCTTGGACCCTTGAGGACTATGCCCGTAATTCAAAAGATCTTGAGGTAGTGGGTTGCCGGCTACATCTAAAACGATATTTGCATAGAAAACTGAAACCATCGACAATGGGAGAAAAAAATGTTAACTTACTCAAGGTCTTTATCCTAAACAATTTCCCTAGCTCAGGAGGCAAACTTGTCAGCTGGTTATTAGAGATGTTCAAATGTAGAAGACTGGCCATTTCACCCATCTCGGGAGGAATTGAAGTCAGATTGTTGTGACTGACATCAAGGATGGTCAAATGGTTGAGACAAGGGATCTCCCGGGGGATTGAAATCAAGTAATTATGATCTAGGAAGAGGGCAGTCAAATGCCGCATTTCCAAGATCGCCTTGCCGATTACCCGAATTGACCCTAAATTAAAAAAAAATTAATTCAAAATTTGGAATTAACAAGACTTCAAGTATAATATTAAAAAAGTAAGATCTCACCGTGAACTTCCATCTCAAGCCATCGAGCTTGCTTCCCTTGACTTAACTCATCTTCATTCAAAATCCGATGAGTCCTCTGAGCACCATTCTTCAGGATCTTCCGATTCTCGGAGCCATCGTCTTTACTCAAAGGAAGGCCCGCAGAGCCTGAATAGTGCCATTCTGTCGACAATAATGTCCGTTCTTCCACTAAAATCAAAAAACAAATTAAAAGCAAACTCCTTGTTGGTAGTTGCCTCAAAGTCAACATACCTTGAGTTTGAGACATGAATCCGAACCAACGGAGGAGACGACGATCAACAAAACCAACTGCTGTAAATCCTTCGTTCTGCCGATTTTGGAGGTTTTAAACCTGTAAAGAAGCAGCCCGATAAAAGTGGAAAAAAATGGAGCGCGCGCGACACCTTCCTAGACAGAAATAAATAGATCTCTCTTCCGCCTAGATTATGTTATATAACCTCGGCACGGAACACACGCGCGACAGACAGACGTGATCTCAACCTCCTTTATGCGCGCCTCTTGACCCTCCACCTCTTTTATCATCCCAAACCTCCAACAGAGTGGCACTAACGTCCAGATAACCATTATTAAACCTATTATTCATGAAGATTAGAAAAAATAACCTTGAAATTTGGTCGTTTAACCCAAAAACGAGAGTGCTGAACCAAATATCAGAGCCGAACAAGTGCATCGAGTATTCAAAATTATTTTTGCCGAATTTACATTTTTTTCGAGTAGTGACCTTTCGCGACAAACGAAACGTCAATATCGATTATTCCAACACATTTTTGTCGCGTTTTGCCGACGTTTCTCTGGAATTTGTTGTATTATTATTTTTGTGGTTTTCGTATGAACTATGACCGCAGGCACAAGCTCTTTTTTTATCAGATTCGCTGTCTTGTTCGGGTTTTTATCAAGTCTGGCGGATATAGTTTTACTTGAAGAGAATGTCGCGATTAAATCGCAGTTCTTTGATGAATAAAAACTTATTTGATTGATGTTTGTATAGTCTGGGAATTTAGTTTTGAAGACGAGTGCTCTGACATTTAAAAACAAGGAGCGTTTTTGATGTGTATAGCGTGTTTGTTTACGATATTGTCGGATGTTATGATTCATAAACAATTTATTAAATTTTAGGTAAGATGATGCCTCCGGGCCCTCCCCCATTTTCGACGGCACCGCGTGGTCCTCCATCTCAACCTTTTCCACAAGGTGCCTCTGGTACGTCAATCTTTAATTACTTTTATTTGAATTTAGGTCCGTATCCTCCACAGTTTTCTCAGAAGGGGCCAACTCCCGGTGGTGATCATTTAATGCAGAATGGTTTTCATCCTCCGGCTCCGCAGAATAGTATGCCCCAATTCCCGGCGGCTCCTTTCCCTCAACCTCAAGCTGCCGGTCCTCCAATCCCTCAAGTTCCACCACAAAAGCCAATTGTGCCGCCTGGACCTCCAGGATTTAATTCTATGCCTGCTGGACCACCAATGGCTCGACAACCTTCCGCGCCTGGACCTGGCTCATTTCAGCCACCAGGACCTCCAGGGTTACCTCCGCAGCCCCAATTTGCGCCTGTTCCTCAATCTTCCCAAGGGCAGTTTCAGCCTCTTCCCGGGCAAAATCAGCCACAACCAGGCCCAGGGCAATTCCAACCACAGCCTGGTCCAGGTCAATTTCAGCAGCCTCAGTCGTTTCCTGGCCAATTTCAGCAACAAAATCAATTTCAAAATACTCCTCAACCAGGATATGGTCAACAAAATCAAAGCCTCCAACCGGGATTTGGGCCAGGAATGTATGGTAATATTCCTCAGCAAGAGAGGCGATATATTGATTTGATGTTTGAAAGGAATATCCTTGGATTCCCTTTCGAAGAGAACCAAATGACGTTACCAGAAAGTGTGTGTAGTCCACATGTCAAGGTAGATCCAAGGTAAGTTGAAATTAATTTTGAGATTGTGTTGAAGTTTAGATTGATGTTTTATGAATATTATTGCAGAGTATTCCGATGTACGGTGTCTTCGATCCCAGAAACGCAAGAAATCTTGAAGAAGACCCGAATTCCTCTTGGCCTGACATTACATCCATTCCGAGACATGAAGAACCTTACTGTGATCAACACGAATATAGTGCGATGTCGGTATTGTCGGACGTATATTAATCCATACGTGTATTTGCCGGATAATCGGCATTGGAAGTGCAATTTGTGTTTCAGAGCGAATGATCGTGAGTTTTTAAAGAGTTTTTTATTCGATGTTTAGATTGAATGCTGATAAATTGATGGCTTATTTTAGTGCCGGACGATTTCTGCTTTGATCCGGTGGAGCGCCGGCCAGGAGATCCTCGAAATCGACCGGAATTGAATAATGCGACCATTGAGTACATTGCGCCACAAGAATATATGCTCCGACATCCGCAGCCAGCCGTTTACTTTTTTGTTTTTGATGTTTCAATAGCTGCGGTGGAGTCCGGTAAGATTTTTGTTTATTTTTGCTTTTAGGCGTTTATTTAGACAATATTTTTTTTCTTAATTATTTTTATTCATTTTAGGTTATCTGAACATTCTTTCCGAGCAACTGGCAATAAATCTGGATAGATTACCCGGTGACGATCGAACCCTTGTCGGTTTCCTGGCCTTTGATTCTAGTCTTCACTTCTTTGAATTCTTTTCTTCGAGTTCCGCGGCCCGAGAATTAATTGTAACCGATGTGGAAGCGTGCTTCATCCCGACGCCGTCGGGACTTTTGGTCAACCTTAAGGAGTATAAAGAAACAGTCCGAGCGTTCGTTAATCGAATACCATCGATATTTGAACATGGCCAATCAAGAGACAGTAGCTTGGGAACGGCTTTGGAGACGGCGCAGAAGCTAATGGTACAGATTGGCGGAAGAATTTCGCTGTTCACGGCCAGCAGACCTACTGTCGGCCAAGGGATTTTGAAGCCATTAGATCCGCAAGCAAAGAATCAAATTGGCACAACCAGCGATTTCTACAAGAGGATGGCTTTGGAATGCACGTCGAACCAAATCGGCATTGATTTGTTTGCTTTCAACACGGAATACGCGGACATTGTGACGTTGGGTACGTTGTATAGAAGCGGTTATTGATTTTGAAGATTTTTTGCGTCGAATTTAATGTTTGTGGTTTTATTTCAGCCGACGCCGTCAAATTTAGCAGCGGAACTGTTTACCATTTCGCGGGGTATAATCATTATCGAACACCCGTTGAAGTGGAACGATTCAAGAAGCTCCTTTGCCGATATATCACCAGGAAAATTGGATTCGAAGCGGTTCTGCGTATAAGATGCTCTAAAGGTAAGATTTTTGTAACATATTTTGTTTTTTAGAGGAGAAAAGAAGATATTTTTGTGACTATTTTAGGTCTGGCCCTCCACACATTCCACGGCAACTTCTTCGTTCGCTCGACCGACCTCTTGGCTGTGGCAAACGTGAATCCGGACAGTGCCTTGTCAGTTCAAGTACAATACGAAGAGGACTTGACCAATCAGACTACTGCTTCGTTCCAGGCAGCACTACTATACACGTCGTCGAAGGGTACGCCTGAATTTACTTTTTTTGCAATTTCAAGTTGAGTTTTTAAACTTTTTGGAATTATTTTAGGTGACCGTCGGATCCGAGTCCACACATTCTGCATCCCGATCAGCCGAGACATCCCCACAGTGTTTGGAACGTTCGAAACGAGAGCATCGGTTGGAATGTTGACGAAAATGGCGGCAGAAAGGGCGTTAACCGGCACGGACCCGGCTGATATAAGAGAAGCCCTAATTAATGGAGTTATGGACACATTGTCGGCGTATAATAGGTCAATCGGATTGAAACCCAACAGTTTGTGTGCTCCAATTCATGGCCAACTCAAATTCTATCCATTGTTCGTCCTAGGAATGCTGAAACATGTAGGTTTGGAGGAGTTGGTCAAGTGTAATATAAGAAAAGCGATGACTTCAATTTATTTTTAAATTCTAGCCTGTATTCTCTGGAAGATGCAATTTAAACCGAGATGAATTGGCATCCATGCTGCTTCTCTTCAAAAACGCCTCCCTTGAACTGATTCTAAATGAGATTTACCCAGCCTTATATCCGATCCATGAACTTGCCGATTCAACTGAAGTTCAGAGGCTGGGATTGACGTATGAACGGATCAATAAAAATGGTGTATATCTGATGGATGCGGGTCGGGTAATGCTAATCTATGTAACTGCTCGTTGCCATCCTGATCATCTGAGTCATTTGTTTAATGTTTCGTCGTTTGGACATCTAGAAGAGGATGTAAGTCATGGTTTTTTAGTGGTGATTTAGGGGGTTGGGATATGGCCTATAAGAATATAAGTTATAACTTTTAATTTTAGTCCCGCTTTGAACAGCTCCCCAACGAACACAGCAAAAGAGTCCACGAACTGATCAAGACCCTCAACCTGGAACGGTGCCACTTTGCCCCGCTGATTATAGTTCGGGAAGACGGCAAAAGACGGGACATGTTCACAAGACGACTGGTAGAAGACCGAACAGAAAACGCTCACAGTTGCGTCGAATTCATACAACACATCACTCGGGAAGTACATCGGTAAACTGCTCGAGAAGCTGAGATAAAATTGTGATAGTAAAATGTCGGAAATTGAATAATTTATTTTTTCAACATCCCCTTTATGTTGTTCATACAATATTGAATAGTATTATATTCAAGACAGCCTGATTTCCAACATTTTCGGCCAAAAAACACGGCCCTATCTAGTAAAGCGAAGTGAAAACTTTCGTTTATTTCGTATTTTATTTTTGTATGCCAACTAGCTCATTTGTACGGTTAACTATTTGATTGTTTCTTGTTCTTTCTTTTTTTTATTAAAATAAATTACTTTCATAAGATTGTTGAGATCTGTTGTTTTTTTTTGTGGGATGGGTAATGTAATTTTTATCGCGAAGGTGTTGCAAACAGTGTTTGGGAAGTTTATATCACCGCAAAAAATGTTTTGACACGTTATTTCCCTTTCCTTCCGGCTCCAATCACCAAATAAACGATATTTCTTACATGTATCAAAGATTACACCCGATATCTCTCATCGTAAATCTCTCATTGAGTGTAAAACACATTTTTCACGCTTGAAGAGCCACTTCAAGGAGTCCAGAAAGGATGTTGAATAAATTGGCAAAAGAGTAAAAGACGGAAATTGCGCATTTTTCCTCCTTGGTTAACTTGTGCATAAATTAGTTGGCTGGATCGGAAGGGGACGAGGGAACGATTAGGTTATTTGGTTACCGTATTCTTGAGTTTTTTGATGCCTTTTCAAGTTGAGGACGTTTTTTTTGTGCTTTTGACGTTTTCGAAATTCGCCGTTGGCACGTAAATGCGAGTACATTCCTTCTTGAATGTATAGTTCTGAGACTTTTTGTCATTGTCGAATTTACAATCCCCCATCTTTATACCCTCCAAATTTTCATTTCTTTGAAATGAGATTGCTCAGAAAATGGGATTTCTTAGCGTGAGACAGCTCTTTGTTTAACGCCATATGTACTCTTATTGCTAGATGTCACATACATCATCTATATGTTTCTTCCCATATTTCGGACGCATCCAGAAATGGAGTCAGATTCGGGAGGAATCCCCAGACGAGGATTACGCGGAATCAGTAGAGTTTCATTGTTCTCGGCCGCCGCCTTTGGCCGTTCATGTTTCAGGGTCCCGAGGGGGTCGCGTTTTTGGAAAATCTCGTTTCGAAAAGTTTTATTCAAAAAACGAAAGGAAGAAGAATAGAAGTCTCCGCGCGCGACATTCCCGATGCAAACGGCCACGATTTGGCGGCCATAAAATGGGCTTACTTTATATAATATGATCTGATGACATGGCAGTAGGAGATTCATAGAAAGGGTCAATGTTTCTGCCATCAGTTTATTTTTCAAGCTTTGAAAGAGGTTTGGGTTACTCGATTGTAACTAAATTTAAATTTATTTACATACATTGGGGCGGACCTTGAGGGAATAAAGAAACACTCGGCTACTACAATGTGAAGGGAGGGGGTTGGGTTACATCCGGACCAAAAAACCGATGGTCTGTGGACTATAAGGATTCTCCGAGGTCGGGTTTATCCGATATGACATGCTTAGTTAATCCAGACAACCTTGGATATTGTACTATGTCTACAACAATGAGATTTTAGAGAATTACTTGTTTTCTGTCCTTAGAGAATGTGCAGAGTACGGTAGCGTCCTCAAGCCCAAGTACATTCCTTTGTTGGCCCATTATGTTTTTCGTTTTGCATGCTTAAACATTTGAACTCCTTAAATTTGCTTGTTCTTATGTTCGCCCCTCCAATTTCCTCATCCTCTGCAAGACACTACATCTTAACGGCTTGAAAATAAATAAATTTTAATGCGCATTTTTGGTGCGGGCCAGGGGGATCGTGTTTTCGCCGAAAGAAGTTATTCTTCCGTGGGTTGTTATTCATCCCGTGAATGGCGATTTTTTATTTTTTAAGAGGCCGGATGCAACCAAATGTGGCCCATTTTTCTCCCATGTCCAAAATATCTTCTTACATTTATTTTTTGGAAGAAGGAAGGAGATTTTGCACGGGGTTGTTTTTCGGCTGTGGGATAATGTAAAGTGCCTACGGCTATATTATGTCTAGGGAGAGGGTTACGGAGGGTGGATTTGAATGGGTACAGATTCATGGTCCAAGTATTGGTTAGACAAGGGGAAAACATACAAAAAGTAGGTGTTGTTTTGAGAGCAAAAATTGAAATCATGCTTTTATGACTGATTTTTTACAATTTTTTTTGATCTGTCTATGCCAATTTTATTTTTTTCAAATTTTCTGACCTTGTAGGGACAACATAATATTCCCGTTCAAGTACAATGTGATTCAAGAAAGATTTAGGAAGTTTTTGATGCCTCTTTTATGGTGACATTTTACCTATGTCACCTTTATTCTAAAAATTGTGGGGTTTGGTGAAAAATAGTCATCCTTGGAAATGAGATTTCATATACGCTAAATATCGTGTATTCCTCGTCTAAGACTGATTCTGTGTCAAGTTTCTTCAAGTTCTGCAAAATTTATCTTGCGTAAATTAATACAGCGTGCTCCTTTGAACTCGGAACGAATGTTTTCTAGAATGAGTGACAAGTTCCTGAACCTTCATTTGCATTCTTGCTAATCCTTGTGTGAGCGACGTTTAATCAACATTCTTCGCAAAAACATATCCTTTTGCTGGGAATGTTCACACTATTCTCCCACGTGATTTGTTATAACCAAATCTTCGTGAACACTTGAGCGTTCAAGTTGTTTTTGATGCCCGGCTTCGTCTTTGACCCCACCAACGAGTTTATTGTTGATCTTTTTTTTATCATCTGTATGTGCGCCGGGATAGAATTATAAGACGCGGATATGGTCCATGAGAAAATTTATAATTCCTTTGGCGTTCTGAATCCGTTTTTTTTGTGTATTCCGGGCCGGACAATTCGGGCCGAAAAGGAGATATTGAAAAACTTTGAGAAGCCTCAAATGACTAGCCAAAAAAATTGGGCCGGTTCTGCAATTCGTCTCAACGACTAGCCAAAAATTTAGATTGAGTGTGCACTTCCTAAAAATCTCCAGGAAAACATAAATATTTACTTTTATACTGTTGTTGTCAAGGCGCCATTTTTTTCTTGAATCCGAAGACTCTCGGCGTCGGAGCTGTTTTCCGCCGAATCCCTGATGTGTCCAAAACTATTAGACGGCCCCCTAATTTGAATACACGTTGGGATAATTAAATGTCACTCACGAATTTCAATTCCCTTATCTGTCAGCGGCAGGGCTTTTCCGCAAACATCTTCGCATTTTAAGTGTTCTCGGCCCCGCTAAATTTTTAATTTTGCCCAAGTTTTTCTGGCACTTTATATATATGAAAAACGGAGACGGAAGTGTTCTACGGTATCGGACGTCTTCATATGAATATTTTGTTTTTCTGGAACAGTGCATGGAGGATTGGTTGTAGGATTGGAATTGTTAGTGAGTGGGAAAATGCTCGGCTTTTCCACTTACCCCGACGATGTCAAGAACTCTTTAGACTCGAGTATTTATTTCAAGTTATGGCGTCGGCTTAATCCCTTACACCTTTTGTAAATCATTTATTTTTTGTCATCACCCTTCAAAACTTCATTTGTAGTTTTGTATTTTATTTTAAAGGCCTTGAGGGCCTCCTAAATATTTTTTAAATTTGTAGTCGAAAATTTTAATACGAATATTCTCCGTTTCTTTGCGAGTCTTAAACATCTGCGGTCTATAAATTTTTAATTTCTTTTTTTTTCAGATGCTTCTCTTTTGCTTGTTACTGTATAGCGCCTTTACGGTATTTTCTAGCGCTTTAGAGCCCACTCGAGAGTTTCTAGAACTAAATAAAGAACACATTTTGCGGGTCTCTCCATATACTGGAGCTGCATTTTATGTAATCAAATTACCGAAGGAGAATGAGCCGCTCTTTATGTATGTCACACCGTGCAGCTCGGCGGTTCACTGGCAACTCCGGATACCCAATCAGTTTGGTAAGAGAGCCTGCGTCAGCTTTATAAATAGATATAATCTGGCCATCTAAGACGCAAAGGGTATATTTGTCATCATCAAAAAGATGATAAATTTTTTGATGACTGGGACAGTCTTAGCCAGACGTATACCGGCTGAATACTAAATAGTACCTAATCTACTCTTCTTATTTTTCTATTTCCAGTCCTCGGCCCCTACTTGCCCTCGCACTCAGAGCATTTCGACCACATATTGCACATGCGAATTCCACCGCTGATTGAGTATCGTGGCGACGTTGACTTCAAGGATCACCTCATTTTACTGGCCGGAGAAGAAAATGACAAACGAATGCATTTCTACGCAAATTCGATTGAAGCCCATTACGTTGTCCTCAATATGACCTCGGATCATTTCTCAGCAGCCAAGGTGTTCTTCAGCACCGATCAGCAGACCTTGGACGAGTTCTATCCCAACTTGGATGATCATAATCGCTTCCATGTGGACGTGAAGAGCAAGGGGAATGTCAACGAGGTCAGAATTGATTGGGTAATCCCGGAATTCGTGAAATCAGAGCCTGGGAAGTACAAGTATTGCCTGCTGATTAGTGATCATGCTGACGAACATTCAATGTGCGAGCACTTCAACATCGACACAGAATATATCCATTGCGCACATGGCAATGAAAGCGAGATTACAATACCTTCATTACGGTAGGTTGAGAACACAGTACGGTGATAAAATGAGTGCAGATCCGGAAAAAGGCACTTCCTATCCATGTTCCTGATTAATCAAAAGACAAAGGGAAAGACGGCTTTTGCTACGCAAGAAGTGTTCATAAAGGACACAACAGCCAAGAAGAAGGTCGAGGAAATCGGATATAGCAATGTAAGTGATATTTTTGACAGGTTTTTTTACTGTATTTCAACTCGTTCAGAACATGACACTTTTGGATTCGGCGCTCTCTGTGAATTCCATTCCATTGCCTAAGGGTTCTTACGTCAACTACACCTATATTGCGTCACAGTCACCGCAGGCTAATGAGGTAAGTTGTTTGAAATTGAGAGATTATACAAAATAAGTGAAAGTGCGACAATTTTTCGAGTTTACGTACGAAAAGTTTCAGCTTTTTTTACTTGAGAAGGTAATGTTCCTACGAAAAATTAAAAAAATCGTTGAATATTTTGAGTAAACGAATGTGCCGTGCCTGTTAAAGTTTTGAGAAGTCGATATGTGACCAAGGCTTAATGTGTGTCCAATTTTGGAAGAAAATGTGAGCGTCTCACTTGAGGCTCTTCCCTTGCTTGAAAACGTTTTCTAAAATTTTGTTATCCCGACTTTCATCCAATTCCACAACCCCTGTGTCAAAAGAAATTTCTTGAAACTTTTTTCTCAATCTGTCTCAAGTTTCAAATCTCCCGGAGCTCCACTTTAACCTCTCTTTTTTCAGTTCATCCTTCTCATCAACGCTTGCAACGGCTACGTTTCCTGCGAAGTCATCCGCAACAACTCTCTGATCTACAAAGCCGCCGATTTCATCGGATTCAAGCGGTACGTGATTTCGGCGCGGTTCCTGAATTCGCCCAATTTTTCAGATTTGTCATCAAGACCGGGAAGGATGACATAATTAAAATCAACGTGATCAACAGCGATCACGTGAATGTCCGGTATTGGATATGGGCTTCGGCGAATGAAGAGAACTCTCCGTTTCCATCGCTCCCATTCGACCGGAGTATTCGACTGGTCGAGCGACAATGCAACGCCGTGAAACTGGAATGGCTGCGGGCGAATGACGATGAGAATACGCGGTATTGTGTGCATATTCGGGTGGGTTTGAAAGCTTGACTATAAATGAAAAAAATCAGAAGCATGAAAATGTTCTTTGAATTTATTACGCTGACAGAAAAAGTGCTCGGAATGCAATGCGCTCAGATTTTCTTTAGATTTTACGTACATCGAGCATAGCCAGGTATAAATTCCTGAAAGTTCTACTTAGGGCGTTGTCTGTGAACCCTATTTATTCAACAATCCTTGCTGCTGAGAGAATACACAAAATTCAGAGAGCGGCCCGAGAGAAAAACGAGTTTTCGGAATGTGTTTGCCAATTACAGGCGAAAAAATTTTTTTTCTGGTAACATTTCCGTCTTCACTAGAATCTGACGATGGAGCATTTAGAACACTTCCCTGTTAGGTCTCTAGCATCATCTAATGTCAGGCCAAACAGATAGATTCTTCCAAAAATCTCATCTACCTATGGCCACCCCCCAGCCCTCCGGGTAGTCTTTGAGATTTGCTGCCTATATGCGTCCACTAAACACTAAATTATTTCCAGGAGAGCAGAAATGATTACCTAACCGACATGGTCAACGAGCCCTCTCAAATGTGCTGGTCCCAAATGCCGGTTGGCCGGAAAGTTGTCTGTGTGCTCCCCAATCAAATGACGTCATCGGATCTGCATAGCCCTGGGTTCTTGAATCTTGGAGCCACAGTTGATTCTCTCAAAAATTCAACAATGTATCGATTTGATTTGTCGGTCCAAAGAATGGACCGAAAAGACGCCCAGCCCTTGCCTTATCGACCGATCTTTGTGCGGACCTTGAAAGATTGTTAGTTGTACATATTCTGTCATATTTTAGAGGCGATTCAGACATTAAATAAGATATTCTATTTATTCCTTTATTCATTGCTTGGCTGCTTTGATTATTAGAAGGGAAAATACGATGAATTCTGGTGCGAAAATGAGTTCAAATAAATGTGTATTATTTAAGACAAGATAGACGGACTATGTACAGGATCACTGTAGGATGGATATGTCAAGACAATAGTAATTTCATAAGAATTTCAGACTCTTCTGATAGAAAATCTCCTAAATTTAGGGTACCTCCTCATGAACAAGGTCATAATGTTGTTCAAGAATATTTGCAACTGTGAAATTTCATCTAATTAAATGTGATATGTAAAGCGGAAGGAAAATTGGGCACAAAAATGACAAGAAATAAAGAAAAGACCTAGAGTTTAGCCAATGTTAACCTTGGCCTGAAGACTTGGGACATTGATTGGATGGACCGTATGGGGCCGATGTTTCGAGGGCTCTCGGGAGAAGTCATTTCCAGTCCACGGAGCCGGATCCGCCGAACACATGATGCAGAACATCAGGTTGGAGACAACAAGTACACCGGCTACGGTGAGGAAGACGATACGCCATTGCTCGGGGGTATTTTCTGGGGTCACTCCATCCACAAGGAAGGGGACAATCAACATGGTGATGGTAATGCCTGGAAAGATTTTGGAATCACAAAATATTTTTTAGAAAAAGCTTAATCTTCATTTGTATCAAGTGTCGTCAAAATCTGAGCTTTGCACAAGGGCACTTATTCTGTAATCTCTTTCTGACTATTTCTCTGACTTGTAATCAATACTGAAAGTTCAAAAAATAGAACTTGACCTGGTTAAACGTCTTATTTTTTGAAATTTCCCCTTCTTACCCAATGAAATATTTCCGGTGACAAAATGACTGTACTGCTTTGAAACCAACGGCCCAGCTTTGAAGAATCCCCCCGTCGTAAACCCGAGAGCTCCTGCGCTCAATCCAAATAAAAACAGACACGCCGTCGGTATGCTTGTCGGGAAAAATGCCAACGCCGTCAATGAGATGGCACCACCAAAGAAGGCGATCGAGTTGTAGGTTCTGAGCTTATTCGTTTCGGATAAGCATCGGATTTTGTCGGAGGAAAATCCGGCCAGAAGCTTCAAACAAAATTGGGCCAACGGCGCCACCGCCGAAGAGATGCCGCTGCTGTGGACCGGGAAGTGTAGGACGGCGTTCATGTAGGTGGGAGAGTAGAGGAACATCATGTTGACACATACAAAGTTCCCCAAGGCCGCGACCCAGACAGCCCACACAGCGGGGGTTGAGAGGATCTCCTTGTAGGGGATGTTGCGCTGCTCTTTCTTGGACATTTCCGCTTTTCCGACGGCGATTTTGCCGAGTTCCACTTGGCCAACGAACGGGTGTTTTCCTGGAAAGAAACGTTCAAGTTATCAGTCCTATATCAGTGGTCAAACACTAAAAATTGATAAAAATTACTTTAATTTTCATGACTTATCTGAATAAACTTACGAGGACTGTTTCTGTAGAAAGTCCCGAACAAAATGAACATGATTGTAGAGAAGGCCGCATGGAAGTAGAAGACACTTGGCCATTTCCAAGCACTCGTACAAAGAGCACCACTGATGGGCATCGTCAATGCGGGAGAAAGTTGAACATAAGCCACCAATACGGAGACGAACAGCCCGTTTTGTTTGTAATAGGTCCATTTGAAAGTGAATGCGCCAATAACCGGGAAATTACAAGCAAATGCAATGCCTTGAACAATACGGGCCGCTAAAGTGTAATAGAACCCATTGATAATACAGTAAGGAAGAGCGGCCGTAGCGGCGGCAGAAAGGAGGCCAAGAAATGTGAAGACGGTGCGAGTTCCAAAACGACTGACCTGAAATATATTTTATAAAGGTTACAAAGTTACAAAGTAGTCTAAATTATGGAATATGCTGTGAAAAGGATTGCTTACAAGATTAACAATAACAAAATTGGCAACCAACGCGCTGGCAGCCACCGCTGAAGTCAGATAACTCTTTTGGCGGCTTGTGAAGATCGTGGCTTTGGATGCAAAGTCATCAAGCATCAAATCGGACGTCGAATTCTCTCCGTCCCCAGCAAAACAAATGACCGCAAAATTAAATGCAAGAATATTGGACCAGACACTGGCCAAACACAACAGTACCATGATCATGATGAGGAAGCGGGTTCGGGTGTGGAAAACTTTGGTACAGCCCAGAGTAAAGTCACCCTCTTCTCGATGACGACGAAGGGATGCCTAAAAGATGATCACATCAGAGATATGATGAAAAATGAATGGTAAAATAGTACTATGTTGTAATATTACCGAGATGGCTTGAGTAATGGATCTCACAGACCCGAGAGCCGACGATTGCCCACTCCCTCGGCGTTTGCCGTTCTTCTGAGGCTCCGGATCCATGTCCACATTGGTCTCCAAAGTGGACGTCTGACTCACCGACGTGGTTAATTTTCCCATTTTTCTAAAATACGATCCACAATGTATTAATTCTTATAAAAAATATTGGTAAACCCGGATTAGTCATCAAAAAATGTTTTTGCGAAAAAACGATTTGAAATTTAAAATCACATATTTTAAAAATGGAATACCTTGGTGGAAACTTTAAATAATCAGACAGTCAAAGATCGAACTCGAGGAATTTCAACCGGCAATAAAAGAAATGGCTAAACAAATACGTTATGATGTTAAATTTTATTGGCATCGGTAGCAATGAATTGTGAAAATGTTCTTGGGAATTACAAGGAGCGATAAGAATGCTATCAGTCTCAAAAGATCTAATAAAAGGGAATCAGAAAAGTTTATTCTTCATAAATCATTTGTCAAAACCCATCTTTCCGAGCTAGTTATATTATGGAGAGCATTAGAAAACAATGCAGTAATAAAGGAAGGCGTTGCTTTTAAAAGTGTATTTAGCCAATTGCAGTTACTTTGATAACGTATTGGTTGCTATTATGCTGATAAAAATGGACCATTTTTTGTTTATTATGAAAAGCTGTATGGAATGGACTCTCGATTCGCAAATAAATTATGACATTTCGTATCAAAGCTCAAAGTTCAGAGACAAATCTAGATCTAGTTTTTTGGCCAGAAAAGCGATATAAATTTTTGAAGCTATGTCACAAACAAAAAATATGTATGATAATCGGTAGGAAAACCCGACCAGATTGCTTGACGACCTAATCACCCTCTCCAAACCAAGCCAACTCCCCAAAATGCGGCATTTTTATTCAAATTTCCCCCCGAACCAGAGATCACAACGCGCGCTCAGCCAAGCCGGCCTTGTGTAATACACCGCCAAAAAGGAAAGCCGCCATTGATCTCAAGTTTAAGTTTAGATAAGGCGATTCATCACAACTCCGATCCGAGACCACCGCGCATTCAATTTTTTTTTCGTTTCACGCAAGAAAGATATCCATGACGTCTGTTTTTATACCCATCTTCGAATGAAACGATGATAAAAAGAAGGTCTCCAAAGTTCGAGAGATAATAATCAGGCATATGGTACGGATACATAGTTGAGGGGTCAGTTTCCGAAAATAATCGGAACCATCAGGTGTTTGCATACGATCAGCCATATTTGTCTGATTTTTAAAAGTTATTACGATTCATAAATTTTAATGAAGACAAGTGATCGTTGATAGCCCATGTTTTTAATGGTTTGGGAAAAAATTATCTGGTCTGTGACTTTAACCACCGGTCGAATGAAAGAGGACCCCATAAAAATTAACAAGGGAAGTGCCCCAAGGATAATGCCCAGGTTTCCTTTAAATTTCAGATAGATACCGGACCTTAATAAATACATGTCTATCAAGGAAGACTTAGTGTCAAATTCTGACCAAGTTTTGGCTTGAAAGTCTTGATCGTTACTGCAAAGCGCGAGCTAGAAATCTTTCATATACATTGACAAAATAAATTTAAAATTGCGGCCAGTTTTCGCACTTTAAGAACTTCCTCTAAAAAAACAGCTACAGTAATCCCCCAACAAAAACGTCATTCAAAATATCCCGCACTGAATTCACACGAAATTGCAGGGAACACTTGAAACCCAACTTTTATACCGCGGCATCGACCCGTTTCCAGAAAATGGTCGGAACGCCTGGTCGGCGGACAAAATAACACAAGAATGGGAAATGTCACCCGCAGTAAATGTCATCGCCATTCACCGCAGAGCGAAGTGATTTCTGTGCTCGGTAACTCATTCGTCTTTGAGTTACCATAGACCCGTCAGGTTATTTTATGGACTTTAGATCGGAACTGACAAGACTTTTGCGGTTGTAATGCTTTCATAATACCCAAAGTAACAGCTATTGTGACAAGAGTGGGGAGTTGAAATCATGAGCTTCGAGAAAAGTTTTGGGTAATTTTATTTACTAACAGGGAAAGTGCTCAAAGTGCAGCGCTTAGATTTTAATGAAACTTGGCACAGATGTATTATATGTATAGCTATGTATATCCATGCGTATAGATTCATTTTTTAAACCAAGCAAAATTCGTTGCTCACGTTTTTTAGAAACAGTGGAGATTCTTGGTCCGCTGATGATAATTCAACAGTGTTTTTGCGAATTTATGATGTTTCTGCCACAAATCAATCTTTTACCCACAAAAAAGAAAAATATTTTCAAATTTTTTTTTCTTTGGCGACTCTCCACATCTCGTAAACTCTTTTGTCGGGAAAGTATATGGCATAAATCTCCCCTGCAAAGCGCGAGCAAAAAAAATAGATGACTTAATATAACAGACCCAACATGTATAAAACTTGAAGGAGATCAAACTGTTGCGCTTTGATGAATATTCTAATCCTTATAAGTAATCAATATCCATAACCCTCGCAAAAAAACAAAACCAACAAACAAAACACTCTGAACCACACATGAGTCCTTCAATAACTGCTCCTTGGAAAAACATTCCTCCTATCAGAGGCCAACATGTTAAAGCGAGGAGCCGTTACACTTAGATAAAACCCATTGACTTAGCGTAATAAATCAGATCCGAACCTTCTCCACAAATCTTCTACAAGCCAATTTTCAGAGCATTCTTTTTCGGATGACAAGAAACAACTCCCTGAGGCAACTGACATGTTTTTATCAGGCAAAATGAAATATTCATCGTCGAACCTTCATAAATAAGAAATTATTGATAACAACAGATCAACGGGCAATTTACAAGCAGCGGCGGAGAATTAATCAATTCCGAAGTCATAAGCAGTCATTCTCAACTTTTCATAAACTATAAAGATAAAACGGAAGGGACAGATGAACGTTCAAAGAGCATCGTTCAATCCACTTGGATTCGTGGTTTTTATAAACGATCGAAACTGTCTTAAGATCGGTGATAATTCTGTTTATATGTGACGTTGGTTCTTGGCGGGGGTATAATTGGTAATCAGTGATGTTTAATGGTATCAAATCATGACTTCAGGAGGAACTAACCTTATTTGGAAGCAAATAGTGATCTGCTCTAACCAGTAGTCACATTGGTGGGAAAATTACAGCCAACAAAACAAAGCAAACAAGTCTAAATTCTGAAAAATGAAAAAAAAATCTCTAATTTATATAAGCACCGGGTATCATCTTTCTGCGGTTTCTGCAAAGTGCAAAGTAGAAAATTAAAAGAAATTTTGCACAATTCCGATATAATTTTGCGCCAAACTCCATTAAAATCTGTGTATTGTGTTTCGGGCACTCTTACAAGTGTATCAAATCAATATTTTCACTTTTTACACATAATTCCTACGATAAGTTCAATTTTGACAGTTTTACAAGCAACCAACCCTTGTCAGTCCACCGTGAAAAGGCCGGCGGGAGTCATGCTTAATCGCATTAGAACCATTGTAATCGCTGAGATATTTAGCATAGCGGTTGAAAGATTATTTTTAATTTGCAGGTTCAACAACTCCACTTTATTTCAGATTACGGTAATTCTCCGAAAATTCATAGATGAATAAAAATTGTTGAGCAAATTTAGTTCAATCAATTACAACAACATTGACTAATTCGTTGTTGTTCTCGTGCGGAAAACAGGGGAGAAAGGAAGAAGAACCCGATTATATGACCAACAGCAACCGACGCAGCTATGGGAGTGTTGTAAGTCATGGTGATCATCATGAGAGAAAGCCCGAGGAACTCTTGGACGGCATGCAGAATGGACTGATATTGATGGTACTTGTCGGCAAGGACGTTTAGGGAAAATCTGAAGGAGTTATTGGTATTATATATTCGTATAATAAATTCATAAAGGAAGTGTTCGAAGTGCAACGGTCAGATTTTCTTTAAATTTTGCATAGAAATTTTGCTTAGGCCCCATAATAACTCCGCAATTTTTTAGCTCGCTCTTTGCAGTGGCAGCCGAGATATCCAACTATCTTTGCCACCTGGAAATTATGCGAGGCGGCCAGAGTGAGAAGCAGGCTTCTGATCTAAATATTATGTATGTTCAAAGTTTAACTAAAATTTAGCGTCGCAATTGGGACACTTCCCTTGATAATCAAAACCTACGGCCGAAATGGCTTTTCCGGCGCACAATGACAGTCGGAAGTCACCAACGTTCCATAATCAGGCTGCACATACTCCACATTACACTGATATACCTGAAAAGGTCCATCAATCAAAATGTCACTCAAACTATTCAAATAAACTGTCCATACATCCTCCTGGACGTCATCTTTTTGAAAAAGAATCAGCCGGGCTGTCCGCAAAAGCTCGTAGATGACTCCTAACGTAACGACACCAAGGCAAGACAGTATATACTCTGAAAATAAAGGAATTTTGTTAACTGTGAGCTATAGTTTACCTGTTTCATTTTGTGGGACCCATTGCTTCAACAGGATGTATTCCTTTATCCGGTAGTGAAAGGTCATAATCATCATCAGCATCTTGGAAATTGGGTAGATCTATGTCCAGATTAATCTAATAACAGCGATTGCAAAGGTCTTTCATACAAAAGCAAATATTCTTTGTATGAAACATTGTGAAAGAAAAAACTGAGGGCTCGAAATATAATTTATCCACAAAATCTCTCTAATTATGAATGTTATGCCCAACAAGAACTGCTTCCGTTTCGCTCGAAGTGGCTGGCTGTGCTCCAAAAACAAAGTAGCCAACTCCAGCCCCCACGGCTATTGACAAGCCCAGCCACACTGAGAATGTCATGAATACCAGCATCAACAAATAACTCAAAATTATTTGAATTCCGAACAAACCGGTTTGCAATAGATGAAAAGGGTTGAACAGGCGGCTACAGTAGGATTTGGTGACTAATCTGGAAGCTTAAAAATGTTAGATTTTAGTCAGTAAATGGTAATTATCGAGTCATTAAGATGTGATGAAGGCTTACAATTTATCCTGACTCTTCCTTTCAACTGAAAGCCTCACAAATTTGAGGAATTCAAGGAGAACCGCCATAACAAACACGATCGCACAGCTGGCTGCCATATCTAGAAAAACGCAAAAAAAATCTTCTAATGTTTGTGAAATACTGTGATATTTTTGGAAGCAACTGTTATGTTCGAATAGAAAGTCGTTAATTAATTACCTGTACTCGATTTGACCTGCCAGAACTTGAACAAAATGGTGTCATTAATAGTCGTATGAAGGTACGTCCACATCATCTTGAAGGTCTTGCTTTTGTGAGGTCAGAGATAAAAAAAATGTCTGCAAAAAAGATGCCAAATGGATTTTTTTAAAACTCGTTCCAAAAAAGTAAATCGACAATTAGGCAAAGTTTAAAAGCGTTTCTTATCGAATATCAACTTTTATCACATAAATAACATAATTAAAGCAATCTCATATCACTCATTTCAAAGTGATATGAGAGTATAACTAAAAACCCGACTTTAAATCATCATTTCTTCCACCTTGGGTTTTTATGCCCAGTTTTAGTAATGACCAAACCGTAGCGGTATTTTGGGAGACTTTTCAAAATCGTATATCCAAAAAGAAACACAGACAGAAACGTCAATTCGATCCCTATGTTAAGCCCATCGCTTTCTTTCCTTTTCTTTCCTCTGTCTTTTGACTAATTTCGAGGCTGCTGATAAGAGCCTTCCTTATTCGGTTTGAATTCATTCCGGTCAAATAAAAGACGCCTGATAGGTGCCATTCTTCCCGATCTCACGTTTTAACGCCATTCCAATTCGTACAGTCAGGATGAATCTGGATCGTCGATGAAGGATTGGATCCGTGAAAAAGTAAAAAAAAGATATGATTACAGAGAAATGCAAATATACAAAAAATTTTTTACTTTAAATTTTTTGTTCAAATTGTTTGTAACCCAACCATTTACACATCCATTTCTATGTTAAATTTAAGATGAAACCTTTATTTTTTGCACTTGCGAAATTCTTTGACTCCAGTTTCTGCAAAGTGCGAGCAATATGTAAATCTCGCGTCCCTGGGAAAAATTGCAAGACATTTTTTTGTGAAAACTTTCATAAAAATCTACGAATTGAACTTCGATCACTTCGCCTGTTCCAAAAGATATTTCAATGTTATGGCAACTCAAATGTAATCATGACTAAATGTCCGGCACTTTATTCTCAACCTCAATTATTTTTACCGTGATTAGGGCTTGTTTATTTGGGCTTTGATGCTTTCGCCTTGGGGCATTTCATTTTAAAAATATCTTCAATAAAAACAAAAATGTTCCAATGCCAGCGCTGCATCACCCCCCGAAGACCAAAGATCTCCAAACATTAGTATACAGCTGGTGCCTACAATGTTTCCTGGCCACTCCCTGGCCATGTTTTTTGTTTATTCGGACACCAGAGATCTTTTTTTCCTTTCGAAAGTAACTCCGAAAAGGGAAAAGAGTGTGGCGAAAGGAGAGAGCTGTTTACTCTTTCGAAACACAAAAACAAAACAACATTCATATAAATAGCGAGAGGAATGAAATTCCCAAGGATTGCAAATGCTGTGTTTATCAGCCGGGAGGAGGGTTTTTGCTCTCCTTGATTACGGTAGGAGATCAATGAAGGCTTCGAGGATATTATACTATGTCGACCGAGGAGTTTAGACCATTACTCTGCATTAATTCTGAATTAGTTCGTTCTATGGGCCCTGTAACAAGCTATATGGGTGATCTTGCAATAAAAACTCCTAAAACAAAAATTCTTTAGTAAATATTTATATTACTTTAGATAAAATCATGCTTTCATAGGTATATTTCTGATTGTAAAGTCGTGTTGTCAAGGGAATGTTGTTGTTGTAAAAAGCTTTATTTAGCTTCTACTGCCTTTTTAAGTCAAACTGATCTTGTTTTTGCCCTTTTTCCACCATGTTTTCCCGATAAACCGCGACCTCTCTAGTTTTCGAAATGTTAAACATGTTTTTGTTCTATTACCCGGTATCATTTCAGAAATATACGAAACCAAAATGAAATTACTTTCAATCTTACTGTTTGTTCTGGTCCTCTTCGTTTCAACGGCGCAATTTGTAAGTTTCATACAAAAATCAATAAATTTAGCCCGTACGCCAAAAAAATATTGATTTTTTTGACGATTTTTATTTTTTCAGTACGCAGATGATACGATTGGAGACAAGCTCAGTTCTGCTGGTGATAAGATCTCTGAAACGGCTTCGGATGCTAAGGAAAAGGTGAAGGATGCGGTGAATCGGGTTCGCCGAACAGTTGAAGGAGTAATGAACGAAGCTGGGGATACCCTCGAAGCCGGCAAACGAAAGGCTGGGGAAAATTACGAAGCCGCTAAAGACAATGTCGGAGGTGTTTATCAGAGCACCAAGGACAAAACTCTGCAAGGAGTAGACGAAGCCAGTGAGTTTTATCTATTTTTTTTTTCTTGTCCTGTGTCAGTCTATGCGCAACATGATTTTTGGCAAAATTAAATGCAAGAATAACTTTTGAGGAGTAAAATTGTTTCTCCATGTTGTACACGTCCTAGTCAAGCTTCGCCAGATGAATCCTTGTCCATTTCTGTCCGATTCTGTTATTTTTCGAATGATGTGTGTCTGTGTTTAGACGCGTGTTATAAGGACGATTGTCCGGACGATCATATCCCGCGCACTCGAAAAGAATTGGCCGAGGATTTGTCGTACGAGGCTCGGATGGGCTTCACCCATTCTGAAGAGCGACTCCAGGAATTGAGTAATTGTTTTGTTGTGATTTGTGTTCTTGTTGTTTTAGTGTGGGTCAATTTCTAATGTTTGATTTTTCAGAGGACAAGGTTGGTGAAGCCAAAGAAGAGTCTAAAACCATCGGACAAACGATTGCGGACAAGGTTGGATCAGCCAGTAAGTTGGTTTATTACTTTTTTATATTTAACAAAAGCAAGTTGTCGAACTAGTTCAATACTTATAAATTTTCAGAGGACTCCGTTGTTGGCACGTTGAAAGATGCCGGGGGCAAAGTCGGCGATTTCGCTGCCAGCGTCCGCGACACTGTCACCGGTGGTGCTGAAGATGCTAAAGACTCTGCCAAAGAAACTGGACAGGCTGCCAAAGAAAAAGCTCAAAATGCCGGGGCTTCAGTGAGGTCCGGTGCTTCTGATGCCGCCGATTACGTGAAGGACAAGGCCCAAGCAGCCGGTCAATTCACTGGAGAGAAGTTTGATCAGGCCAAGAACAAGGTCGGAGACGCGGCCGATGGAATGAATGATGCCATGAGAGTCGCTCGCAGTGGAGTTGGAGACGCCTGGGAAGGGACGAAGGACAAGGCTGGAAACGCTGCTGATTCTGTAAAATCTGGAGCTGGTAGTGTCGCCGATACCGCCTCGAATGTATGGGAAGGAGCTAAAGACAAGGCCGGAAATGCAGCTGATTCGATCAAGTCCGGAGCTTCTGATGCCTCTGATTATGTTGGAGACAAGTACCAGCAGGCCAAGGATAAGGTCCACGAAAACACTCGGGTCATAAGGGACGTTGGAGACGATATCAAGGACAAAGCTTCGGATGCGGCGGATGCTGTCAGCGAGAAGTATAATCAAGCCAAGGATAAGGTCAACGATGCTGTCAGAGACAAGAGAACTGTTGGCGAAGACATCAAGCAAAAGGCTTCTGATGCCGCGGATTCAATCAAGTCCGGAGCTTCTGATGCCTCTGATTATGTTGGAGACAAGTACCAGCAGGCCAAGGATAAGGTCCACGAAAACACTCGGGTCATAAGGGACGTTGGAGACGATATCAAGGACAAAGCTTCGGATGCGGCGGATGCTGTCAGCGAGAAGTATAATCAAGCCAAGGATAAGGTCAACGATGCTGTCAGAGACAAGAGAACTGTTGGCGAAGACATCAAGCAAAAGGCTTCTGATGCCGCGGATTCAATCAAGTCCGGAGCTTCTGATGCCTCTGATTATGTTGGCGACAAGTACCAGCAGGCCAAGGATAAGGCCACTAGAGTCAAGAGAGACGTTGGAGACGATATCAAGGAAAAGGCTGCTGATGCGGCGGATGCTGTCAGCGACAAGTATAACCAGGCCAAAGATAAGGTCAGCGAAGCCGTCCGAGACAAGAGAACTGTTGGCGAAGACATCAAGAACAAAGCATCGGATGCCGCGGACTCTGTAAAGTCTGGAGCTTCAAGCGCTGCAGATGCAATGGGTGACAAGTATCATCAAGCCGAAGAAAAAGTGAAGGATGTCGTCAGAGACAAGAGAGATGCTGTTGAAGATCGATTGAGAAGGGCCAGAGACACTACTGGAAAAGTTGGTAAGTAAGCTTCAAGAATGTTATGTTGTCCCGGCTATCTGTCCTACGTTTCTTGTCATCGGCTTATGGGGGAAATAGGAATTTTTGGTTTGTATTTACGATATTATTGAACGACGTCCGTTTCTTGCTCTCTAATAGTCTTATCTAAACGAAAATTAAGGTGCTAATATAATATCTAAGCTGACGGAATAAGAGAAAATCTTGACAGTAGCGGGGTTTAGGCTGAATCGCCCTTTTGTGATTTTAAACGCTACCCAAATCTCCAGCTTGCTGCGCTCTACTCATGCTAAAACTTCCCCTTGCTGATCGCGCTCCTTAGTTGTCAAACCCTTTTTATGTTATCCTTTTCATTTCTAGAAGGCGAAGAGAGTTGCGACCCGAGTACCGACAGTTATTACTGTGTCGGGCATGTCTTGCACTCCGTTAAGCGTCGTGCCAGCGATGTTGTCACACATTTATACAGTTTTATCGAGGACCCTGATCTCCTTACCTAAACATCTTTCGTAATCTCTATTTTCTTGTTGTATGTATTTTGTGTATATGTTGTTTGCCTTTCATAAATTTATTATGTATATTTTTGGAAGAGTTTCTTACTGCATTTTGTGATATATTAATCTTTCCGGACAGTAGCGGAAGTGATTTGGGCGGCATGTACTGTGAAACAAAATTTCACTTTGCACTGTGCGCTTTTCAAAAAAGGTTGGAACCCGCACAGTGCAATTCGAAATCGCGATGTCTCGAGCCACATTGAAGAAATCAGGGAAGGAAACGCGATAAAGCCCTTGCCCTTTGCACTGTGCGAATTGTTTTTTCGGTCGTTCGCAACCTGCCTTTTCGTTTCCTGAAAAAGGCCCAAAATTATTCCAGTGACTTTCTGAAAAGACTTGTATACGATTTTTTTCCATGTGTTATATTTTCCAACAACATCCAAATTGCAGGACAAGGAGCTGGAGAAATTAAAGAGGGCGCTGGAAAGATTGCCTCGGGCATTGGCGAAGGTGCTTCAAATGCTGCTGGTGCTGTGAAGGACACGGTCGGCGACGCCGCTTCCGCTACATACAGAGGCGCTGGAAACGTTGCCTCAGGCATTGGTGAGGGTGTCTCAAATGCCGCTGGCGCTGTGAAGGACACGGTCGGCGACGCTGCCTCCGCTACGTATCACGGCGCTGCGAATGCGGCTGGATCGGTCAAAGAGGGAGTCAGCTCTGTTGCCTCGGGTGCCGCGAACAAAGCCAATCAAGGAAAAGACGCCTTAGGGCGTACTATCGAACGTGCTGGTCAGTCCATCCAGAGTGAGGGTAGTCGTCCATAAAATGGTGGCATAATTTAAATACAGTATTAATTTTCATGATTAATTTGTAATAATTGCGCTATTTCTTTTGATGCTGTTTATGATTTCCGTATTCTTTCTTCAGAATTCAATTGTAAACTCTAAGCTTTATCTTTCTTCTTGCCGTTGATGTGTATTTGGTACTAGTCTGATCAAACCCGCATTTAAAATTGTAGATTTGCATTTATGTAAATAAAATCACCGACTAGATATTCTTTGAGTTCTCAGTTCAAATATTTGAGGGCGTTTTGTCATGACAACAAGCAAACGAGAGAGGAATAAATAAAATATGGAGATCGGGGTACAATAGAAGTATGTATTCCTAAGAAAATGGAGACTGTAAAAGGCAAAAGAAGACGACCTTATTCGTGCTCACTACCTGACTTCCCATTCTCACTTCGGCCATTCTGCCGATGTTCACTCTCATCCCGATGTTTGAGGACGAACGAAGAGCGTATTTTTCGACCTTCCAGTGGTTGAATATTTCGCACATTACTTTTGACAATCGAACGGAGCACTTCCATCTGAAAAATATTAAAATTACAAAAATTTTTGTCTGTCCAGAAAGTCGCTGGAGCGCGATTTTTGGTGTTTGCACTGTGCATTTCAGTGAACAAAGTGTCAGGGTGCGAGCGACAGACCATTCGCACGGTGCAAAGAGCAAGGCGTTTTCGCGGTTTCTTCTCTGATTTCTTCAATGTCGCTGCTCTTGTTTTCGCGTTGCACTGTGCCCTTTCCGCTTTTTTGAAAAACGCACAGTGCAAAGTGAATTTTTCTTTTCTTACAGTGCATGTCGCCGAAGTTTGGTCTTTTCGGCAACTTTCCGGAATTTAGGGAAGAGCTTTTTGTTGTTGGAATACGGAGATTTAAATGCATTATAAAAAATCGTCAACTTTGACATGCAGAACGCTTTCAATATGCAATGCACAGATAAAAGCAAAGTTCCATCTCCATGGAAGCCGCCAGAATTGGTGAAATCCCCTCACCTGAGAATGACCAATATGCACATGCCTCCGCAGAATGGTCCAGATCACACATTCGTCGTGTGGTGGCGTTGTCAGAGACCCGTGGTACGTGTAGAAAAAGTGCTTATCAGGCATCAGGAGGTTGAGGTCAAAGTTGGGATTCACTTTGGCCTTCTTGTCCGAATTTCGTTGAGCAAATTTAATGGAATCTATCAGAGGTTCGAAGGCCATGTTATTGTGGGCGTGTTCCTAAAAAATAAGGATTAGGGGGTTTCGTAAAAAAACAGGAAAGAGATTTTGTCGATCAAATTTGGGCCAGTGGTAATTTTAAGAGCCAATGGTGCATTCAAAGTAATCGGTGGTCTTCGGGGATAAAAGATTATGAAAAAGGAAGAGTGACTGTCGGAGGAAAATCTTTTATTTTTTTTTGTAGCCTTATCCTAGTCCGTCCGGAAAGTCGCCGGACGGAAATCGGCGACATACACTGTGAGAAAAAGGTCAGGGTGCGAGCGACAGCCGAAGAAACACCTATTGCACCGTGCAAAAGGCAAGAAATTGCACAGTGCAAAGTGAACTTTCGTTTTCGCAGAGTGCATGTCGCCAATTTCCGTCCGGCGACTTTCCGGACGGACTAGTCTTTCCGGGCATTGCGCGGAAAATGACAATTTCTTTCGAGAGTTTGGTGGATCACATATACAACATTCCTTCTATCAAACCTTAAAACTCACGTGTATAAAAATGGCAAGTACCGTCATCCCATCGGCATGTTTGAAAGCGTTCTCCGACGTCCCATAACTCGTGTTCCAGAAGACACAGTGGATCTAAACACATTCAAGTTACAGTAACCGCCTTCCATTTCTCTTGTGATACAAATTGATATCACGCTGCAAGTCCGTGATTCCTTCAAGACCTCTATTTCTATTGTATTCTAATGGCACTCGTGCTGCATTCTCTATGTTGTTGTTTTTATGTATCACAGCATACAAAATCGAGTACTTTCATTCGAAAAACAGAACCCGCACTTGCACGTAAAGCAATCTTGTTTGCCCTATAAACACCTACCTCACCGGAGTAGGGTTTTCCGTTCAGAAAGTGCTCACTTCCGCACTTTTTGTTCTCGCCCCAATGCGCGTGAAACTGCGCCAGTCGGTACTCATTTCCGTAGGGCAGATGGGTGCCGGCTATCGAGGACTTGGCTCCATTCTTCATCCACACGTTGAAACCTTTCTTTGTCACCTGGAATAGGAGGTGAGCAATTCAGGGGCACTCTTTGGACAAGCAAGAAAACGAGTAATAAGAGATATGGCTATCTGGAAAATTACAATTGCTTATAAATCTAGCTATGTAACGGCTAGCAAAGGAGTTAGATGGCTAGCCATAACTATATCTAAATTGAGCCTATGAGCTGGATTGGTATTCAGTATAATTTATCTAAGGTCATCAAGCCAATCCAACTCCTGGGCAAGCCGTTTGGCCATCGGAATAAGTAGATCTTAAGTCATCACTTTCATCTGCCCGAAACTAAACGCCGCAAAAACCTCGAGATTTGATATAATGAACTCGATACACCGTATTCTTTCGATGACATGGGACTTACTCAGAATTTGTTCTTAAGAAACTGAATTTTGAGAAAACATAACAATGGTATGAGTAAGAGCAAAGTTCGAGTCCATTCATCGAACATTTATTTGCAACCACTTCCAGTTTTTCCAAAATTATACAGCCTTATGTTAACGCTTACCTCAACAGTATCGGCATCTCCGATCTCATAATTAATCTTTAGCTTTGAGCTCTTCAAACTCGGATCATGAATCACGGCCGAAGTGACGATATCAATGGGACTCTGCTGATGACCATCTGCATCTGCAATTGCGCCTGAAAGCTTATTGAGACTCACTCTTCAAAGTCATTTTTCAAATGATTGCAATATCAAAAGCTAGCAGTCAGCAAAACCTTCTCAAGCACCGAGAATTAAAACAGCAGATAATAGAAAAGTTGTCAAAGTTGAAATAAATACAATTTCGAAGGTATTAAGAGACGTAGTTGGAAGGGGGAGTCAAGATACGAAGGCGGGCCTTCGTATCTTGCATAATTGTGGTGAATTATTTAGATACTCACCTTTCTCCGCCGATTTCCCGTTTTTATTCACCATGCCTTAGGGCCAATATGGCAGAAGCAGGCGTTGAAAAGACTAATTCCGTGGAATCACTAATCGCCTTCTCTCCTAAAGCAGTTGGGCATTCATTTGCATGCTTAAGTACGTGTTCGAGAAGTCAAAAAAGCGATAAAAGAAACATGGCTCGCTAACGAAGTTATTTCAGCCGTAGAAAAAAGATAATGTAATACTGCGGGGAGTATCTTTTGTTGTGTATAGTAGAGCTACGACGCTATTTATTCGGGCTAAATAGTGTCACGGAGTTACAAGAGCATGAGACGGATAATCCGATTGCTTTGACGCCTTAATTACAGACTCTTCACACTTGAACGAGGCCCACAAAGACGATGACGTATGTCCGGGAAAATTCGGAAAAAGAGGCAACTCTTGGTATGGGATTACTCTTTGTGGGTATTTACGTCGATTCAGGGGTTGTAAGGGAAGAAGACGTCAAATGAAGATGGTCCCCATGAAATGAAGACAAAGTTGGAGGGCTACAAAGATGTTTACTGCAAATTGCGGGTGATTAAAGTATCTTTTAAAACATACTTTGGCCTGACTTTTAAACAGTAAAAACCTTGTATACAAAAAATAAAAATGCAACTTGCTAAAAAACTTGAAAAAATACACCTTCAGGGCCTCTCCCAAGGGCTGTTTCCTTTTTAGGGCCTCGTTAAAGCCCGTTAGCATCCAACAAAACCCTCTTCAATGCACTTTACACATCAACGGAGAAGAATACGTATAATAATAAGCTCAAAAAGGCCTAATTCCTTGGCCTCGCCCCACACCTTCCACAACAAAACGCCACCTTTTCCGGCACAGTTCAAAGACTCCCCGGAGCTGTTCTTTTGCCGTCTACGTATTCCGTATTCCCCTCACCGCACATTGTTAATGCCCACTGCACTTTAAGGCAGTCATCCGTTCCGGGGTTTTTAAATACCAGGCCGCGTTGCCGTGGAATGTTATGGGTATGAAACTGGGCCCAACGTCAAAAAAGCCGTTCTATTTGTTTCCGCAAATTTTTACGAGCTTTTTTGGGTCATTTTAGAGCAAAAAGTTATTCAAAATAAAAAATATTATATTATGATGCCTTTCCTAAACCATAGAACACTTTATTGGCCGGAATTTGAGCCGGCCACACAGTAAATTGAATGAAGTCATATACACCCGGCCCAGTGTAATATAAGAAATAGCGCAAAAAGGAGGAAATTCGAGCGGATTATGACGATAAAAACCAAGATTTGCAAAAAGCGTAGAATACTTGACACAACATTATACCGTTTGCAGTCTTCTGGAGACAATATTATTAAATAGGAATAAAGAAGAGTCTTGAACACGTTTCCCCTCGTCTTGAAGCTCACAAAAAAGGAAACGGATTTGGCGAAAACACTCGCAAAGCCAGAGCGGCGAAAAACTGCCTAGTGGAATCTTCTTTCATGGCCTCAAGGCCGGAAAACTTTTCTCCTACAAAGAAGACAGGGTCTTTAATGCAAACCAAGTTGGGGCTACATTTTGTGAGCCAGACGACCACAATTACAGACAAAATAAACAACTACAATATGCGTCCGTTAGAGGGTACGGTAAAGCGAAGTACGCTCGTTTCGTAGTCTGTACGCGGAAGTAACGTATCCTTCAAAGAAAAATTAGATTTGCATAACAAAGCACAAGCACTTTGAAATGACATGTGAGGGTAGTAACAGACATAAATGACTTCCGACGTTCAAACAGACCACATACCACTAAAAAACTCTATTCCGATACTTTGGCCAATAATTTTGCTCATCAATAACCGTTTTCTCTAACACCAAATAATAAAATAATTTTAGACCTATAAGCAATAGCAATACCAGAAAAAATAACTCCAGAATATCTAATAATATTACACGTTTATTGTCATAACTTATCAGTGGGTTAGTTCTGTTCCGAGACAGCTTCTGTGATGGGCACCCAATTATTCTGAGTTCGTTCTTGGTAAAGGGCGACTCGGTTATCGGAGAACGCTACAGCCAGCACAGTTCCATTTGAATTCCAGCTGACATTGTAAACGGGGACCTCTGCCCGACAAAGAATCTGTTTTCTCCAGACCTTGGCCTCGATATTGTCTGTCCTCCAAATTATAACAAGCCCATCCTGTAAAGTAGGTCATTATCAAAAAGTCAATTAGTAATCATAAAAGCAATTAAAAATAATGTAGCAAGAGCTTACCGATCCACATGAGGCAATTGTAAAATGATTATAAGATTCGACGGGCGCCCAGGCCACATCTCGGACCCAATCTTGATGACCTTCTAGTTGAATATCGAGTTCCCATTTCTCCTCGGAGACTTCTCTAAAAACATAAATCAAAAGAAAAATAAAATTTTACTTACTTCCAGACCTTAACCATCTTATCATTTCCGCCCGAAACCACCCGCTTTGGCAAGATGGTTTCATTTACATTTATCACCGTCCTACTTCCTTTTGCAGGTGCCCACGAGACTGCGTTTACCCCTTGATCATGGGCATTGAAGATCTTGGCTGGTTTCCAGATGTCGTCGTAGTTTGTTACAATGGAAATTGTACAATCCGTAGACCCACAAGCAAAGATCAACCCGTACGTGCTGGGAGCCCAGGCCACCGAATTTATACTGGCTTCGTGTTGAGTGTATTCGTAGATTCGAGTCCATTTGTTACCCACTTCTTTCCATATAAATACTTTCCTGAAACGTCATAGATAATATAAAACGCTCTTGGAAACTCTTAAATTGACACTATCGCTTTTTGATGGTTGAATGATCAAAACATGCCTGCTGTTCATCCACGACTCAAAGAATCCATTATAACTTACCGATCATGCGAACAAGAAGCCAGGTATTCTCCTTTATCCGAAAATGGAAACGACCAACAGACCTGCCACACCGGGCCTTCGTGTCCACTTAATTCAGCCATGGCATGCGACTGCCCTGTTGGCTTCACTTCGAACACCTTGATTATGTGATCGCTCGCACATGTGGCTAGACGACTTCCATAGAAATTCATCTCGGCATCGTGCTAAATACCAAAAATAAAGTAAAAACTGGTCAAACTTACAACTACATCTCTATGGTTAGTCTCTACAATTGCGGAGATGGCTGCCTGAAACAGTTGAAACGTTATTCAAGTATATTAGTTAAGAAAATGGGTTCAAAGCATGAAAATAGTTATCCAAAAACGGACAAAAAGGCAGTATTAAGAACTTACCATTATCTCATATAACTATATATAGCTAGTACAGCGCTATTGTGTTTTGACTGCGAAATTCGGACAAAACAAGAAAAAAATGTAATTTTTGCGCGGAGTTGGTGTTAATTTTCTGGGCCCCGCAACGAAATTCCCTGAAAATAAATAAAAATGCGCGATAATTTTTTTCCGACGAAAAATCGGTCGATCGACCAACAATTCGCAACTTTACAGGTTTTTTTATTATCTCTGAATTTTTTGAATCATATAAAACATGGTGTAGTAATGAGTAATAAAATTGAAGTCCTTTTGCTTCGTCTTTTTGTTTTTGAAGTGGCTGAATCAGCCAGCAGGGATGTCCGAGAGCGTTTTGAAATCACCTGGATGAACATTTGTATGTGGAGTTTATTTCAATTATCCACTTTAATATTTTTAATTAACTCTTTTCAAATTCAGATTTATGTGATCGATCTGTTTCCATGATCTCTTTTTCGAAGTGACACTTTCTACAGATGGCCGAGTATTTTATTGGTCTCACTTGCGGAATGGCAAGATTTATTTACTTTTTAATGAGATTTGGTGGGAATCCGGAGACTTTTAATACGTAATCTTTGGATTTACGGACGTTTACGGGGATATTTGGTATCCCACACGTTTGTTTTGGCGTGTATTTGGTGTATGTTGCCTTTTGTTTACGTATGCATGGTTTATGAATCAGTTTATAATTTTAGGGATGGGCAAAGCCTTGTCCAAAATCTTCGGCAAAAAGGAAGTCCGAATACTCATGCTGGGGCTGGATGCGAGTGGAAAGACAAGTAAGCTCATTTTCATTTGTTTGTTCTTCGTTTTAGGCGGATTGAAATTTAAATCGATCATGCATTCTTTTCGTGTTTTGTTGGTTTACCCTGTTTATCTGAAAAAATCTCAAAACTTGTTTATTAAGAATCTTGTATTTTTTAGGTATCCTATACAGGCTAAAACTCGGCCAATCCATCAAAAGTATTCCGACAGTTGGATTCAACGTGGAGACAGTTCAGTATAAGAACATTAAGTTCAATGTCTGGGATGTGGGAGGGCAGTACAAAATCCGACCATTGTGGAGACATTACTATACGGGTACACAAGCGCTTATATTCGTCGTGGATGCAGCCGATCGGGATAGGATTGACGAAGCGCGGACAGAGTTGCATCGGATTATCAATGACCGAGAGATGAAAGAAGCGGTCATATTGGTGTACGGGAACAAACAAGACATTCAGGATGGTATGTTGGCCTTTATTATGTCTGTGTTTTGATTTTTAGAGAGTTAAATGCAGAGGAGTTTGTGTTTGGAAGTTCTTTCAAGTTTACCATTTTAGGTAATATGAGTTTTTTGATTTCAGCCATGAAACCACAAGAGCTTCAAGATAAACTCGGGTTGACTAGACTCCGCGATAGGAACTGGTACGTTCAGCCGTCTTGTGCAACATCTGGCGAAGGACTTCAAGAAGGGTTGACATGGCTAGCCGCTAACTGTAAGGCCTAAGGAGAGTAAGATATCTATTCCCTCCAAGTCTTCATACGACGTCATGGTTGCCTTTACTATGGTGTTGATGAGGGTTTTCTCCGACTATTTTGTATAAACTGCCATTTGCCCGAGTTTTGTTGTTAGAGTTGCACTTGTAATAGATTCACTACTTAATTGACTCATGTTTTATATTGTACAATGCCTTGTCCTTTTCATTTTTTTTTCAAAATTCATTGTACTAATAATAAGGTCCATTTTTGGTGACTGTGTATGTGATAAGAGTATTTCTTTGCCGATTGAAAGGTCTTCTAATGTTATAATAGTCATCGAACTTTTTTTCTTTTGTCAAAATCTGGATAAAAAGAAAATTTTATTTGAATAAACGGTTACGACATGAATTTTTGTTGGCTTTATTTGTGTTTTATTTGAGTTTCACTGTGGTTTGTTCAGTTCAGTATTTTGATTTGTTCAGTATGTTGTAGTAGATAAGTTGTTAATATAAGATGAAGAGAAGTGCCGCACCAACGAGCCGAGTCAATCAACCTTATAAAAAACCTTCAATCTTATCCAATCATAATTTTCAAACCCAATCTCAACCAGCAAATGTCAATCCAGTCAGGCCGAACACACAGAAATCTCAATCACAAGATGATACAGTAATCCGAGATACCAGCATTTTTGAGGAAAATGTTGAAGGCCAAAAGAAGAGGAGGTAATTGGATAGAAAATTTGGTTTATTGGATTTTGAGGTCTATTTCGAAGGTAAATTTAAATTGTTTTAGGTACACAGTGGTCTATGCGAAACAATCGAACAGAAAACACAAAAGATGGGAGGGAGATGGAGTTCTAGAAGTTCATGGGAGCAGAATGTGGCTGAGGTCCGAGGAATCGGGTCGTCCGATTGTGGCCAGTGGGTCTGCCAGGGACCTTTATATTGTTCATGGAGCTCGGTTTAACATCGGGTCGTATGAACTTGAAGTTCAAGAGGAAATAAAGGAAAAGGAATGTGGTAAGTAAGATGAGTTCGGTTGCTCTAGAGCTAAGTGGATTTTAAAAATTGCGTCGAATTTTTTAGTTGATTACCTCATCTTTTGCCCACCGACCGAATTACAACTACTGCTTTATCAAAACGTTTTGGATATGATTACCTTGGACCATCGGGAAATGATCGACTTCTTACTCCGAATATGCAACCATCCAGTTTTATTGTTGGCCAGACTAAAGCAGATTTTGGAAAGCGGAATTGTGAGTTTTCTAATTTCAGAAAAGGTTTATGTGACAGTTCAGAAGTGTGTCGGAGTCTCTCAGATCCTCGACTCGTTCCCTCCAACTTGCACAGTATCTGATTGTTATATCGCCGATTCAAGTGGGTTTAATTTTTGTATATTTTTGGAGAAAATGGTGACTAAAACAATATGATTTGAGTGATTTAGACAAATTCAAAACGCTTTTTGAGATGATAGTGTCCTTTGATGAGAACGATGAGAAAACCATCATTGCATCGTATTCAAAGTCGGCTCTCGATCTTATTGAAGCAATGTTGGCCTCAAGTTTGTTCGAAGTCCTCAGGTTGGACACGGCCTCGCCCTCGGAACGGGCGGATATTATCAAGAAATTCAACACTCCCAATCTCTTCGATCATCCGAATCAAGTTCTCCTAATGAATCAACACACCAAGACCATGGGGATGGATCTAAGCGGAGCCACAAGATTGGTCCTTTTTGACTCGGATTGGAATGTAAATTCGGATATTCTGGCCAAAAGCTTGGTCTGGAGGAACGGACAGGCAAAGAAATGCCATATTTATAGACTGTTAATGTCGGTAAGCATGCATGGGAAAGCGGTTTATATTGTTTTAGGGATCAATTGAAGAAAAAATGCTACAAAGGCAACAACGAATGGCTGGACTGGATTTGACTGGTAAGGAGAATTGAGTTGAGGTCTACAAGGTTTATTTTTGCCTGTACTTTAATATGAAACACATCTTGAGCAGTAGTTTATGTTGATATAAGTTGTTTAGATATCAGTGCCAGTCAATTTGATGACGATGAACTTTGTGAAATCTTCCAATTTCATCCGGAATCGTTCTGCGAAACTCATTCCCGAATCAAATGTAAATGCGTGAAGAATGGATGTAAAGGACAAAAGTGCCCGACAGCTGAAGATTCTCCGGCAAGCCAGACAGCTAACTCGATGATGAATTTGGCCATGGGAGAGACGCAAATAAGGAGGAGTTTGGAACCAGACAGCCAAATCATCATGGAGAATAGGGCGGAGGTAGGCAGATTTATATTTTATTTGAAGATTGTTTGATGTTAACTATGGGTAATATGGCTTTTAAATGTGAATTTTAGAAGCCAACAAATGAATTCTTGGACTGGAGACATTTTGAAATCACCGAGGAGACCAGGCCCATCATCACAGATCTCGCTGGATTCTCAAACGAAACTCTCGAGTCCATTTCCTTTATCATGATAAAAGAACCACAAGAAACGACGGAAGAACTAACAGATCTCCCATTACTTTGACATGTTCACTTTGTTTTGTACAGTAAACACTAACTGGTACATATAAGATGGCAAAGAAAGAGATGATAATTAAGTACTTTTAGTCACCATGTATACCGTATTTGTAGTGCAATCCTTTTTTCCTAGGACTGAATGAAGAGATGACCTTAAAGAACGCTTGACGTTTTTTAATTTCCGAGGAGAGATAATTTTTTATTTCCTTTTGCTATCTTCAGATCATTCGGTGCTCCTCTTCGCCCTTTTCCGTTACATTTTACTTCGATGACGAAGGTAGCGAATGTTTTCGTGCTGGGATGGGGTGGAAGTCTTCCAAGGCAACTGGTCAGGTATTCAAAAATGTGGGACAAGTTGAAGTAAGGCTTTTTGCAATCTCAGTGTGTCCGTTTTGTCGTTGTTTGAAGGGGTTTGACGAATTCTCCGTAGCGTGCGGACATTCCAATACTTTTTTCTCGCCTTATGTTCCTTAAATTCCAGCACCAATCCCATCACGCAGAATGTGAAGGTCTTTCAATTTAATTACCGAGTCAGTTACCCCGAAGAGGCTGTTATCTTCTACGAAAACACGTTCCTCCCCAGGGCCAAGCAAGACGAATTGCCAATTATATTCCACACCTTCAGCAACAATGGTGCCGCCGCTCTTATGACGCTGTGGGGATCAATGGAGAAGTCGAATCCGGAGATAAAAAAGAGAATTAAAGGAATTTTATTCGACAGGTGAGTAGTGAGTGTTTTGGATAAAAAAACAGAGTAGGAAATAGTTTATCCTGTCTAAATTTTTTTTCAGTGGCCCTGCACCGATCGTTACCATTCTCCCTTGGGCTCGTGCCTTTTACAGCACTCAAATCCCCGCCAAATACCAATCATCGTTCACATATTTCCTCTCTCTGGTCGTGTTCGTCCCCTTTGTAGCTCTCCGCAACCTTTACGTCGTTCTCCGGGATCTCCTGCAGCCCGGATACAGAGCCAGCAGAGATGCATTCATCGGCCTCCCGGCTCTTGATCTCCCCAAAAATCAGATGTTTTTATATTCGACGGCCGACCTCATGTGCTATCACACATACATCAGAAAATTCCATGACAATCAAGCATCAAAGGGAACGGACGTGGAGTACAAAATGTGGACAGACACTTCCCATGTTGCCCATCATATTGGTCATCAAGAGGAATACGAAAAATTGTGTCAAAAGTTTTTGAACAAGTGTCTGAGAAAATAAAAGATACATTTTATGGACACTACAAACTCGTGAGTGTTGAGTGTTCTATGATCACTGTTGTTTTTTTAAAAACACTTTGTCAAAAAACCGAAAAAAGTATTGTATAAATAGGACTTGTTTACCAGTAATTTATTGCCGCAACCGTCGAAAAAGAATAATGAAGAGGATTGAAAAGGTTAAAATAATTCAGCTTACAAGCTGCACAAAGACGGGGACAACGCACACAACGAGTTGCTGCAGGCGTATCCACTGGGGCAGCTGGAACAAGTGGGTCCGCTAGAATAGACGGGCTTCCCAGTGATGGCCCCCTTCTCCTCTCCCAAAACACAGACAACCTTGGTCACATTGATGTTCTGCTGTTCGAAGAGACAGATCTCCCGATTGCATCCGATTCTGGAGACCTTGGCCCAGGCCAGTTTGGCAAAGTTACTGTCCGATCCTTGGTAGTCACTGATCGAGTCCGTGTAGCTGGTGGGTTTCCACCAGCTGTTGATCGCGGCGGAGAAGGCCCTGTTATATTCTTGCTGAAAGAGTCCCTTATAGTCAAAAGTAAAGACAAGAGGTAGCAAAACTTGGGTGAGAACCCAACAAAACAGCCCTCAACTTACTCCATCCGGTGTCTCCACTCCTGTCATCATGATACTGAGCACATTGTAATCGTCCAAATCACCGAATCCACTGGTGCATTCGGTGAAGTTGTTGACCGCAATGCTTTGCAGATCAATGTCGTATACGATCTCCAAGATGTCAGTGCCTGTTGGGAGTTTGTTTTTATTTCCATCAGTCAGATTTCCCACGGCCAAGTCTCTTCTGTGGCCATTCAGCGTGTCCAAAACAGTCTGTCGTTCTCCGATTGTTAACCAGCCTGGAGTTCTAGCTGGGAGTTGAGGGTCAAGATAGCAAAGAGAGTCGTTACAACGGTAGCCATAAGCACAGGAATCACAGGGTTTGCCCTTTTTGTAGATGGGTTTTCCAACGAAGTTGGAGCCGGCGTTGAAGTTGCATGCAACGAAAGAATAGTTGCTTCCAACATTCTCCAAATCGCTGCACAACGCAACAGCACATCCAGTTATGTTGTTGGTATCCCAGATAAGCTAAAGAAATACATCTTTGAAGATCTTGACATACCGTAGTAAAGACAGAGGCATCCGAGGCTTGGAAGTTGCTGACATCTCCAGAGTAACTCTGACTCACATTGTACCACTGCTCGATGGCTGTGCTGATAGTAGCCGCGTAGTCATCCGAGAGTCCGCTGATCGCTGCGTTCAATTGGTTTGATCCGTTCGGATATCCATAACTACAAGAGGACACCCAGGAGAAGGCCGAGTCCTCGAGTGAAGAATCGGCATTCTGTAAATGTAATAAACAGTCATCTTGTTACACTTACAATCTGCTGGATATTGGCGGCGGTGGGCAGAGAGTCTCCGGCCTTATTCTTCGCTTCTCCATTGGCCACTCTTCTTCGGACTTCATTGAATTTATCAAGAACAGCCTGGTTTTCAGAGTCCGTTAGTTTCCGTTGAGTAATGGCTACAGCAAGAGTGGAACACAGGAAAAGGAGAAAGGTCTTCATCTTTGTTGGAGACGGAGGAATGATGCTTCTGATCCGGCTACTCTTCCTTTTATACCATCTATGTTTTGGTTGTGATACAACGTTCTTATTGTCGTGGTCTGAGTTCAAAAATTTGTTTCCAGGAATCCTCGGAGCAGGGGTTCGATCAAATGAATATTCAAATCTTTTTTGATTACAATACAAGCACATTAGGATAAAAACCCGTTACATTCTAGCGTTCGGCCGCCTCCTCAAACCAACCTATGCGTGCAGATTAAGAGCCCATTCCAGTAATCGCCCAAACCGCTGTTATCACAGCTTCCAGGAATTCGCGGGACTAAAGGGTTGTATAAAAGAGAGAATGTGGGTGCATTCGGATCATAATTCAGAGCTGGATATCTCCTGGGGATATGAGAATGCGGTCGTTCTCGTATTTGGTCATGGTCATCTTGATGACTGCAGTAACCTCTTCACTGCTGGACACGAAGTTGGGGAACTGATGAGATGGTCCCAGCTTGTCCCAGCAGCGAACCTTGTGCCGCCAAGATCGCAGGCTTACTTGGCTCAGAATAATGAAGACAACATTGCCAAGATTGCGTTTGAAGTGGGGCCAACTGTTACTTGTAAGTGTGATCTGTATATTCACATTTGTTTTAGACATTGATGTCAGCAGTATCTAAGACTACATGAATGGAATCCTGGACACAGCCGAGCCTTCTGATGGCTGGAGTATCAAATGTGCTGTTATAATGGTGGCTTATGGCACAGACAGGGGCACTGGCTATTGGATAATCAAGAAGTCTTGAGGCGCTGACTGGGGAGACAAAGGATTCCTTAGGATCCAGCGAGGAAGCAACTGTCTCGACATGACGCTTTACAAATATGCCGCATGCTTTTTACCGTTTTGTACGGTTTTTTTGCAATTTGTGTATAAAATCGGTTCTCAACAATTAGTGTTTGCTCATGTTTTTAAAGCAAAAAATATTTTTATGTAATTGCTGCATCTAATTTATACTATTACTATGCAATTACTCGCCTATAACCATTGGTCTTGCAAGGGAAATGGAAACGTCTTAAAATGGCGCTAAACCTTTATTTATAGAAAAGCAAGCACCTGTCAATTTGCGTTTTCATTAGGCCCCTCCTTTTTATAGCACAAGTTATGAATAAGTCAGGATTCTCGGAAATTGTGACATTAAAGGTTGTAGCTCGCCTTTCGAAAATTCCATTAATGTATTTGTTGTCGTAGCCTTCCGTTTATCCTCGTCAGACATACTGCCGTCTTTATACATTTCACACTTTGCCTTTGTCACGCTTGTTCTCCACTCTCAGTTGATGGATATACTCTTTGGGAATTATAATATTAGACAAAGCATGGATACGATAGATGAGGCCAGCATCTACAAAGTGCTGCTAGATCTTGTCTGCGTTTTGCACAACGTGGAGTACGTTGTTCAGCTGTTGGTGACAATCTACTGCCTCGGCGTCCTTCGCAGGGCTAATCGACTTCATATCCACTTTAGGAGTGTCATAGTATGCGCTCGCTGAATTACTGATTTATGTTTAGGCGGTTACTGTAATCAGCGTTGCCTTTGCACATCTGGGACGCAAACTATGCAAGGAAATTGCAATGATTGGACTTCCAGACGTGTTAACTCAGAATTACATTTGTTGCGTACTGTCGACTTTGCATATCTGTGCAATAACCACCACAATATTTTCGATTTGCGCTACAGGACTGGAAAGGTTTATTGCTTCAAGGTCTATGAACACATATGAGGAAATAGGGCACCCCAAAACTTTGATGGTTGCTGTGGTGGTCCCAAGCCTTATTTTTGGCACAGTCCTCAATTACTTTTCAACGCTACGATACATTAATCTGGAGGAACATCCGCGAGGCCAGCTGTTTATCATTTTTGACAAGAACATTGCATTGGCGACTCTTGCATTCTTCTGCGGTCTTGTTTGCACTGGAACTGGCGGCATTGTGAGTGATACAACAATCGTCTAGATGCAACTAATCTTTACAGATTCATATGCTTTGTAACCGCACGTCTGTGAAACAATTCAGGGCCGGAGTATCGCTGTCTGAGAGGTTCCAAAGCCGAGAGGTCATTGTGTCGTCAAGTGTGCTCACTAAAATAGCGATTTTGTTTCTGGCCACTTGCTCTTTAGGATTGTTTTACAGTTCCCTAAGGCTCATCAACTTTGGGCATACTGGCAATGGGAGTAATCTTGATCTGCTACTTGTTGAAGTAAGAAAATAACCTTTTGTTCAAAGTAAAAAATAACATTAGTTGGGCTACATACAAATCGACATTACCGCACCTATCGTTTTGATTTACTTCTTGATTTCACACCGATACCTTCGGGGTATCGTCAGAAAGGATGCTATTTGGCTTCTCGGGTTGAAAATGGCCGACAGAATTGTCAAAACAGATGAGACTCTAACAATACCTCAAACGGATTCCTATTTTCAGCATATGGAGGATTTGTGGAGTGTAAGATACACAAAACTCTAATTTTCTTTTGATTTAGGCCCCTCATTCGTCTCGCCGTAAAGCCTCGTTTGTTCCGAAGAGAGTTTCGGACAGTTTTAGCACGCAAACCGTCGTGGAAACCATCAAATCGCAAGGCAGGAAGTTCAGTGTTCGGTTTGTCGATATTTTGTAGTCAGCATTGTTTTTCCTAGCCCTTACGACGATGTCATTTTATATTGCATACAAATTGCGGCAATAAACACAAAAAACGATTAAAATGTATGTGGCATAATTGTAAAGGGACGGTTGATTCCTCTATGGACCTTGAAAGATACGTTGTCTCCGCTGTCAGCGCCTCAAAACTTCTTGATGATATAGTAGCTAGTGCCATAACCAACAAGCATAGTTGATCCAGCCATCATAAGGCTCGGCGGTGTCGAGAATTCCACTCGTGTAGTCTTATTAAATAGATACTGCTGGCATCAGTGTCTAAAACAAATGTGAATATACAGATCACACTTACAAGTGACGTTTGGCCCCACTTCATACGCAACCTTAGCAATGTTGTCTTCATCATTCTGAGCCAAGTAGGCCTGTGATGCTTGGCGACACAAGGTTCGCTGCTGGGACCACTTCGTCAGTTCCACAACTTCGTGTCCGGCATTGAAGAGGTTACCTGGGTCATCAAGATGACCATGACCAAATACGAGAAAGATCGCATCCTCATATCCTCAGAAGATATTCAGCTCCGAATTATGATCAGAATGCACCCACATTCTCCCTTTTATACAACCCTTTAGTCCCGCGAATTCTTGGAAGCTGTGATAACAGCGTTTTGGGGCATTACTGGAATGGTCTCTTAATCTGCACGCATGAGTTGGGTTGAGGAGGCGGCCGAACGCTTGAATTGTAACGGTTTGTTATCCTAATGTGCTTATATTATAAACAAAAAAGATTTGAATATTCATTTGGTCGAACCCCTGCTCCGAGGATTCCTGGAAACAAATTTTTAAACTCATACCACCACAATAAAACCGTTGTATCACAACCAAACATAGTTAGTATAAAAGGAAGAGTAGCCGGATCAGAAGCATCATTCCTCCGTCTCCAACAAAGATGAAGACCTTTCTCCTTTTCCTGTGTTCCACTCTTGCTGTAGCCATTACTCAACGGAAACTAACGGACTCTGAAAATCAGGCTGTTCTTGATAAATTCAATGAAGTCCGAAGAAGAGTGGCCAATGGAGAAGCGAAGAATAAGGCCGGAGACTCTCTGCCCACCGCCGCCAATATCCAGCAGATTGTAAGTGTAACAAGATGACTGTTTATTACATTTACAGAATGCCGATTCTTCACTCGAGGACTCGGCCTTCTCCTGGGTGTCCTCTTGTAGTTATGGATATCCGAACGGATCAAACCAGTTGAACGCAGCGATCAGCGGACTATCGGATGACTACGCGGCCACTATCAGCACAGCCATCGAGCAATGGTACAATGTGAGTCAGAGTTACTCTGGAGACGTCAGCAACTTCCAAGCCTCGGATGCCTCTGTTTTTACTACTGTAAGTCAGGATCTTCAAAGATATATTTCTTTAGCTTATCTGGGACACCAACAACATAACTGGATGTGCTGTTGCGTTGTGCAGCGATTTGGAGAATGTTGGGAGCAACTATTCTTTCGTTGCATGCAACTTCAACGCCGGCTCCAACTTCGTTGGAAAACCCATCTACAAAGAGGGCAAACCTTGTGATTCCTGTGCTTATGGCTACCGTTGTAATGACTCTCTTTGCTACCTTGACCCTCAACTCCCAGCTAGAACTCCAGGCTGGTTAACAATCGGAGAACGACAGACTGTTTTGGACACACTGAATGGCCACAGAAGAGACTTGGCCGTGGGAAATCTGACTGATGGAAATAAAAACAAACTCCCAACAGGCACTGACATCTTGGAGATCGTATACGACATTGATCTGCAAAGCATTGCGGTCAACAACTTCACCGAATGCACCAGTGGATTCGGTGATTTGGACGATTACAATGTGCTCAGTATCATGATGACAGGAGTGGAGACACCGGATGGAGTAAGTTGAGGGCTGTTTTGTTGGGTTCTCACCCAAGTTTTGCTACCTCTTGTCTTTACTTTTGACTATAAGGGACTCTTTCAGCAAGAATATAACAGGGCCTTCTCCGCCGCGATCAACAGCTGGTGGAAACCCACCAGCTACACGGACTCGATCAGTGACTACCAAGGATCGGACAGTAACTTTGCCAAACTGGCCTGGGCCAAGGTCTCCAGAATCGGATGCAATCGGGAGATCTGTCTCTTCGAACAGCAGAACATCAATGTGACCAAGGTGGTCTGTGTTTTGGGAGAGGAGAAAGGGGCCATCACTGGGAAGCCCGTCTATTCTAGCGGACCCACCTGTTCCAGCTGCCCCAGTGGATACGCCTGCAGCAACTCGTTGTGTGCGTTGTCTCCGTCTTTGTGCAGCTTGTAAGCTGAATTACTTTTACCCTTTCAATCCTCTTCATTATTCTTTTTCGACGGTTGCGGCAATAAATTAATGGTAAACAAGTGGCTTGAACACTTCCTGGATATAAGACAAGCCAGAAATAGAATTATATATGTGAACTTTGAGTCCAACAATTTCGGTCATAATACGAAGGGTTATTACGGTGGGATACAAACATTGGGCTGTGACAACCGAAAGAAAACGTTTTTTCTCTGACCGTTCTCCGCATTTTGCGCACTCTCTAGGTCGCTGAACATCTGGGTGGTCCTTGCTTAAACTTTTATATACGTAATACCCAAATGGCACTCTTACCGGTCGAAAATCTACCACTTCTTTTATTTTGCGACAACTGCTTGGGCAAATAGTAATGAATCTCGCGTGCAGAAGGTTAGAGTTGTTACTGATCAACCTAGAATTTAGAGGGACAACGAAATTTGTCGGCCGGAAGTCGCATGCTAATGGGTTGTCTGAATGGATATAAGACGGAATGGATATAAAATTTTTTAAATGCAGACGGTTTTATTTTCTTCATTTATTATTTACAGTACAGGATAAGGACGGTTCTGCACTCGGGAGTTAATATCGGTCTGGCCGAAACAGAATTGCCCTCCGCGCCCCCTTCCGCCAAACGTGTTCCAAGCCCCTACCTACATATTTTTCCTACATATAATATTTCCCCAAATTACTATTATAAATACATCTTTTGGAGTCAAGCTAGGGGTGTGGAGAGATGAGCGGACATGATCAGGCGTTTTTGAATGTAAGTGCAAGTTACCGCCGTTCTTTTAATTTTTTTCGTACTTTTCATTGTTCAGCATTACTGGATTCGAAATTGTTTTGTTTTCTTCTGACAAGGGAAGTACTCCAAGTGCGACGCTCAGATTTTGATGAAACTTGGCACAAATTTAGAATAATTTTTTCTAAGATATATGCGAGAATCCTAGCTCGCGCTTTGCAGAAACAGCCGGCATTTTTAGATCGAAAGCCGGCAAAAAGTTAGGACTTTTTGCCGAAATTCGGCACGAAAATTTTCATGCCTATTTCTGCCGTAAAGGATAATGTTTCTACAAAAAAATCAAATTTTTCCGCACGAAACTGCCAAAGTTATGGCCAAAAAGCGCTTTTCTCTCTGACCGCTCTCCGGGTTTAGCGTGCTCTCTCGGCGTCAAAAATCGTTCGGTATCTCGGCGGCGCCCGCAAAGCGCGAGCTAAAACTTTCAGGAATTGATACTTAGTCCATACCCGACGTGTGTGCAAAATTTAAAGAAAATCTGAGCGTCGCACTTGGAGTACTTCCCTTGTGAGTTGGAATACCTAGTACCGAACTTTGAGAGCAACAGGTATTTCCAAAAGTTGGGTAACGCAAGAAAAGTAAGATATTACTTCCTAAGACTACGTTACATGTGTGATGAAAACGATTTTAGTGGTTCCGGTTTGAAAATAATTTTCAAAAACTTTGGGAAAGCATAGTAAGGTCAATTCAGAATATTTTTTTTTGAAATTTAATCGGTTGAAAATGGCGGGTCTCAGCTCCAGAAGAATCTAAATTTTAGGGAAATCGGCGAACTCTCTGCGGAGAAATCAAAAAAAAAAGAGGACGGAAGCCCTGTATTACAAACCCAAACCTGTTTATGTATTCACAAATTAGGCTACGTTTTTAAAAAACACCAACCCTCAGATTCATAGCTAGGGTTCAAAATTTATCATATATACTTTGGCCATTACTATCTTGTAGTATTACCCTTGGGCAGGCTTTTATTTTTTGTCGAAGAGCTTTGGTGGAGATAATATCATTTATTTGAGCATAGCTGTTATATACAAAACAAGAAAAATAGGACCAAAAAGTTGATTGTTGGCAGAATGCTATTTCAAATGTGTCATCTTGACACCTTAAACTCACGAAGTTATTGTCAGATTGCTAATGAGAAACAGGTTATGAAACTGCCTAAAAATGTGGGTTTTACAAAATGGTCCTTGATCAAAAAGTTTTGTCGTATGATTACATGTTTTCAGCTCTACAACAAGTACAAGAATGCGGGTGCCCAGCCAAGATTATTTGCGCCGGCTGTGTGCATGTTTGGCATTATGCTTATCGGCTATGTGTTTAACACACTGGTAATTGTGGCTACTTTGAAGAACAAGAAATTACAAGGTGGGAAAATGAATCAGTCTTTGATTATGACCTCATTCCTTCAGGATCCTGCAACTATTTCATTGCCTTTGGCTGTTTTGCCGACATTTTCCACACCTCCGCGCATTGGATCTACGTCTACACTACGGTGGTAACGGGTGAAAACTTTATTCCCTTCGACAAATGTCTATGGTTCCAATCGGTTCCTCAGCACTTCCTGACAGTCAGTGTTGTGATGACATTGTGCGTTGGCATTGATCGGCTGGTCTCTGTGACGTTCCCGGTTTTCTATGGAAGGCAAGAGCGGAATCATATTCTTGCTGGAGGAATTGCATTTGCATTTTCCTGCAGTTCTTACTTTTATGTCATCTCCATTAAGACCGCATTCTCCAGGCATGGAAAAGAGTTAGTTTTACATCTTTTACACTGTTTTTCTCTATTTTTTTATGAGAAATAACTTTGAATTTATGTATTCTTTAGCCCTGTCCTCTGCATTATTGTTGGCAGTCTCGGAGGCCGTGCTATGATTGATTGGTTCAATTTCGTCGTCTTGTTTAGCATGTGTGATCTGGCTATATATTCGGCTGTGTGGGTGATCCTACGGTTTAAAGCCGGCACAAGTGAAGACAGCAAGAAGGCGTTCCGTTCATTATTTGCCGTTATGATTACTGTAGCCTTTGGCTGGCTGGCCAACGCCTTTGTCCAAGCCGTAATTGTCCCAGCCTTCATCCCAATCGAATACCATTACGATTTTATGGCGTACTTTGGAATTCCAGTGAATCTAGCAAGCTCGTGTGGATTTGTGACGTTGTATATCTTCAGGTAGGCCTTTTAAATGTATTCATGACACGAATTGATTGTAGTGCGGAGTACCGTCGGACATTCCGTCGACTGCTTGGCCTTTCTCCCTCAAAGCCATCGGGTTCTACGTTCACAACTCCAACAAGCCGGGTGGAAACTTCGAAACGAAGCTTTGCCGATATCCCAGTACAGTAGTATGATTTTATTTTGACACGATTCAATAAATGAAATGATGGTGTAGTGTGGTATTTAATATTTCTTATATTTCCGCCTACATCCAAGCACATGTTACATGTATAATATTATATTGAGTGCTCAAAATATATGTAGTCGTAAGCTAGGTCAGAAAAACATTTTTGGAGTAATTACGCACAACGATAGCTGTTATTATTATTTATATTTATTAACAACTGCACACGGCAAATAATCCTGGGAGAAGTATAGGCAACAAATGCCGTGGATAACAAATATAGGATCACGTGGATCATGTAGAAACTTCAAGAAGCAGAAAAAGACTCGGTAGAAGAGATTACTCCCTAGTAGACTATAATTGGTGTTACATAAACATAAAAATCTACGATATGTCGCCAATTTATGGATTCCCCAGGGTGTACTCTAGCTCTGCCTACGGCTTCGTCATTATTATTCTGTTCCTTCTAGGTTGAAAAGCAGTCGAAAGGTTCATCAAACAGCTATGGAAGACGACATGGAGTCGGTTGAAGGCCTTTCCATGCCGGAATACGTAAGCCACTCTGATTTTACAAAAGGATGACGGAATTGTAGATGTACAAGATGTACAATGGGAAAGGAGCCCAGCCAAGAGTTTACATTCCAGCCCTGTGTCTATGGATGATAATGTTTGCGGGATATTTTGGGAACACTTTGGTGATCTTGGCGACCTTCAAAAACAGGTTGGCCTTCCTTTGATAATCGACCAATAACCTCTTAATTTTTAGCAAACTCCAAGGTAAGCAACAAATCTATTTTTCCTATTTAATCAGGCTCCTGCAACTACTTCATTGCCTTTGGCTGCTTTGCCGATATAATCCACATGTCCGCTCACTGGGTGTATGTGTACACTACGGTTGTTACTGGTGAAAACTTTATCCCATACGATCGCTGTTTGCATTATCAAGGCGTTCCTTTGATTTTTGTTACTGTTAGTGTTATCATGACATTATTTGTGGGAATCGATCGATTGGCTTCGGTCACATTCCCAGTAACCTATGGTAAAACTAACAAGAATTTGATTGCAATTGGAGGAATTGTGATCTCAATACTCTGCGCACTTTATTTTGTTGTCGTATCGGTGATCCATTCTTATTCTGCGGAAGGGAAAAAGTAAGAGATGACTTGAGCCTGATTTTCAATTACAAAATCTTCAGTCCAGTTCTCTGTGTCATCGTCAGCGCTCTGGGTGGCCGCGCTTTTTTGGACTGGTTCAATTTTTGTGTCCTAGTAAACCTAATCGACCTCGTCATTTACACATCTGTATGGTTAATTCTTCGATTCAAAACTGGAATCAGTGAGGACAGCAAGAAAGTTTTCCGCTCCTTATTTGCCATCATGTTAACAGTAGCCTTTGGATGGCTAGCCAATGCGTTCGTTCAAGCAGTGATCGTCCCGGCTCTTGTGAGGGTTGAATATCAATACGAAGTGATGGTCTACTTTGGCATTCCCGTAAATCTAGCCAGCTCTGGAGGGTTCGTAACCCTTTACATCTTCAGGTGGGTTCATCAATCACTTTTCGGCGCAATAATTCATAGGCTGTATTTTTATCTTTTTACAATTTTAGCCAGGAATATCGACGGACATTCCGAAGACTGCTAGGCCTCGACTCGAAGAAAGGCGGATCATTCTCAACCGCGATTACTCATACAAGCAAGACCGAAGTGTCAAGAAAAAGCAGTAATGGATAAGATGAGAACCTTCGATGGCATTTTTTATAATAAATATAACATTGGCTTTATTTTCGGCAGAAGGAATATTCTAAGTACAGCGTGACCGTAGTACCCCCGCGATCGCGTGTTCATAAATAGCACAAAACATGTGAACAATTACATAGTTTATAATGCGTCAGACAATGTCCAAAGGCACACCTTTGATCCCCCGGGGCATTCGCTCTAATCGTCAAGGGGGCTGCTTGCTCGGCATTATGAACCACGCGTGCTCTGGTTTGTGCAAACGGAACTAAGATCACAACGACTTAAAATACACTTTAACGAGGCCTGTAACAACGAGCGCTTCCGTACTATTATGCTTCAAAGTTGAATCTGAGTGATCCTGGAGATCTGCCACGTCTATTTTTCAATACTTTACATATTATACTATGCGGAACTAGACGCATTGGCATGTCTTTGCATAGAGCAGCTCAAGTTGCTAGGCGGTTTTACGCGACAAAAAATCGGCACTGTGCAGCGATCCTCATATTTCGTGCGATACCGCAAGTTCCACGGCGGAAATTTTTTTTTTAATTTTTTTCGCACGGGTCTCTGATATGTGTAGGAGGATCAGACATGTCAAAACTTCATGGCCCACATAGTAATAAATAATCCCACATTCCAATGAGAAGGACTACTTAGCCCTCTCGAGTGCAATATTTGAACATGGAAAAAGCCGGTAATAATTGCCTAGAAAGGAATTGGTTACAAATGAGACCTGATGGTAACAAACTAAATTATGTTATAATTACACAAGCACATAGGTTACGGTGTTTCTTCAAATTACATTCCTTAGGATGTAACACAACAGTCCAATGGGATTCGCTTTTCCTATTTTTTGCATTTCGAAAGCGATATTGTATTACGGAGGAGATCCTCGAAAATCATTTGTGCATTTTTCAAAAAAACAATCTTCAGATTTCGCGAAGTCCGAATACAATTTTTTGATTGCTGTATGCAACTATAAAACTATTTTTTAACTATAAAAACAGGATAACATGTTGACGGCATTACACTTTGAGATTTCGATAATCGTTTATACGGGTCTAGACGTAGCAAACGGGAACAATTCTTCGTAAAGCTCGTTTTAACTGCTTATAAAGCATGTCTCACTAATAGTCTTCGCTCTGGGCTAATTCTGTTTTTTTACATTTCATTAAAACGGTAGCTTATTAATATAAATGGAAGAAAATATGGATTCGAATCAAAATCTGACCATGCCAGAATACGTAAGAAAAAATACATAATGCGTCAATGGACTGGAACAATTTTAGATATACAAGATGTACAATGGGAAAGGAGCCCAGCCAAGAATTTATATTCCGGCTCTGTTTGTATGGGTGATAATGTTTGCAGGATATTTTGGTAATGCTTTGGTCATCTGGGCGACATTCCATAATAGGTATGTCTTCCTCTATACTCAACCAATAAACCTCTATGTTTCAGAAAACTCCAAGGTAAGCAAGAAATCTATTTTTCGTATTTGATCAGGCTCCTGCAACTGTTTCATGGCCTTTGGCTGTTTTGCCGATATAATCCACATGTCCGCTCACTGGGTGTATGTGTACACGACAGTTGTTACTGGTGAAAACTTCATCCCCTACGACCAATGCTTGTTTTATCAAGCCATTCCCTTTATCTTTGTTACAGTCAGCATTATCATGACGTTATTTGTGGGAATCGATCGATTGGTTTCGGTGACATTCCCACTAACCTATGGGAAAACTAACAAGAATTTGATCGTAATTGGGGGAATTGTGATCTCAATACTCTGCGCACTGTATTTTGTTGTCGTATCGGTGATATATTCACATACTGCGGCAGGGAAAAAGTAAGTGATGACTTGGGCATGATTTTCAATTATAAAACCCTAAGCCCAGTCCTCTGTGCCGTCGTGAACGCTGCGGGTGGCCGCGCTTTCTTTGACTGGTTCTATTTTTGTGTCCTAGTCAACCTAATCGACCTCATCATTTACACTACTGTATGGGTAATTCTCTTGCTCAAAAGTGGAATAAGTGAGGAGAGCAAGAAAGTCTTCCGCTCCTTATTTGTCGTCATGTTAACAGTAGCCTTTGGATGGCTAGCCAATGCGTTTGTTCACGTCGTAATTATCCCTGCGTTCGTGAGCGTAGAATACCAATACGAAGTAACATTTTTATTTGGAATCCCCGTAAATCTAGCAAGTTCTGGAACATTTGTAACACTCTATATCTTCAGGTCAGTAGATACTGTACTATAGTTTACTAAACAGAGTGGTTTTGGAAATCCATTCCTTTCGGGTTTTCTGAGTTATAGTCTCTGATATTTTTAATCTAATTTTAGTCAGGAATATCGACAGACGTTCCGAAAACTGCTTGGGTTCAATTTGCCGGAGAGCAGATCATCTTCAATGATTTTTACTCAAAGAAGCAAGACAGACGTGCCGATAAAAGTAGCAACAGTTAGCAAAAGAAGAATTGGTGACTCTCATCGGTAATGAATATAACACTGGCCAATGTTCAAACATCTTTCAATGATCCAAAAAGCAGATACTAAAAAAGGAAGTAAATTCAAAACAACCTGAGGCACGTATCAGATTCCGAGAACTCCGAATAAAATTTTTTAATTAAAAATTGCTGTAATGTAACTATTAAACTCCTGTTTTCACTATAAAGGAAAGATAACATGTTGGTAACAGTATACCTTGAAATTTCGTGTATCGGTTAGAGGGCAGATAGTATTGCATAAGGCGAAGACTTTTTCGTAAAATAAAACTTTTTCTAGCTGGTTAGGGATCATTTCAGTGACATTTCATACCGTCTTTGTTCAAAAAATTACGTCATATCTGCAAAATTTACGTCTAAAGAAAGCTAGAGAACAATTCTGCGAAACGACCACCCAAAAAAAGTAAAATCTCCTCCAGTTTTACATTCGCTGCAACTAATGAGGTAGATGTAGGTGGCTCAGGAAATAAGGTCAAATCTTTCAAGGTCGTTACTTTGGATTTTTTTATATCTTTTTCTTAACCTTACGAACTACTTGATTTTATGATAGTAGATAATACCATTAAAAGAATATGTTTAAAAAGACTAGTGATATTGCCGAACCCCCTTGATTCATCGAATATTTATATAAACTGCGCATATACACCTTCTTGTTATCTTATTTCCCCTAATGATCCCTAGAAAGAAGTAATCAGTCCCAGGTGGGATCTTAGTTGTAGACGAGACCTACGGATAATTGAGGAACAAGGGAAGTCATCATAAATACGAAGCCTTGCTGGCAACACGCCCCACTACTCATAATTGGCTGGAAACTATTTCTTTATGTCGAAAGGGCTGAACTAGAGTTCGTTACCTTTATAAGCCGTGTCCTTGCTTTTTTATCCTATATTGAAGTTCTTTACAGATACCTCAGTACCGGACATGGCAGACTCTGCAGATCCTTATGCAGGGATGACAATGCCGGAATATGTAAGTTCCCGGGAATTGCAAAAGATACTTTTCAGTTGTATAAGACATACAATGGAAAAGGAGCTCAGCCAAGAATATACATCCCAGCATTCTTTTTATTGGCGATTATGCTAGCAGGTTATGTTGGAAATGCGTTGGTGATAATGGCAACCTTCACCAATAAGTAAGTCGTATATTTCTGCCCAAATATCCGACAAATCTACTACTTATCTAACCTAAACTAAAAAACACTATTTTCAGAAAGCTTCAAGGTAAGTCTTGACCTCCCCAATCCAACACTACCTACTTTAATACCTCTCAAATCTACTGTTTTTCTCAGGTTCCTGCAACTATTTCATCGCGTTTGGCTGTTTTGCTGATATGATCCACACATCCGCTCATTGGGTGTTCGTGTACACCACAGCGATTACCGGAGAAAACTTTATCCCATATGATCGCTGTTTATGGTACCAAACACTTCCCCTCATCTTCATTACAATCAGTATTATAATGACATTACTTGTGGGGATCGATCGACTGGTCTCGGTGACATTTCCTGTGGCCTATGGAAAGACCAATAAGACCGCTATTATCACTGGAGGCGTTGTGTTATCCTTTGCATGCGGCGCTTACTTCTACGGAATTTCGTATTTACATGCATTCACACCCGAGGGCAAAAAGTAATTGAAAAAAGCATTAACTAAGCCTGATTTGTCCTAACTTTAGTCCCGTTCTCTGTGTTATCGTCAGCGCGTTGGGCGGTCGCGCATTCTTCGCCTGGTTCAATTTTTGTGTCCTAGTGAATCTCATTGACCTTGTCATCTACTCCTCAGTATGGTTGATTCTCCGATTCAAAGCAGGAATGAGCGACGACAGCAAGAAAGTCTTCCGGTCGCTATTCGCAATCATGTTAACCGTAGCCTTTGGATGGCTAGCGAACGCGTTCTGCCAAGCAGTAATAGCGCCGGCATTTATCAAGGTCGAATACCAATACGAGTTCATGGTTTACTTTGGAATTCCTGTGAACTTGGCAAGCTCAGGAGGATTTGTGACGCTTTACATCTTCAGGTAGGTTTAGAAGAACTTTCGCGTTAAAACAAACCAATTACCCCAGGGCAGTAGACTCTAGTAGGAGCTGACTACCCATAGAAGGAATCGATTGTACAAACATAGCATATGATCTCCGAATTGTAGCTTTAGTCCAAATATGTAACTGAGAACCCTGTAGAATTTACACTGGATGCTTACACAGCTACCTATTGTAATATTATTACAATCTTAAACGCTAATATTTCTGAATTATAACCAATAACACTCCAAAAAATGGGCTCAGTTTGGTGCTGATAATGTCCTTAGTTTGTTCAGCTAATCTCCGTCATTTCAGTCAAGAATATCGTCGAACGTTCCGCAAACTCCTGCATTTGAAGACAACCAAAGGCGGAGCTGCCTCCACAGCTGTAACGCATACAAGCAAAGCCGAGAGCTCGAGGAAAAACAGTTCATAATACAATACTGCTCTCAATCTTGAATAAATCCTATTACCTCTCCTAAAATGTCGGCTTAAAGAACATTTTGCGCTCATTTCAAAATAAACGTTTTGATGGCGCGATAAAAGAGGGAAGATTCCCGCATAATCTTCAATTCAATCATTGTTTTTTGAAGAAAAATCCTTAGAAGAAGTTGAAAATTTATAGAAACAAATATTCACCGAGTAATTGGAAGAAAACGATGAGATGGCCGAAATACCCAGCCCTATGTGCAGTCGGGATATTTATTTGCTATCAATTAGTGTTTAAGTCTTCGACAAAAGATAGAACAATTATGAAAAGTAAGTAGCAATCAACTGCTGTTTATACCATAAAAGATTTCAAGGTTCTTGTAATTTGTGTAACAATGGAATTTCAGACGATTTAATTCGCAGAAAATCAAACGTAATCTTGCACCGCGACAGTTGCAAAGTGGAAATCGCCGATCCCTATGACAAACGGATATTATCTCAATTTAGTCCGCAGGATCAAATAAAGCCGAAATGTGAACCTTGGGATAAGGAGAAATCAACTCTGGTGGATGGAGTCCTTATGATGACCAACGTGACAGAAAATGAAAAGTGCTTATATAGGTATGCGGGTCGTGCCGATGATCTTCGGCACCCTAGAATTATTTCTAATACCCATCAATAACACCAATTTTATTTAAATTTCAGCTGCATTACCGCAGGTTTCAATACTATAATCCTCGATTATTCTGATTGGAAACGGATTCCAAACAAAGGAGTAGAACCTCAATGCGACATAATTGAAGTCCAATGTTCAATAAACGGAAAGCAATCATACAAGTTCCTCCATCACCAACTAGTCAAAAAGTAGGACCGCTCTAAAGGCATGCTTTTACTTCTATCTTCAGACAAACCAAGGTATCTATCCCTTCAACCAAGCCAGACGTCCATGTTTTCATTCTGGACTCGGCTTCAATGTCTCACGTCATCAGAGCCCTTCCAAAGACTTTGGATTACCTTAAAAATTCAATGGGTGCAACAATATTTCCCTATAACAACAAAGCGCAATATAAAACCAAGCCCAATTCGTACATTATCTACCACAACAAACGGATAACTGAGACAAAGAAAACGCCGACATCCAGGCCATTTTACACCTACAGCAGAACGGAGATCGACGCATGTGCCGCCAATAGTACGTACATTCCAAGGCTATACAAACAGAAAGGATATCGAGTCCTTCTGGATGAGGATTGGAGTGAGAATATGATGGAGGGTTGCAAACCAGGGGAGACTCACCCAATAGATCATAACTTAATGTAAGAATAGGTGTTACTCCCTAAATAAGCTCGCACCTCATATACATAATAAAACGAAGGGAGACTGAATATGAAGGACCGAATATGAAGGACTGAATATGAACTTCATATTTAGTCTTTCATATTCAGTCAGTTCATATATGGGAGGTGCTTTATAAATTTCAGCGCGCTAGTCCGTCCGAACCCTGCGGATTTAGTCCAAAGTTAAAAGTTGCGCAATCTTACATAACGTTGCGCAATTTCTCTCTTTGTAAAAATTTCTGCCTTTCTCTGTCGGCTCCTCCTCCCCTCCCCCTTTTTCGTGAACTTTTAACTTTGGACTAAATCCGCGGGGTTGGGATGGACTAGCGCGCTGAAATTTATAAAGCACCTACCATATATCAAGTCAGGCACCCATAATAAAAACCTGATCTCTATATCGATTAAATTTTTAGCCCCTTTTGGAACCGGCTCCGCGACATGTTTGCCGATTCAAATCAACTGAAAACTCTGCATAAGCCAGAAGATATCGAAAACTATCATACGAACCTATGGGACCGATTCTGTTACGAAAGGCATGATCGGATGCTCAAATATTTGGACCAATTTATTGATGCCTATGACGATGAACCGAAGATTTCATTTTCTTGGTTCGGCTATCTAATGCATGATGTTCGAAGCGATCTTTTCATGTATGACGAGGACTTTTTGCAATTCTTTCAAAAGATGAGCAAAAAAGTGAGGATTACTACAAAAAAAAATTGACGGAAGCAAAGCAATATTAAACGACCCCATTTCAGTTCGAGAACTCTCACATATTCTTCATGGCCGATCACGGATCACGTATCTACCCGGACGAGTCCTTATTCTTAGATAGAATAGAAGATTACAATCCAGCATTGGTATACAAACCTCCAAAGAAACTGCTAAACAACCAGAAATTGAAAGAGCAACTGGAAATCAACTCACAACAACTGGTGTCACATTTCGATGTCTACGCAACATTAATCGATATTCTTCAGGTAATCTATCGAATTGCAAATTACCTTTCAGAATGGAGATGCCTTCGATACCGACTATGACTTCGAATCTCCAGCTGTCTCTGACCCGACAATCCCCCTTACTGGCTCAAGTCTCCTTCGACCACTACCTCAACCTCGAAACTGCGAAACCCTCGGATTACATTTTGAAGCCTGTCTATGTCAACTCCACGGAAACCCGGAGCCTGAGATGGCCAACAATCTCACTTACCGACTGGCTGAAGCTGCAGTCGACTACATCAATTACCATCTAACCATAAGCAATATTACTGCAGCCGTTAGAATGGATCAAGCATGCGCGAATCTAACCGTATCTAACCATTTTACACCTATTGCGGAGAAGTATTCGACGAAGAATGACCAGGAGAACGTGTATCGAGTGACATTCAAGACGTCACCGGGAGAAGCACTCTTTGATCCGTATTTACAGGTATCCAATTAATCGATATCGATTTCCCAATATGACAACAAATGAGCTAACGTTTTAGGTGCACGAAAACGGAGAGATCGAGGTAGTTTCTACCTGGTTCAAGCGAAAAAACCGATACCGGGCTCAAGTTGGATGTCTGCAGGAAATAACGGGTGTAAAAATGGACTACTCTGACGACTTTTGTTATTGTAAAAATTTGCTAAATTGATAATAAGAAAACTTTCACAGTTCAAGCTTACAAAAATAGCTGCAAAACAAACGGTAAAAATGAATGGTAAAACATAATTCGATATTGACACTTCGTTCACGACGAAATGTCAAAAAATAATTGACCAATTTTTGCAAAAATTTCTGGCTCGCTTTTTGGCCAAGTATCAGCTGAAAATGGCTGCTGCAATTGTGGGACACATGTCTAAACGATGTTTTGGCCATTTTTCGATGGTTCATAGATCAGTCTTCGGTCCACATACTTTTGCAGATCCGATAACAGATATTGCAGAGGTAAGATGAATCTTCTTTTGGCTTTTCATTCTTGCTTAGACGTTGTTTTTAGTGCTAAATGAGAAACTAATTGTATTACGACTTTTACAGATTTTCTTCTGAATTTCTTTTACGTCATGGTGAATATAGTTAATCTTTTTAGCTGAAAAAGCCAATTCCCGAAGATGACCTCCGCAACTATAGGTACTTGAAGCCCATGAACACAGATCAAGTCCCGGTATTTTATCGAGATCATGTTATTGACAAGTTAATTCGAGTTTGTATGAAGGAAGGAAAGAAAGATCTCTCGAGGAGGAATGTCTATGCTGCTTTAGAATTGGTGAAGAGGATTCAATATAAGAAATGGTTAAATAAGAAGGAAGACGAATACGTGGAGTTGGATCCGTTTGTGATTGCTAACAAGGCGATTAGGAATTGTACTCCCTTAATGAAATTATTACCTTATGTTAGAGGTGAGTTGGTTTCGTTTTTCTTCTATATTTAGATATTATCTCAAAGAACAAAGGGATTATTGGCCAGAAAGGAGATGTAACCGAAAAGTTGACTAATCTGCGTTGATTTAGGTGGTGTAACATACCAGGTTCCCTTCCCCATTCGGCCATCTGAAGCAGAGTTCAAGGCAATGAAGATGATGCGAAATATATGCCGGGAGCGCTCCTTCCACGGCGCCACGCATTTCCCGAATATAATGGCGTCAGAATTGGTAGCCGCTTTTGAAAACGAAGGGTTGACGGTTCAGGCTAAACAGGATCTTCATAAACAATGCGAGGCCAACAGAGCTTTTGCTCATTACCGCTCGAAATAGGTGTTCTTAGGAATTGTTGTATCATTGTTATTTGTTATTAAAGGCTATCGGATTTCTTTCGTGGAGATTATCTTGATTTGACGTTAATAGCGTTGAGAATATTGATTTTTATAAGTTTTTGTCTTGTGTAACATAATTTTTGTTTGTTAAATTTACGATTTATTTGCTTCTTTTAGATGACGACGGTCGACCTGTTGCAAGAGTTTGAACAGAATTATTCTGTAAATACCGCTGATATCACGGCAAAGATCGGTCAGTTGCAGCAACTTCTGCCATCAGAACGGACGGCGGCGATCAATGAGATTCGGAAGCTTTTATCCGAGGTTGAAGACCTCTTGGAGCAGATGGAATTAAGTGTGAGGGAGCTGGAGGTTGGAAGGTAAGCGGATTTAATTTTTTTCTGCTTTTTAGGTAATATTCAAGGTAAAAGAAGGAAAGAAATTTCTTATTACAGCTCCGACCGAAACCGTTATGAGAACAGCGTCCGCAGCTTCAGAACAGACCGAAAAAATCTTGAGAATGAGTTCAAGAAGGCGGTTCAACGTCTTCAACGAGCGTCGGACAGAGACGATCTCTTCGACGACGGAGTAGATCAAGAAGAACAGTTGATCGCCAATACCGAACGCTTGGAAAGGACCTCAAGAAAGATTCAGGATGCATACAGAGTCACTGTCGAGACTGAGGAGGTATGGGGTTCTTATTTGTTATTATTTTCTTGCGTATATTACACTGAAAGTTTATTGTTTAGGTCGGAAATTCGGTGTTGGAGAATCTAACACAACAGCGAGAAACTCTTCACAGAGCAAGGGATCGGCTCAGAGAAGGAGATGCTGAACTTTCATCCTCAAACAGACTTCTTTCTGTCATGATACAAAGGTAAGAATCATGTTATGTTATACTTACTTTTTTGCTTTTAATTTCAGAGTAATCCAGAACCGATTAATCCTCCTAGTCGTAGCCGTTGTGATGATGTTCTTCCTCTTGGTATTCATGTACAGAGCTTTGTAATGCACGAGAATCTTTATTTTGACTCGTCTTTAAAAACTATGTATTTTTATTTTTACTCTGGTTTTCTATGTCGCTTTTTGTTCGAAATATCAATCTAATTGTAACATAATGCCTAGTCTACTTTAATTATTACAAATTAGCTCCACCCACATAATCGTATGAATAAAAATAATGCAAACAGACCACGTTTCTTTGCCCAAATGTATAAACAATTTGATCTATAACTCTGATTAGCCCTTTTGCCCTTTTCTCAAAGTTTTGATAGACGAATTCGATAACATCTTTTCAATTTTAGTCCGATCGGGGAACTTTGGTTGGTTCGGACATGGGGCAATTATGGTCGAGTAAGTCTGGGGACAAGAATTGGGAAAGCGAAGAAAAAATGGGAGACTTCTGAAATCTTTATTCGTTTTATTTTGTTGTTAGTAGGCTGGTCTATTTCAGCCGCCGAACCTACGGCCGAAGTTGAAGTAATGGGTGTGGTTGAACCGAAGACGGATTTCAACTTCCCGAAGGTCCAGCTTCATTATCATCTGGATGGCGGAATTCGATTTACCACGATCTTAGAGCTGGCCGCGAAAAAGGGGATCGACTTGCAAGGGGCGAAAACGGTGGCCGAATTAAAGCACTTGTTGGTCACAAGGAAGCCAGCCACTTTGAGCGATGTCCTCAAGGCATTTGCTATCTTCTTACCCACTGTATCGTAAGCTGTCTAATGATAGATTTTATTTTTTTATTTTGTGAACTTTCCAAGTTTATTCTGTGAACTAAACCGAACTTTTTTAGAGGAGATCTTGAGGCTATTGAACGAGTTGCCTATGAAGCCTGCGAGGATCAAGCGAAAGACGGAGTGATTTACTTTGAAGGCAGATATAGTCCCCATTTCTTTGCTGGACTCTCGATCCTCCAGACACCATCGAATATCACACCTGCTGAGGTCATCAAAGCTGTGCATAGAGGATTTCAACGAGGCGAGAAGCAGTTCGGAATCAAAGCCAGGTCCATTTTGTGTTGCATCCGAAGTCATGACAATTGGAATAAGGAGATCATCAAATTATGTAAGTCAATTTTTGCCTTCAGGGTAAATTAAAGTTTGTCCAAGACAATTTTTTTATTTTTTTTTTATTTTCAGGCGAAACAATGAAAGATTATGGCGTTGTAGCTATAGATGTTGCAGGATGTGCTGGTGGAGCCGACGAGAAATATGAAAAGTCCGTTGTCGAGGCCTTCAACGAAGCCTTCAGCGTCGGAATTCACCGCACCGTGCATGCCGGTGAATCGAGCGGCGCTGATACGGTTATTCGAGCCGTAAATGTGATGCATGCTGAGCGAGTTGGCCACGGATACCATCTTCTAGACGATCCGGCCGCTTATCAGAAGCTCGCCCTGGATGATCGACTACATTTGGAAGCGTGCCCGCTCAGCTCAGTCATGACCGGATCCGTCCCCTTGGATTGGCCAAAACATCCGATTATCAAATGGGCGCTGGATGGAGCTAACTTCTCCTTGAGCACTGATGACCCCACTTGCTTCGACAACTGTTATCAAAGCGAAATACAACTGGTTCATGGAAGAGTGGGACTGACTTTACATCAGATATGGAAATGTGTAAGTATTTACAGTATATTTTTTGTGTGATATCATTATGAAAATGACGTTGCTCCATTTTCAGCAACTCAACGCCGCCGAATCTGCCTTCGTGGAAGAACCAACCAAGTCCGAAATAATCAAAATCGTCGAAGAAAGTGAGCCGAAGCCATGATATCATCAACTATATCAATTAACGCAATAACTCTTCAGATATCGAAAATTACATTTTGCAAATTAAAAGACCTCATGAACAAGTCAACATTTTGATACTTTAAGGACCCTAGTGAACTTTGAAATTGATTGAAATTAGATAATTTAGAATTGAGTGTAAAACAATAACAAATTGAGGATGCACTGGTTTATTAGACACCCAAAGTTAGGATCAATGTGAACATGACTACTCCTTCTTGTCGTCGTTGACTTCTACCACTGAAAAATTAAGTTTAGTTAAATTGAAACCTAGTCTAATATGGGGGACCTGATCCAGTGGCAAAAAACATACCATTTTGCATCCGGAAAATATCAAAAATGTGGCAAAATGCTTCCCAAAAAAGAATTCTTTTTGAAGAGCGCGCCCTTTCCCTCACAAAAAAAGCGGGCGCGATTTTGAAATCGGAGTTGGAGGGGACACTTGGAGCGGGAAGCATTTTGCCACATTTTTGATGCTTCCCGGATGCAAAATGGTACGTTTTTTGTGGGGGACCCGGATCAGGTCCCCCACTGTAGAGAAGGCATTGTTTTCAAAAACCTTACGTTTGTCCTCCTCTCCTCCTTGGTTTGGATCGAGGTTGTCATATCCGTCGTCCGGTTTCCTGCTCTTTCCGTCGTCCACAGTCTTCATGTCACTCGCCTTCCCATTGTTTTCCTCCTTCTCTTCCTTTTTCTCCTCTTTTTTCTCTTCCTTTTTCTCTTCGTTCTCCTCGTCTTTGTTTGATTTCTTTTCTTTTTTATCATCACTTTTCTTTTTGGACTTTGTTGAATCCTTCTTGGGTTCGGGCTCTTCTTTCGACTCTTTCTTGGATTTCTCTTTCTGGAATTGAGAGGCTTTTATATCTTTATATCTTCAGTTAGATGAGGATATAAAATGTGATGGTCTTACTTCTTTTGGAGCTGCTGGTGGTTTCTCAGGCTCTTTGGGTTCTTCCTTCTTCACCTCAGGCGCTTTCTCGGGCGCCGGCGCTTCCTTCTTTTCTTCCGATTTGCTGGGGGGTTTGGTGGCAGGACGAGGCTGAAGATCAGGCATTACAACTTTAGAAACGGTATATATATTTTAGTGTGCAACTTTACAAACGCTATATTTTAATTTGTGATTTGATGACTACTCACCTGAACTACCGGTCGATTGGACATGACCTTCGCCGGAGGCTCGAACGCCGCATACTTGTTCTTCTTGCTTCCACAAAACACCACCAGACCAAAAAAGCTGATGGAAACACTGATAATGGAGAGGATGACTGAACCGTCCAGAACTTCCATCATGTTGACACACTTTTGGAGATTTCACCGATGCCAAACAACCAATACCGTTATTAGCTGGCCCAAACAGGTGGGAAAGAAACAGCCGATCAGAGAAAATAATGTGGCTCAGTGACTAAACTTTGAGGTGGAAAGTGATTTTTTTGAAGAAATCATTTTTTTTGTGAAAGAAAAATCATCTTGTTTTGGTGGATAAAATAGGACAAAATCTCTCAAAATTTACTCATGGATGACAATAAATAGGAATGTACTCAGTAAATGAATATGTGTAGATCACTCGGTCGATAAATTAAGGCAGATATGGATCTTAGACACAACACCAACTCGATTTGGGAGAGTCTTCCTCGATTTCCAGGCGAAGCGACTCCTCCAGATTTTCTTCGTCCCTTTGGAGGAGTTTTCTAAAGTTTCATGGGAGTAAGATGATTTGTGAAGGTGATGAAAGCTTATATAATACAATCAAAACTCCGTATCACGAATTACACGGCCCCAAAAATTCAACGTTATAGGTTTTGCTGAGGTTCGTTTTTCCCTAAAATTGACTTGTGGGATCTCTGACATTATTTGTTTTAGACAGGATTTGTTATATGGAAGTTTTTTGCACAGGCTCCACTGTATACATACTAAAGAATGAACTTACACCGCCACGGCCCTCATACACTCATTAATTCCAAGGCCAGTATAAGCGCTCGTTTCGAAGTAAACCATGTTGAATTCCTGAAATTAAAACCATGATTAGTCCGTCCAATAAACTCCTCAACCTACATTGGCTACAGCCTTTGCTTCTTTGTAACTAACAGCTCGAGTTTCTTCGTTCGGACAGAGATCAACCTTGTTTCCCACTAAAATCATCGCACACTCCTCATCCACTCCATTCTGAACGGAGCTGATCCAACTCCGCACGTTGAGAAAAGACTGTTCCGAGGTGATGTCATACAGAAGAACGACGGCGTCCGCTTTTCGGAAGTACTGTTTGGTGATGCTGCGGAATCTGTAACTGAAATCAAGTTAAACCTTTGTATTATGTCTTGAAGCGGGGAGATAATTTTATAACGATAGCTGGAAGAAGCTGAGATCACTCTGGATTTCTTACCGCTCTTGGCCAGCAGTGTCCCAAAGTTGCACTGCGACCACTCGGTCGTTGACTTTGATGCTTTTCACCGTGAAATCAACTCCGATTGTGGCGTTGAACAAAGGCTTAAAACGGTTGTGACAGAAGCTGAAATGGGATTCCTCATAACTCATCATGTTCAATGTAAATCTATAAAGAAAAAAACTACAACTCACCGATGCAGAAAGCAGGTCTTGCCAACGGCCGAATCCCCGACGAAGACCACCTTGTAGATGCGATCGGGCGTCCGGAGTTCCTTCAATTGAAGATGGTTAGGTCGTGGCATTAGAGCGTCAAGAAAGAGGAAGCAACAAAAGAGCGGAAGCGAGGGAAACAAACAGCAGTGTTAAGCCTTACATCTGCCAGCGTCGTCCGTCCCACAACGTCCGGATTGCTGTGCGATGAGCGGCGCAGCACTTCGGTGAACTAAAAGTAGAGGGCTATTAGTCGAGGGAAAGGAAGGGGGGAGAGCAAGGCTGGGGTGATATCGATGAGTTTTATTAATTGGGGGAAGTGTACAGGTAAATAGGCCACTCACAAGGGAGGTTTCACAGGATAAAAGGGCAAAGTTTTCCTTGCAAAAAATTTTTTAAAGTTGCAAAATTTTTTTGATAATTTTTGGGATAAAAATATTATTTTTTCTGCAAAGTGCGAGCCATGAATTTCACACAGCCTCTTGAAAATTTATTGTAAATGTGAGACAAATTTCACTAAAATATGAGCACTCCGAGAACTACTCCTGTTAATTATTTTTGTGAAAACCCCATAAGCAGCTCTCTTAACCAGAAATTCACGCATCAACCGCAGTCGTCACACACATTTTTTTTGGCCAAAAATCTCATCGATAAAGTCCGAGCCTAAGAAGAAAACGAAATCACTCAAAATCCCCACCTCCAGCTGATTCCTCCCCTCCGGAGTGTCGTCGTTGTATTCGGTCGCACTCTGCGGTCGTTTGCTCTCCTGGATGTGGACGTAGGGAGTGAATGAAGAGGCCGAAACACTTGGGGTGATCGAACTCTTGGCCAGACCTCGAGAAGAGCTTTGATTGTCCGTGGGCGTGCTGATGGCAATACTCAATTTGCTGCGCGTTTTGTCCGGGGAGAATTTCTTCTGGACTGGATCAGATTCGAGGCAAATGGTTCGAAAGTTCTCTGGGGGGAGGTCGACTAGGTGTTTTCGAGGGCGGATCAGATCTTCTTGAGTAATATCCCGACGACTGTTGATTAGAAGGGGTTCTGAAGGCATAAGTACTTGATTCAAGATATAAATAACACGACATCATAGAAAAAATTGATTAAAGTTTAACATGAATATTAAAATAGTCCCAACTTACTGATTCCCCGAATAAAGTCTTCCCTTGCCACAATACTTGTCCTCGTCGTGTCGTTGGCGTTGAAGAACTCCTCCAAATGGCTGAATGTAACGTTGGCGATGAGACCGTCGAGTTTGGGCAGATCCGCCCTTACAATGAACCCCTTATCGTCCGTGTCACATATTGCAAACAGTCGCTCCGCCTAAATGGACACTACAATTAAGTCATCTCAAAGTATATAGACTTAGCACCCTCTTCCCTCATCGTACAACCTACAATTAGATTCGCGAGCGCATCTTGCATTTTACTGCACAATCTTTGTTTCTAAAATAAGGCAATTGCAAATACATGCATCCAGAAATGGAATCTGCGCTCTATTTATACGCTCCTTGTTGTCTTTATTTCAAGTGCTTAGCCAAAATTAGTTTAGGCTAATGCACTATGGAGTAATTGGGTTTGCGGAATTCGGTTAGGTAAACAAGATGGGACGCGGTTATGTGGAGATGTGACACTAGGGAATGGAGAGGTCAAGGAATATTGCAGTCGTCATTTAGCCCTACGTATGTATCAGTTACACTGCCCGAAATTAAGACCGTGCTTAGTGACCCATCGCTCAAAGTAGTTGGCCTTTAATGAGCATAATTTCAACTGCGACATGAGCACTTACATTCTCCTGCAGACAACTCATAAGAACCCTCGTCATCCAATTTTAGGCGAAATTACTGATATTCCACCACGAATTTTAGGTTCGGTAACGAGGAGAGGGCGTTTTATGACCCTAATTTCTCAAAAAATATAAATCCAAATTCCCGCAGGCCATACATTTCAAAGCACGCCTAATGACGTGGGCATTCTAAACAAACATCGTTGATTAAAGGCCGCTGATTTATCGTGTTAAAAAAACCGAAAATGTTACACTCGACAGTTTCAGCCGCCTACATCCACTTGGATTACCTGCTCGTCGAAGAGCTTCAAATCATCGGCATTCAGAAGCGTGTTGGGGCGATACATGCGGAGATTGGAGGCCATGAATAATATGGAACACCCAAATCGAGTTCGGAATATGTTGAGAAGGGGGGAAGGGAGGGATGGGAGATGGGGGAAGGGATGGGGAGCGAGCACAGCCTGATGGTGGTTGACCGAAATTCGCTTGGACAGATGAATTTCCCTTGAATTCCTTCTGCTGCCTCTCTGTTTTTTGCGGTTTCACTTCAAGAATTCCCGAACCTTTTTCCGGTCCCGAAGAATTCAAATAATTTCGGAAGAATGGAGCCGCGCCCCCCGGCCCCGGGTTCAGGCCGGCCTTAATATCCCCCCGAATGTCCGGCCGTTTCTTTTGTCCTCTAAATTGGAGAATTGGACTCGATAAAGATGTTAATGTAGGGATAGACGGAGCGGCAGAGAAAGAAGTATTGAACAATTATTGATTAGAGAATTCTGCTGGGAAGTTCGTTGATCTAGACAGTCCTATGGTTGTTATATCAAATGGCGTCCCGTCGTTTTCTATTGCATTATTTTTACGCCACTTTATCAATAACTACTCCACAAAGAAAGTTATTTATGTGCGCTGATCATTTATGTATGTTTCAAAGTTTACACACTTGATCGACTATTAAATCCTAATAATTTTAGCCAACGCTTTGCAAGGACATTCAAGATATTCAACGGTCTGTTTCAACGAGGGAGTAGGCTAAGTGCGGCCCATGTGACGACGCATTTGATCTTATCTCTGTCAACTTTTGGATGAAAAATGATTCTTTGTAGAAACGTTGCGCTCTCAAGTAGAAAAGTTACAGTAACTGTTAGTGTATAAGATCTGAAAAGGGTAGGATTTAGACCAACTTTCAGACTAAAAAAAGAGCTCGGTTGTTTCCGCAAATCTAGGAATCATAAAGTCTGTATGTTGTAGACAAAGCTAATCCAAGTCTCGGTCAAGTTTCATGAAAATCTGGACGTTGCACTTGGGACACTTCCCTTTTCAGTTCCCGATTTGAAAACCAGTACAGAACCCACTGGTTTGCATAATTAAATATTTATTTAATTCAATGAACAATTTCTTATGTAACACGTGTAAACTAAGATAGATACATTTACTAGAACCTGCTAAAGATATCACAAATATAACATAGTGACTTCAATCTACTACTAAATATAATATTCTTGAAATCAACTCCTTGATCATCTACAATGTCTATCTACCCTGTTAACCAGATTCAGAGATTACCCGAGATGCATGGCGTCTTCCCACGAGTTGGTGAGGAGATCAAAGTACTGGCTCTCATTGCTCATCATAAGTCCACACTTTTTTCCACTTCCTGACCTTAACATACGCTTTATACGGGTTTCGTGAACTTACGCAGTAGCCGGGGATAACTTTGCAGAAGCTCCTTGATGAAGAGTCTCGTCTTGGCGAAGAAAACGTGGGAGCGGATGAGGAAGGTGAGTGACATACACATGGTGAACAACGGCATTATTAGAAGGCTTATCTCCTGAAATTCTGGTTGTGGGAGAGGAAATACAATATGGTAGGGATTACGAGGGACACGGTAGATTTTGTGCCTTCATTTTTAAGGAGGTAGTAAACAAGATTGTGATAGTTTTTTTACGGATGCCCACTCAACTTATAAGGAAAGAATACAGGCAGACGAAAGTTCTTTTTTTTGGTTTTTGATATATAGCTTTTTGCGCACAGCTTACTGTAAGTCATATTTCTCTCGAAAGCACGCCACTACTAGATAGCCGGCCCAGCGATTAGATTGATCTATAGAGCTCCAAAAAAGAGCTAGCTGCGATCCGAGTTGGCAGCCATCATTTAGCTAAGATTTCTGAGCCAATTCAACTCATTGGCCAACCATTAGCTATACATAGAACTGATATGCTCAGAATAAATTTTCTATTCGTTGAGTTGTCTAGATGCTGTAGAAAAAACCGACCTAAAAATTCAGCCATTGTCTGACCTACGCGGTCTACTTGACGAAGATATAAAGAAGGTCTATGCATCGTACTTCGAGAGAATTTGATTTTTTCAAGAATTCGACTTACCTGCCAAAAGAAGGACGCTTCACTCCTTTGTGTAAAATCTCTATATTGTAGGAACTGATGACTCATGATGATCAACATGGCCAAGAATATTACAATAGTAAAATTGACCAGCAGTCGGGTTGCTTTTATGTTTTCGCCAATTTGGAACCTCGGCGACAAGGAGTTGTAATAATGTTTTATATAAACGGTCTGCTTTTCTTTGTTCAGCTAAAATGTTATTTCCATATTACTACATTTCTTATCAATATAAAAATTTTACTATCAGTTAAGATATCGGATGTGAACTTACATTTACGACGGAAGAGAAGACCACGAGGTATACGGCTTGAAAAACAGCGGTAAAGAGGATATGCCAGTGGGTCTTCAATGGGTTTTTGGCAATTTGAATAAACGAACATTCAAAGTAATTAAACGTGTGTGACGTGTAGTCGAACACATTGCCGAGCGAACAAACCACGAATATTACCCACTAGAATTAATGCAGGTTAATCATGTTACGTCACGGTATTCAAAGTGCAGAAAAACATGATAAAATATTATAATTTAAGGTGAGCAAGGAAATATATAAAGGTGGTCATATAAGATCTCGGATTTTTTTTTCCCCAAATCGCTATTTTCGGTGCACAAAAAAGTCGACGCCCAAATCAAAAAATTGGCGTCGACTTAAGACCCCGATTTTTAACTCGGCACCGAATTCCAAAATTTTTAAAGTGTGCACCAAATTCCGGAATTCGGTGTTGACTTAAGCCTTCGGTGCAGACTTAGCGGGGGAACAGTTGACCCATTTTGTATTTCTGCTCGAGAAGAATTTTTTTTGGTTTTCGCCAATCTTCAAGTGTATTTTATGAATGAAGACAAGATGGAATTAGTCCAAAAAGGGAATTTTTACCAAGAGCAGGCTGCCCTGTTCGATTTGATGTCTAGATTTCCCGTTTTCTGCTCGGATAAAGCACGAAATTTCGCAATTTGTGATGTTTGTTGTACCATGGATAATGTAAGTCGATTTTCCTATTTTTTTGTGCAAACTCGCCAAAAAATGGACAGATATAGGTTTAGGACTGGCCACTAGGTTAATTATACCATGAAAATAGGACTAATTTTAAGGAATAGCAGCTTGACCGAGGGGATAAATACGTGAAGCAAGTACTACATAAAAACTTGGTGAAGCTCGATGTTTGAAAATCAAATTATGGCTAAATGTAGAATAGGCTTTCAGCTGTATTGTAATACAAATTTCGAACCAGAAACATCGAGTTTCTGGTTCGAGTTTCACCAAATTTTTATGTTGTGCTTGCTTCACGTATTTAGCCCCTCGGTCAAGCTGCTATTCCTTAAAATTAGCCCTATTTTCATGGTAAAATAAACTTAGTGGCCATTCGTAAACCTATATCTGTCCATTTTTTGGCGAGTTTGCACAAGAAAATAGGAAAATCGACTTACATTATCCATGGTACAACAAACATCACAACGTCCCAAAATTTGGTGCTTTATCCGAGCAGAAAACGGGGAATCTAGACATCAAATCGAACGAGGCATCCTGCTCTTGGTAAAAATTCCCTTTTTGGACAATTTCCATCTTGTCTTCATTCATAAAATATACTCGAAGATTGGCGAAAACCAAAAAAAAAATACTTTTTGAGCAGAAATATAAAATGGGTCAACTGTTCCCCCGAAACCCTGCACCGAATTCCGAAATTCGGTGCCGACTTAAGGCTTCGGTGCAGACTTAAGACTTTGTGCACCGATTTTGAAAAACGGGTGTTGGGTTTAGCAAAAATGCACCGGATTCCGGAATTGGGTGCCGAGTAAAAATTTCGGTCGACGCCAATTTTTCGAATTGGGCGTCGACTTTTTTGTGCACCGAAAATCGCGATTTGGGAAAAAAAAATTCCGAAATCTTATATGACCACCTTTATATGTAGAAAGATTTTCTCCTTGTTCACGTATATATATAAATTTTTCAAAATTTTCGCTTGCGCTTTGCAGGCACAGTCGAGATATAGAAAAAAATTTTAGAGAGAGTACACGAAATGTAGAGAGCAGTCAGAGATATTTTATTTAGCATATAAGAAGGGTGCGTTATATTATTCCAAAAAGTTTCAAACTTACTTCATTTTTAGCCTACATGAAATTTTTGTTTTTTTTTAATCTAGGCAAAAAAAATTTATTTTTTTTTGGCATAGGTGGTTTTTTTTCATGTGGGCAAAAAAAAAATAATTTTTTTTTGGCATAGGTGGTTTTTTTTCATGTGGGCGAAATTTTTTTTTTTTTTTTTGCATAGGTGGTTTTTTTTTCATACGTCAGTCTGTCGGAAAAGCAACGGCGGATCGTCGCGCCTCGGAATCGCCCATCATCACTTTGTGACGGCGAAGTTTGTGATCTCAGAAATTGGAAAGATGAAGAAATGGAAGTAGGCTAAAACCGAGATTTTGGCCTAGTTCATGCAGTCGGTGAAGTCGGTGAAGATGTAGGCCAAACCGAGATTTGGCCTAGTTCATGCAAGCGGTCAGGAACTAGGCGGAAATCATGGTTTTGGCCTAGTTGATTAAATCGAAGTTGATTAAATCGAACTAGGCCAAAACCATGATTTTCGCCTACTTCCTGCCCGCTTGGATGAACTAAGCCAAATCCACGTTTCCGCCCAGATCGTAGAAAATCGTAAAACAGGTGGAGTTATATATCCAAAAATTCGCAAAATTTTTCTGATTCAGAATATGTAAAAATTAGCTGCCTAATTTTGGTTTGTAAGGGTGAAAAATTCCTCAAAGCTTTTCTCGCAACACCATGAAAATCCCTTTTTGACCAAGTTTTTACCAATAAGAAAATAAAAATTCAATGGATAAATGTGTCTTGCCCACAGCAATTTCGCGTCACGGCACGAAAATAATTATTTGGCATTCTGTTCAAGAGGCGTCCTATTGGTAAACAAGTTGTTGATTTCGCAATGTTTTTTCAAGCGTTTGATTTGGTAAAAGGAAGCCTCTTGAACAGAATGCCAAATAATTATTTTCGTGCCGTGACGCGAAATTGCTGTGGGCAAGACACATTTATCCATTGAATTTTTATTTTCTTATTGGTAAAAACTTGGTCAAAAAGGGATTTTCATGGTGTTGCGAGAAAAGCTTTGAGGAATTTTTCACCCTTACAAACCAAAATTAGGCAGCTAACTTTTACATATTCTGAATCAGAAAAATTTTGCGAATTTTTGGATATATAACTCCACCTGTTTTACGATTTTCTATGATCTGGGCGGAAACGTGGATTTGGCTTAGTTCATCCAAGCGGGCAGGAAGTAGGCGAAAATCATGGTTTTGGCCTAGTTCGATTTAATCAACTTCGATTTAATCAACTAGGCCAAAACCATGATTTCCGCCTAGTTCCTGACCGCTTGCATGAACTAGGCCAAATCTCGGTTTGGCCTACATCTTCACCGACTTCACCGACTGCATGAACTAGGCCAAAATCTCGGTTTTAGCCTACTTCCATTTCTTCATCTTTCCAATTTCTGAGATCACAAACTTCGCCGTCGCAAAGTGATGATGGGCGATTCCGAGGCGCGACGATCCGCCGTTATTTTCCCGACAGACTGATATGCCAAAAAAAAAAAAAAATTCGCCCACATGAAAAGAAACCACCTATGCAAAAAAAAAAAAAAAAATTTCGCCCACATGAAAAAAAACCACCTATGCCAAAAAAAAAATTTTTTTTTCGCCCACATGAAATTTTTTCACCTAGGCAGACCAGATTTTGAAGTAGGCCACAAAATTTCATGTAGGCTAAAAATGAAGTAAGTTTGAAACTTTTTGGAATAATATTAGGGTGTCCCATAAGTCTTGTGTATTTTGGGGTCGTTGACTTGTGCGAATTCCTGTGAGCTTTGTAACGCATTACGAGATATGTTAGACATACGGTTTTGAAGATCAGGAATTCCGCTTTGAAACCGTATATAGCAAGGCTGCAAAAAATCAACTTGCTACCCGCACTACCCCAATATTGTACTAGACATCAAAAAAAATGTTGCATGCTGATGTTAAAATGGGTATATACTTTGGAAAATCAGATGTGTACGCCTATTAAACGTGAAAATAGGACGCACAAGAGCCCTAGATGTTATTTTAATTGGCGCTGCAGCACGAGCGGGCGTACCTTGGTGGTGGTGTAAATAACATGAGAACTGCTGCACTCATGCTTTTCAGACTCAATTTTCCAATAGTAGAAAGTGTTGGCTGTAGCTGCGTATGGTAGGTAATCTACTGTTGTTTGTGAACACAACGACATAATAATCACAGCCTGTGTCACTTTTGTTTCTTGAAATAAGCTTAATTCAAAAATTTCCTAATTATTTAAAAAATTTACAGAAAATTTTTTAAATTGACTGATTTTTCAGCCCTCAGCACCTCTATTCCAAAATCCTCTTGCTAAAATAAAACACATATGACACTGTTTAGAACACACTACACTACAATGTTATTTGTATCCATACCAACTTCTTTGGTGTTGAATAAATTCACCACATTTTTTCAATTTTTTTTGGGTTAGTGGTGATTCAGAGCATGACAGCCAGCGGATTCATAGTTAGTACGCATGAACGTTATGTTTTTTTCACTCTGGTATCGGCGCGACCTGAGCAACCACAATCAAAAAATGTTATACGCAAAATTATGTACATCACAATATTCACCATGGTGCCTAATACAAGAAACCTGCAGGACAACGTCATAAGAACAAATTCAGAGGGGAAAACGGTTTATTTAGAAACAGGGTGCTTGGTAGATGTGTTAAAAAATGCAATTGCAAAGGTGCAGCCCCATTTATCAAAAAACGGAATGGTTTTCCCATCCCTTCCCAGAAGTTGATGATATTAAAGAATTTCAAGTATTTTCCCGGAGGGCATGTTATTAGTTAAAGTTTTTATGCTGCTTATAAGTGTAAGAGATGGCGGTTTCAACAATGCCAAACATTAAGGGATGCATTCATTTAGGCCTGCGAAACGAGACTTTAATTCTCAAACCCAAAAATACACAAGACTTATGGGACACCCTAATATAACGCACCCTTCTTATATCTTTGTCAATTTCATGCTGAAAAATTTGCTGCTTTCTAGAACCCTTAAAAACATTCTAATTTGAGCCTGTTTTGAATTATCAGCATTATTACTAACTCATGCACTCTGTATCACCACAAAACCAAGCTTACCATGACCATGAAGATCCTGTCGAACACCCACGAATAATTTTCGTATTCGTATTTTGCGTAATTAAATGTCGCGTACAATCTCTCCACACACATGATGACACCGCTGACTGTAATAAAAACACAAAACGGAACTGGAAGCACGTTCAGTTCGGAACAGGTTTTGTATTCAACGTCATCCTAGAATGGATGTCATCAATAATAAACAAGCTCCTATGTCATAAGACCTTTCCCTCATGTAAAATACACCTGCTAATTGAGTTTCGAGTAATCGAGTATATTGGCGGAAAATGAGTAGCTATGAGCTCACAATCGCGTGTTACGATGTGATTATTAGGTTGGCTAATAAGTTTTTGAAATTTTTTTCTCTGTATCACCACGGTCTTTTTGGGACAGTTTAGCAAGGAAAGCAATATATAACTTGTAGTAGAGCTTGAGTACTGTCACGTAGAGAGGCAACCAGGTCACAGCCTTTGCCAAGTTTTTATAACGGCATGTTGAAAAAGATCATATTTTGAGGTGGTTTCTTCTACAGCGCTTAAAGAGGTCTGATACCCACCGGTTCTATAGCCCAACTAAACAGTGTATAAGGCCTAAACATCGTTAACAATGCCACGGTAGTGTACTGGTCCTAAAGGCTCACTAACGGCGGCTATGACTTTAGTTCATAATAAGACCGCGGGACCATTTTGAAGATTGTTAAGGAATGCTATTGAAGCTTGTGTGAATTAATACACAGAGCCGCTTTAGGTGTATCGTATGACGCAAAAACATTTCCATCTTTTGCACACAATATGAAGATATGACCAAATTTATCATTAGGGCTTGACCGGTTTTCAACAGGGAGTCCATCTGACAACTGCTGCCTTATAGCCAAACATATATCTCAGTAGCCCAACTAGTGCTCGTTAATGAGAAGTATGTCCTGTATTATAACCATGTAAACAAGAGCAAATGATCTGACGTGCAGGATTCTGAAGTTCAGATCCAAGCAACGGTTGATCTCCAGGAGGGTATTTTTGAGTCGCTCTTGGAATTGTCATAGGCCTACGCTCTTGCCGTTATTACCAAATGGTAACACAGTTACGAAGGGTGTTTATACATGCTACCTTGGTCAGCTGCCGGCAGCGGGCAAAAAGAAAACCGCCGTTTGGGATACCCGGACGACGCGGAAAGCCATGCGCCACAAAGATGTTAGTAAAAAGTTTCTAAACATTTCGAATGGGATCCACTTCCCCGACAGTTTTACAGCTTGAGCATCGCCGACTGTAACAGACATCAGTTCCATAAACTGGCGCACTGTCTTCAGGACAGAAACTTTAATACATTATAACATCCAAAAAGTGACTCCAAAAAAAGATTTTAAGCCTAACTCCTTTGATGTGCCTGCTGAAGACGTCGCTCAGCATTGGTATTGTAGGGACTATGTGACAGTTACTAAGCATGGATATAGCAGTTATTGTTTGTCAACCGCGAAAAAGTTTTGGCACAAAGAAGAAATCGTAAAAAATTTCAAAAACTTATTAGCCAACCTAATATATGTAGAGTGAAAAAAGTTGCTTGAGAAAGATCGTCATAAAACCATAAAAAACTGCAGTTTTGTAAGTAGTATTACTTCTTATAGAACGGGAAATTTCGCATGTTTTGTTCAAATTTAAAAAAAAATTTTAAACACGCATTCAGCATTGGCTTCATAACGATTCCTGGAGGGTTTACAGCCTGGATATATAAGGGCCTCTTTCGACGAAAGAGTACGCAAAATATAGAGAGCGGTCAGACAGAAAAACGGAATACTTTGCCAATTTCGGGCAGAAAAAAATTATTTCTTTGGCAGTAAAATTTATCAGCAAAAAACAGCGCTTTGCATACCAAAGTTGAAACGAAATTCGCTGGCTACGAAATTCTCTGTTAATCCGAAAATCGCAAAAAAAATTCTGCCAAATTTTATCAAAATGTGAATGTTGCACTTTGTCCTCCTCCCTTGTAAAATCCTTTCCTTGAACTTACATCAATCTCCTGCCCAAGGCCTTGATAGATCGCAATAAACGGCCGGATGCATTGAATCACATTGTTAACCAGCACACAGAACAGTATATTCCAAAGAATGGTCCGGAAATTTATGTGGAACACATCGTACTTCCTCAGGAGGTGTATCAGAAGAGCACAGAGTAAGGTGGCAATCACAGAGAGGAGGATTAGCAGAAAGTAGAGAAGGTAGAGCCGAAAACTTAACTCCATCTCTTCCATGTCGGCTGAAATGGATTTGGAGTTTAGTAACGATAAAAAACAGTCGATTACTTGATGATAAATAGTACGTCACAACAGGGAACTGGTGGGAAAATGAGCATGTTATGGGGTAAATAATCTTGTTTTTCTATCCAATGCATAGCCAATGGCTGTATAAGGATGCCCTGTTAATACAATTTTACTATGTCATTAAGACCAGGATATCATATACCTTCGCCCTAGAATGACTTTTGAAACGCTCTCTGATAAATAAGTACATAATTACCATGGCCATGGTATTCGAAACAAACAATTATATGGCTCGAAAAATAAAAAAAAAATTTATATAGCACTTTTTAGGCGTCGTCTATGACTTAACTGTCTGAAAAGAATATCAGACCTTCTCTAAAGTAAATTCTAAACTATTTATTGAGAATATGCCAGTAAATATTTCAAGCACATAAGCACTCCCAAATTATACACTCTAATTTCTCCTGGAGGAGGATAAATAGGGCTCAAAACCCCTCGTTAATACACCTATAATTTACTTGTTTATCTTTTTCAGGCTGAGCAACTTCTTTAAAAATTCGAGTAAGGCCAGATCAACCGCTTCAAACAATTTGAACTAACTGACATTCTGCCCAATCATAGCAGTCAAATTTCAGCCTTGGGCCACATTCCCGGCCCCAACCCGGCAATTAACTCCTTTCATTTTAATCCGAGAGCAATAAAAACGCGAAGGTAAACCCGTAATTTATACTGGCCCTGTAATGGATGCCAGAATAATTTCCCTCTCGCCTGAGGGCGCGCCGAAAAAGGGAGTCGGGCCGGCCTCACAGTCCAGTCGTCATGCCAACCTCCTCGACTTGGGCCTGTTTTTTGGGGCCACCGAATTCTGCGCCCTCCTCATTCGGAGAGCCATTTCCGCCGTCTGCCGCAAATTTTAATGGTCCTTCAGAGAGTTGCTTCTTTTGTTTCTCCCAATTATAAGATTACTAAAGATGCCGTTTTATTCGGCTCCTTCAAGATTCCCAGATCTTGAGAATTGTAATTTTGAAGTCTGCTCTTAATACGGTAGATTAGCCGAGAAGATGCCGACATTCTCAACATTCTTACCTCAATCTTGTTGTTGAGATCCGGACGTCTGAAAATGATGTTACGTAATGAAGATGGAAGGTGTGTAAATAACGGAGAAATATGACTTTTGAAACAGAAGACAATGCAAACATGTGAGGAAGAGAAGGTTGTTTTGAATTACACTTTTTTTTTGGATTTTGTATTGGAAGTTTCCACAGTATTCCACGGTAAAAATAGCCTACAGCTTTTACTGTTGTTTACAATCGGATTGTAAAATAAATGGGCAAGGTGTGACGCCTAAATTTTAATGGAATATGGCACAAATTTAGCTCACGCTACTCTAACAGTAAGACATAAATGTATGCGAGATCGCGATTTACAGAAACAAGCGGTTATTAGGTCGAAAGTCAACAAAAATTTGATTCTTAAAAAAAAATCAAAAAGTTGTTATGAAAAGTTTCAGTCCCACTTCTACGGAAAGTGTTCCAGAAACGACGATCAAATTTCTATGGAACCAAGCAAAAATTTAGATTAATTTTGTCGAAGGTATATGGCAGATTACCAGCTCGCGCTTTGCAGAAGAAACTGATGATAGGATCTTCATTCCGAAGTTTGACAAAAATTATTGTGAGGTTAAGATTGGTCAATTTCAGCTTTGAGAAGTCAACGTTATAACAAAAATGTATATTTATTTGGCGGATTTTTGACCGAAAATGTTTTTTTCTCAGCCCACTCTCTTTATTTCCCTTCATGTCTCGTCGGAAAATGTTGTTGAATGTCTCGGCTGCCACTAAACGTGAGCAAAGGTTTTCCGCAATTTGTATGGGAAAATCTGAGCGATGCACTGACATGTGAGGGTACTTCCGTTGTGAATTTTCTGTCAACAAATCTGCTTGCATTATGATGATGCGCTAGTAAATATAACTTATGTCTTCTAGACATAAGTTCTATTTCTCCTAATAAGATCGAAATTTCACATGATATCTCGCTTACTCACACAAATATGCATCATCATCAGTGGCTGACTTAATCAAAAAAGAAAATTCAAAAGTTTTCTCTTATAAAATGTCCTTCAAAGATCTCAAATACCTGAAATATGATTGGAAAGGGATTGTTGGGATCCTGATGTTTGTTGGGATGGTTACATTCCTCATATGCTCTCAGAGGACGGACAGGAATTCGCATGCGTCTCCTGCAATTGACTTGAACAAGGCATCGATCAACGGCTCAGAAGCTAATGTTGGCTTTTGGAGCAGGTTATTCAATGTTTTACATTTGGGAGGATACAGTAATTTTTGAAGTTTTTTTATTTCTTCAATAAAGCTGATAACTTTTGATTGCGGTATGTTTTTTACGAGGTACGTGCTCGAAGTGAAACGTTCGGATTTTGATAGACAATACTGTAACATTTTTGTGGATTTTGGCGTAAAAAGTGTGATATTTAATTTTTATACCATAGAGGGTAATTTTTCCACCAATAAACATTTGTTTCAACGCGAAACCGGCAAAGATACGGCCAAAAAAGTTTTTCTCCGATCGCACTCCGCATTTCGCGTACTCTCTTGTCGACAAAATTTGTTGAATAAAAATAAAAAATTTATATCGGCTGTATCTGCAAGAACTGAGCCAAAATTCAAGGAATTGATTTGTAATCAGCCCCCAACTGGCGTTGAAAATTTAACAAAAACCTGAACGTTGCACTCTGAGCACATCTCCATTAGAAGTCGAATATTTGATCTCCCAAAAAGTTTGATCCGTCGAAACAAAACATCTGGTCGATTAGAGCCACTTTGTCGTTAATCTTGAACCACAATACACGCCTTCTTTTTTGTCATTGACCCATGACTTTGAGCGATCAGAGGGTTGGCCTTTCCCCCCACGACCTTCAAGGTCCTTTCGCTGTTGTCCCGAAGGCCTTTGTTTATTTTTACCGTGGCCTGGTTCTTGTCCATTCGGGTCTTTACCGATTATTTTCATGCGACCGGCTTGTGTTTTGTTCTTCTCGGTTATTTTGGTAAGTATCTTGTGATAATGCGATTATTCTGCTGTAATCAATACCTAATCTTATTAATCATGTTGTTTAATCATGTTTAGTTAGCTGCAAATGGAAAGATCAATGATGGCAAGAAGGAATTTTGTACTGGATGTCAAAAAGTTTTGGATAACTCCTTTGTCAATTACCAATCGATGACCAGTAGAAGAGTTTTGAGGCATAAACTGAAGCATTTGTGCAAACGATACTTCGAGGTGGGCCTTTACACATTCCCGTCGTTTTTCTTATGCTTTACAAAGAAAGTAGTCAAATTTTTATTTATTTTGATCACACTTGAGGAAATTCAAATCAAGATTTAAGAAGGGTGCGTTATATTATTCCAAAAAGTTTCAAACTTACTTCATTTTTAGCCTACATGAAATTTTTGTTTTTTTTTAATCTAGGCAAAAAAAAAATAATTTTTTTTTGGCATAGGTGGTTTTTTTTCATGTGGGCAAAAAAAAAATAATTTTTTTTGGCATAGGTGGTTTTTTTTCATGTGGGCGAAATTTTTTTTTTTTTTTTTGCATAGGTGGTTTTTTTTTCATACGTCAGTCTGTCGGGAAAGCAACGGCGGATCGTCGCGCCTCGGAATCGCCCATCATCACTTTGCGACGGCGAAGTTTGTGATCTCAGAAATTGGAAAGATGAAGAAATGGAAGTAGGCTAAAACCGAGATTTTGGCCTAGTTCATGCAGTCGGTGAAGATGTAGGCCAAACCGAGATTTTGGGTTTTGGCCTAGTTGATTAAATCGAAGTTGATTAAATCGAACTAGGCCAAAACCATGATTTTCGCCTACTTCCTACCCGCTTGGATGAACTAAGCCAAATCCACGTTTCCGCCCAGATCATAGAAAATCCTAAAACAGGTGGAGTTATATATCCAAAAATTCGCAAAATTTTTCTGATTCAGAATATGTAAAAATTTGTTGCCTAATTTAGGTTTGAAAGGGTGAAAAATTCCTCAAACCTTTTCTCGCAACACCATGAAAATCCCTTTTTGACCAAGTTTTTACCAATAAGAAAATAAAAATTCAATGGATAAATGTGTCTTGCCCACAGCAATTTCGCGTCACGGCACGAAAATAATTTTTTGGCATTCTGTTCAAGAGGCGTCCTTTTACCAAATCAAATGCTTGAAAAAACATTGCGAAATCAACAACTTGTTTACCAATAGGACGCCTCTTGAACAGAATGCCAAATAATTATTTTCGTGCCGTGACGCGAAATTGCTGTGGGCAAGACACATTTATCCATTGAATTTTTATTTTCTTATTGCACAGGGAACTCGGATTTACTTATATGTACGCCTTTTTTACTTATATGAAATTGAAGTTTATATAAGTAAATAAACGTACATATAAGTAAATAATCGTACATATAAGTAATTCTGAAATTACTTATATGTAAACTTTATTTTCGGCGCGCTCCGAATTTACTTATATTTACAAATAAGGATATTTTACTTATATTTACCAATAAGGATATTTTACTTATTTGTAACCCAGAATTACGCACAGTGCAGATTATATTATAAACGTTTATTTCGATTCTCAAAAGCGACAAATACAAGTCGGTAACGCATCTTGTGTGCTCCGGATAGGTTTCTCAGCTGTTGTTGTCCTCATGAGGCATCAATTGCTTATTTTCGGGATCTTCTATGGCGATTTCTGCGTCTGGATTCACTGAAAATAGCAAAAATAAAGAAGATAAGGTCGTTTGACGATATTTACTATAAGCCCTTCTCAATTGTTTGTGCTTCTGCACCCCGAAAAAATTAGTTTTAGGTTCACCAAGTTTGCCAATGAAATTTCGAGACACCAAGTTTGTCATGTTGCACTAGGTCCAGGTGAATATTCTCAACATACCTGAATCAACCGAGTGCCATTTTTCCGGGATCGTGTGTACATTGTCCATTTACTACCCTCCACGGCCAATTTTTCGATAATCTGAAACCTAGAGGCTTCACCTGGACCTAGTACAACATAGCAAAACTATGTCTGGAAAAATCTTTGGTTTTATGAAATGTGAAAACATTTAAAAAACACCTACCATTTGAGCACACAGTTGTTCATCCAAATTCTTTCCTCATAGTGCTTGTTCATAGATTTTTGCGAACTGCGTGAAGTTTGACGTTGACATGCTCCATGCTCGGGAATGTTCTCGCGTTCGCAACTTTTGATCCGAGCACTCTGTTACTCTGTAAAAGAAAAAAAACTGACTACAAACAACTTACTTTATTCGATCCAAGGTTGAGATACGTTCTTTGACGCTCCAAAAACTTAGAATTTTTCCAAGTCCGGCCAACGCGTGCAGAAACCAAAAAGCGTCTTTGACGCTCAAAAGTTTTCTTTTCGAGGCTCATAAATGTACATATAAAGCGGGAGATAAAAGATTCTCTGAAAAATTTTTGAAATTTTTCTGTTTTTACTTTTTTTTTAAAAAAAAAGTAAATTTTGAAAAATTTCCGGAAATTTTCGATTTCGGAGAGTCAAAAAACATTCTTACTCCGAACGACAAATTTTTGGAAAGTTGGATCAAAAATGGCTCGCCAAAAGGTCGATCCGCAAAGTTGAAACAAAAATGGCTCGCCCATTTTGGCTGGTGAGTAGGATGCCGTTTTTACTCACCCGCACGCCAATTTATTTTCTTCAAAACTATTTTTGCGAGCTGCGCCCGGGAATTCCAGATGTGTCAAATTTCTCTCTCCCGGAAGAAACGTTTTGATTTTTTTGAAGTTGTGAACCTATTTTCTCCACGAAGATGGGCTGAAAAGTGATCAAGTAAGTTAGCATTAGCAAGAGGAGATGTACCTTTTTCATTTGACACCAAAAATTTTCCTTTTATTTCAGAGAAAGGTACAAATTTTTTCCAATTCGTAAAGCTTCATGACCATGGATAATGTAAGTGCGCTTATCGCGTTTTTTGTTCCGTTATTGGAGTTAACAGTTCTAGGCTGGCGAGTTCTAGAGGACACCTCACTTTAGTTTTGTTATATACTCTATCTATCAAACGCCACCAATTTCGATTTCTAGGTGTCATGTACAATATCGAAATCCGCTCAGATCTGCCGGATTTTTGCCACGAATGCGTTCTAAACTGAGGTAATAACGTAATAAGGCTCAAATAACGTTGTTACAATAACTTGAAGATAGTTTGCATAGGTTTTACTTTAGTATAACATACTTTTGGAAAGTTAGTATAGTATTTGAAACTTTTACGTCGTTATTCCTCAAAATTTATGGGGTTTCATACATGGAGAATATACATGAGAGTGGGGTCTCCTCTAAACGTTTCCCGACTTAGAATCTTGACGTCGTAGCAAAAAAGGAGATAATCTCACTTACATTATCCATGGTCATGAAGCTTTACGAATTGGAAAAATTTTGTACCTTTCTCTGAAATAAAATGGAAATTTTTGATGTCAAATGAAAAACGTACATCTCCTCTCGCCAATGCTAACTTACTTGATCACTTTCCAGCCCATCTTCGTGGAGAACATAGCTTCACAACGTCGCACAAACGTAAAAATAATTTTTTCGGAAGAGAAAAACTTGACACATCAGGGAAAGACTTGGCATCAACCTTGCAACCTGCAGTGCGGGGCCAAAAAGAGGAATAAAGTAAAAACAAGCTCTGACTTTCGGCGACTCCGAGCGGGGAGTAAGATCCGTTCCTACTCCCGACCTTGAAGTCGGAAAGCCAGAAACAAAATTGACTTTCTTTTGCATTTTCCTTGAAGTAAACTGAAAATTTACTTTTTTTTAAAAAAAAAAGTAAAAACAGAAAAATTTCAAAAATTTTTCAGAAAATCTTTTATCTCCCGCTTTATATAAAAGAGCGAAGGAATAAGAATTTTTTCTCGAGCTCGAGAATGGTTGCTGGATTCGCTACCAATTTCAAAAAGTAGCGAAATGATCGATTTGCGACGTGGTCTCGGTAGCGAATCCTTCTTTTCGCGACCTCCGAAAAAAGTCGGTCGCGAATCGGCGTTTTCGCTACCTCCGCGAGAGAGGAGGTAGCAAAACGGCGTTTTTGCGACGGCGCGGAATTGGGAGGTAGCAAATCCGCGGATTTGCGACGTCCCAAATACATATAAACTCCGCCCCCTGAGTTTTGCAGCCAACCACCGCGTTTTGGCCTTTTTTGACAAAAAAATACCATTTATGGTGAAAAATTTTGCTTGTAAATCGTACATTTACGAAATTATGAAAGAAAAAGTCTTCTTCGTTAAAATATTTATTAATAAAAGACGTACATTTTCGTATAAATATGCGTTTTTTACAACATTGTCCAAGCATTGCCAGAGAGTCGATGGATGGAACTGAAGAACATGTTTTGCCAGATATGGCCGAAGTCGAGGGATGGATCATGGCCGCCAAATTACCTTCCTGGAAATCAAAAGCAATGTAAAATTTCCTTATCATTTTCAGAAAAAAACACCTTCATTTACCTCATATTGCATGTGTCTAATCCAAGCATCGAAATGGGCATAGCTTTGAGCAAAAATATGGCCGACGGGAGTGAAATCGGAATTCCAGGTAATAATTTGTTACCTAAAAACAGAATAAGAATACTTAAATCCAATCTTACCTCCTTTAGCAACTACCACTTGGCCATTCCCTTGTTCGATTTCATTATTTCTGCCGCCTGTGTACGATTTATAAGGCTCTTGCCTAGAAAAAAATTGGAAATCTCGTCTAAAATCAAAAAATAATAAAAAAAAAACAACTTACCATGGAGTCAAAAAGCCTTTTTTGCCCGCCAATTTCGTCCCCGATGTTTATGGCGATCACCTTGAGCCGGTTTGTCTTCTAATTCAGCTTCTCTGCATCTATTTGGCCAATTTCAACAAAAGGAAACATAAGAAAACAGGAAAAAAAGAATTTATGAAGTTGCGAATGTTTTCGCGGCCCGTGAAAACGAAATGCCACGCAGTCCGAGAACGGATTTTAGGTCCAATAACAAGGATGTCCTCGGCGTTATCAATCAAATCAACCGTTTTTTAGCCATGGTAAGCTGTTTTGTTATTATTTTTTGACTTTAGACGAGATTTCCAATTTTTTTTATATTATTCATGGCAAGAGTCTTACAAACCGTTTTCAGGAGGCAGAAACAACGAAATCGGACAAGGGAAAAGCCGTGTGGTAGTTGTTAAAGGAGGTAAGATTTGATTTAAGTATTATTATTCTGTTTTTAGGTAATAAATTGTTGCCTGGAACTCGGTTTCACTCCAGTCGGCCGTATTTTTGCTCAACATTATGTCCGTTTCGATGCTTGGATTAGACACATGAACTATGAGGTAACAGAAGGCTTTTTTTCTAATCAGAAGGAAATTTATATTGATTTCGATTTCCAGAAAGATCTGTAAGCGGCCATGTTCTTCAACCCCATCCATCGACTATCCGGCCGTATTTAGACAATATTGTGGAAAACCCGCATATTTTACATGAAAACGTACGTCTTTTATTAATAAATAATATAACGATGAAGAGGGACGTTTTTATTATTCATAATTTCGTAAATGTACGATTTATCAGCCAAGTTTTTCACCCTAAACGGTGTTTTTCCGTCAAAAAAGCCAAAACGTGATGGCTGAAAAATTGAGGGGGCGGGACTTGTTTTGGGACGTCGCAAATCCATGGATTTGCTACCTGCCAATTTTGCGCCGTCGCAAAAGGGCCGATTTGCTACCTCCCAATTTTGCGCCGTCGCAAAATGGCCGATTTGCTTCCGACGTCTTTTTTGGAGGTTGCAAATTGAGGTTTCCGCTACTTTTTGAAATTGGTAGCGAATCCAGCAAACATTATCGAGCTCGAGAAAAAATTCTTATTCCTTCGCTCTTATAAGTAAAAATAAACGAGCTCCGCCGTTTTTTACATATAAGTACCGCTATTTGTAAATATAAGTAAATAAACGTAAATATAAGTAAAAATAAATAAGCCCCGCCTTTTTTAACTTATATGTAAGTTATTGGTAAATATAAGTAAAAAATTTTACTTATAAGTAAATCCGAGTCCCCTGTGTGGTAAAAACTTGGTCAAAAAGGGATTTTCATGGTGTTGCGAGAAAAGCTTTGAGGAATTTTTCACCCTTACAAACCAAGATTAGGCAGCTAATTTTTACATATTCTGAATCAGAAAAATTTTGCGAATTTTTTGATATATAACTCCACCTGTTTTACGATTTTCTATGATCTGGGCGGAAACGTGGATTTGGCTTAGTTCATCCAAGCGGGCAGGAAGTAGGCGAAAATCATGGTTTTGGCCTAGTTCGATTTAATCAACTTCGATTTAATCAACTAGGCCAAAACCCAAAATCTCGGTTTGGCCTACATCTTCACCGACTGCATGAACTAGGCCAAAATCATGGTTTTGGCCTAGTTCGATTCAATCAACTTCGATTTAATCAACTAGGCGAAAACCCAAAATCTCGGCTTTGGCCTACATCTTCACCGACTGCATGAACTAGGCCAAAATCTCGGTTTTAGCCTACTTCCATTTCCTCATCTTTCCAATTTCTGAGATCACAAACTTCGCCGTCGCAAAGCGATGATGGGCGATTCCGAGGCGCGACGATCCGCCGTTATTTTCCCGACAGACTGATATGCCAAAAAAAAAAAAAAAAAAATCGCCCACATGAAAAGAAGCCACCTATGCCAAAAAAAAAATTTTTTTTTTCGCCCACATGAAAAAAAACCACCTATGCCAAAAAAAAAATAATTTTTTTTTGGCCCACATGAAATTTTTTCACCTAGGCAGACCAGATTTTGAAGTAGGCCACAAAATTTCATGTAGGCTAAAAATGAAGTAAGTTTGAAACTTTTTGGAATAATATAACGCACCCTTCTTATTTCCTGTTTGTTCAAAACCTTCGAGATTTTTAAGCCAACGAATTTCGTTATGTTTGGTACAAAAAAATTACAAAAAAATTTACGAAAATACGGCCAAAACAAATCCATAAAACCAACTTGTATTTTTTCACAGCTCCCCGTTTGTGATGACTATATACGTAGTTACCGGATTGTAATACCATAAAACCGGCACAAAGTGAAAACCGATTATGTTAGTGTCACTTCAACCTTCTTCCTACAGTGAGGGACCTGATCCAGTGGCAAAAAACGTACCATTTTGCATCCAGGAGGTATCAAAAATGTGGTAAAATGCTTCCCTGTTCAAGTGAAAAAACTTCGTTTTGAAGTTTCCTTTCCCTCACAAAAAGAGTGGGCCCGCTTTTGAAACCGGGTTTTTTTTTCACTTGGAGAGGGAGGCATTTTGCCACATTTTTGATACTTCCCGGATGCAAAATGGTACGTTTTTTTGCCACTGGATCAGGTCCCTCACTGTATGAGAATTTACTTGAGTCACATTCTTCAAATTGTAATTTCAGTATCGTCGCCGCTGTTTATCCATTCTGCCGCCCAATTTCCACGTAATCGCCGATCACATGGATTCAGCGATATCACTGGGGATTTACAAGCCGCTGGATACATGTACAAATCTAAAAGAATGCAGTCATGGGGCAAAACAAATCACAATCCCGAAATACTTTTAATTTATTCCGAGTATTCGCTTTACGGGTCACAAGAATATAATTCTCAGCATTTCTTCCCAATCTTCGCCAATCTCTTGTCGATTTCGCTCTTGGTGTGGAGAGGGGGCGGTTGACGGTTCTCCTTGGCTGGAGGCTCGGAAAAGAGCTGAAAATAAAGTCTATCTTTGAGTTACAGTCCCCTTACCATCTCTCGGCGACTTCTGACTTCGTTCAAAAGACCTTCTTCGGCCAGGCCGGCATCAACCAGTGGATCCTCATCAACCTGACAATAGAATTTATGCAATGAAGAAGGTAAGAAAACGTATGTTACCAGCAAAAAATTAATTATAATACTAACTTACATCCTCGAAAATACTAAAGTCCTCAGAGTCACTGCTGGTATCCTCAGTACATCCGCCGGTAAATTCGACAGTTCTGATGGGAACCGGCGTCTGTTTTGTGGTGATCCGCACCTTCAATGCCAATTTATTCCTATTCTGTTTGCTGAGAATTGAGGAAAATGCATCTTCAATTAGCTAAAATACAAAATAAATCATTGGAAATAATTTTAAAAATAATGTCGAATTCTCAGCCCACCCCACAAAGAAGTTCGGCGCTGTCATCCATGTTCTCCACCTTGAACTTCTTGGAATTTTTTTCTTTTCTTCTTCTGCGATTGATTACCCTGAGAGCAGTTTCTCCAATCTCCTCGACTCTTGGCTTCCTCTTCTCCAAAATGTTGACCACTTTCGCCGTAGTTCCAACATCTCGGTGATCTTGTTGAGTCTGAAAATAAAGGGTCAATTACAATCTATGTATATCATCCTAGACTTTGATTTCTGCCCAAAAATTTAGAAAAAAGTCAAATCTTCGACCTCATTCGGCTTTAAATCTTCACATGTTTGCCTAACGTGGGCTAAAAATTTTGCAATCTTGCCTGTTTTACAACAAAATCGAACAAAACAGATTCCGCCAGAATCTAAATCTTTCTCAAGACCCTACACTACCGTAATCCAGCATTTTTGTTTATCGATTACCGTAATTTCTGCTGCAGTTTGATCCCTGAAAATGGCACAAAGGAGCGCTTTCCTTCAGCCGGAGATATTGCCATTTCGAAAACGCTAAGCCAATTAGAGCCGGCGGATTAATTAGTCACCCGTTTTTAGAGCCGGTCAAGTCTGGTTGTACTTTAGAAAGCGGGCTTTATTTAACCCCGGATTAGTCTAGACCTCACGTAGGGTATAGATAGAGTCAGCAGCCGTAATTCATCATGTTTTTTGGTCCTTTAAAGATCACCGCAAGTGCGACAGTCAAACAATAACGACTACAAAAGTATAACCAGAAGGAAAATTAAGGGGATTACTGTAATCTGAACGTAAAATAGATCCCGCAGACCGTTTCCGGCAAATTCCTAGCTAATTACTTCCAGGGATAATCAAAATGGGCACCGATTACATTCTTGCAGTATATCTTACAGAATTTTTGTAGTTTTTCATTATTATGAAGAGATCTTTAGATTTGTGGGCGCTAAAGGAAGCTAGAGAAAGCTCAAAGATAGGGTTTGGCGATAACTGGAAATTACACCAACTCAATTTTTCTGGGGAAATACACTTCGATTTTGGTGAAACTTGGCAAAATTTGGGGTGAAATCTGGTTGGAAACACTTTTACAAAGGTCTTACAGTCAAAATACTATATAAAATTCGCAGATTTTTTTCACGAAAAATTGCGAAAATTACCAAAAGTTCGGCCGAAAAATTTTAAGCCAATTTTCGAGTATTTTTCTAGTAGATAATCTCTACAGTATCTCAGCACCTTCCACAGCTCCAACACAAACCTTAACGGCGTTTGCGATCTTTTCCTCGGTCAGTCGATTCCGCGCCACCGACCCGTAGGAGATGGTCCCCGAGCTCATGGAGAAGGTCTCCAGCACATCGCAATCATAGTAGTGGACATCATTCTTATCGGTGAGGGTAATTCGAGGCATTTCGGTCATCTCCGGCCGGTGTCTGATACGAGAAGTTTCAGAAATGATGTTTTGAACGCGAACTTTCAAAAATAAAAAAAAATTTTGAAAAATATTTTTAAAATGTTTATTTTTGTACAAAATATTTGTAAAAAATACAACAATTGAAAATAGACCTAACTCAGGTATTTGGGGGAGACAATTTACACAAAAAACAAAGACTAATTTGCGGAACTTTTGCAGTTTCACGTGCAACTGATGTTCCGCAACAAAGACATGGTCACTAGGCTTGCTTCTAGGCTTAATTACGGTCTGTATATTATACATTTATTGTTGAAATAATTGCCAAAAATTCTAGGGATATGTTAGGGTGCGAAGACGACGATCCTTGCAACACTCGCTGCAACGACCGCCGCAAGAAGAACAGTGCTCACCGGCAACTAAACAGAGAAAAACACTGGCGATAATATTACAATTACAGGGTTAATTACAATTAGGAAGCACTGGTATTAGTAGTGGGAACAAAAGACTCTAAATTAAATACTATTGGAGGGAGAGGGGCGCTTTGGTGAAATCTGCATAAAACTGGACTTGAAAGACTGTTTGAAATCAGGAATTAGCATCATTGAGGGGTGCGAACTAACATCGTATGTATATATTGTAGAAGACACTAGTTATTTAGAACGAAAATGACAAAAGAATGTCATCAAGGCGGCAAGGAAGTTCACAGATGACAAAAATCCATACAAATGATACACAATGCCACCATGATGACAAAATGTGGCATATACGACATAAATATCATCGAGATGACAAATAATGTCATACATGAAAAAATGTCACACTTCTGACAAAAAATGTCATCGAAAAGAAGGCTGCCAAAATACAGGATTAACAATCTTTCTAATGCCCATTTTCCTCCTGCTTGATCGCATCCTCATCCTTCAGCGCTTGATAAAACGTATTGTTGAACACATTCATCACGTCCATGTTCAACAACACCGGCATCACCGCATCGAACGGCATGTTCCCAATGACTCCGCTGAAGAAAACGTCCACCAAAAGCTGGGGGTCCAGCCATCGAAGCCAGGGCAGGATCTGCATCAGCTGGGAATGCCGCTCCAAGCTGGCGTGCAGAACGGGCACCAACGTGTTCACACTGTTGCCCAGCAGCTGACTCAGATTCGAATGCATCGTGGTGGTGGTGGCGGCAGAGGACCCATTGTCCGACTGACTGTCATCATGAACCGCCAACTGACCCAGCAGATGGTCGAAGAGTTCTTGGCAAGCTTGGGCGTTCAACTGCTTCCCGAAATGACTTCCCTCGTACGAATCGATGGGCGGCAAATCGTTGGCCGTGAAGGCGATCGTCTTCATGTACGCAAACTCAACGTCCGACAACTTCAACGAGTTGATGCGTTGAGCCAGCGTCGTGATGTACTGGATCTGTTTTATACACGAGGCCGACTTTTCGGAGAGCCCTGAAAAAACGAATTTCAACGACATTTTTGAATAATGGAAGAAATTTTGGATATTGCTTACCATCTCGATTCAATTTCGTCATTATGTTCACAGAAATGGCGGTGAGCATCCGCTGGAGGTCAAATTTGGTGGATTGTTGGACTAGGCCCAGCAGGAAAACATCAAACCACTTGGCTTTCATTGTGTTCTCGAGATACGACGGTCTGAAAAAATGATGACTATATTATTTTAGAGGTGTCTCAAGGTAAAAATCCCGCCTTTTTTCTTGCAAATATTAATTTTCAGAGACATTTTGTAACTAATATATCAAAAAAATATCTCAAGGATAAGCCTACTGTAAAACCAAACCTACTTGAAGCTGAAAGCCTTGACATTTTTAATCCAATGCACGCTGAGGAACAACAACCGTGACGCGGTCTCGCTCACATTGTTGGCGTCATATTCGGAAGGAAATGGATGATGTTCAGGCATTTCGAATTTGGTGAGTTCGGCCGTAAGCAGCGGCGCCCGGTTTAATTGGCCAATGGGATTCTGCTCATCCGAAACCGAGGACCCTTCGCCCGACGAGGTCGGGGACGCCGAGGCCGTCAGATTCGACTCAATGGCGGATTCATCGTCCATGGGTTCGGTCTTGAATTGCTCTTGGGGACTGGTCGATTCTCGATGAAGAGGGCTCAAGCCGCAGACGTCGAGGAGGGCGTTGCCTTCGGAATACTTTCGTTCGGTCTTGATTTCAGTGTTGTGATTCTGCATCATGGCCAACAGACCTTGCATGTAGGTGCTGGAGTTGATTGGCGACTGAAATTTAAACAGTAAGCCAGAAATTATATTATCCATGACAATAGTCATCAAAAACTTTTTTTTTTGATTTTTTGATCTCAAAATTTTTTCCAGTAGTCAAAAATTAATTTAAATTCCCCCACAACATCTATTTCTTTGTATACAGCAGGCTCGCACTTACATTTGTCCTATCCAAGAGCCCATTGGAGACATTAAAGGAGTTGGTGTTTACAGTTGGCGCACTCGACGTGGACGCCGCCATGGTTGGTGGATTTGGGACTCGGTTTTCAGCCGGATTAAAGGCATTGTTGTTGGTCTGATTCCCGTTATTCATTGGCCGCCGCTCCGCTTGGACGGCTGAAAAACAAAAAATAAAAAATAACCGATACTCCTCCACCTCGGTTATACTACAGTACGCTCGGAAAACAGTCCGCTAATTTACTTGACCTCATTAGAAAAACTGTTTACAAAAGAAAACAGAAATATGTATGAAATCGAGAAATTTTGAAAGTATACACTCATCTTAGAGTAGTATTAAAATTAATATGGTAATATCTCAATATTCACGTTGTTCAGGGCTCCAAATATCACTTACATTCACTTTTCATTCCCATGGACAAACATTTCTTCAGTCGGCAGAACTGACACCGATTTCGATGATATTTAGTAATGGGGCAATTCTTGGCACCACTACATCGATATCCGATTTGTTTTCGGATCGATCGCTTGAAAAATCCCTTGCAGCCCTCGCAAGAAATGGCACCTGAAAAATGGGTGTTTACGATGACGTGATAACAACAAAAAGACTGGTTGAGAAGGCAAAAATAAGGCAAGAATAAACAGCAACGCGTACCGTAGTGCCGGCCAGAAGCCTTGTCGCCGCAGACGACGCACAACTCCGTGCAGGGATTCTGATTCCCATTGTCGGAACGAGGGGGCGTTGGACGATGACCGGCGTTGGCATTCGCGCCTGCATCAAGGCTGGGCGGTAGCATAAACTAAAACATTTTAATCGTAAAAAACAGGGACTGGGATAAAAAAACAAATGAAAATTATACGATTTCCGAGTTGTTCCAAGAATTATCAGCATTAAAAACGAGCGCCGAACCCAAATAGTAAATATCAAAAAATTCCCCGCCCACTTTGAAGTTTCGTCCCAGCGAAGTGTCACAATTTGCAAAAGAAATAAATAGTTCCGAGAAAGCATTGTCCGAGCAAAACACCTCACGAAAAATTGTTTTGTGACATTTTCATTTCAATCGATACATCGATTTAAGCTAGGAAACACTTTGGCGAGGAAAGTAAATACTCGCCGCGAAACAAGTTGTAATGCCCCGCGACCCCGAGGCCTCGTGTGTAATATCAAGTGTAATATCCATCGTTTCGAAGCCAATGTTTTCCCATGGCCGCCGCTATTAAAAATCTGACCCCGGCGGACAAGGCGGACCTCGATTGGGAGCAGGAAAAACTAACTAATGAGATGTGTGAATACCACCGCACACACCCCTTACACTTTTATGTAAGTGTAAAGACATATACAATTTGTGGTGCCTTGGCGACCGCGGAGGTATTTAAGACGAGAAAGGGGGGGGGGCAGAGAATTAGAGGGTCGAGGGGGGAAAACAAATGAAGGCAAGAGGGAAGTAGAGGATGGTAAAGGTCAAAAGCAAGTTGCGTGGTCGCTGGAACAACAGCCTTGAGGATATTCATGTGCGAAGATACGCTGAGGATACGGTAGGAGATAACCGCGGCAGAAGAAATGCGGATATGTCAAGGAAGGTGAGGATATTTTGGCTCATGGGGATTATTTTAATCTCCGTATTAGGAAGCCGTCTTTTAGCACATGGCTCTTCCACTTCTGTAACGCCTAAGGATCCTTGATTTACTGTAGCGGTGGGGCTGTTATCATTTGCAAAAGGCGAGCGCAGCATTACGCACCAAAATAGCTCTAATTATACAGTATAGGCCAGCATGAATTAAATTTTGGTTTCCTACAGTATTTATCTTGACGTTTAGTATCAGAAACACCCTTATGTTTTTTAACCGAAGACTAGAATAAAATCTAGGGCACCCCGAAATATATCATGGACCTCCAGCCAAGTAATGACCCTCAAAACTCGACCTCCCATCAAGAATTCTCGGCCAAATCAAGCCTGACGAAATGACGCCTAAACACGAGATTTGGACTCGACCTTTGCCGCTGGGATCTCTAATTTATCCCTCGGCTTCATGCCATTTTAATAGTAAAAAAATAAATTTTTGGGACCGAGATTAAAGCGAAAAAGTGGTGGAAGCTTGCGCGCTTCCCCTTGGCCTCCTCTTCTTTTTGCACCCATTAATAGGCCCTGAGGCAGGAAAGCAAAATCTCGGAACAAGCGAACCTCGCAAGGCTATCAGGTTTGTAAAATGTAAGTGTTATAAAGTACCCCCGAGGTCAAGGAGTTTGGCAGAAATTATCAATAAATGTAGAGGTAAGGTATGGCCCTTGAAGGTCGTACTTGTTCACGCTACAAAACGATTCTGCTGAAACAGAGGATACTACAACAGGCCTAATCCTAATGTGTTTACAAGTGGACAATCTCCCACGTGTTTCGGCAAAGATACAAGTACTGCTAACAAGACTTCGAAAGAGCATTACGAGCTTTTGGAAAGGTCAAAAAAGCGTCATAACGCGAGTTATTAATTTATTCCCCATAAATGAGTAGGTACCCGCGCATTTTCCCTCCGAAAGTCCCTTTTTCCAGAAATTCGAAGTGGCGATTTTTTGGTCAAAAGATGTTTGGAAGAGCCGCTAGTGAAGAAGAAGACGGCAGCCGAAAGGGACGCCGGACTGGAACGGACGAAGGACGCCTTGAAAACAAGGTAAGCGATGACCTCGGCCCCCCTCAACACCACTATCGCTACGGTAGGGTCAGCACAACACGAGTAATCAGAAGGTATTAATGTCAGCCCTCTCTAATCTGGAAAGCAGTAAACCAATGCCAACCAAACAGCGAGTAGAACACCCTTTAGCGGAGCAGAAATTAATTACTACCTCTGTGTTTTTGGCCGCCGACGTCAGTGCTGCGGGGCTACAAAATAATGGGGGAGAGTAATTCAATTGCGTCGATTAATACAAGGAGGGGCTCTAAACTTTTGAAAAGGAGATGTCAGCGGCCTCGAGATGGATGATATTGGAGCTCCATTCCGAATGGAGTTTCCCATGCCGCATCCCTTTAATTAACAAGTATAAACAGAGAAAAAGGTTGAAGGTTACTCGAATTGACTGTAAATGAGAGTGGGAAAAGTTGGGAAAGTTCGCTGCCCTCAGGCGCTTTAGAAAAAAAAATTCGAAAAAGCATAGTATAAATGATTTCACAACAATTCTGATGATTTTACTGTCATTTGCAAAAGGATTTCACTGCACATGACAAAACAATCCCAGAAGTCGCATCCTGGACATAACACTCGCATCTTGCAGCGCGCGTCCTTTTGGAACCACTCGGGGTTTTCCGGCGACTCATCCCTAAAGGAACCCCCCTAAAGGTCAGCCGACTTTTGCTCCCTATTAAGCGCTCTCTCGCTTTTTTCGAATTTCTTCCTTCTCGTCGGTCGCCCGGGGTCAGTGGAGGTCATCCGAAAGGTTAAAAAAAATTTTTATTCGAATTTCTCTCGGATTTCATGTTGTTTACAATGCGAAAGGGATTCAGAAATGTCGAAGATCGAAAATAACAAAATCTATTAATAAATAAAATCATCGCTAAGAATAGTTGAATTATCATCGTATTACGTGATAACAAATAATTTGGTTTCTAAAAAGACTCATATCTAGAATACATAACTTTTGTCAATTTTCAGGACCCTTTTCCTAGTAAAAACGCGGCCGTAATCATGATAATTGCCGATTAAACGCTGACTTTTGATTTCCGAACAATCGTCCAACCTCTACTCCTTTTCTAACCGAAATATTATTTCCATTCCATACTAAAGGTTAGCCAAAAAAGATTTGGCCAGCCCTTTATGGCCACTTGGCCCTGAGGGTGTCAAATTTCGCGAAGGAGTAAGTATTGGATGGTCTTGGGCCCTGACCGCGACCTAATGATATAATTGGGGGCTGGGATTAATCTTGAATCTCCCGCTAATTTCAAGTCACGTTTAGAGACGACTTAATTAGTTGCCGTTTCCTGGAGATAAAGGGAAGGAGGTGGGGTTAAATTTAGGAGGTGATCTTCTTATTTCATAAGACTTTCCGTTTGATTTTTGAAAGCTTATGGGAAAAATAATGACGACTATTGCCGAAAAGCCCAAAAAAAGTTCAAAGCGGAAATGCTTGAGGTACCACTTCTAGCATTTCTTCAAATTTTGTCTGTTTCATCAATACGGGTCAGATATCAGTTTCCGAAAAAATTGCCTCGAGCTTTATAGGGACAGCGAAGATATTTGATGGTCTTTAAAGATGGGGAAAAAAGGAAAATTGGAAAGTGGGAAGATTTAAAGTTTTGGGTATCTCTCTATGGATTTCTGCAAAAAAGGTTTTTGTAGAAGGTCATTTCAAGAAATTTCGTTTTCCGTTACAAAAACCTTGAAATAGCGATGGACTTCCGGCTTCTTTCAACTGAAAAGTCTCAACGCTATCTGCAAAGCGCAGGCAAAAAATTTTCAAATTTTTTCTAAGTATAACTATGTGTACTTATACCTAAAAAGCAAGCCCTAGCCTTACTGATTGTCCTTGACAAGATCTCCTTTTACAAATCTACTGATAACCCTTGTTTACAATCGTTTTTGGAGAGCAAAACCCACCTGATTTCCTCCTTGAAAGGACTGGAAAAGAGTGTTTAAACCGGGAGTTCCCAATCGATTATGGGCAAAGCCGGGGAGGGCACTTAATGGTCGGTTTTGAGGTGGCAGTAGAGTGTTGTTACTGATCGCCTGAAATTTCAAATTGATCAACGTCATCAGTGTCAAAGATTATATTCAAATTTGAAAGTTTATATCTTGTATATGATTATATTTCAACTACACGATGTCATTTTGCCTTCTTAAGACCAATAATTCAACAACATATCAGAACAAACAGAATTCTGGTCGACTTAAAAACACTTAAAAAATTTGGAATTTGGGCTGGTCTCTTCTCGTTTGACCTTTGACGTAGGGCTCTTTATTTTCTGTATGATCACATAGTTCAAATCAAAAGAGGTCCGGGGTCTTGGCGGTTTGATAAGTGATTTTTATGTGAAAAATAAACATCCAGATGTTGAGCTATGTACAAAGTTCGTATCAACGAATCTTTCATAGGCTATGATTTTAGTGTCAATTTTCGTATTAGGTGTAACAACCTCACAATGGAGTCCCCCGGAAGCCTATAATCCCAGTTCCAGTCCATTCCATCTCTGAGAATTTTATTACATTTCTTCCTCTACGTGTCAACCCACGCCCCTACGTTCTTCTCCGATTAACCCCTTCCGTTACGCAACCCCTGTGTCCGTATTAACGTCTCCTTATCTCTACTGTAATATCTGCCGCAAATCCGGGCCAGAGCTTTTCGCGAAAAGGTTAGCGAGTGTTATTGCATGGGATAATACGCGATAAACAAAAGTCTTCAGTCCCTGTGGTTCTACGTACCTCCCGTATCACGTATATGTATAGTATTGTGAAAATATTTGCGCTTTATCCAACACCTGATACCACCTACCTGCATGACGCTGAAAAGGGCACTTTGATTGCCAAACAAGCCCAGCTGCGTGGCCATGACGTTCGGGTTGAGGCGTTGGTGTTGTTGTTGCGCGAGGGCCTGCAGTTGGGCCTGCAGGTCGGCGAGTTGGCCGGGCTGGGGTTTTGGCAGATTTTCGGCGAAATCGCCGGCCCCAAAGTTTGGCGTGGGATAGTGCAGAGGGGTGGGGCGATGCAAGTTCTCCTGGCTGGCGAAATGCGTTGGCTCGGCTTTGATCTGAGGTGAGATTGGCGGATTGGTGGGGCTGAGTTCGGCGGACGAGTCGGCGGGCGCGGTGACGGTGTAGCCGGGCGTGGTCGGAGATCCCGACGCCGTGGTGGATGTTGAAGTCAGCACCGAGCTCGGCGACACCGGCTTGACGGCCAGCTCCGGAATCTTCGAGAACACCAGCCCGTCCAGTTCGGAAGCCTTTCGTGGAGGTGCTGAGTTCAACGGGGGAGGTGTAAAACCTGCAAAATATGTATTTAGCTCAATTTAATTAATGAAAATCGTAATATTCACGTGGAAAAATACCGCGAAAAGACAATTTTTTACATAAATGGTTTCTTCACTACACAGAAGAGCACAATATGACTTGGCGGTGTGCCATCCGTTCGCATAAACAGTCACTGACTCATCAAACATATTCACGACACACACCGAAGCCGTAAGGTCATGCCAATCGGAAAATAACGCACAGTTTTCTGGGAACGATATGCCAATAAAATGCATTATCGTAGCCTCAAGGTGACCGAAAAAGAAACTTTGGGAAAAGTTCGACCAGAAATTGAAGAGCCTTATTTTGTCGGATTTTATACAGAGGCGCAAATCTTGAAGACGCCAAGGACAGTTACGGCACTCAGATCCAAGATAATCGATGACAAAATCGCCGCGATTTCTGTCAAATGACCTGTGCCAATGGACGGTGCCATGGCTGGTAATGAGAGGGCCCACAAGGTCCCTGATCCCTTCTTGGATTCGCATCCAGAATCATCGCAACCAATGACGCATGCGAAAATCCGGTTCTCTGCCCCCACACCACATCAGAAGCCGAGGCACATACGAACGCACTTTTTTTATTATTCGTTTTTTCTTTTCTTCGCCAAGAGTTATTCCAATCAGAAGACGCGGAGAGAAGGGCGAGCCCATTTCCTCGGCCTTCGCGATGAATGGCACAATGACCTTGAATGGGAACGATCCCAACATGCCAAAAGGTTATGGACCCTGCAAAAACAACAGCCCCGAAATGAATTTGCATCCACCTTTTTTTTTGAAAAGGCAAAAGCATGAAATTGTGACGTCATTACAGGCATTACAGTATGACATCATCAGAGATTTATGCAAAATAAATTATAAAACAAAAGAGGACATTCAAGGCACTATACATGTTGTTGTAAATTCAAGAATACAGCCCCTTATTTTTTTCCAGAACTTGAAAAAAATTTGTCATCAGATGTTTTCAGACTGACCCTGGCCAAGTTGCACACAGTCTATTCATCAGGCTCCGCCTTTTTCATGGCGCTCCAGATTAAGTTTTTAATCAAAATGGTCCCTCGAATTTGGTAAAAGAGTTTCGTCAAATGCCAGATATTTTGTCATAGACTAGCCTTTGGTCTAAGCCGTACATAACAAACCTCAAATCCGTCTACATAAAAAAATACAGTAAACTTTTCTGTTTGCTTTTTACGGACCAACTCTGAACATGCAATGCAACTTAATCACTATTGTAGTGATAGTTAAAAATTCATGCCCTCAAAGCCTTGGGATTACAGTAATTTCCAATCAGCACTGCAAAGCCTGGCAATCCTCTAAGGCAAAGTGCAGAGGGACCACCGACAAAGGGCGGCGTTTTGAAGGAAGCGCAACATGGGACAAGTTGACATGGAGCCGAGAATATTCAAGATGAGTTCCGGCAATTAGAGACCCTCCGGGCAATTAGGTGGGCAGAAATACTTGTGGGGTTAATTTTAAGGTCATTAAAAGGATTCCGAAGCCGTGCAACCAACAAATGGTAAGGTTTCAGGACAAGTAAACCGTACACAACTTCCGGAATTTGCACGGCATTACGTAATAAGGACATTAGAGTTCGGAAACCGGACAACCCGAGTTCACTTCGTATCTGCAAAGTTCGCGAAATCACTCGAATCCAGAAAAGGTTTGAGACTGTCATTAACTTTTATTTTCCGCCGAATCCCCAACCTTTATCCCCGTATGGCGACTTTATGCAAAATAGCCCTGACCTAATAAAGAAACGCACCCCCATCTGCCCGCAGGCATCCAAACGAACAGTCCGATGAAAATGGTGAGATCTTTGAGAGGAGAAGATGAATGATGATAAAGTCAGTTACCGTAGACAGTTCGTATACACCTGTTGATACAGTAAAAATTTTGGGAATTTACAATGATTTTTATGGCAAGTTATGGGGTAAACAAGGTCTCTACATGCCATTGAGGCCACTAACTATTTGTTAGAGTATGGCAACATCGCTAACTTATAAAACAGGTCCCATTTGCACGGGTTTCGCGCAGATCCAAACAAAATGCCCAAATTCCCAGCCGGCATAACCTCTTGTAAACAACCCCATTTATCCTCGAACCCCCCGATTTTTTGAACTCCCGCACCTGCCGAAATTTGCATATTCGCCCCGCCGGAATTTTGCATAAAACGGCGGCGCGGTGCCCCGCGCGCGAACCTTGACGCCGCCGAAATCTTGAAATCAGCAGAAATTGCGCTGAAGAAGAGCCGTCGCCTCGTTTTTGTTGATTGCGCTCATCCCCCCTCCAGCGCTGGAACCCGTTCCGAATGTCTCTTTTCCAAAATTCTGGATCCAGTTCGATTCGTCTTCAATTTTTTTCGCTTTCGCCCAAAAGTGACCATTGCACTTTGCGACTCTTCTTTTTTTTCTGTTTGTGGTGGGCGTGGGTTCAATGCGACGAGCTCACCTGCAGAGGGCATTCAGAATCCCGCTGGCGCTTTCGAAATGTTCGGGATTCTAATTAGAAGCAAATGAAACGAGATTAAGTAATCGGCTGAGTAAAGGCGACCTATAGCTAGCTAAGTCATCAAATTTAAAGCCCAAAACCGCAATAAAATGTTGAAAAACCATGCGAAATCTAAGACCCCATAAGTAATGGGGCCCAGAATTGCAAAGTACAAGCACTATGGAGTATTATCAACATGCTGATCGCCTCTCGGACACCCCCAGCGACCTCTCATTACTCAATCCGTAAAGTCAAACAAATGTGGGTGGAAGCCGTAGGGCAAGCTTCTAAATATCGGCCCAAACATAAAAACGGCCTGGAGCAAAAAAAGACTAAAAATACGAAAAGACGGGCCAGGTGATCATCACCTTTAGGGCCGGTCATTTCATGCCCTCCGGCCATTTTTTTGAATGACATTAAACAGTTGTCGTATCAAGGTTTATTTTTTCGGCTGTCTGGGCACTCAAAAAATGATAAGAGGAGAGTAATTGGAGTAGCCATGGGATGGGTTAATAGGACTTGGAGAGAATGCCAGAGGCCAAATAGTATAACAGCGTAGGGGGTTATCAGTGGAGTGTTTTGCAAAGACGACTTGGCCATGGATTAGAGTGGACAGAATAAATTAATGTAAAGAATGTGGAGAGGGAGTGGATGGATATCTTTTCTCGAGAATCTCATCCACATGTATACATTGACTATTCTTGGAATCATCTGCAAATTCTTAACCGGCACCAATAAATCCCCGTCGAATCTGATTTAAAAATCTGAACCTACAAACTTCGGAAATAGCCAGCTGGAATTAAAAAACGAGACCGATAATGGCCCGAGGGCATCTTTCATGATAACAGCTGAGGAATGGACAACACTGAAACACGTGACGTGCCCGTTGGTCTGAGTGGCGATAGCAACTGTCTCCAGAACCCAGAAAAGACATGAGATATTTTTTTTGGCCCTTTTCCGGAGGGCGGAGTGTGGCCGAACCGCAGAGCCTATTGGTTCCAGCTTGGCCACATCCCCGTCGGCCCTTCGCTCTACCATATTCGGTCCGAAGCGTCGAGACAATAGGCCAAGAGGCCATTCGAAAAGGACGCCCCGAGGACAAAGTTTTCCGGCACAACAGGTTCGGCGTCCCGTAAACACCGCGGCTACGGTGCTTCGCGGAATCCGATTATCATGCCCGCTTTTGTGTCAACGAATTTACGACAAGATTACTGCAGGACATTGCTCCGGGATGGGGGTTTCTTCATCGCCAAATTTGGCCATCAAACGATGCTAACGAGTAAATTACAGGAAGAAGGATGGAAAAGTGGAATTCAGCTAAGATATTCATATAGCAGAAGGCACGTAGCATAAATACAAATAGCCGGATTAACCAGTGCCTGAATGCATCGAAGGAATCCCTAAGGCGTTTTGTTTTTTAATTTGCTATTTATAAACATTATCCCCGGTTATAATTTATTAGGAAGTTTTTGATTTTCGAGAGGATTTACCGGAAGACGAAAAAGATTTTGTTTGGTACTATTAAGACTGCATAAAACATCAATCTTACCCTTAAAAACTAAGGTTAAGAGTACGGGTCAAAAGAAATTTATATATACAAGTTCAAACCTCAATTGAAATGATTTGAAACAGTCTTTGAAATTTCAAAATTTTTCGAAATGACGAACTTGGACTTGAAATTAAATCTCGGGAAATATAATTCTTATGATCTCTGTATGCTCTTAACCCGATTACAAGTTTGTTGTGATGAATCTCCGATTAAGTGCTTCATAAAAAACAACCGAACCTTGGACACGACTTCCGCGTGGTGGCGGTTAATGTGTGGTGCAAAAAATATTATTTGCAATCGCTGGAAATAGTTTGCTAATCCGCGGAAGGAGCCATAAAATTTTCCCGACACTTCGCACTCGATAAACATCCTTCGTACTGTAATTTGGACCTAGCCCACTGTTTTCCGAGACCCGTCCTGTCCTCCTAATCAGTAGTACCCTCGGGGCGTTGATCGCTGTTTTTGTGATTGTCGTCTCTCTGCTGCTCGTGTGCTCTTCCCTCCGTCCGCTCTCCAAGGGCTATTTTTTTGCATTCCAAAAACGAAACGCGGAAAAACGGAAAAGCAAACAACGAAACTCTCGGACGGAATGTCTGCAAAAAAAATCTCTAGGAACAAAAAGTGAGGAAGTGATGGGGGATGGACAGGAGGGGAATCGGTCAGTCTTTTTTTATGCCTCCCCGCTTTACTACTTTGTCTCTGCCTTTAGGGCATTTCGGGGTGGGCAGGCGGCTCGAAAAACACCTGATTGCCCGAGGCCCTGATATGATATGAGGGTCGAAGCCGTTGGGGGAGAAACTGGCCAAAGGATGGGCCAATCCATCACCCAACTGCATGAGTTGTAGGTGGATGGGAGAAGGGCAATTGGGCTTTAGGAATGGTCAAGAACCATCGTACAAGTCAAAATAAAAAGCAAGAAATCAGTGAGACCATGTTATGAAAGACAATAGATTTTGTTTCAAATAAAGTCGTATATTTTTCAAATCAAAAAACAATCTCAAAGTTCCAGCTCATATCCCCCAAGGCGCTGTCCTTATTACCGCATTCATGCCCTCTCTACCCCTATCCGCTAAGCCCATTCAAAAGGTTCTGACCACTCAGAGCATGAGCCATTTCTATAGAGGTCCTTTTATCACAAAAACTGTCCCCTATCCCCCAAAAGTATTGTAAAGAGGCATTTAAGCAAATAAAACACAAAAAATAAAATAACGAAAAATGGACACGAGTGACTTCAAACCGTGATTCAGGTGATCTCGCCTTTTTTATTATTATTTGTTTGGATGGATACGAAAAGAAAAAACAGCTCTGTGACGTAGCCAGGGCCAGCTAAGAAAATAGGGCATGTTGCGGATGACGAGGCAGAGAGTGCGATGCTACAGTAAGACAGTATGCCCTGCTGAACTGTCAACTACGATGGGACAATGATTTGTGTTACTTCCAAGCCTTTCATATCCCTCAAATCTCCGGCTGAAACCCCTTATCCGCAGCCATTCCCAAGCCCTCCATTATGTTTGTAACCCGGAATTCAAGAGTCATGAACAGCCATTACTTTTGGCCTAAACTTTGAATGTCATAAAAATCAAAGTTATGCCTCCGAATGACAGATATATCTCGCTGAATCGTGCCCATAAAATGTCTCGCAGCGTCGCCTTTGGCACCGCGAAATCCCATTAAAAATTGTCTGTTTTCGGCGGACTGGAACTTAATTTCGGCTGATCTGATTACCGGCTACCGTAACCGGTTGGCCCACAAAAAGATTGCCATTCTTTTCCGGAGGGCACGGGACGGGCCGTGAGGACAAAGGCGCGGGACTCTTGACCGCCTTCCACTCCGTTGATTCGGCCCTTTTGCGGGTGGCAAACCCAATTTTCCGGCGCCTCTTCAACGAAAGGCCATTGCACCGTGCGAATCAATTTGTGCGCCCGACAAAGGGCCAAACAGAAAAGAATGTGCGGGAGTACGGTGGAGTGAATCCGTGATGAGAATTGCGTAATGCAGTGGCCTGGAAGAACGGGGCCCAATGTCAAACATGTCAGAGTGTGGAGTGTGGCACGTCAACGGATTAATTGGAATGTCTAGAGGCCCGAAAATACAGTAGATTTTTGGGGAAAAGGTTTCGAGGGATGGGATTTGGTATGGACTACGTGACATGTCCCATATCAGTCAGGATTTGGAAGATGAGAAAACAAAGAAAATTAAGCCACAAAAAATAAAGTGGAAATTTTATCTCAAGCGTCCTTGAGTCCAACGACATCTCAACCCCAACCCCATAATCCCCTAAAAGTACTAGTCATAACATCGCCCCGCTATCAGCTCGCCCTGACGCCTTTTGCAGCCATATAAAGATCGAGGCGAATGTCCACTCCGCAAGTGAACTGGCCCCGCTGGGCGCGCCTCAGGTTCAAGCCGCAGACCCTCTTTTGCACTGTTTGTTTTTTGCTTGAAATCACCCGCGACGCCCCTCTCTCGCCTCTTGCCTGCAGCTGTTTTCAGTCCCTCTTCAGGTCCCCCCTTCCTCGCCTGCTTTTCCTTCCTTGTTCCGCATCAGCTTGACCGCAACACGCGCGACTCTTCTTCCTCCTTCGAACAGATGTTTGCAAAGTCTGCTGGGATCATCTTCAGCGGCGGAGAGGTACAAAAATAGGGTCAGAATTGACGCAGCGCCCCAGGGTTGACATTGACATTAGACAGGAGGGCAACCTTGACGCTGCAGACGTCGACCCCTCGTACCAAACAAGGATGATATTATCCTTGTTTGTTCGGCTTTGCCATGAGAGTCTGGCTATACAAAACAGCCTTCAGCGCGCTTGCTGACTTCCTGATTATGTGCGTCTTGTCTGAAGTCGTACAACCGAGGATGTACTGTCTTGTTGGAGGCCATAAAGTGAATTACAACATAAGATTAGGCCCTGGTATGCTATCCGACAATGTCAATGCTAATAAGCCAATTTACACCCCACGCCTTCGATTTTAAAATCCATGCAAATCCATCGATAAGCTCCATTGCAGTTTCATGCGAAATGATGGCTCTAAATTGCAATTGCTAACTAAACAGAAAGGAGTCAAGACTTCCGTAAATGCTTTCTAAAAATGGTATTTTTCTAAAAAATGAGTCTTTTGGATCTCTGAGCCGACTAAATTGTTTCTTTTTAAATAATTTCCAAAGATTGTTCTTTGGACAAGCCCTCAAGGTCTTCCGTGCTTTATGCTGTTGTTATCGTGATTAGCTTACATAAATCTAAATATCCAATTTCCAATCCTCATGTTACGGACTTCTTGATTAACTTCTCCGAATTTTAAAATATCCCGTTCTTAACGCAACTATAACATTTAAAAAACGATTGCGCAATCTTTTCCCATCCTATTTCTTCTCTGCGCTCTCTAAATTTCACACACTCTCTATTCAAAAAAAAGTTGCGCACTGAGTAAACAAATTGTTTGTCCGATCTTCGTTGGGGGGCTGAATCGAAGCCGCTGCTCCCAACGTTCTGACCGCAGGGCTTGACCGGAAATCGAGTGCGCAAGAAATTCGGAAAAGACGAAGAGGAAGAGTTCCTGGACGGACGGGGGAAACTCCTCTTGTTTGTTTGTACTCCAAAATTCACACTGAAGAAGCGACGCGCGCGCGTTGCGCAACCGACACGTTATTTTTGTGCGGGCGCAACGGCGAGCGTCAAAGTTGAATGAGTCAGCGTTACAGTAGAGTGGGCGAAACAATTGATGGATTTGCGAGGAAAACGATGTCATCTTGTCATCAAATAAAGATCTTGGAGATAGCACATACTATAACATCGAACAGCCAAAAAAAATATAATTGGCCTTGAATTGCCAAAAATTGTTTTTAATTTTGACTGTCAGGTATGAAAGCCGAGAAAGAAGCAGTTAAAAACGGCTTTGAAAGCCTTTTCTTGGGCCATCAATACCCCTGGATTCCCATTGACCAAATCTGACCAGCCAAAATTCCTTTTAACACCGTGAAAAGTCCTCCAAAATCATTCAAATTTAACCCCAACAACACTACGTTGCCCCACCTCTACGGTATCCGCCCGTTCCGTAAACAAGATCCCATTCCGAAGCGTCTAATTAAATTCAGGGATGATCCAGGAATCTTGCTTTCCCGTTGAATATCAAGCCCGACTAACCTTTCCGAGTTAGATTACTAACGAGGGATAAACCCATACCATAATGTGGCCCCAACCCAAAAACAGGATTTCGCGTTGCGTGGACACACGGAAGGAGCCCCTCAGGCGGCGGAAATGCCGTCAAACTGAAGGGAGCATCGCGAGTGGTCAGGGGATTGTAAGGATCCTCCCAAAGGAAACGGTTCTATTGGACGTTGGTGGGAATGCTCGGAAAATGTGATAAAAGGATTGATGAGGATGAAAGACTTTTGTAGCTTTGGAATTTTTAATTAACACAGGAGACTTTTAATGGGGGTAGATATCAACTGAAAAGTGTAAAAATGAAGAATCCGGAAATTGAGGCATGTAAAACTGTGAGAACTGTGCGATACAGAGCTTAAATTTACCACTTCCTCAAAATTTCTTTAAAAAATAAGCTTATTTTTGAAGCCTTATCAATTTATCACTCAAAAAGTATACACTAGTATAGTAAAATGTCATCTCGTTCGCAAAAAAAATTACCTCAAAAAAACTAAACTTAGCCTCACCCTTTCGCCTTTTCCGCCTCTCCCACTATACGACTGGAAATCTCCAAACAGGAGAACACAAAAAAAAACAAAAATGGCCGCTTGCCCTGAGGGTCCGCCGAGAGAGATCAGCGACTTTCGATACGAAGAGACAACTGATAAAGCCGTAAAACGGTGCAGGAATCGGTTTCGAGTGATTTTTTACTGGAATGACCACAAACCCCTTCAGGGCCTGGGGCTCTTTTCGGCCGCACTCTTGGGGGGTTTTGTCGTCAGCGCTGATAAGGCGGCATGCCGGAAAGACAAAGGCCGAAAGGCGGCGTTGAACCATGCGCCTATACAAACCAAAGTCACTCCGAGAAAAACAGCAACCTCAATAACAAAACAGGGCTGCTGATTAAGTGGGACGACAATTTACATAGGCATCTAGAAAATGGGGTTAGTGTCACAGCCGCGAAAGAGAGCCAAATACCAGAAGATTCGGCGGATAAACGCGCTGTTTTGCCGCGATAATCCACGCCCTTACAACACAAACATTCCTTCGGATTCTCGTCGACGCTCAGAGCTACAGTAATCCCCAAATTATCAGCTACAAAAAATGGATCAACCTTATTAACAATTGCACCGTGCATTATGAGTCTTGGAAATGGCAACGGTCATTAGCTTCAATTTCATTACAGAGATTAGTCACCGGCTTCATAAACAGCCTCAGGATTGGTTCTGCATGAAAAGTGTGAGTTCATCGCAAAAAAACAACTTCCCAGAAGTTGACGCGACACTTCGCAGAGTGCACAAAAGTGTAGCCCGTCAAAATATTTTGGATGAGAAATGCCTGCAGGGATAAAGGGTATTATATCCAGAGAGATCCGAGTACGGTAAGGGTTGACATGCAAGGTATTATGTGAAGAAAGACGTGCGTTAGAGTATAAAAAGATTTGAAGCGAGTGCAAAGGTGCAGATACATGGGGATTATTGTTTTTTATAAACAAAAGCGGATACATGGAAACTTAGAAACTCCCTGAGAAGTAAAAAAAATGTCCAGTAACCTGGCATAAGCAAGGTTACTGGACTATCTTTGGCCACGGATCAGATGGAATGTATAATTTGAAGTAAGATAAACTCTCCATCGTACTAACCACCAGCGCTCCTCAACTTCCAAGCCCTTCTCGAATGACCGCTGGCCCCCAAAACAACCGCAAAATTATCCCACGCCGGCTACAATCAACCCATCCCCCCTCTGGACAAACAAAAAAAAAAAATAACTGCGCGGCTCCCGAGGCCACAATTAACGCGGAAGAGCGACTATTTCGGGGGGAACGGCCGCGAGTTTCGGGAGCGCGAGACGAGGAAGCGCTGAAGATGAGGCGACAACGACGCGTCTGCATCATCCCCCCTCGCATCAACTCATTTCTCGCCTCTCCCAACCGGTTCCAGTGTCCAGAGTGCACGGCTACTCCACACGTTCCTCGAGAGAGAGAGGAGGGAGCGACGCGAACGACGGAGGGAAAGGGGGTGGGGGAAAGGTGGAGGGGCGCAACCACATCGCCAGAGGGCATTGTTTTGAAAGTGAACGGTCCATGGTCCACTTTCCTTGGAGTCGGCAAAAAATACCCCAAAAAGAGGGGTATTTCGACAACGGAATGCGTCGATCACAGCGACGCTAGTTTACGTCATCCCACAGTAAGACGGGCTTACAGGAATTCACAAGGTCATTCATATTCATCCCAAAAAAAAAATCATCTGCTCTCTCAAAGCCAAAAAAATGCCGCTGAGGATTCACACTGCTCATCTCCCCCCACGGATTCAAAGCCGATGCCATCAGACGCGCCTGAGGGATCAGTGGTTGCGCTTCAACCGGATTCTAACTGTTCGCTCCGCACGCTCTTCCCTCTGCCCCCGAGGGGGCGCGCCGAGAGCGTAAAGGGAGAGAAGCGGCGCTGAGCGTCGGCGGAGGAGGCAAAGGGTGGACCGGTCGCGGCAGAGGTCGTCACAATGGCATTACGACTCGATGAGGTTCGCCATTCACACAGAGTTTCGCTGTTGTGTGTGTGTGTGTTTTTTCAGGGGCGCGCCGAAACTGGAAATTCCAGTTTTTTGCGGGAGGGCTCATCTCCTCCTGTCTTTCATCCGAATCCAGGCACGGTGAAGAAGATGCACTCATCGCGCAACGACCAGTTACGGCGCCCATGCCATCCCTACAAAAAATGGATGCCCTCTTCAGCAGGCGCGCCGCGCCGTTCCACCCTCTGGCATTGCGCGATTAGCGATCTGCCCTCCAGGCATGCAGTGTGGTGTCACAACAATCCCGATCGTGTAATCGTTGTTGTCATCAAAAGGGAAGAGGATATGTGGGGATCGGGTAAACAATTGACCTACTGGTACAGTAATAGGGATTCGTGATGAAACGAGGAATAAATCCGGTTCTACAACCATTTTGGGAGTGGAGTGTATTTGGGGACAATGGATAAGCCGGTGAATGTTGAAGAAACACGAATTCTAAATGCATCTCATGAACTTTTGCCTTGTTCATGGCCTCTAGCTATTCCTCAAGAACACTATAACAGCACCACTCTATGGCCATAGAGTGCACAGCATTCCGAACTTTTTTCGCCGCCAATCGGTGTCCTAAAAAATGAAAAAATAAGAAGTGCCCATTACAGTGCAAAAAATGGCCAAAATCAGGGTTTTTTTCACTCTAACTTGACTCAAACCCCCATAAAAATTTTGAAATTTTAATATGTTGTAGCCCTTGAAATTCTCTCTAACATCTTTTTTGGTGACCCCAAGGACGTACATTTTTTTTGCATTCAAAATCGAATGTGTTACATACTGTGTATAGTTACACACACAACATTTTACTGTAACCATATATGGTTACAGTAATACCTGAGAAAATTGACAACAAAATCGGTGTCCTTTCGCAGTCGCAACAAGCCCAAAGCCCTTTCCGAAACGCACGTCCCAACGTCAGCAAACGGCTTCAACGTGTGGCCGAAGCTTTTCGCACGATTCCGATAATCCTTTTCGGATTTATCGCTCGACATTATCCTCGGCGTTCAGAGGTCGTGCCAAAAATAGGCACGCTTCGTCGGCGTCCAGATCAGCTCCCAGAACTTGGCCAGATTTAACACGGCGGGCCGTACCGCGGCCCGGTCCCTTCCCGTGTTAATCCCCGGCCCCTAATTGGCTTTGCGGATTGCAGGGCGCTAAAAATGGGCTGGTAATCATTCCGTTATAATTTCCGATACGGTCGCCGAAACGTCAAACCACGCGATCGTCTCGTATTTTTAGTCCTAATCCCATTAACCATACATGCCATATGCACAATCGAATGTCTGAGAGCTGGTAATTAGGCAGAGAACGTTGGGGGACGCCCGCGAAAGCTAATTGAGAGCATAATGGGGATTGTGCCAAAGTTTACGGGAGATCGGTTCAATCGGGGCCGTTATAGTAACATCTTTAACTCAGATATTGTAACCCTTATTTATCACTAAAAATTACATGGATTAAGCAATCATTGATCAGCTAGAAGGGCCTCCAAAATCGCCAAATAAATTGAAAAGGGAAAAAGCCCAGACCTTAACTCTTCCGTTGATAGTAAGAGTGCAGTATTCCAAGATCTAATTTTTAAGAGCTAGGAAGAAATAGCGATGGGGTTTCTACAGCGAGGACCTGATCCAGTGGCAAAAAACGTACCATTTTGCATCCGGGAAGCATCAAAAATGTGGCAAAATGCTTCCCTCTCCAAGTGAAGAAGCGTAGGTTTGAAGGGCGCGCCCTTTCCCTCACAAAAAGAATATTTTTGATAGTTCCCGGATGCAAAATGGTACGTTTTCTGCCACTGGATCAGGTCCCCCATTATAACAATCTAAAACATGGCCTACATCTTCTGCTAGCCTTTTTTCCAAAACCTGCCCAAGACATCGCTCCAAACCATGTTTCAAGATTTGACGGTCCCTGCTCAATCTTTAGATCGAGGATTGTCATTTTCATTCTGTAGGTTATTTCCTCAAAATTCGCGAGATAATCGGTAAGCTTACTCCAAGCCCCTGAACACAGTAAATTTTTTGAACAACAGCAAACAAAAGTCTAAACGTTTCCCACGGCAGAACAGATTTCACACCCACCACACTGGCCTTATTATTGCTTACACTTTGGGCTGGATCTCCCGTTGAGCCGCGGCTAAATCTCATAACTTCTAAATCTGAGTGTCAACCCCCAAACCAATTTAACATTTTTTGCCCCAAATTCCTTCTGAAATGTCACATGACTAATTTCTACATACAAATATTTGTGTTTGCTTTTTACGGGAGAAGCTAAGAACACTGATTAATTAAGTCATCGCCCATGATCATCCGCTTACAGTACGAGCTTAATAATGCGGAACAAACAATGTCAATAGGTGGCAGAAGTCAGTTGATAGACAAGTTGCGCGATTAGTACCCGCATCATATCTGTAACGGCTTAAAACTATACATTTGGTAGTTAATCCGAATAATCGGTTATAAGTACAGCACCTATTTTGAGGTGGAATGGCCAAGGATCTCGGCCACAAACCGTGATTCTTTTTTCTTTGTTCGAAGCAGTGGAGTGATTTGTGGTTATGATGATTGTTCCCTACATCGTGCAGGATTCCAAACCCAACACATACTGTAAGTTAAGAGTTCAAAGGCTTCTTGCCCTTTAAAATCGTAAAAAAGAAGTGCTACAAGCGCGAGTTTGTAGTCTTGGTACAACTCGGCACAAGCAAAAACTAGCATTTTTGAGGTTAGAACAAAAAGGGTCGAAGTGCGACGGTCAGATAGTAAAAAAGCTAAGAAAAATTTTTGGCTGTATCTCTGCACTTTCCAAAAAATGATATGTTGTAGAAAGGTTTCGTTGTAGAGCTAATGATAAACTTCAACGGAAGTATCGAATTTTCGGAAATTTTGAACAAAAGGCCCTGGCTGTTTCTGCAATGCGCGGCTAGGGCAATTGCATCTGTCTTATAATCTTTAAAAAATCTGAACCTCGGATTTTGAATATTCCCCTGTAAAGTAGACAAAAAAAATTTTTACTTGCCATTCTTCTAAATTTTAGATCTTTGTTTAAAAAAAGATATTCTCATTGAATCGAGAGCGTTCCAGATCCCTATATTTCCCTTGCAATACCCTGATTAACCCGCTAAGCGACCAGGCGATCAAAGATCAATTCCGAGGAGCCGTGTGTAACCTCTGAAGACTGGCCTAATCGCGGCAAAGTATACATTTACATCATTACATGAGACGAATCAAAAGACGTGCTCTTCATGCCTATTGCTCTCCATTTCTATTTATGGATTAGTTGAAATTTGTACACGTGATTAATTAGTTTTTGGTCATTAATGACTCATTACACCGTTTCGGGCAAGTTAAGTCGGGCGCTATCCTGGGATATACTTGGTAGACGGCTAGTAAATCTTCGATTTTGTTTCGTTTCAAGATAATTGTGTGGTTTTTGAGCAGCTCCCTTATGTAGACTAAGGATACCTGGGATAAAGACCTAATTAATAGCCAATTATATAATTTCAAACGAAATATTCTAGGTAGACGGGTGGTGTTTAAGCAGTGCTATGTATATTATTAATTGAGAAATGATCTTCGGTTTGGTTTGGAAGGGATTCGGTGGAAATCGTATTTACCGCCGATTCAGTTTATCAAGTCTTCCTTGATCCTTTTTTTCGGACAATTTTCAGTTTTTTTGGTTATTACCTCTTTTGTCATCATGTGAAAATGTTGTTGCGGCCTACTGTCAGATCTTTTTTTCAATGTTGGCAGAGCGATCTACACTCTGTTTCAAAAGTATACCACCCATAAAAATTCAGTTTCTTTATCCTTGTCAGTGCCATGCGGAAAACAATGCTACAGTGGCGGTCAAAAAAAACGGCCACCCCAAGATGATGCGCTCTAACGCAGAAGAGAGTGGTCGTAGGAAGATAAATATGGTATCATTGTAAAGCTTATGGAATACTAAGACGTGTGACTATACGCTTGTGGTACTGTAGTGCTGGCCTAGCACGTACTGGGGCAATATGTTCTTTTGGCCTGGTCAAAAAAAATGGCCACCCATAATTATTTTGCTTTAAACGCGGTGTATGCTAAAAATTGCCACCATATGGGACTGGACTAGGATAGCTATATCAATACACACCAATTCCAGTATTTTTTACTTTGTACATATGCCCTCAGGCATCAGTCAAGGTTGATGACCTTGTTCATGGTTAAGGCCCGGCCAAATTTTTTTTCGGGTATGTGCCGTTGTTTTGATAATCCGAGGCAATACTGCAGACGGTATTGATCGTATTCGTGTGTAAGACTGCCCACATTTGTTAAAATTGTGCCCTTTCTGATAAGAAAACTCAAAAAATGGAATTTTTTGACCTAATTTTCTCCAAAAATCCGTTTTGGAGTCCGCTAAACAATGAATGTAGAATCTTAAACAGAATTTATTTGTGCAAGAACATCATGGACATTTGTTTTAACGCGGCACCGGTTAAAGGAAACGACCGTCCGAAACGACAGATACCGTTTTGTTACAGTTTTCGACTTCATGAAGTAATCATGAATTTTGTCCGGTTCCGAAACCTCGTTGAATAGAAATTAGAATATAGTATCGCATTTGTGGCGTAGTTGAGATACCACTTAATCATTTAAAAATAAATATGAGCCCCTAAAGTGGGAATTCGGGTTGCAGACCTTGACAAAGTTTATGATTATTTCCTGAAGTCGAAAACTGTAACAAAACGGTATCTGTCGTTTCGGACGGTCGTTTCCTTTAACCGTTGCCGTGTTAAAACAAATGTCCATGATGTTCATGTACAAATAAAACCTGTTTAAGGTTCTACATTCATTGTTTAGCGGCCTCCAAAACGGATTTTTGGAGAAAATTAGGTCAAAAAATTCCATTTTTTGAGTTTTCTTATCAGAAGGGGCACAATTTTAACAAAAGTAGGCAGTCTTACACACGAATACGATCAATACCGTCTGCAGTATTGCCTCGGATTATCAAAACAACGGCACATACCCGAAAAAAAATTTGGCCGGGCCTTAACCATGAACAAGGTCATCAACCTTGACTGATGCCTGAGGGCATATGTACAAAGTAAAAAATACTGGAATTGGTGTGTATTGATATAGCTATCCTAGTCCAGTCCCATATGGTGGCAATTTTTAGCATACACCGCGTTTAAAGCAAAATAATTATGGGTGGCCATTTTTTTTGACCAGGCCAAAAGAACATATTGCCCCAGTACGTGCTAGGCCAGCACTACAGTACCACAAGCGTATAGTCACACGTCTTAGTATTCCATAAGCTTTACAATGATACCATATTTATCTTCCTACGACCACTCTCTTCTGCGTTAGAGCGCATCATCTTGGGGT